GTTTGCTCCACGTCTGGAGTTACCTCGGACCTCTTATGTTTCCCTTCGAGCATTACTCCCGACAACATTCGGACTTTATGCAGACCATGCGGACGCTTGACAGCAGCGCTGTACTACCTCCGCGACAGCAGATGGTTATCGGTAGCATGATCAGGATCCGAAGATTGCGGGAGTTGTTTATATACTGAGCAGTTCGCATCCTAGTCCCCCATCTCGACCTCTTGGTCATTGGGACTAGGTGCGCATTCACTTTGTAGTAGATAGCATGCTTTATTGACTTGGTCATTGGGACTAGTGCTTTCGTGCTCACCGCCGGCACTCGTTGAGATCCTCCATCACCTAGCCTTGTGGTTTCGGCCACTTGTACGCCTACGCTTCTACGCTCCTACGCTCCGCTCCGTTCCGCCTACCTCCGACCCCTCCGAAGTTTCGGAGCTGTTTAGGAGTTTAGAGTACCGCCCCTGTTGTGTCCACAACAGACGTCCTCTTGGGCTTTCTCTTGGGCTTTGTGTCCTTGTTAGAATGTTCGGGCAACATTTCAATATGCTCAAGTCTGTCGCTGAGGTCCTTTGCGGAGACACCATGATCGTTATCACTATCCATGGTGCACAAGGGCCAAATTGATGGGTTTAGAACAAGGTATAAGCAAAGTTGTGAGTACTTGGGTCCAGGTGCACAAAAGACTAAAGTACTGACGCGTGGATGGCTTCTCACGCAACACGCTCATTTTCAGATGAAGTGACGCGACGCGTCGCGTCGCTTTGCAGTAGTATTCCTCACCAACTCAACACCCTCATGCAAGCCCTTGGCGATTTGACTAACATACTGCATATATATTCTATGCCGTGGGGGCCAAGGCAGTATGGTACAAGGCGCAGAACGCAAGATCACACTCGACATGAGATTGCTCAGAAAATGAGTGGTCGCAAGACAGAGCATTAATCAAAGAAAGGTACCCGGAAGGGCGACCAGCACGAACCAGCACTACAGCACATATCACCAACCATGGCAATAGTACCACATAGGCTCCTGTGTCTCCGGCAGCCCAAGTTCGCTCCTGATGAACTCAATATACTCCGTCTCCTTCTCCTCGGCCAAAGTCCAGCCATCCCTGTCATAACTGTCGAAGATGGCGACACAGGGCTTGAGTCCGTCTGGCGTCTCCACAATAGGAACATTCACCCTTGGATGTGCTGCGTCAATCTCTAGATGCTTCTTTGCAGCACCCGCCCAGATGTCGCCAACCCAGAAAGGGTCGAAACCCTCGAGCATCTCGCGGGTGAGGATACCCTGGTACCAGCGCAGGGCGTAGTCAAGCAAGATATCAGAGGATACAGCGAAGCCAAAGAATGCCCTGCGTGGTCGTCTATTGGGATAATGTGCTTCGGCGTAGGCCAATTCAGGAGGCAGATAAGGCGAAGGAAGTAGCTGCGTATTGTTGGTCAGTCCAGTGTCTGCTTACAGACCAGATGAGCAAAGCCTACCTTCCCGCTGGAATGTGTAGAAGAGACCTGAAACTGCTCAAGTTTTTCATTGACGTCGTCTAGATTATCAGTGGTAATAACGTGTTCGTCGTGGTTGACGTCCATGACGCGCAGGTTTGCAGCATCAAATTCAGGGCAGAGTCAAATCACAGCTGTGAGCGGCCGAGTCACACGACGTTTTGTAGTTGAGACTGAACAGTGACTAGTGAACGGTTTGAACAGGCCCTGTTTGAACGAGGAACCGGCGGACGCTTGTGGACTGGACAGGGTTCCCACGCGACATGCACTCATAGGTGCGGCCACACTCGTGCATAACGACGCGTCGCGTCGCGTTGACGTCCCCATTTGACCAACCATCCGCGCCTCCGAGGCTAGCACGCTCCATGCATGCCACTCTGACCAGGCCAGGTTCACGCTCATGCACGCGACGCGACGCGTCTTATTATTCCAGCGGTACTCATGCAGTCTTCGCTGCTTTGACAGAAAACTTGGCTTGGATTGCACTCGATAACACAATGATGATGACAACTTTACAGCAGCTGAACGTCTCAACAGTGCCACACGCACAGTCACCGACAATTAGAATAATACCACATCGGCTCCTGCGTCTCGGGTAACCTGAGCTCGCGCTTGATAACCTCAATCTGCTTCCTTTCCTTCTCCTCGTCTAGATTCCAGCCGCGCCGTATGTAACTGTCGTACAAGGCAACACATGGCCTCAGCCCATCGGGTGTCTCAACAAGAGGGATGTCCAGCCTGGGGTGTTCTGGGTCCAGGTCCAGGTGCTCTTCAGCAGCCGCCATGCAGATGACTTCGACATGGCTAAGGTCGGCACGGTCAAAGTCCTCACGGGTGTACTTGCCCTGGTACCAGCGGAGGGCATGGTCGACCAAGATGTCCGAGGTAACAGTAAAGCCATAATGTGCTCTACGCGGCCGCCGAATATTATAAAGATGGGCTTTGACAGGATTCAACTGAGGAGGTAGATCAGGGGCAGGCAGTAGCTACGTATTGGCAGTTAGCCTGTGTTTTGCTGAGAGTTGCGCTATGGCTCAAGCCTTGGGACTTACCGGCTTTCTCTTGGGGTTGGTATCCTCATTCGAATGTTCGGACGAGACTTTAATCCGCTCGAGTCTGTCCTTGAGGTCCATTGGAGAGATGCCATGATCGTTATTGCTATCCATGATGCACACGGACAAATCTGATGGGTTAGAGTAGAGTCAAAACAAAGTTGTAATCTGAGCACTTGAGTCCAGGTCGTTGTCGAAATTCAAGATCGGAAGGGCCGAGAAAAGTCAACGCACATGACAAACGGCGCGCCTTTTCTGGCCAGAGCGCGCAGAGAGCAGGTGGCATTGGCTCTTAGTTCACAACTACCACCATCTCCCTTTCGCTCTCTGCAAGCACTCGCTCGCTCAGTATCACTCTCTGCTTTTTTCTTGCTCTCCTCACCCTGGCTCGCGATGCCTCCTCGTGTCGCACCTGCCTCGGCGGCCTCGCGCCCTGTGAGCTCGGCGGGCTCTCGTAACACCCGCAGATCCTCCCCGGCGGCCTCGACGCCGGTCTCCTCGGTCGACGAACTCATCTCGCCGGGGGCCTCTAGCCCCGGGTTGGATCACACGGGTTTTCTAGACGATGACACCATTATGGCTGCCGCTGATAACGCTACGCCCACCCCTCTGCTCTCCGACAGCGATCTCCCTGATCTTGTCGAGCCAGGGGAGGACGACGCAGAGGATTATCCCACTGACCGCGCTCCCACTCCTCCCCCTAGTTTTGGGGGGTTGGACCACCTTGGGGCGAATGCCATTCGCCGCCGCATGCCATCGGAATCCGATTCGGTCGCGGCGCCACCTTCGAAGCGTTCCAAAGGTAAGGAACGCGCGGCCGCGCCGGCGGCTTCTCAGCTTGCAGAGGATGCCTTGTCCTTTGCTCCACCCTCCACCTCGGCTCCGTTCTCTTTGCCGCGGCCCCGGGTGCGGTTTGACCACCCTCCCGCCTCCCTTGCAGCCCCGGCCTCATCCATCTCGGGCATCACGGGGACTCGCATCCTCCGCGAGGGTTCCCCTGCTCTCCCCGACCGGGGGCCTGCGCCTCACGCGCCGGGCCCTGCGCCCACTCCCGTGTGCGGCCTCTCGCCCGGTTTGATCGCCTTTTGGGAGTCCCTCTCAGATGACGGTCGCGAGCGTTTGGCTGCTCACGTCGAGGGCCACGACAACCTCCCGGGCTTTGCAGCGCCTGCCATCCCGCCGCCGCCTAGCAGTACGTTCTTCCCCTCCCCTCGTTCCTTCCCGGGATGGCCTCCAGGCCTTTCCCGTCCCGCTCCCTTCGTTGCACCCCTGCCTCCGCATGTGCTGACTTCTGCCTTCCAGGCTTGCCCCTCCCGGGCGTTTATCGCTCCGCCATGCCAGGCGCTTCCGCGTCGTCTGCCTCCCTCTGGCAGAGGGCCGCTCCTGTGCAACCGGCGCTGCCCGCCCCGCTTCCGGCGGGCGCTCGTCGCCTCCCTTCCAATGACGCCCAGCTTAGCGGTCTCACTCTGCCCGACCCGCCCAAAGTCGTGCAGGCTATCAGGGCCGGGTGGGTCGCCCACATCCCGCTCACCACTCTCACCAACTCCGCCCTCCGGGGCCTCAAAAACGGGCAGTCCACTGACCGCACGGCCACCATCGCTGACTCCGGTGTCCTCACCCTGCTCCCTACGTCCTGGGACCTCGATGGCGAATCCGCCCTGTCCATTGGGGATTGGATGCACGCCTTCCCGCGTCTCGTCAGCATCATCCGCGCTCACTTCCCCGAGCAGGACCCTGGCGATGCTTGTCGTTGGGCGGCTATCTGGTCTGAACATGGTCGCAGGATCCGTGAGCACCCCGACCTTTACACGGAGGGGCGCTGGCCCGTGTTCCTCCAATACGACATAGAGGTCCGGCGCAATTTCGCGTCAGGCTCCGAGGACTTCAACCCCTCGGTGTGGCAGGAACGTGTCTGGTCACGCCTCGTCACTGCGTGGCAGATGGACCGTGTCAATCTGCTCTTGGCCGGGCAGCATGCGACGCCTGCTCGGGCGGCTACGACCTCCTCGTCCTCTTCCTTTCGTGCACCGGCCTCCTCCTCTGCCGCTCCTCGCGCTGCGACCCAGCGCGCCTCACGCTCTGCTGCCGCTCCCGACCAGCGTTGCATCTTCTGCGGCGCTGTCGGTTGTCGCAACCGCGCCTGTGGCACCACCTCCACCGCCTTCCTCGCCTTCCGAGATGGCAAGTGGGTGACTGCTTCCAACGAGTCGGTTTGCTTCGCCTTCAACGGTGCCGCGGGGTGCGCCCGCCAACCCTGCAAATACCTCCACCGGTGCTCTCGATGCGGGTCGGCTCACTTGGCTCAGGCCTGCGCTTGAGTCGGGTCTGCTCAAAGTCGTGACTCCCCTGCTCTGGCAGCAGTGGGCGATCACGCTGGATGACGCGGGCGTCCTCCATGAATTCGCCGATGTTCCGTTTGGGCTTCGAGATGGCTGGCGTCTCGGGGTCTCCTTTCCTCTCTCTGATACTTTTGCTCCTCCGAACCACCGTTCCGCTCTCGACCATCCCGATTTCATTCTTTCTTACATTAATTCCGAGCTCCGCGAGGGCCGCTACTCTGGTCCGTTCTCGCGCGACCAGCTCGAGGCTCTCGTCGGTCCCTTTCGCACCGGCCCGCTGGGGGTTATCCCCAAGCCGGGCTCTTCTAAGTTTCGCCTCGTACAAGATCATTCCTTCCCTCGTAATAACCCCGCCTTCCCATCTGTCAACTCCGGGATTGATAGCTCCGCCTTCAAATGTGATTGGGGTTCGTTTGCCGACTGTTACCTTCTTGTCGCTAATGCTCCCCCCGGCACCCAGGTTTCGGTCAACGATGTCGAGGCGGCTCATCGCCGCACACCCATCGCCCCCGAAGACCAGCCATACGTCTGTGTTCGCGTCGACGATGCACACGGCGTTCCGCTGTTCTACCTCAACCACACGGGGTGCTTTGGTTGCACCAGTTCGATGGGCCTCTTCAGGCGTCCCGCCGACGCAATTGTCATCATCTATCGCGTTCGCGGGGTTGACGATATCCTGAAGTGGTCTGACGACTTCACGTTCTGGCGCTATCCTGTTCTTTTCTCGGTCTCCGGTCCCTGGTCATACGCTTACGACGAGTCTCTTATCTTCTCCATCGCCTTAGAACTGGGTTGGCCCTGGGCGCCCAACAAGCATCTCCCCTTTGCGTTCACTTTCTCTTACCTCGGTTTTGAATGGGACCTCCCCCGCAAAACCGTGTGCATTCCGGAGGTCAAGAAAATCAAGTATCTTATTCGCATCAGTTCCTGGCTCGTCGGCGCGTCGGTGTCCCTTCGGGAGTGTGAGCAGGTTGTAGGGTGCCTGCAACACTGCACGCTCGCGCTTCCTGATGGCCGGTCGCGCCTCCCATCTCTATACCGCCTTCGGGCGGGCTTTCACGACGACGTTTTCGTCCGGCACTCTATCCCCCCTTCCGCACTTGCGGACATCGTGTGGTGGCGCGCTCAGCTCTCACTGCGCTTCTGCGGCTCGCAGGTCGTCGCGCCTCCTCCTCCCCTACCCCACAAAATCTATGTCGACGCTTCCACCTCCTTCGGTGTCGGGTTTGTCTGCGACGACCGGTGGCTCGCGTGGTCGCTCACCGCCGGCTGGCAGTCCGACCACCGCAACATCGGGTGGGCGGAAATGGTCGCTATTGACCTCGGCCTCCGCGCGCTGGTAACGGCGGGCTTCCGAGATTGCCATCTCGTCTTCCGTTCGGACAACCAAGGTGTGGTCGGCGCGTTACGTGCTGGTCGTTCACGCAGCCTCGCTCAAAACTCGGTGCTTCGGCACATCGTCTCCACTTTCCGCGAACACAACATCTGGGTTTCGGTGGAATGGGTTCCGTCTGCTGACAATTTGGCGGACGCGCCTTCGCGCGGGTGCTTCTCAAACCTTGGTCGTCGTTTCGGGTTCGCACCTTCTATTCCGTCTTATCTCAGACCCTTTGTATCGTCAATTACCTGATATACTATTTGGAATGCATCCGTTTGTCTACTTATACCTGTGTGATTCCCGTCCTCTCGGCATGGCTCCTCCCCCCGTCTCCACTCAATCCCTCGCACGAGTTCAACTCGCCCTCGACAAAGCATGGGCGCCCTCCACGTGCGAGAAGTACAATGCCAGCGTCAATGCCTTCCATTCCTTCTGCGACTCCGAAACAATCCCACTGCCTGCGCGCTTGCCAGCGTCGGAGTACATCCTTTGCGCCTTTGCGGCCTCTCGCATTGGCGGCATTGCGGGCTCCACTGTACGCGGCCACATATCCGCCCTCAAAGCATGGCACCTTTACTGCGACGTGCCCTGGGCGGGGGGCGCGCGCCTCAACCTGGTGCTCAACGGGGTCGAAAATATGACGCCCACGTCCTCACGTCGCGCTCTGCGACCGCCGGTTACCAGGCGTGGCTGTCAAAGTATTGCAATAGTCCTCCGCTGATCAGCGTGCAGGGGCAATTGCAGTACTCGCGCCAGGAAGTCATTGCCTCCGAGGGACGGTAGCCCCTGCCACTACACGCCCTAGGAGCTATTAGCATGAGTACTGCAATACCGCCCGCTCCCTTCGCCGCTGGCGCAACTACTGCAATACAGGTATCCCCGGGTCCCGCCGTCGCAAACGCTTCCCGCAGGCCGGACTACTGCAATACCCCTTCCCCCTATCTATCACGCTCCTCCCTCGCGGCCCGCTCATGGGCATGTCCCCCGCTGGCGAGGCTACTGCAATAATCCCGTTCCCGTTCCCGCCACGCGGACCGGCGATACTCAGCCACTGCAGGCGGGAGTACTGCAATAGCGTCCCCCTATCTGCCACGCCGCAGCCGGCCGGGAATCCGCGGTCGTCTTGCAATTGGCGGACATACTGCAATAATTTACTGTATGTACTACTAGCCCACTACTACTATATGCAATCCATTTACGCTCGCCTGGCCAGTATCTCCGGTGATTTATCAGTCATGTTAGATTGTGTGATATCTACTAGTATGTATGCAGTTTTACACTTGCAAAGGAGTATTAGTCCAAGCGGCTGCACGCTGTTTGACAGAGAATAGTTTGGGAATATAGTGCTACTTCAACGTGGGACTTAGACGGAATTGAAGATCAAGGACGGGTGGCGGTGCACATCCTTGTCACTGCCGGCGGTCACCTCACCGGGAATTTCGCCGAACATCTGACATGGACACCTATGACATGTGGCTGTGCTGCCTTGAGAGATTTTGACGCTAAGTCCCTTGAAGTCCGGGCCAGACTAAGTTTCGACTCTACTACCTTTCATACCCACATAATCACGTAGCATAACTAACTATTTGATTGACAAATGAGCACTATTTCTACGAAACGAAGGCTCAGCTATCCCGTGTAACTTCCAGCCTGTATAAAAACGATCAATAAGCGATCGCCGGAGTGACGACTGCCTTGCAGCGTACGCGACGCTACCCTCCTCGCTAGAACCTTCACATAGTCCTTGCCACCAGTCCGATTGCCATGCAATGTAGACGAGTGTCCTACGCATCTCCTCGCGCAAGAGTTCGGTTTCCTCTGTCCACCGCAGCGCTCGAGCCCTGGCTTTGCACCATTCAACACGAATACCTGCATCATAAGCATAAATTGTGAATAATTAGATAAGCGAACAAAGACTTACCATCCACAAGACCTTCCTCCCCCGCCGACTCGCCTATGGTGCGCCAGATCCAGGCTAAACGTCGGCGTCCCTCAGTACCGGCTTCTAGGCGGTCCCTCATCGGCTGTATATCTTCCTTCTCCAGTTCTTTCAAGTCAGCAGGGACGCTCACTTCGGGCACGTGCTTAGCTAAAGCAACGACCACTTTATATGCTGCCGAATACGTTAGGTGGTGCGCCTTGATCTTCGCCTCGGCTGAGGCGATGGTCGAGCGCGCTTTCGTGTTCTGCCTCTGGCCACAGACGTATGCGTCCTTATACTTGTAGAGGTAGGCCTGAAGCTGAAGAAGGCGTCGGATAGCCGCCAGCGAGTCGTGTGCTTGCCCAACACGCAGCCGAAACTCGTGTTTCTGGAGTGTCTTGTCGCACGGTGTATCCATCGGAAGCTCGGAAGGAAGCCATAGGGAGGTGTCCTCAGGTAGCCCGCTAGTAGACGAACCGGAGACGAGGGGAGATTGATGTGCGGCAACGCCGGGCATATAGAGGGTTTGCGCGCGCGTCCAGTTGTCGATCTTATTATGGAGGATATTGGTACGTTGTTGAATTGTCGCCATCTGCGTGACCGGTGCGTGCTGACCCAACCTCTGGCGATCCGAACGCAAGCGACGTTTCTGCTCCTCGAGCTCGATCCCATACGAGATAAGCACACTGCGAGTGATCTCCGGCGTAGGTGCCTGAGACGTAGACGACTCGGATGCCTCCTCCGCGGCGAGTTGCAGCTTCACTTGACCCATTGTGATGTCTACGCGTCGTTATCATAATCAGTCAATATCGAGCAATCCGAGAAAAATACAAAAGTAAAGCTCACCTTTAGACTTGTCGTCGAAAGGGTTTTCATTTGAGTCCGGGTCCGTCTCCCATAGGGCAAGTTCTGCTCGCCATTTCTGCAGCTGGTCGCTCGGTAGGCTGTCCTCAAAACCCGTCAGGTCGGCAACATGTATGTTTCGCTGCTTGATTGCGTCGACAAGCCGACGTGAAAGGAGCTCTCCAAGACCAACCAACTTTTTCCAGTTCCAGTCCCCGAAGTAATCGTCGAGGGTATCGATCCGATGGCCGTGTCCCATTTCTTTAGTACTGGTTGCGACTGGGTTGATGTTCGACCACCCGCGCTCCACCGTCTCACCATCAGTCCGGCCAACGCCGGGCATCCAGTTGAACGAGAAACGGGTTTGGCATCAAGCGACGTGGGCGGGTAGATGGAACTTCGGGACAAAGAACCGGATGAACTTGGTGACGGGGTTGAAGGAAAGGTATGAAGGGAGGCGGGCGACTCGGGACCAGAGATTCTTGCTCCATTGACAAGCAATGTCGTACGAGAAGTTGATATCCTTGACTGATGTGAACCGGAGGGCGGAGAATACGATGTAGTCGATGTTGATTTGTCTGGACATTGTTCAGAACACGAATAATGGCAAGTCAAATGTGCACGTACCTTTCTCCCCAGAGCAAATTCCCTACCCCACACGGCAGCTTAAATCCGTGTCGTGCACAGTCTACGGTGGCGACCCCAGTAACGGCAAGTCCTTGCGTAAACTTTGAGTTAGCCATATTCACCGCCTTATGACTCGAGCATGAACTTTTCTATTCGAGTGTCAGATAACGGCAATGTCTCAATTGTGATTAGTTACCTCCTGAGTATCTTGTGCGCTGGAGGTCAGCCAATCCTGGTAGGGCCCGTCCTTCACGAAGTAGCTGAGCCCGCTGCCCAGAGGCGGATCCGACGCAGTCTTAGAGTGGTCTTTCCGCTTGAGGCGGAAGTTCGCGTCAATCGCGACGAACAATGAATATAGCCATCTTAATTATGTTAGTAGGAGCCGAAATATACGATGCCGCACGTACCGGAGTTTTCCTGACTTCTCCCAGCCCTCGGGAAGATTGCGGCCAGGCTGCGGGCAAGCAGGGCATGTGACAGCGCACGAACCCTCGGGGAGGTCATCCAGTGGAGCATCTGGCCCGATTCCTGAGCGCTTGAGCAACTTGAGGTGACGCCACTCTCTAACCATCCGCAGGAACTGATCGTAGCGGTCCTGCTACTCGTAAACACTTCATTAGAGCCCAAGTAGACATAAGACAACGCATACAAAAAAATTGTACCTTAGAAAGCGGGACACCCATATTATTTGTTCTACGAACTAAGGACGAGTAAAACTCGTACGCCGAAGCCTTGGACTCGAATGACAGGAGATGGTATTGCTCTAGTACGTTGAAGGTGGCTGCAGTCTTCGGGCGAGACGTTGTCGAAGGGTACCAAGACGCGCGTAGAAGCTGCTGAAAGCGCCTGATACGCTTCTGGCATTGGCAGTAATTGACGTGGACATTGTGGATGCCGGTTACATCAATTACCGTGAAGTTCCCCTTCCATGCAGCCTTCGGATTCATGCACGGCTCCCCCGGGGGGTGGTTGAGCTGCACAACGAGCCCCATGTTCTTGAGCGCGTCCCGCTCAAAGAACGTTCCGTTCCAGCGCTTTTTGAGGGAGTGAATAAGATAACTGCTTGACAATGAATGTGATTAACGCTTACCTCCATTCTGTGAAGCGGATGCTTGCGGTGTGTTTCAACCATGCACCCGCAACAGTACAGGCGACTGCTGAAGCAGTCTTTGCACCTGTGCGTTGGTGGGGACACGCAACATCTGCTACAAATCTCTTCCCCCGCGTACTCTCCTCGTCCCTCGGACCGCAACAGTTCATGTAGAAATCCCGGCCGATCCGACAGCCACTGGCGGAGCGGGTCATCCTTCAGTAGTAGATTAGATCACCAAGTCTATGCAATGATAGATATCACCACTCACCCCTGCTGTACGTTTCCGTTTGCCCAAGGCTGGACCTTCATCATCGGAGCCTTCGTCTTCATCATCGGACGGATCACATTCCTCCTCATCTACGCCAAAGTATTCCTGCGGGTCCATAGAGTCTACATCCTCGGGCGCGTCCGTATACAGTGATGGTGGGGGATCGGGATCAACAGGAGGGGGTGGCTGTGACGGGCCGGCGACTGGCATGGTGTCCCGTTGTGTCGAAAGCATCGTCCTCCCGTCGGATTGTGCGACCACCGTAAAGTGTTGAACGGAGACTGAGTCGGAGGGCTGCGTACTTTCTTCCAGTGAGTCGGCTGGTACAAAACCAGCACGTCTCATCGACTTTTTCATCTTCTTTGCTTGGTGTGCCGCAAACTTCTCCGCCGCTGGACATGTGTGAGGATATTGACGCACATAGGGTTTATTATTACTTACAAGAGCCTCCTACCTGTCGCACTCGCAGTTGCAAGGTTGACATAGGTCCTATTCCAGCCTCCTTCAGATTTGCTGACGAGTCTAAAATTCGCCCGGCATGAGACAGGAAGAACTCGTCGTCCATGATCGAGTCCGAGCCACATCGAGCGGCGAGGAGCTTGAGTAAGTCCTGCGGTCTAGTGCGATCTGTTACAGCTGCTCAAATAGATTGTCAGAGATCCCCATCCCTAAGCAAGATAATACTCACTAAGACACGTTGTACCCGCCAGTGCGCCTCGGACAAAAATGGTGTAACTGGGAGAGGAAGGTGGGGCGACAACACTTGCTATCGTCCTCCTGAGCCATCGAAACATTGCAGACTACGCGGCCCTCGATTAGCGGGGAGCGGTTTACCACAGAAATCCTGCGACTCACCGAAGTGCTTGTTGCCTAGGCGCGTGAGAATGGCACAAATCCGTCGACGCTCTCCTGTCAACAAGGTTGACCACATGTACGCATGTCTCATTCTTCACGTAGACAGCGAAGGGAGCGGAAGGCGGCATATGACAGCGGCGAGTCATCGCTACCAGTGTGTCGTCGCCGCCTGTCGCTCATTTGGGACCCGGGTCTCAGTTGCCGGATTCAGCGCTGGTAAACAGGATTTCACCATGTGCACGTGCTGCGTCTTCCTGACAGTCCATCCTAGTCTATCTCAACGTCTGCGTGGTATAAAGAGGGCGATACGCGGGCCCTCATTCCCTCATTGTCCCACCAGCATGCGTATTCAGACCCCCTCGACCGCTCCCGACTTCGAAGACGAGATCGACCGTGAGTACTTGAGTATTCGTGACGTCGCTCCTCATCGGACTAACTGTCCTTTCAGGCCTTGTTGCTGTCGTTCGAGGATGGGGAATCACAGACGAAGCTCGTCAGCAGCTCGTCTTCCGCCTCGCCAGAGTTCAGCATTGGGAGATTCCCGCCGTTCCGCCCCCGCCTACTGAGATCTCGGACTCAGAGGATGATTTCTCCGAGGCTGACTTTTGTACGTCTACTCTCTTCGATACGTTGACCCTCGTCTTCAACTGACCCATCATCAACACAATCCCTTCCAGCTACGGCAACCGGCGACGCCACTCTCAATGCGGACACTCCTCAGCCCATCATACTCGCCGAACCTCAGCCGGTCGATTCCCCTGTTCCTCTTCCGCCCTCAGCTGTCGACGCCGTTGTTCCTAGCCCTCTCCCTGTCGCACTTGGAGACCACTCCGTCAAATCCACCTCTGTCACTAATCCTACGGTCTCCGCAGTCACCACCTCAGCTGGTACGTCGTCTGCCGCTGCCATAGCAGCGGCCGGTCATCACCAAGTTGTGTACCACGGCACGGCTTGCTGGGTGCCCGACAACCATGTCACTGGACCCTTCTATCTCGTCACGCGTGGTAGGTGGGTAGGCATCTTCTCGCCATGGTAAGACATATGTTAACATAATCGGAGCGGATCGCTGACGCCCATCATCAGGTCCAAGACGTCTCCCTACGTGACTGGGGTATCTGGTGCAGTATTCCACCGGATCAAGGAGTTAGAGACGGGGATTCAGCAGCTTTTCGATACCATCGACGATGGCCAGGTTGGCGTTGTACCTTAGAGACGTAGCTACATCGCTGTGATTATTACCTCTTGCAATATCGAACACATACACGCTTGAGCTACAGACCTAATAGTCCGATCTGTCAGATGACCGAAAACTTAGAGTCTCGTTGACACTCAGCTTAGATTCGATCGAAGGAGCGCCAATCACATTATGATAATCTATTTTGTAGTACCCGGTTATACAAATGGCAAGAAACACAAATTCTATGCATTGTCGTGACGGATTCTGTGTCAAGCGATCTCTGGACGTTGTAGGATACTTGAACATGAACTACAATAAAGCAGATCGGTGATTTCGAGGAATGGGAGTGAGATTTGATTTTGTCTCCCAAGAGTCGTGTGCAACTATACGAAACGTTCACTATTCACCCATGCGTTCATACTACAGATGAACTCTTCACCTGTTCTCTTCATGGTATTTTATTTCCTCCGGCTTTCTTGAAGTCTATTTTGGCTTTCTATGTTTCAATATACGTCATTACTTTATATTTGAACTGAAACCTATTTACAGACACTCCGTATGTGGTGTAGACGATGGTGCTGTCAATTTATCTCCAATGAACCGAGACTAGGAAGACAGGGGCTATCGCTAGCATTGGGTGCCGCCGTATAAGCCAAAAGGAAGCATCCGATTCACTTGCATTGCTCCATCATGCCCCCCGGTCGCCCGCCTCGATACACCACCGACGAAGAGCGCCGGAATGCTGCCCGTGCCTCTCGCTCACGCTATTACCAACGGTGTGCTGTCAATAACCGTTGCTTTTGGCCCTCATCTTACAACGACTCAGAAACCGGGAAGTGGAATGTGCCAAAATGCGTCAAAAATACGCGCGTAAGAATTCCAGGTGGGTTAATCCCGCCATGCAATAACATTACCTTGCTGATAAGTGGAGAATGGTTTCCTTAGTCTACGCTCGTGTGCTTCCGCGAGCACTCCCGATGAGGCGCCCAAGCAGGGGCGCATAGTTCGGCGAACGACCCCTGTCAAGCGGTACGAGTAACCCGCCCACACTTTGCTTACACTTCTATGATAGCGTCTCTCGCACAGGCACGATCTCAGTAAGAAATCCAGACCTACCTCCAACGCGAAGCACCATTGCGGGTATATATGTCCGTGCTTTTTTAGAGCTGAGCTGATAATTTTGTCAAGGTTCGACGTTGAGCTTTCAAACCTCAAGAACGAGATGCTGTCCATCTTCGACGGATCACCCTTTAAGTTTCTACAGGGAATATCTCAGAAGATAGTCGCCACCGACGATGAATTGCAGAGGGACAAGGTGGTCTCTACCATCTCTGAGATCCACCAGAGTGTCGGCACCGTGTGCTGCGAATTCTCGAGTATGTCTCAACGACTTTTGGAGTCACATGGTCCACAAAGCGGGAAATACGATTTGGCTAGGCGGTTGGAGCGCGAGTCTTCGCTCATCGACAGCCAAGTCGACGATGTTCTCATGACTCTTTGGGAGCACGGCATAGATTATTTCCGACAGCGTTTTGCACGCGGCCTTCTTCGGTATCAGCAGCTCAGAGTAGACGGATATACTCATGTCAGATTTACGTCTAGTATTCGACCCTTTACGGCTTTATTGGTTCATCCAGAAGCCTCCTGTACGGCGATGTTCCTCCTAGAGGTCTACAAGTAAACACCGCCTTCATACGTCTATTCAGGCGCTTAGTATCCCAGCGGTACCTTAAGCGCTCACGCACTCGTGTGGCTCCGCGTTCATCGCATAGGGCCACGTTCTGCTTACGTAGCCGTCCTGCATTACCGCGGGACTTGGACTGCACAGTAGTTACGAATACGGTAGTGACTTCACACGCTCCTGTCATATATATACAGTCGCTACCATGAATATCATCTAAGTCTTCTCTCTCCACCGAACGACTACCATCGTCAGCCTACCAGCTACCAAGCTACTCACTCAACCTTCAACACTAACAGCCCGGTGAGTTCGCGCTCTTATAGACTCCATCAGCTATACTCGTGATCGTCCTTTGTCAACTCAGTAATCAGCAGATTTCTTTTTCGCTATTTTTTGAACGGTCACTTCAAGTCTGGCAGGGCCTGATAAGAATTCTGATATCAGACTCAGATCTTTCGTTTCAAGCGACGGGGCTGGAACCCCCGGCTATGGTACAGAACATTTCCGATTTGAAGCGAAGCTGACAACATGACAAGCACTGCCCCACATGCCGCGCTTAAAGGCTCGCCACCTGGTGGTCCCTTCGCTCTGCCGTACTACACAATTTCGGCGACAATAAGGTCATGAACGACCTCTCAGAGTAAGTCAGTCCGATTCTCTCTAGTCCTTCGCGGCTCTGAAATTATGCTGGCAGGAAGTTTAGGAGGTGGACGACAATCAAACAGGACAGGCATCTCAAGTACTACTGGACTCTCTGGAAGTTGTCCGCTGAATCAGAGGTCCTTCTTTCCATGGAGGTCGATTGGTGGGCGGGATTCTGCCGAGACTGGGTTGTGCGCTGGCCAATCACTCCCGAAAGCCCGCTTCGTCTCAAGTTCCACCCCAATTCCAAGCTGACACCTCAGCAAAAGGGCGAACGGGCAATGGTGTACCTGAGGACGGTGTGTATCACTGACAACGCTTGTTTACTTGTGCCTTACTAGGGAGGCAGGATTAGACGTCGAGAACAAAGGAGGACATAGCGGGCTATGCCAACACAAACCACCCCCGGAGCAGTGTCCACGACGCTCTCCACAAACGCATGTTACGAGAATCAACCGGGGACGATTCCCATCTTTCTCCACGGTGGCCAGAGGAACCCCGGAGGGAACGGGCTGACCGCGAGGCCCTTAAGGCCGTCGTTGGGACCCTCTGGAGCCGAGATGGGAAGGGCAACGAGCCCATTCATACGCACTTAGTACCTTACACGTAGAGTATCGTCCGACATGAGGTGTTCAACCTCGATGGACGCAAATGGAGCAATAATAATAATAATAATTGTGCCTTACATTGTTTCCAGCGCTTGCGTAGATGGATGATTGAGTTTGGAAGGTCCCAGCGCAGGGTGGAGCTAGTCCAAAATTACTCTCCGATCCCCTATGTCCCGCGTTTCAATGTAGCTCTAGCTCGTATAGAGAAGCGTCGAGAGCGAGAGCGTCTCTATTAATCGAATTTACTTACCCCTACACTCTGTGGTGTGACATTCCAGAAAACATCGGGCACGTCTGGTCTCTGTTCTCTGAGATTTCGCTTTCCATTTTCTGCCTGACCAATCAGCTCACTAAGCTCCGCGCACCATGCCATCTTCCTCATCTTTTGACGCCTGAATATTGTACTGCGGCAGAATCTCATCGCCATAAGGAGAGTTGTCTTGAACTGGAAGTCTGACTTACAAATGCACCAGCGCCATAGGCTCGCTGAATTATCGTGCAATCTGGTTGGTCACGAAACACCCTTTCGTGATATTTTACTGACCTGAGTGATGGATTGGGCACCGAATTAATGGTATGCCGAGTTATCATTGCATCCGGCCGCATGGCTCACCATAGTCTCGGGGCGCTGGTTAATCTTGGTCTGCATACTAATCTGACATCGCTTGAGTGGCGATGCTGTCACGGGACGTCCCGTTTAGGCAACAGGCAGCCAACCCGCATCGTGCGGGCACTTTGCATCCCTCTGAGAGAGTTGCGATTCCTCATTGGCGCATTCCCGACTAGTGTTGCAAGTCGAGGACAAGATGCGTCGGTTTAATGTGAGTCGAGCTCTTGTCAGCACAACCACATGTCTTGAACTTCACTTCACCTATGACAGAACTCAGTACGCAGGTCCATGTGCACAGGTCACTCTCACTCAACGTCGCTGTATTTTGCCGATATTGGCTGTCATGTCTCTGACGTGCCCGAGTTCTAGGTTGCTCAAATCGTCTCATTCAAGCTCTTGCCGAGGTTCCGCAGTGAGTAGAGAGCGTGCACCATGTTGCGACTTGATCGCGATGACGCGACACTGCCCTGGTGAGCGAATTACAAGAATGCTATAAATGTTGTCGTTTCTGAGCCCTTTACAGTACTGACGCAAATCACCTCCTCTGCAACCTTCGCTATCTAAACACTACCCATCCATACAGAACATAACGTGCGGCTCACTGTCTTGCTTGGCTTCTTGAAGATGTTGACTGATACTCATCCCTTACAGTTAGCCGCCAATGCCGAAGGAGAAGGTCCCCAAGCGCCTCAGGAAGAAGGCGCCCGGAGTAAGTCTTTGTCACGTCGTGCCCTGTATTGCTCATACTAACTCCGATGTCTAGGATGCTTCACGCAAGCGAGGCGCCCCTGGCTGGGCTACGCCTGCGCAGCTCGCGTGGCTCATGGCAAGACTTCCCGACTACGTTGCGCGTGTTCCCTCCAGGAACTATGAGCCCTTCTGGGTTAGGACCAATCAAGAGTGGTTCCGTGACTTCCCCGAGGACACCGGAGACCCGACGCGTAAGCTGACTCATCAGGAGGCAAATGTCCTGGTTGCGCGCACCAAGGCTCGTGTTGAAGTACGTCTTGTCGCCGTGTTGAATATTTATCTGGGTTACTGATTGGTGCGCAGCAACTCCAGCGATGGTTCCGGTGGCATGGGCGCGGAGCTAGTGCCTGTGGACGCTCCCTTGGTCCCAAGGCGACGTCGGTCATCGAAGATCTCTTGGAGCCCCGTTCTCGCCTCAGCAAGAAATGGGAGATCTACTCCAAACTCTACTACGACAAGCGCATCGCCCCCCTCGTTGATCAGGAACTCAAGGACGCCCCCAAGGTCATCGCCATTCGAAAGCTCGACATCATCAAGAAGCACGCTATCGAGCTCCTTTCGCATGAGGAGGACGAGGTCATCGCCGAAGTCGAGGCCTACAAGGAAGCTCAGGAGGCCGCGTTCGAGGCTAGGAAGAAGATGAAGCAAGGCGACGCTGTCACCTCGGAGGAGCAAGTGGAATGCGCTCGGATGTAAGTTGCTACATCTTTCGTTGTGCCGTTACATACTCACCACTGCCACAGGGCTGTCATGAACCTGTCTACCGCTCTCAAGGAGATCCTGTCGCACTGCTCGATGAAGACCAAGGGTGGGCTGTCAAAGGGATGGGTTTTCTCCGTTCTCGTTGGTGGCAATGATCCTGTATCCGGTGAACAAGTCATGGGATCGTACGTGTTCCTTTTGTCAGTTCAGTGCTAGTTGATTGACGGCAGTGTCAGCGTGCATGTGGGTCTATCCCCCTCCGGGCGCGACTTCGGGAAGGAGTCGGCGAGTTGGGATGCTGTTTTGAAGGAATTCGCTGGTTTTGCCCGCACGGCAGATGGTATGTTCCTGTTCAATGTCTCAAAGGCACCAGCACTCATGCTATTCTAGTTCCTGCTCCTGCACAGCCTATTATCAGCGATGCCGACAGCGATAAAGCCGCAGCTATCAAAACCACCGGAGCTGTTGAGGTCGCCGGTGCTGAGAAGACCACTGGCGCTGTCGAGACCGCCGGCGCTGTCGAGACAACCGGAGCTGTCAAACCCACCAGCACTGTCGAGACCGCCGGCGCTGTCGAGACAACCGGCGCTGTCGAACCCACCGGCGCTGTTGAGACGACCGGCGCTGTCGAGACCACTGGCGTCGCTGAGACCACCGGAGCTGTCGAAACCGCCGAGGTTGCCAACACCACCGAGGTTGCCAACACCACCGAGTTTGCCAACACCACCGAGGTCGCCAACACCACCGAAGTCGCCAACACCGTCGAAGTCCTCAACGCCACCGATGCCGTCACCGCCACTGAAGTCGTTAACACCATCGAGATGCAGAACCAACTCCAGGGCGTGCTTGCCAACAACGCGCTGCACATACTTCCTCCCAAAGGTTAGTGCTTTTCCAATTAACGTCATATGCCTTTACTGACGTGTTCGATAGACGAGACTTCCAACGATGTGTCATTGATGGAGTCGGCTCCGCAGACTGTTCAACAAGGTTAGTTATTGTTCTTCGTGGTTCAATAACGTGGACGCTGACTGTATACTTTACAGGCCCCAATGTGCTAACAGGAGGCGCCGCCGTGGCTACTCCTTCCATGGCCATGTCCTGCCTTCAAAATTATCCCTCCTACCTCGATATGTCGTTAACTACGCAGTTCATGCCGGCGTCTCAAGATGCTCTCGATGTTCTCCTCAATCCGTCCTCCTTGGACGACATGACGTTTGCTTGGAACTTTCCCATCATCCCGATGCCAGACACCGACACCGTCACTTTGCCGGCTGTGCCTAGCGACCCTTTTGCAGACTTGCCTGATCTTATCCCCGACACGCCTTTCGGGGGCATTGGCCCGGGCTTGGGAACTGAGAGGCCAGCCACGCCGCTTGCTATCTCATCAACGACGTCATCAACAACATCATCTGACGTGGGTAGTGCCCCTCTTTCGACGCCGTCCTGGCCATGTCTCCCTGGAGAGCAGACTGCGGCCGAGATCTCTGCAGCGGCTATTGCCGAAGCCATGGCTGCTCCGCATGTGCAAGTGAGGCTCAGCCCAGCGAAGAAGGCCGACGGCGCGTCACGCAACAAGTCCGCCGGAAAGTCCACCTTGGTTTCCCCCGGGAAGAAGCGCGTGCGCACACACGAGGCGAGCATTGCGAACTCCCCGGTTAAGAAGAAAACCCGACCGACAACCGAAAACGCGACTCCGCCTGTCAACGAGCCCCGACGGGGCTCTTGCAGCCACCACCCGGCTAAGGCCTCAGCCCTCAAGAACGCCATCGGTGTAAGCCCCAAGTGAGTTTTTACCATATTGCTGTTGTGTTTGAGATGCAAACTTTCACCAGGAAGGCTCATGCCTAGGAGAACGTAGCTTTGCTGTAGTGTCATAAATACAATCTCGTGATTATATAGTCTATGTCATGTTTGTGAAGCTTCCTGGTATGCAATATATGTCGCGTTATGATTTATGCATACTTGTGATTATGTGAGGTACACGGAGGCGTGGTGTTGACTTGTACCTATTTCACCGGTACCCTATCGATAGCCACTTGTATATGATCAATCAACTGCCCTTTGCTGATAGTGACGCGCATCATTGTCGGATCTGCGCGCAGATATCACGTGCCCTAACTTTTGACGTGTTGCTGAGTGCGTCAGCATGCCGGCATAATGTAACATTTGACAGGGGTCGAGGATTGCAGTACTTCCGCCCTGGTAAAGCCGGCGTTTCGGTGTGAGGGTGTCGCCAGGCGTGGAAGATGACGACCATCCTGACCATGTGGACGGTGGAGTGCTAAAGGCTGAATGAAGTGCGAGAGTGGTGTATAAGTCCCGGCAATACCAGCAGAGGCAGGGTAGAACAAACGGAACGGGGCGGGGTCGACAGAAAACGCACTATTGCAGTATGTCCGCCAATTGCAAGACGACCGCGGATTCCCGGCCGGCTGCGGCGTGGCAGATAGGGGGACGCTATTGCAGTACTCCCGCCTGCAGTGGCTGAGTATCGCCGGTCCGCGTGGCGGGAACGGGAACGGGATTATTGCAGTAGCCTCGCCAGCGGGGAACATGCCCATGAGCGGGCCGTGAGGGAGGAGCGTGATAGATAGGGGGAAGGGGTATTGCAGTAGTCCGGCCTGCGGGAAGCGTTTGCGACGGCGGGACCCGGGGATACCTGTATTGCAGTAGTTGCGCCAGCGGCGAAGGGAGCGGGCGGTATTGCAGTACTCATGCTAATAGCTCCTAGGGCGTGTAGTGTGGCAGGGGCTACAGTCCCTCGGAGGCAATGACTTCCTGGCGTAAGTACTGCAATTGCTCCTGCACGCTGATCAGCGGGATTATTGCAATAGGATGACAGCCACAGGTGCGGTTACTCGGGACATGCTACGGGCGCTGGCGTCCCTTCTTGACCCTCTCTCACCCCTTGATTCTGTTGTTCTTTCTGCCGCCACCGCCGCGTTCTACGGTCAATGCCGCCTCGGGGAGATCCTCTCTCGTTGGGAAGACACTTTCATTGCTGACCACACCGCCCTACGTTCCCACTTATCTGCTCCCTTGAACGCCAATCGCTCCCGCAAACTATTTCTTCCATTCACCAAAGTGGCAAAATCACGCGGGGAATCCGTCTACATTTGTCGCCAGGTCGATAACTCTGATCCTATCACCGCGCTAGAACTCCATCTCGGTCGCAATGATCCCCCCGCTGCCGTTCCCTTGTTCTCCTTCCGGGTCGGTGACCGCGGTCGCTTTAAATGTCTCACCAAACGTAAGTTCCTGGCCCGTTGCAATGCCATCTGGCTTTCCTCGGGTTTCAGCTCCTCCTCTGGTCACGCTTTTCGGATTGGAGGTACTACTGAGCTACTGCTCGCCGGGGTTCCTCCTGACGTCGTAAAGACCATGGGCCGTTGGTCTTCAGACGCGTTCCTGCGTTACTGGCGCTCACTCGACCTTCTCGCCCCCCTGCATGTGGAGCTTCTCGCCCCGGCTTCAGACTCTTCCCTACCTCTCGCTGTTGTCCCTTCGGTCTCTGCTCACTTCCGTCCCCACCGGTCTACTTAGTTTGCAGGCTTGCCTTCCTGCGGTCTGGGTTGGTGCGCGAGCCCTCGCTTCCGCGGCTGCGCCTGCCTGGGGTTTGGGCTGGACTTGCTCCGGCTCGACACACACACCCAGACGGGTCAGCGGCCCGGGGTGACTTCGACTCGGCGTTTCGGCATCTACTAGCTGGTATTAGCACGGTGCCTGGCACAGCCGCGGTTTGGAGCTCATCTCGGTCGCCCCCGGCCTCACCCACATCACAGGGTCGGTATCATCATTAGTGCATGTCCGTAGTTAGCATGTAGCAACTCGTCCGCATATATTCTCCTCCCAAACCAATCACTAGCGCTCGCTAGACACGAAACGGAAGGGCCGAGAAAAGTCAACGCACGTGACAAACGGCGCGCCTTTTCTGGCCAGAGCGCGCAGAGAGCAGGTGGCGTTGGCTCTTAGTTCACAACTACCACCATCTCCCTTTCGCTCTCTGCAAGCACTCGCTCGCTCAGTATCACTCTCTGCTTAAGATGTACAGCGCGTCTCGGTTCTCACGCGACACGCTAATGCCAGAGTATGCGTCGCGTCGCGTCGCGTTCAACCTGGACTAACTGCGCAGGCTAAGTACAAAACATGTACGCAGCTAAGGACAAGACAATAGAAAACAAGGTACAGGATCGGGACACATAATATCAGTTGAGGCGAAAGTGTTCAAGAAATAAATGATCGCAAGGCAGAGACAAGTGCGGCCAGCGTGCCCGGTGACTCGGAGCCAGAGACCTCTCATCTAGCATAATAGTACCACATCGGCTCCTGAATCTCTGGCAACCCAAGTTCACTCCTTATAAGCTCGATGTACTCTGTCTCTTTCTCCTCGGCCAAACTCCAGCCGAGCCTGTCATAACTGTCATATATGGAGACGCAGGGCTTGAGTCCGTCGGGCGTCTCAACCATAGGAATCCTTATTCTCGGGTGGTCTGGGTCGACTTCTAGATGATCCTGAGCAGCAGCCATACAAATGACACCAACCCAGGCAGGATCAATACTCTTGAGGCTCTCGCGGGTGAAAGTGCCCTGGTACCAGCGCAGGGTATAGTCAATCATGATGTCTTCAGAGACAACAAAGCCAAAGAACGCCCTGCGTGGTCGCCTATCCTGGTTGCGGGGTGCTTCGTTGACGTTCAGTTCAGGAGGTAAATAAGGAGAAGGAAGTAGCTGCATATTCAATTGGTCAGTTCAGTGTCCAATGCCTGCAGCTCAGGTAGACCAGACATTACCGTTCCGTTGGAAGCTTTGGAAGAGACCTGAAGCTGCCTAAGTTTCTCGTCTACGTCATCTAGACCACTTGCAGAAACGGCGCGTTGGAATTGGTCAGTGGCCATGACGTGGGCGGGGAACAGTGGATAAAGGATGGAGACGCGAGGAAGATGAAATTAATGGGGACGCGCCGCGACGCGTCTTAGGCCCGAAAGGGACACACGTAGATCTTGAAAAGATCATTTGAGATCACCGCCTCGCTCCTCCCCGCCACAAGGTCCAAGTTCACCGGAGATGTCTTTCCAAGCAGGATAGGCTAGCGAGCGGTTCCACTTTATGTTGCAGTCACACCAAAGCTGATACTGCCGGTATGAAGTAATGCACCACTCGGTTGTGCGGGTTCAAGCATGCCACGAATTGTAGCAACAAGAGCCGAAATCATAGAAGTGATGTATGGTAAGAGGAAATCGTCTTTATCGTATAAAATTTTGTAAAGGTATCCGAATACAGGGTAGTATAAAACACACGTGGATGCAATCGTGATAAAACATAGAACCGGGGGATGACAAGTCCGTTCAAACGGTGTTTGCCCAATCGGCAACCCACGAGAACCCACCAAACTCTTGCTGGTCCCGCGCAGTGAGCTGGCCATGTACTGGCGTGAGCGTAGGTTGCTCGCGCGTGAACTCCTCGTCGAAGTTGCTGGTGTCAGCAGAACCGTTCTATAAATGGCGGGATCAGTCTTCGCATCGAATATGAGCAAGAAATACATACAATCGTCGGGAAGTAAGGTGGCGCTATGCGCTTGTTCATTATGTCGTCGAAGTTGACATCCCTAAAGAAGGGCTGCCCCTTAACCTCCTCAGCATCACCCTTCGATCCCAAACGGCGAGACGGGTCACGAGTCAGAAGCTGAGAGAAAGGGGTAAGGCGGCTATATGAGTATGATACATGACATACGCACCCTTTGAAGAATTGAGACGGCATCCCTCGGCATAGTGATCGGATAGAGAGGCTCATCCTCGAGGATGGCATCGAATATTTCATCTTCATCATCACCGCGGAAGGGAGACTGCCCAAGCAACATCTCATACGTCAACACACCGAAAGCCCACCAGTCAACAGCCTGCCCGTAGCGCTGTTCGAGAAGAATCTACGAAATACGTGAATCCAGAGCAATATACGTCAATTCTCTGAGCAAATTACCTCTGGAGCCATGAACTCTGGAGTACCACAGAAGGTGCTCGTGGTAGCACCTTCGAACATAGACTCCTTGCACAGACCGTAATCGGCGATCTTAACGTGACCATCAAGGGTCAGGAGAATGTTATCAAGCTTCAAGTCACTAATCGCGAAGAATCAGCCTGGTCCCGTAAATCCCAAACTATTTCTCACCGGTAGATAATTCCTTGCGAATGGAAATATTCAAGCCCAAGTAGAACCTCGGAAGCATAGAACTTGGCTTGGCGGAGCGAGAACTGCTTCCGCTGGATGTGAAGCATAAGATCACCCCCGCTTACGTATTCCATGACGAAATACACGCGGGTTTCGGTCTGGAAGCAAGAGTGCAGACCGAGCAAGAATGGATGTCTCTCACGAGCAGCAGCCAAGAAGACACGCTTCTCGGAACGAGTGCTACAGAGAATGATCAGTGTCAGCCTCGATGTGCTAGGATAAATACTCACCTCTCGACTTCATCGTTGTCGATGATGAACTCTTTCTTCAACACCTTGATGGCGTAAAGAGCATTTGTAGCCTTCTCCTCGGCCAACATGACCTTTCCGAAGTTACCCTTACCGAGCACCGCCAGGAAGTTGAAGTCGTCCAGCCCAACTTTTCTTCGCCGAGCAGGCGGAGGAGGTGCTTGTGCGGGAAGTGCGACTTCCTGTGGTGGGGGAGTGGGACGTGACTGAGGGTACCCTGGCGGCCCGGGCTTGACCTGTGCACCAGGCTGAGGATAACCGGGCTGTTTCTGTTTTTCACGTCAGTAATCGTCGTGTGTATGGATTCATAGCACAGACCGAAGATGGAGGTATACTGTATTCGTCTTGCATAGGCACTTCGCCGTATGCAGAGGTACGTTGTGACTGGCCGGCTGGAGGAATCAAGGGTTCATTAGGGTACGCCGGAGGGACAGCCACGCGTGCGCCAGGAGGCGGTCGAGGCACTGGAGAAGGCTGTTGCTGCATATACCGTGGGTCTTGACGGTAGGGGTCGACAGCAGGAACCTGGCCATCGCCTCCCAAACCCAATCGTTCGACCCCTTGGGCAAGATTCTCCGGTTGATAGGGCTGCTGACCGGCGGTCACGGATGGTGCATGCGATGGCCGACCGGGGACCGCAGTCTTGCCACCACGAGCTCGATTGATGTCGCGCCAATCGCGCAGTAGCTGGTTGGCCGTCTCCATTGACATACCACAGAAATCTGGTACAAGATGGGCACAGTTGGCGTGGCAGGTAACGTCGCATTCAGTGCATCTACGCGAATTCTTGCGGCCCAGAGGCAGCATATAACCACAGTGACAGCACCAGTTGGCGCCGATGTTGGTGATAGGCTCGAAGCGGTGCGGAATACGGTGGTTGATCTTCTCCTCATCGTCGCCCTGAAAACCTGGTAAATCAAGGTGGTCAACCGATAAGGAAACAATTGACGTACCGCGGTATTGGACTTCGATATACACTTGGTGACCACTTTCTCGTAACACTTCTTGTGACAAGTGTACCGACAATCCTCGCATTGATACCCCAGAGCATTGAGCAAGAAATCGTTGCAGAACGCGCACAGCATGAGCTGATAGAACTGGCGCTGAACGAACTTGTGACCGTTCATCTCGTGCACCTCGTCCTTACGCTTCCTCACGGCTCCCTGACGACCAAGACCGCCAGGAGCATCCATGGGTCGCTTGCGAACTAACTCCTTGACTGGAGGAAAGATGTGAGACAGCGATATCATCGATGGGAGATGTTAACAAACCAAAGTTCAGATGTAGCGCTAAGGCACCCGCAGGTTCTACAGCAAACCATGCGTCAATTCCCTCACTCTGACCCCCACCACCACCACCCATAGCACCTGGAGGCTGAGCAAATTGCCCAGCGGGATTGGCGCCACCGAAGGAAAAGGCGTTCGGATCTCCGAAGCCACCGGGCTGCTGTGAACCGGGCCTACCTGCCGAGTCGCCGTCCATGGCGCCCGCAGTTACCCATCCACCTTGACCCGTGTCGTTCATGACCTTCTGTCGACGAAGAGCTTCAACGAGGTCGCTGATCCTGACCCAAAGAAGACCAATCGGAACAGGATGGGCCTCGGAGACCTGCTTGTCATAAACGGCAATTTCAACTTCGTTAGCCTTATCAACAACGACTTCGAATTCCTCGTTCCATCGATCCGTCCGAGAGGGGTGGGAGCGGGCCTTTTGTGTGCCTTCAATCTTAAGTGAAACGTACGTCTCGGTAACTTGCTTGGAGGATGAGCGAGATCGAGTGACTATCGGCGCATGGTCAAGATCGCGAGCGCCCTTGACGGTAACTTGAAGTTTGCCGGAAATGGGTTTGGCACGCAAGTTCTCCTTGCGTTCTCCATCGACACCGGCCTCCTGTGCTGTGCGAGTATAAGCTCCAGTTAGCCAGTGAAACAAGTTACACACGCACGAGTGTCTTCCTCCTCTTCAACGTCATCCAGAACGTGCAAGTTCTTGTAGCGTTTCAGAGCGGTCTGGAGCAGCTGAATCTTCTTGTCACTCTCCACGCGCTTGCTTTCCGCGTCAGCGCGTGATTTCTTATCTCCGTCTGCTTGGTACAGCCTCGCGATCTTGTCAATACTCTTCTTATACTGCATTTCAATTTGAAGCTTGAACTCGAGCTGGTGAAGCATGCGCGAGATCTTTGCGGTCGTATGGGGAGTGTCTGCCTTGATGAGGTCGAGGTTGGAGTATTGTTTCGCCTTGGGCGCGTCGGCGTCGTCATCGGGGAAGCCACCACGCGGTGAGCCTGGGGACCCGAGTCCTCCAGCGCCTTCAGTGTCCTCTGGGGGAAGTTGGGGAAGAGAACGGTCCCTATCATGGGGAGTCTTCCTAGATGCTGACGGAGATGAGGCGCCAGAGGATCGTTGGGCTTCCTGACGCTTGCGAGCTTGCAAGTCCTTGAGGGTGTCCTCGAAGTAAGAGAGGGAACGTTCCGCCTCTCTGATCTTGGCGTCGTTACGCCTGAGCACATCCGGGTTGGAGGTTGCCTTGCTCAGGAGCTGTGATGCCTCGAGGACCTTGCGTTCGGTTTGGATGCGCTTGTAAAGATCCTGTATTTTCTGGTCGAGTTCCGACTGGGTATGTCTGTGAGCAACCTGCGGTGTCAACTTCGGATCGAGAGGCAAAACTCACCATGGTGGTCGAGGATGGTATACGACGCCCCTCTGGCGGGTTGGTGGGGAGGGCGTCGGGGGCGAGGACGAGGACGAGCAAGTTGGGTGCTGAGTCGATGGGGGCTGTGGGTACAATCGACTCTGGCCGATGAGACAGATAACTCCATATCGGGATAGCTAACCCCGCCTCCTCTAATCCCGTGAAAAACAAAATTATATCATCGCTCGACCCCTCGGCCACTTCCCTATGCCTGCCTTTTCTTGCCGGTCCTCAACGCGAGTCACAGCCGACACCACCGCCCTCACCATTCTTGTCGATCATGGCCTTGTCTATGGGGAAAGCTCAGAAGGCGCCAACGCCACCACGCTGACCGGGCGCCTGCCAAAGACCGTGGACGTGCTCGCGTTCTCGGACGTAGTCTTGTCGATCACTGGTCTCATTGATGGCAGGAAAGTACCTGAACAGGACGTCGCGTCATCTTCCCTTCTGCGTCACCTACTCCAGTTTTTGGGACAGGCAAGTATCATTCCCCACCCTCAATATCCTCGTGTTTTACCTCAAAGGCGCAGAACTCTGCTAAGTTGGGACTGAACAACGTCTCCGCTCCATACGTCGACGAGGATGGTCTCACAAAACGTCGGTACCTCTCATTTGTCAAGTCAGTGACCGGATGAGAATTTACGTATCGACCTGGGTAGTCACTCTCACTCCCTCACGGTCATTCCCTCAAAACACTCGGCCTCATGCTACCCTTGTCTCTCTGGCGTTTACGTACTCATGGAAAAGGCTTGCTGCTCGGGCAAAAGCCGACTCTATATCTTCTCAGGATTCCAGACAATACTCGATGCTTGCCAACGCGTTTTCCGCTCAACATTTGCTGCCCTTGGAATCAGTGCTGAACCGCGCACATGAACAACTATTCACTTATCAGATAGTCAAGTAAGTTGTTGAAACATGGCTATATGCGCAGTATTTTCATGATTTCAGACGCTATCCATTAATATTCGGTGAATGGTGCAAGGTAACGCCCCTTTCAGGATATCTCGACCTATCATTGAACTTGAAATAGCGCCTCGACAATGAGCGCGAGTTCTTCCCGTCTATCGCTCGCTCGGTCTTGAGCATCGTCGATCGCTCTGACGACAAAATATTTGCTCGGCGATGCCGTCGTACTCTCAAGGTCTACTAAGCTTTTGTAGGGCCGAGTCATACCTTCTTGCTAACCGCACTGCTTGTAGACCCTCAAGGCTAAGAATGCTGACATGGCACGTGCCTCTCAGGCCTGTTTGCGTGCTCTTATGTCTTTAGACACCGAGGACGAAGACAGTGGCGATTCAGATGTTACGCCGAAACTCACCGACGACGAAGTCATATGCCAGTCTATGGAACAGCTGTTCCGAGTAGGAGTACCGCAACCTCGTTTTAAAGTTCTCCCATTCCTGCTGCTCGTTCCATTCTCTGACTGCCATCTAGGCCACGGGTTCGTCGTTGTCTAGCCATGACGTTGGTGATGAAGGCGACTTAGTCGACATCTCTTCGAGTCTCGAATCATCCCAGGTGGAGCTCGCCGATGAGGCCAACCATATTCTTGGACTACAAGATTCTGACGGGGCACCTCCTCCCGCCTCCAGCTCACTTCATCATGCTCTCTTGTACGACAGCGACCATGAGCAAGACTGGCTGGACGTTTGTATGGACAGTTCTCCGTCCTCCGAGTTGTCTTATGATTCGGCCCTTCTAAGTACCTTGCATAGCGGAAAGGCGCTTCACGACCTGGATACTCATATTCAGGACGTTCAGGGCGATCATCACTTTGTCGATCTGACCATGGAAGAATATTCCGTCTCGCATGCGCCCCATTTTTCTTCTCGTATATCCTCACCTATATCTGAAGACCACCCCGATCAGGGGCCACCTGACGTGCCTCGTTTCCGGAGCGCCGAACACCTGACCTCTGGCCTGGAATTCGATGATTACTTGCTATCTGTCGACGACGATAACTCCACCGCACCTATTTGTTGGACTGATCCCTTTGATCCTTTGGGCAATACAGGACCTTGGTCTGCATTTCGAGACACGAGCCCAGATGAACTGTTCTCTGATATCGACGACGCCTTTGATCTTTATGGATCCGTACTGGAGATTTGAAGGAATGGACTCTCCGACTCGGTGCCGACGCCCTAGTTGAAATTCGATTCTGCCGCCGACGCAATGCACCCCTGCCGCAAGGCCTCGAGGCAGTTATTCCATCCATTTCCATCCCCTGTGCGAAAAGGGGTTTTTGCTGTTTTCTCTCATTTTCCGTACTGGTAGTTTCATTGCGTAGTGTCTAATTCGGACTGTGTTCTATGTATACACACTTTTCAGAGTAACAGACTCAACTTCTATGTCATATCCGGGCTCATTACGTCGTTGGATTGATTGTGCGTGTGAGACCTATTTCCGAATGCCGAAGGGGGGTAAGTTGTAGAGTATTGAAACTCCGATTGAGAATACGCCGGGAGCAATACCGTATACGGACTGTCTGAAATTGCACAGACGACCCTTTGGAAACAGCCAGCCTTATTACCTGCACCACTGCGCACGGTCCACCTTAGCTTGCTCTCAACCTCGCCTTCGCTCTGCTGTCGCCTCCGACAACTGCTAATTGCTCCTCCTCCACCGCTCCTTAGTCTACTAGGTCTGAGTATCTGAATCATGCTCCCCGCAAGGCGTAACAAGATCGACATCAGTGTGGGTACACCCTTCGCCTCTCCTGGCAACCCGCAACCCGTCCCCTTCCTCCGTACACAACCGCTCGCCGAACTCGTGCTGATAGCTTTTTATTGGAAATATAGACATTGACGGAGGAGGAGCAGAAGCTCTTCCGTTTGTATGGCAAGCTGCCAACCCACAAGAATGTTTTGAACAAGATGCAGAAGGTATGTCTCTATCATGCATATAGCCATCCCCACCCGCTGATCGCCTGTAGGATCGGAAATTCTTTGATTCTGGGGATTATGCCCTCTCCAAGGCCGGTAAAGCTCCACAGAACACAGTTGGCACTGCGATCCCGAACCCCGAAAAGTACGAGCGAACTCTATTCGTTCCGACTCCATCTCTGACCTTGATTGTATCAGCATCCCTCACGCAGCCACTCCGCCTAACAACAGTGGCCATCAGGGTCTCTCAGTTTCTCCTACGAGCAGCACAAGCCCCGTCAAGGAGAGCTCACTAGCCCAAGATCCTACGGAAGAAGGGGAACAAACGAAGGAAGAGCAGCCAGCTGAGCAAGAGGCAGCACCCGAGGCCGCTCCTGAACCAGTGGTCGAGAGTGAAGCATAGACATTCACGTATCATCGCCAGTTTTGGCACCGTTTCGCTTTCGCTCGCCATCTCTCTTTCGCCAGGCACGTCTGGTTCCCTCACGAGTCTGTTGCAACCCCAACTCGGTATAACATGCGCTATGATTTCCCCAGCTTCGCCGCTATCGTACCTGTATTGAATAAAGCTATTGCTTGTGTATCGCTCACGCCCGACGCACATCTGGTCGGTACTACAGATGTTGATAATAATACTACCACTAGCACCCTCCAATACCTATGCCAATCAGAACTCATCAGAAACATACGTTTCTGCTTCTGCTTCTACTTCCGCTCAGCTCCTTCTGGCTGACACCAACAACGACGTTTCGGTGTCTGTCGCTGGCTTCAGGTGACCAGGTATGATCTGTAACTGTCTACACGTGGTGATAGTCGTGAGGCTTCACTCGAATATTCCGGGCTTTCGACATCAACTGGGGTCAGTCGTCCACCTTTCACGAAAATGGACTACAATGACAATACCTTCTATACTCCGAAGTTGTCGCACCCTTGTTGTTACTGCAACACGATGATGGAATGATGCACGGATGGAGTCGTATGTCATAAATAGCCCCTGAGAGGTTTTGCGCCTGTGAGATCAAGTTGAAACTCCGACCGTAATCCTCGACGCGTCGCGACCGCAAGATCGCGCGTCTCACCCATACCCGCGTTTATCCAGCGCGCGCCTCGTTCCTCCCCTCTCTATCCACACGATGTGCACGGAAGAACTTAAGAAACAAGTTGCCGATGAATTTGGAGATGCAGTCGCCGCAGATGAACAACTTCTCAACCAATGTGAGGCAGAATACTGGTCAAACCGTTCTCCAACTCATTTGAACGTCCTCTGGCGTACCCCGCACAGGCATTTCCATCAGCAAGAACTACAATATCCTCCCCAGCGACATGCGTTACAAATGGGAGGCGCTCAACTACAATACGTATAGCTCGCTCAGCCCCCTCTTAACAATAGACAGAATCGACGAGCTCCGCGCCAGGGTCAAGAGCGACATCGAAGCTGGGGCAAAGAGGACCCAGCACGTCAGGCCCAATTCAGCATTTGCAAGCCTCAGCGCCAGACGAGGGGGCAAGTTCGGAAGCCTAGCGGGCGCGCTTAATGGTCCTCCCAAAGTCGGAAAGATCCCCGTGAAAGCGGAATACGTGAAGATGGAGGTTGATGAGAAGGTCGCGGGGCCGAGCAGGGTAAACTTTGTGGGCCCTCGCAAAGATATGGAGTCAATGAACCAGAGAGGATGTGAGTAACCCCGCCGTAACCTCGACTGGGTCTGACCAGCCGTATTTCAGACAGATACATGTTTGAAAAGCCGTCGGAACGGAGTGCAGGTATGACCACCTCCGTACACGCGATGCGACCTGGCCCGCTAAAATGACCAGTTCTGGACGATAGAATCGAGGAAATCGCGGATGCCGTACGAACACACTACAAAATCGACGAATTTAGTGACCCCGCTGCGTCAACAGAGGTCGGTCGTGTCGCCACATAGCGCATATAGCCTGACTCACGTCAGTGTAGGAGCAAGTCACCGTCGTCGGTCGCATAGTCCTGGATGCCGAATCTACGAGCGCAAGCGCCAAACTCAACGAAACCTCGTTGTTGATAGAGTCTTCCCGCATGATGGGTTCAGGTGCCAGAATGCCCCTTCGTATTTCGCCAGATGTCAAGATACGAGGAGCTCCTGCTGGAGTGGGCGGGGTTGGCCTGTTCCCTGGCGCCATTGTTGCCCTCCGCGGTCGGAATGGTGGCGGCGGTTGGTTCGTTGCAGAGGAGATACTAGCGGTATGTGCTCTATGCGTGACCTATAACGTAGCTAATCTCCATAATAGCCTCCTCCGCTGAAAGCATCACAACCGCAGGCCTCGACTTCGCCGTTTCGGATGTGCATAGCTTGCGGTCCATTTACCCCGGATACAAGTTTAGACTTCAAAAGCTGGCAGTCATTAATACAAACGCTACAATCCACCAAACCGGATGTCGTTCTTCTTGTAAGCAAATTGTCAATATAGGTTATTCCTCCCATTTAAACGCACGTGCAGACTGGTCCATTCATCGATGCTACTCATCCTTCCATAATCAATGGGGAAGTCGACGCGTCACCTGCGCAGATCTTTCAGGATGTGTTTGTCAAGGCACTGAGTGACTTCCTTAGATCATCTGAGGGAAGTATGGTCCTGCTCGTTCCCAACGTTCGGGACATAGTCAGTGACCACGCGGTGTTTCCTCAGCGTGAATTCGCCCCTGGAACTATCAACCACTCCGTAAGGGTTGACACATTCCTTTCAAATTACGTTGCTAACTATCAGTGCTTCTCGGAATCTAGCGCATACAACTGCTTCCTAACCCCTGTCGATTCTCTGTGAATGGGATATCATTTGGCACGAGCAGCGTAGACGTCCTCTTCCACCTGCGCAAGGAAGAGCTTTTCAAACGGGGTACAGAAATTGAACCCTCGCCCTCCATTCCCGGCACGGCCAACGATGGAATGACCATGTTGAGCCGACACCTTCTTCAGCAGAGAAGGTTGGTTACGCGTATTCACTTGGTCATATATGCCCCAGTAACCCTTTCATTCCATTCCAGTTTCTATCCTTTGTTCCCGGCGCCACTTGACCTATCTCATGAGGTCAACCTCGACATCACGCATTCTGATGGAATCAAGCTTATTTCCACTGAGGACGAACCTGCGCCGGATGTACTTATCCTGCCCAGCAAGCTGAGACATTTCTCTAAGGTGGGTCACCGAATTTTAAGCATCATCCTGAAATGTACCCTGATGGCGCGTTTTTTCTCAAGCCGGTCGACAATAGCTTGGCCGTCAACCCCGGTCACCTGTCGAAAGGAACTTATGCACTGCTATCGTACACAGGACCAGGGTCAACTCCTATCCGGGAACGTCTTTCGGCCGAGATAACCAAACTGTCTTGAAGGATCTATTGATATCATACAAAGCTTTTACACTATCTAATATTTCTTAAATGCTTCTCCGAGCGCCCTCGTTATGTCGTCCGCAACCTCTTTGGCACAATCGAGCACGCCATCCATAGCCATAATCTGGTGCGGGACACCCTTGTGCACCTTGATCTCGACAGGCACCCCGAGCCTCCGCAGCTTCTCGCCGTACGCGATGCCCTCGTCGCGGAGAATGTCGAGCTCATTGACCGCGATGTGCGCAGGCGCGACTTTGGCGAGCATCTCGTCCGGCGCGAACATGGGTGAGGCTTCCCACTTGGCGCGATCCTCCTTATTCGGAAAGTAGTAGTTCTGGAACCAGTTCATCCGGTCCAGGTTCAACCACACAGTGTTCTGACACTCTTTCCACGAGGGATAGGGGCCCTCGACCGTTGCAGTGTTGTCGGTCACTGGTTGCAGCGCATGGACGAGCGTCAGCGGTTGAGTAGTTCAGTCCCATTCGGGCGTGTTCGGGTTAAAGCTCACCAGGGACCATAAGAACCTGGAAGATGACTGGTATCGGTGGGTTCATCTGAGGTCCCTTCAGCGCAAGGAGTGCGGCCAGATTCCCCCCGCTATCCCATGATCAGTATTCACCCCATCAGATATGCGCTGACATAAGCCAGGAGGACAGACCTTGAGGAACCACCGACGGCAATTCTGTTGACGTCTGCACTGAGCTCTGCCTTGCCATGCTCGTGCACCCATTTGAGAGTCGCGACCGCGTCTTCAACCGCGGCCGGATATGGATGCTCAGGAGCGAGACGATAGTCTACGCTGATCGCGAGGCACTTGTGCTCTGATTACAATGAGCATGCTAATCTCCAACTGCAGATACGGACAGTCCAGACACGAACCATTACATTGACGCGAAGCAAACGCGTTCTGGGTATCGATGCTGCCCAGCGTCCAGCCACCTGGCGCAAAACGTTCAGCCTCTCACTCCAATCCGATCAGCGGTACCACGGCACTCACCGCCGTGGATATCAATGTACACCGGCCAGCCCTTTTCAGGCGGAGTTCCCGAGGGCGTAAAGACGCGTATCTTGTGGTTTTGGAGTGGGATATCCCTCACGCTGCCCACCTTCTGGACCGGAGACCCGCCTGGAACGGTGGGGGCGTTGCGGATGTTGGAGTCCCAGGGGAGCGCGTGGGGCGGGACGCGAGACGCGATGTGCTCGTTGTGGAACTTGACGTACTCGGGCCTGAGTCTGTCGACGACGTCCGGGTGAATGGCCTGGGGTAAGTCTGCCATAATTAGCTATCGGTGTGATGGACTAGGAGTTGGTCTTGAGAGATAATCGAGTCGGACTCGAAGCGCGTAGTCAGTGTGTATATATAGAGTCCTGTGCATCGGAGCTCTGTTGACCCAGGGCATGTAAAATGTGATAGATCAACCACAACGGTGGAGAGCATATGGCAGCGGGTGGCCCAATGGGTCATTTCGAGTTATCTCTGATGTTGGTCGTTGCAGTTCCTGATCAGATGCTCTTCGAGGCGGGCCGGCGGGCGCGGGGCCCGGAGTGCCGTGAGTAGGGCTCTAAATCGGACTAATTATGATAGTCCTTCCACATAAGGGCAGGATTATAGCAATAAATTTCACGTTTGGACCAGAACCTGCACCTCTGACGTCTTGCCCGAATATTGCCACACATACTCGAACTCGAAGCAATGGGCAGTGACACAGAAATCAAAAAGTCGAAACACAAGCGGTCGCACGACAAGGATGAACACAAGACGAGGAAGAAGCACAAGTCTGGCCTTGACAAAAAGGGCAAGAAAAAGGCTCGCGACACTGTCCATATAACAGACGATGACCCGGACGATGATGACATGTGGGTCGAGAAGAACATTGACATGGACGGTCAACATGTACGTGCCTGTCATTACTTGCCGCAAGTGCAAGCTTGACCTATTACCAGGTCGTAGCCAAAGACATTCCTACCGCTGAGAGTCTCAACCTTACCTCCCATGTCTCCCAACCAGATGGTGGGGCTGCTTTGCCGCCTACCACCAAAGCTGGGACAGAGCTCAAGCGCGACGAATGGATGCTCTTACCCCCTTCTGGCTCGAATCAACCCTCTCAGAGCGCGTCACGTCCTCTAGCCCAGCAGCTGCCTACAGCAGACGACTCACTTACCGAAGATTATGGCGATACCCCGGAAGGCGCGCGTACCCTTGGAGGCGGTGTGGATTTCTTCGCATCCTTGGGGAAAGAGCATAAGCGTAAGCAGCCCGACAAGCCCGACCCCGAGAAGGTATGTCTATTCAACAAACGGATACTCGCCTGTTTTGCCTGATCATGTTCAAAATCTCTGCCAGATCAAGGTCAGTTCGAGAGAATTGAATCAAGATATTCGGGAAGGCAAACAGATTGACAACGCCGCGCCGCCGCCACCGCCAAAAGCTGTTACACCTGGAGGTCCAGGTTCTTCATGGCGCATGATGCGTCTTAGACGCGTCTACGAAACGGCAGAGGACGAGGACAAACCCATCGAAGAGGTGGCTCTCGAGCGCTTCGGCACCCTCCAGGCCTTTGAAGAAGCCAAGGAAGAGCGGCGCATTCTTGATGAACGCGAGGGCAGGCGTGCAGGTGGCGGCAGCGCGAAAGGTAAGGGGCGCGAAGGAGAGGGTCAGAAAGGCTTCATGTTCACTGACATCGGCGGAAGCGGCGCGTCCAGCCGCAGCTCGTCCTTCCGTCGCCCCGGGACCGCCGAGCGGAGTGAACGCTCTACACCTACTCCTGCGTCCTCTTCTGATGCTCGCGCCGGAAACAAGCGCCTGGACTCTCTCCGTCTGCCCTCGACTGCTGCATCACCTCTTCAACAATCACATACACCCATCCCGACTGTCATGACTCCACCCGTTGCCTCTACATCGACCAGACGCGCCATGTCCCCTTCCTCTCTCAACAAACTCCAGGCCAAAGTCCTCCGCGCAAAACTCATGAATGCACCCAATGCAGCAGAGCTCGAACGCGAGTACGAAGAAGAATCGCGGCGTGGGCAAGGCATCGTCGAGGGCAACGTGCGCACCAGAGTCGAGGTCCTCCCCACGCTCGACGCGCACGGACGCATGTACGACGTCGGGCACGGCAAGAACGACGGCGAGGCGCTACCGGGAAACCGCAGGAAGAAGCCAGAGAGGGTCGAAACGCGCGACCCGAAGACGGGCGACGTCGTGCGCATCAATGCCGACGACGATACCATGACGCTTGGCGAGATGCTGAGGCAGGAGAAATTCGGGGCTGGCATGGCGGACCAGAAGGATCTCGATGCACAGTTCGCAAAGGCCATTATGGGTGATGGCAAATTTGAGGTCTGTATAATACGAAGCCGCCGAATTTCTTGTTTCCCTGACTGCCTTTCACATAGAACAATCTTGATTATATTGATGACAATGCCGAAAAACTGGGCCGTCAGAAGATGAGATCAGACGCTATGAAGCGCCAATTTGCCATCAACGGTATGCACCCTCCGCTCCATCCTTTTTATATCTCATAAATTATTCTACAGACTATAAACGCACCCAAAAGGTTCTTGCGACCTGCCAGTTCTGCTATGGCGAGGACGACTCACCACCGAAAGCCCCGGTCATCGCAATGGGCACTCGTACCTACCTATCCTGCACACAGAACGAGGAGTTGCTCGACGGCCACTGTTTGATCGTCCCCATCCAGCACCACCTTACCATGCTCGAAGCCGACGATGACGTCTGGGACGAAGTCCGAGTACGCCCATGGTTCCTTATCTTTCACTGGCACTGTGCGCTGAACGTCGTCCGCAGAACTTCATGAAAAGCCTGATGCGCATGTTCGCCGAAGAGGACAAGGGCGTCATCTTCTTCGAGACCGTCATCTCGCTCCGGGCACAGAAACACACCTGCGTCGAATGCGTGCCGCTGCCCTGGGAGCACTTCGACGACATCCCCCAGTACTTCAAGGCACGCACTCTCCCTCGTCACGTGTTCTCCCTTTCTTACACAAATCTTATTTTTAGGAGTCCATCCTCGCCTCAGAGGCCGAATGGTCGCAGCACAAGAAGCTCATCGACTTCTCGGCGCGGCCCGGCGGGTTCAGACGCGCAATGGTGCCCAACCTGCCCTACTTCATGGTCCAGTTCGACTACAAGGGCGAAAAGGGGTACGGCCACGTCATCGAGGGCACGGGCGACTCTGCGGCCGCCGGCGAGGAGGACGGCGCGCTCGACGAGGGTGAGAAGGGCGGCGGAGATTTCCCGAGGTGAGAAAACAAAACAAAAAAAGCCTGTCGATCGCTAGTCTTCGATCGGCGTCTCTCGGTCTGGTTTTGGTCCTGGTTCCTGACAGACGTGACTTTCAGGTACTTCGCTGGCGAGATCATCGGCAATGTGCTTGACATTGAGCCCCGGCGGTGGAGGCGCCCACGCCGAGTCGACAGTCATGCTCAAAAAGATCACATTGCACGGTACAAGAAGCGGTACAAGCAATATGACTGGACAGGCTTGATCGGGAGGTAAAACAATGTGTGGTGCTGTCGTCGCTATAGATGGTATTGTATGTAGTGGTAGTGATGCAAGAGATGCATAGAGAACAGCTATAGGAAGTGTAAGTAGTAAATAAGTAAGAATGATCTTGCTTAGTTGCCTAACAAGATAGTCCCTGATACATGTAAAGTCAGCCCTGAGCGCACCACATGTGAAGGAAGAGGGCATGTGCGTTGTTCTCCACACGACAGAATGTACGCCCTATCCCACGAGTGCACTGCGCTTCAGATTGTCGCGGACGATCACGTCTTGAACTGTGTGCGAAAGGAGAAAGGCAGTCGCATCAGCACCGCTGTCACATCGAGACGCGTCGCCGCCGGCGGAAGCAAAATATCAATCAGACAGACAGACGTACCGTTCTCGAGGATCAGCGTCGTCGAGGCAACGTCCTGTGAAGCAACAACACCAACAGAACACGCGTGTTTGACATCGGTGGCCGGCTCGAGTATCAAATTTGATGAGTATCACTCACCGTGACAGAAGTGTAGTGGCAGTAGAATGGCCGCTCGGGCGAGTGCTCTCGCAGGATCGCATGGAATTTTTTCCGCAGGTCTGTCAGTGTGATGTGAAGGCCGAGGGGATTGGGATTTGCGTGTGTTGAGTGGGCGAGCGCGTCAACCGCGAGGTTAATCGATCAGGCATGCACATTGCACACGAGTCGTTCAATCATTCCATTTCCGATCAGTTCAGTTGATCAGTCAAAGTCAAAGGGTGCGAAGCGAAAAAGACGCACATTGTGACGCGCTCTCAAAGTCGTTGGGACGGGTCCCATACGAGACGATGTAGTCGCCGAGCTTGATACCGGCCTTGAGCTTCGCCTTAAGGATATCGCACTTGTTCAGGAACAGCACGAGGTCCGTCTTCTTCAGCAGCGGATTCGACACGATCGCCTTCCACAGTAGCACCGAATCGGCCTGCAAAGCGCGCAAGCGATGGATAAACAATGGAGCACAGCACCACACGGCGTTCAGCTGTCAGTGAACCATGCCTTCCCCAGCGGAAAAACTGTAGCACAGACGCACCAAGCGATTGACGTTCACATCCTCGGCAAGCACCTGGTCAAATGCGCTGATAGGGGCCAGAAAGATGATGGCGTTCATGTCGTCGAAAAACGGTACCCATGCGGCTGCATCAAGCAACATTCAGTTCTTTCTGGGGACCTCAGGTAGAAGTAAGTTCTTACCTCGCTACAAGTCGCAACGCGGGAAACGGTCAGCACGATAAACCCTCGCGGAGATGCCAAGAGAAAAGATATACCAATGAACGCTGGCCACCGACGTCGAAGACGCGCCAGTCCGTGCTCATAGTAGAGCCTAGGGGACCTACAAGCGGTGATGGGCTCGAAGAGTGCGCACGTAATGCTGGGCTTTTCAACTGACCCGTTTTCACGGCAAACCGGTACTCCGTCACTCCAAGCGTTTTTAGTCGCGCTCGTAGGATATCATCTGTGTCACAGCTTAGCACTCAATCAACTAGTGGCAGTGAAGCGTCACGTACCATCTGTTGGGATATACCGTGGCGATGTTATTCGGTCGATAGCATCCAGGAAACTAAAAGGCTGTCATTGAGCAACGCGGGTCTCCTTGCCCGACGCGTCGAAAGAAGGACGACAAAGAGGGACACTCACAACCCCGCCATCTCCTCTGGCCGCATCTTCTCAACATCCATGAGCTTGTGGATGGTCGGATCAGCCCACAGCTTGATCATATCTTCGGAACAAGCATGCAGAATGTTGCCCGGGTCGTCCGGATCATCCCAGTCTATCATCATCTCGCTCTCCACACTCTCCCGCCCATTGAATAGGCGGTTGAACGTGCCCTTCCACCGGCTCGCGGAGTTCACCGTGAGCTCCTTGCGCCCGTCTGTCGTGAGACGTTCCGAGTATGGCAAGTTAGTCACGTTCGAGAGTTTGGAGCAGTCATAGCCGTGGATGCCAGAGCCGAGCAGCTTCCGAACAAGGGACTCTTCGACCTGGATGAGCGGTGCCAGCCGCATTTTGAGCTTGAGATGTTCGGCGGTCAGGGTGGGATATCCTCTATCTTTACTGCCACCGGGACTGGTGGCGCCAAGGTTGGCCGTGCTGGGCCGTGAGGATCCATGGGGGGCTTTGCTCATGAGCTCGAGAATGGAGTGCACGGACTGGACGACATTGAGTTGGATGATGGCTCTCCATGAAGCGCGTTCATGACGAAAAGCCTAATAAACAGAGTTAGAGTTGGTGCCCCCGGCTAGTTCACGTGGGGAAGCACCTTTGGCGAGTTCATGAGTTGGAAGTCTGCGAGGCGACGGTCGTCAAGCTTTCACAAAGTCTAAAATTGAGACAAGCAACGTACTTTTCAAGGTGGTGGATTTTCCTGTGGTGTGCCCATTTGAGCAATCGACTACGTGCTAGAGTTATGACAAATACCTGATTCGCTTTGTCCTGGAACGAACGCACATGTTAAGGTTAGCGGTTATGTTAGCGTGTGGGGACGGTGGCAAACCTAGGAGGAGGATCTTTATTGGCTTAGGGGCCTTCTTATCAACTTGGCGCTGGCGAGCGATGTCCTCGTCTATGGCGTCGGACACGCGCTTCGCTTCCTCCTCAGCCTTTATCCGAAGCTCCCGGTCGTGTGGGGATTCATCGAGCGGCGGGGCCAGGACGCGTGCGAGGGGGTCGTCATCGTTTCCTCTAAGCTTCTTAGCTGGCATTGTATGTGAGCGGAGCTCGCGGGAGGGCAAGATGAGTGGGGAGAACGTGGTGGGCGAGCTTGAAAGGGGGGAGGCGAGGACTACGGAAAGAAGAAGGCGGGAAATTGAAGCGAACTCTATCCATCGAAGCGCTAGTTTAAGACCAAGTCAAACCGAGTTATTGATGTACTGATGTTTCGCTTATAGTTATACTACCGTCCTTAACACCGCGGCCGACGTCGACCAGCTCGTGGGACAACATCCCGCACTTGCCGCGGTACCTGTCATCAACTTGCCAATCTGTCAAACCACCTCTCTCCTTGGTGACCCACCTCCCACCATGAACTCGCTCTTTCGCACAAGGACGACTAGCTTCATTCGACCCCAGCCCATATTCAGGCGCTTTCAGAGCACAGCGACAGATGCTCTCCGACGCTCATACCTCTATGGTTAGCACCACCCTCTAATTGTCATGTCATGCCCCTGTTCACCCCACATCTTTGTGATATTGCATCTGTTGCATTGTCTCGTATCCATCAGTCCCTGCATCGACAGACAGGATGCTCGACAAGTCACTCACAAACAATTCCGATATGCTCATATATGATCTCGAGGACAGCGTTCCGCCTTCTCGGCATGACAAGGAGTCCGCTAGGCAGAGGCTCGCTACGTTCCTCTCCGTACGTCACTATACATGCATATATGCGCGTCTCACTTCGACTTCCGCAATGCCATAGACCACTTCAAAGGACAAGTTACCTCACCCGAATCGCGTTGCCGTACGCGTCAATGACCTGAGCACGCCCTTCTTCCAGGGTGACATTGCTGAGCTCGTATGTAGTACACACCGCATACATGCGCATCTAAAACACCCCGAAACTCACTTTGTGCTTAATTACAGCTCAGGCTTCCCGCCATCAGCACAGTCATCTTGCCGAAGATTCACTCCGCACAAGACCTTCATCATGTGTCGCGGGCCCTGTCATTTGCCCGCGAAGGTACGTCCGAGCCTCTCCGAATTGTCGCCAGTATCGAGAGCGCTCGCGCCGCGTGGAACTTGGGAGAAATCTCGGGCTGGCAATCAGAGTATGGATCAGAACGAGGTGGCCAACTTGACTCTCTTCTTGTGAGTGTACCCGACTTCTTGCGTTCGGCATGCCGTATACAGCTGATTGTCGCCCTTAGTTTGCATCCGAGGATTGTGAGCTAGCTGCAGTACTTGTGAGGACATCGTCATGATACGTACCGTCTCAACAGATTGTGCCGACACGTCTGTTATTCGGACGACCTCACGCCAGGAGCTTCTGTTTGTCCGGTCGCAGATCGTTGTGGCTGCCAAGGCACATCGGCTAGGAGCCATTGATATGGTCTGCATAAACTATAAGGACATCGACTACCTCAAAGACGAATGTGAAGATGGCCGGAAACTAGGATTTACCGGAAAGGTCTGACTGTTGGTGTCTTTGGTTCACTCCTGCTTCTGACCGAACGCTATAGCAAGCAATCCATCCTACTCAAGTAGACATCATCCAGTCCACATTCGTGCCTACCGCCAAAGGTGAGATCTCACCTTTCTCCACGACGTCCCCAAACCAGCCCAAACCCCAAAGCTAGAGGCATCTGACCTCATCTGACACTCACTAATTCACTCAGACATCCTCCGGGCTGCAAAGATCCTCCATCAGATGGACATCTCACATTCGAATCAGAAAGGCGCATTTGGTCTCGACATGGAAGGCGGCGGGAGAGAAATGATCGACGCTCCCATGCTAAAGCAGGTGCGTCTTTTTTGCCCACATGCCCCCGTCATGTCAACACTCACGCGCGTGACCACTGCGAATCTGCTCATGTGGGACCGCATTTGAAAGGCCGAGAGTACCATCCGCCTGGCAAAAGCTGCCGGGTTGGACATCCCAGACGTCAGCTCCCAGTGAACGAGCACCATGCAACTTTGAATACTCACTACTGCGATACGTATCCGCATATACTTTCAGCGCCGAAGAGCGCATGAGCGCCGTCGGCATCTCGAATCTCAAATACATATGAAAATCCTCCTCGGGACCGAAGGTGCATAAGGTCCCGTCGCGATCGAGCAGTCAACCTTACCATACAAACGGTACTATGCGGCAATTTGTCGGCGGCCTCCAGCAGCCTGTATCCTCCTGGATCTATGACCGGAGAATGATCTGAGGACGCTTCTCAGCTCGTCGGAAGCTACCCTTACCTCGTTACCGAGCCGACATCTGTCCATTTCCTTGTTTGTGAATCAGAAACTTTCGTGGACACATATCTCACACCCAAGGGAAGTGAGAATCCCGGTACCTCTTCCAAAGTGTTATCAGCGTACGGATTGGTCCTTGCAGATAAGCAGCGGATGTCCTTCGGGACGCGACTCCAGCTTCCTACTTGAAGGATGTCGTCTCAGCGGCTCATCTATGACGCCGCATACCAAGCTGTACGGTGTTCTTTGGCAGCCAGGTCTCCGAAGTTGTCAGCATGGCGGCTAAGTACTTACCAAAGGCCGAATGCTATCAGATGCTATCCAAGTTGTCAACACGGCTAACTACTCACCTAGGGCCGAAGCCCGAGTCGAATGCCATAGAATGCCATCTTGTTTCCTCGCCACGAACGACGTCATGCATAAATATCTCAACTTTCTCAGGGGCTAAAGACGGACCAACGCACCATATCGCGTCGAGCAGCCCATTCCCTTTCTCTTCTCAAGCTACCCACTCACCTCCATCATAGCATTAACGCTACCAATATGGCCCCCGTGAAAAACGGACAGCTCATCTTCAACGAGATTCCCGAAAGTGAACGCTCACCCTTGTGTTGTTCTCGGAGCGCGTCGCTGACATTTTAACGGCACTCACCTCACAGCCTACCCCATACCCGGCAAAACCACAAAGTATGTCGAGAAGGACATCGACCTGGACACCGTCTCCCTGAACGGCGGCTTCCTCGTCAAGGTGCTCGCGCTGTCCTCCGACCCGTATCTGCGAGGCCGCATGCGCGATCCGTCAGAGCCATCCTACATGGTACTGCTGTCCCTTCAGAGATATCCGAAACTGCTTTGTTCGCTGACAACAATATAATATTAGCCGGCTTTCAAGCTTGGTGAACCGTAAGACCGGCTTCTCAGAGCGTATATGCGTTTTTCTTATTTGTGGACGCTCTTTAGGATCGAAGCCCACGGCGTCGCCAAAGTCTTACGGTCTGAAAACCCGAAATTCAAGGTGGGCGACCACGTTGTAGGGGTCATGCGTACGTCTTTGCTGCAACCTTGAGAGGTTTGTTCTGACGGCGGCCGCTCCTCAGCATACGAGAAATACACCATCCTGAAGGATGAGAGCGAGTTTATGGTTGTTGACAACACTGAAAAGCTGAGCTGGACCACCTTCATCGGCGCCGCTGGTATGCCTGGTAAGCTCTGGTTCCTGTTCTCGAGGTATCGCATAAGTGACGTGCTCATTCACCGTCCCAGGCCAAACAGCTTATTATGGCTGGAAAGAACATGCTGACGCCAAAAAGGTATGTACATTCGCTTCCTTCTGATTAGCGACTCGACTCACCCCATGTCGGCACTGTGCAGGGGGAGACCTGTTTTGTAAGCGCAGGTGCAGGAGCTGTCGGGTCGTACGTCGCAATATCTCCCATGATCTTTGAAAGCGCACTCATCTGCGTATCATTTAGGCTTGTCGTACAGTTTGCCAAGATGGATGGCTTAAAGGTCATCGCCTCGGCCGGTTCGGATGACAAGGTCGCCTACCTTAAAGAGATCGGAGCGGATGTCGCCTTCAATTACAAGACCACAAGCACGGAAGAGGTCCTAAAGAAAGAAGGTCCCATCCAAGTGTCAGTGCAGCCCCCATATACATATACATATTCGTATGTTCGTACAGGACTCACGATATAGCCGCTCTTAGGTACTGGGATAACGTTGGCGGACAGACGCTCCAGGCAGCAATTGATTATGCAGACATCGGCGCCCGTTTTGTCGTAAGTCTTGTGCGTTCACTGGTGGATGTTATCTTGAATAACTGGGCTACAGGAATGCGGTATGATCTCTGGATACAACGGAGAACAGAACCCACCCAAGGTGCGTTAGCCGAATACGAACGGCTTCATGTTCAGGGGACTCACGAACGTTTCAGAATATGATGATGATCATCGGCAAGTCGCTCAGGCTGTCCGGGTTCTTGGTCGGCCATCTTCATTATAAGTACAAGGAGGAGTTTTATCGCACGATGCCAAAATTACTAGCCAGCGGCAAGGTCAAGTTCAGAGAGGACATCACAAAGGGCCTAGAAAACGGTGGAGATGCGCTGCTTGCCGTGCAGAAGGGAACGAATGTCGGAAAGGCGATAATTCTCGTTGCGGATGAGTAGAAAAACTGAGCACGCACAACAAGGCCCAAATGGGAAGCCCTGTATAACAAGCACCTACCACACAAGTTTGAGACATGAAAGGCATATACGTGTACATCAGAATAGCAATAATCAGCACTAGTGCTACTGCGTCATCATCCCCATCGCAAGAGCATTGGAACCATATGAGTATGAGTGGCTCGCGCCAAATGATACCACTTATGCCCGAATGATTAACACAATGAGCCCGATATGTGTCACGTCCATGCAGTCGGCCCAACCGTCGGACTCGGACTTCCTCTGCTGTATGCGAGCAATCACTGTTCCCACCAAGTCCGGCAGATCCAGGCGGTCAACGATCCTTCGACTCGTCATAGGTGTAGTGTTGAAGGATGATAGATCGACCGGATAGACGACGGTGACGAGGTACGGGAACTTGTGCGATGGGTGACCCGGGATTTTCTCGAATTCTAATTTCCGGAAGCCAGCCTCGAGGAACCTGCCGTATGCTGGTTCACCGTCTGGGCCAAAGGGAATGTCAATAATGTGGTCGTCAAGAAGGTTTTGTCCGAATATTAGTACTTTGAACGTGTTTTGCTGACCGGTTTGTAAGTTACAAGACAGATAACAGAGGTTTCAAGTGTTACAAAGGTCATACACACCGATTCGGCCATTTACGCAGCGTTTGAGTCGTCGCTGGTGTTGACAATGGGTGTATGCTTGGGCAGGGTGGATAAGAAGTAGGAGATGAGACGGGCAGGCGGCATTCTCATGCTAGATATTGTGTGATGTCTTCCACCCTCGAATGCGGCTGGAAAGGTCAGCAGGTGCAACCTATGGAGATCTTCGACCTGCCAATTCATCGATCAGGACTAGCATCGGACGAGGCCTCCTGATGTCGGTGGGGTGAGTATATGAGATAGACGGAATCACAAGACTATCTCCTAGTAGATCGTGTACGTAGGTTGCCCATGTAAGAGAAGAGAATTGCGTGAAGATCGACACCCACATGATAGCACCGCAGTATACGCGCCTCCAACCCAACCACCCGAGAGCCATGAAGAAACGCACTTATGTATAGTTCTGTGCCACTTGCTGCGGTTTGCTGCTTTGAGCACGTTCTAGCAGTGGCCTGCAGCAACACGAGACAAACCGTCAAATCGAGATGACGGGAGGGCGACAGCCTGTTCAGTGCCCCGAAAGTTTGTTTCTATCACTTTTTCGACAGTGTATGAGACATTGACAGTGGACCATTAGCACAAGAACTACAGGATCAAGCTTTCAAAGAGGCATGCCAGATTGTCAACCCAACAGACGTGGGAATTCCTCGTGGGAACAGCGAACAACAGTCGCGCAAACGGGCCTCTGGGCCAATCAGAATCGACCTGGTCTCAGCCACCACGTCGCGTCAGCTAAACTTCGAAGGTTGCGAGCACCAACAGCGCAATTGGCCCCCTCAACCAATCAGAATCGACCCCAGTTTCAGCCACTACTAACTTTCTCCCAAGTTTATCAGCCATCTTGGAAGCTGCTTGCGTGGACCTGCATGACTGGTGCGAGCTGACAAGCGCTGACTGCTCCCCTACTTGCTGGAGGGCATGTACTGGTTGGTGTTCACGCAAACGCCCCTACGGGCTATCTTGGGCTCTGCGGGTATAAAGTCTCTGGGCACTCATCTACTTCAGAGCAGCTCCGAGTCCACTTCCAGCATCGCATTCCCTCTGCCTTGATTTGCTCCAATTCTTACCACGATGGCTCCTGTGAAAAACGGTCAAGTTATACTCAACGAGGTTCCCAAAGGTCTTCCATATCCATACTTTTTTGGTACTAGGTGTTTACTCGTTATCCAGCGGGAATCATACCAGGACAGACGACGGTCTATCGGGAAGAGAACCTGGACATCGACGCCACTCCGCTGAATGGCGGATTCCTCGTCAAGACACTCACATTCTCTATTGATCCTGTCATTTTTGGTCGGATGAAGGGACCCCCTCCTTTTGTAAGTGGCGATCAGCTCGCCAGAAATGTCAGCGAAGGCTCACGCGGTATCATGCTCTACATAGGGTTACACACTAGGCGGACCGTAAGCATGAATGTCCGCATTCCTTTGTGCCATCTCATTGATGCCAATATGCCAGCATCAACAACCTTGGCGGCGGACGCGTTTTACGATCAGAACATCCTTCATTCAAGGTTGGCGACCTTGTAACTGGAATGATGAGTAAGTGCTCCACGTCTGTTGCTATTGCATAGACTTAGGGATGGGCATTCTCAATCAGACTTCGAGGAATACGTCGTTGTCCCTGCCGCTCAAGCCTCTATGTTCGAGACTGTTGACTCAAGCATAAGCCTCTCAGCTCGTATGGGCGCGGCAGGTTTATCTGGTGCGTACTAAAACTCTCAAACGCCAGTAAATCTGACTGACATCCGGTACTGCAGGCAAAACCGCTTACTATGGCTGGAAGGCGTACGCACCTCCATCGTCCAAGGTCTAACATATCTTAGCCTCTTTATGAGTCAAAATGGCTAATGCCTTTGCGATAGGGCAATGTCTGCTTCGTCAGCTCAGGTGCCGGTGCTGTTGGCTCGTAAGCGGTCCCATCGCCGTTGCAATCACATTCACAACTTACCTGCCCGATTCAGTATCGTAATCCAGCTCGCAAAACGCGATGGGTACAAGGTCATAGCGTCCGCGGGAACCGACGAGAAGGTCTCCACGATGAAGGATCTCGGCGCCGACGTCGCATTCAACTACAAGACCACCGCCACCAAGGACGTCCTTGCGAAGGAAGGGCTTATCAATGTGTACGTTGAGTCATTTGAAAGAAAAAACTGCTGACTCCGAATTCAAACTGTAATGCTCTTAGGTACTGGGACAACGTTGGCGGCGCGACGCTTGAGGCTGCCATCGACGCCGCTGCCCCTCGCGCCCATTTCATAGTAAGCGTTCATCTCCGTGTCGCGTCTCATAACCTTCTGAGTGCGAGTTTGAACCTCCCAGGAATGCGGCATGCTATCCGGCTACCTCGGCGAATCATACCACATCAAGGTACTCTTCCACCCAACCTGCTTTACTGCCATTCCTTTTATGCTCACGTTGCCTTCCCCAGAACCTATTCATGACGATCCCCAAAGAAGTTCAACTGCACGGGTTTATCGCCGTGGGCTGGATGGAAGAAAACTGGGGCCGCGAGTTCAGGGAGACTATGCCCAAGCTGATCGCCAGCGGCGAGATCAAGTACAAGGAAGAGCTCATCAAGGGGCTCGACAAGGCCGCAGAGGCGGTCACTGCGCAGCTAGAGGGAAAGAACGTCGGCAAGCCTGTGCTTATCGTCGCAGACGAGTAACTGTAGCGGCGCTGAGCGGCAGTAGTGTATCGTAGGCTTTCTGCTCGTGTAAATGATCCCTTACCAAGTTATTGGAAACTTGGTGTTCGTTCAATGAAAGTCTCCTAGTTCATGACCAAAACAGAACACTTGTTATTGCATCATTTAACAGTAACCCGAGTAATAACTCTATAGAAAAAGCACGAGAATAAAAGTCCAGACCTGCCAACCATCAAGTGTAGAAAATAGCACATCAGAAGTAAGGTCCGGTATCAAGTTTCAACATCGAATGCACAGCAGTCCTTAGAGTTCATTAATCACATCGCGACATCAAGAAGCCGGCCTTTATTGGTACTGGATAGTGACATCGCTGCCGTCAATCGTCGTCTGAGTGAGCTGCTGGCCATTCTGCTGGATATCGTACACAGTCGCGCCGGAGGGGCTGACGGACCCCGAGCTAGAGGTGGCCGACGCCTGGGAGAACGTTACAGTGCCGAAATCGGCGAAGGGAACCAGGCCACCGTTCTCCTCAAAGTCTTCCACAATCCACTCCGCATCCTGCTCGCAGAGCGCCGACGACGACGTCAGGTCCTGCGTCACCTGCTGGTTCTGCGTCGTGTTCTCAATAACAGCCGTGCCAGAGGTGGTCGATGTCGCGGTGACGGTGACGGTAATGACATCTCCGGAGTTGATGGGGAAGTTTTGGAAGTCAACAGCTCCAGCGGGGTACCACTCGTACCAGGCTAAAGATAAGAAAACAGGATAAGCCCCGCTTGTTTGGCAAGTCAAATTAACACGAAAGGACTCGCCATCATACGTGCCATCGGCGTTAAAGTCAACACCGGTCTGGAGGATGGCGTTGCCGCACGAGGCACCGTCAATGCCGACCCAGGCTGAGGCTGAGGAGGAGCCTGAGCCCGACGCGGTGGGCACAGTGAAAGTGCCAGTCACGGACGTGAAGGTACCCTATAAAGATGCAGGTGCGCAAGCGTCAAATGACGCGTTTAGTACGGTGACGCGTCCAGGTCCGACGAAGACGCTAACCTGGCCCTCGCTCCAGACGGCGCCAGCCCAGTTAGTAGTGAACGTCTCCTGGGTGACGTTGACAGCAGCGACGTCGAATTTGGAGCTTTGTGAGCTTTGTGGAACCGCAGGGTGAGACAAGTGGTTGCGGACACGACGGGCATGGCGGGCGGCACGACGCTCGGCTGAGGTAGGAATGGCAATAGCGACCGAAGCGAGGAGGAGGTTGGCTAGGATAGCAAAGGCGTACATGGTGGCTCGGGCTGATGCGGGAGAAGAGGGCTCTGAGGATGTCGACGAGGGTTCGCAAGTTGCTGGCTTAAATGGAGAACAGGTTCATGAAGCTAGGCCTATTTATATGTGTCGGAACAGCGACCAGAACGCGTCACTTCGCACACAAACACAGAGATTGGTATATGGGTGTCCATACTAGTCAGCAGGGGATCGGGAATAAGATTCGTGATGGAGCAGTCCCGAGGCAGCGTTGATGCTGTGTATAGTGAGTCGCAGCGCAGTCGAGAGTTAGGCTGAACCGCCAGTACTAAGAGTATGGCAAACATGGTAAAACCTCAGGAAACCTAAGACACAGAGTTACTTTCAGGCGGTGAAGGTCAAGACACTAGACAACTGGGATACGTACCGTCTGCCAGCCCTCGGCCTCAGCGCGATTAGCTGTGAAGCAACCCTAGACCTAGTCTCCTTTTTGCAGCCGTGTTACTGCGCTTCACCCTAGACCCTCTTAGATCTCCACAGATTGTATAGATGATTGGTTGCGCTGTGCCTCTTCGCACATCTTCGTTTAAACGCTTTTCCATCGTAGGTCGCGACTACGATGGTACCTACTAAAATGATTCAGGGAGCCAGCCAATTGTATACAAACGCTGTCCATGGATGCTTCGCTCGCATTACCGTCGGACTGCCACAACGTTCGTACTCAAAACTTGAGCTATTCCTATGCTGAGGGGGGTAAAAGCTGAGCGTGAGTTTGCAGAACGCTGTGCATGATTGAATTTGTCTGTTGAGTCACAGTCGTGTGGTCTGCCTAGGCCTGTCCAAAAAATGAACTTGCTAAATTATGGAAGACTGATACATGATCATCACAGAAGTTGATCAAACCCCCGCAGAAAGCAAGCGAATGGAATATAGCTTGTGCTTGCACCGCCCTACGAAGCGGCTGCAGCACCGGATGATCCTACAGCTTTCGGCATCTTCTTCTCTCCCGTGGTCAAAGTCTCGATATCCGCAGCCTTGAAATAATGCGGTGCCACTGCAAGTCGCCAATATGGTTAGTGAATGCGATTTACCCAATAAGGGAGGACAATGCCTACCTTCCATCAGCCACGACGGCTTGATTTCCATAACTTGCCGCATATACGATTTGGACGTCATCACGAGCTCGTAGTAGATCATTGTCTTCACAGGCGGCTGGTGCTGGAACAGACTACTCGACGGATGAATGTGCACCGTATGATGCGTCTTCATCGTTCTGTACGAGTCCCCGCTCTTCTGCAGTTGCGCAGCGTTGTAAAAGTACCCGGACGTAATCGCCTTCTGCACAGGCGTAATGTCGTTTGAATTCGGATTGCTCTGCACGGCGATCTCAACTCGTTCGCACAGCCCTGCAAGCTGGTCCCGGATATCGCGAGCGCGCGAAAGCGACTTGAATTGCAGGAACTGCTCGTAGCAGAACTGTTGCGAATAATTCGTGTCTGCCCACTGTTCCCACACGTTCAGCAGAGTGAAGTGATCGCCACCCGCACGGATAAAGTTCTGCCGGGCCTGGTCCGCATGCATCTTCTTGTCTTTTGGACGGTAGAATATTGATGATGATTCTTGCAACATCGAGATGATCGTGAGCACCTGTGAGAAATTGATGACTTAGTCAAGTTTTTCTTTCGACCATTTCCGAAAATACACACCTCGTCAGTACATGAGTACTCTTCACTTGCAATGATGGCCTTCGACAACATCGGATCGACGGGGAACTCTGCCATCCGCCGTCCTAGTTTCGTCAGCTCACCACGGTCATTGAGCGCTCCCAGGGCATACAGCAATTCCAGCGCACGGATAAGGGTTTCTCCTGGTGGCGGATCCATAAAATCGAAGTCCCGGAAGTTGTTGATCCCCAAAGATTTTAGCACGAGGACAGTCATGCCTAAATTTGTCCGTTGAATTTCAGGTACAGTGTTCTCCTCGAGCTCGTTCGCGAACGCCCACTTGGTATAAAGGCGGAAGGCTTTTCCGGGTCCGACACGACCTGCACGACCCGCTCGTTGGTTGGCTGAAGCACGAGAGCACTAAGAGAAAGAAAAGAAAAAACAAGACGTTAGTATATTTAAAATGGCACAATACGACCACTAGACATACCGGAACGACAATCAGCGATGACATCCCTGTCCGCGGGTTGTACGAGTTTTGCTTGACGAAACCAGGATCGATGACAAAAACAACGCCGTCAATCGTGATCGATGTTTCGGCAATGTTTGTGGCCAGCACGACCTTCCGAGATCCTTCTGGCGTTGGCTCAAAGATCTTGGCTTGCATATCGCTCGGAAGGTTCGCATAGATAGGACACACTAAAAGCTCCGCAATTTTGTTGCCTAGAGCTCGAGCAGTCTCTGACAAATTTTCCTGCGCAGCTTCAATCTCATCTTGACCCGTCAAAAATACGAGGATATCTCCGCGAGGCTGGGTGGTGTGGATCTGGAAAACGGTGGTGATGGCGGCATGAAGATAGTTGGCTTCCGGTTGAGGGGTGTAGTGAATGTCGACAGGATACCGACGACCAGGAACTGTTCGTCAAAAAATCAGCTACTTAATCCACCAGTCTATACATATCTTGCTCACCATAAAATACAGGTGCATTATCAAAGAAATCGCTGAATTTCTCGGCGTCCATTGTAGCAGAGGAAATTAGCAAACGAAGCTCGGGGCGGAAACGAGCAATATCCTAGTGCAGAAATTTGTCAGATTTTTTCCCCCTAGACACTAGGAGATTCACGTACCTTAACCAATCCGAACAGAATATCGGTGCTGAGTGTCCGCTCGTGAGCCTCATCAATAATGAGCGCCGAGTATCCCGCCAAGTCGGGTTCTGTCAAGAACTCTCGAAGAAGCATACCATCCGTCATGTACTTGAGCACAGTTTTGTCGCTTGTACAGTCCTCAAACCGAATGGTGTAGCCGACCTCGTAGCCAATCTTCGTGCCCATTTCATCAGCAACACGAGCTGCGACCGACATGGCGGCGACACGCCGAGGCTGGGTGCATCCGATTTTCATGCCGCCCTCCGTGTATCCTGCTTCATGTAGATACTGCGGGAGTTGCGTGGTCTTCCCTGAGCCTGTCTCGGCGACAACAATAAGAACCTGATGCTCTTTTATTGCCTCGAGGAGTTGCTCGCGGTACGTATAGATTGGCAACGACTTGCGAGTTTCGTCCATGGATTGGGCTTCAAACAAGTTAGCTCAGATTGTCGAATAGTCTTGTGATGCATATACTCACCTCGTTTCTCAGCTTCTTCAACCTGCTGCATGAGAAGTTTGTCCGCCGCACTCATTGTGTTCTCCCCCTTCATGGTAGATTCCATAACGAACTTGATGGTCTGGCTTTCATCGAACACATACTCGTAGTCGTCCACTACCTCGGCTTTATCCATCGCGCCCATCTTGAACGTACTGTGCTGCGTCTGACTCGCCTCCCACTGATCGACATCAGTGACAAACTGGTCGTCTTTGGGCTTGGCCTCCTCGTACCGCTGATAGAGAGCATCATGCTTCTTCTTCTTGTCAATCTTGCCCTGCTCCGTGATGTAGTCCTCCGGTAGTTGGTATCCATCCCACGTGTCGCTAATCTTGAGCCGCTCCTGAACGAGCTTAAGCAGCTCCTTCTTCCGCTCGAGTTCCCGCCGCTCGCGTTTGGAAACTTTCATTCCATGGAAGAGCGCCTCATCGTCCTGAATCTCCTTCTTGAGCAATTCAATCTGCTGCAGCTCGCGCTTCGTCAGATATTCCTGGCGTGAGTGGACCCGCAGACTGGGCATCGCCTTTTCGCGCGCCTCTGAGTCGTCAGCAAGCACCCGCCGCTGGGCAGCCTCCGCGGCGTTGCCCGAGTTGCGCGACGAGCGATCCTCGATGACTTTCTTCGTCCGGTCCAGGTCGCGCTGCTTCATCCGCTCTGCGAACTCATCTCTCTCCTTCTGGTCCTGCAGTCGCTCGCGCTCCTTCCGCGTCTCCTCGTCCTCCTCGGGCAGGTCATCCATGTCCGCGCCGTCATCGTAGCTGCCAGACGGGCCGGCGCCATATTCATCCTCCATTCGCCTGCGCTTGGCCGCCTTCTCCTCCTCGTCGCTCTCCCACTCCTTCCCATCATAGTCTCGTTTCCGGAGGTGCCTGTCGCGTCTGTCCCCCTTATCCGCCTTCCGCTTCTCCTTCTTCAGCTCCACCACATCATTTGAAGGCCCGTCGTCAAGCAAAAAGCCATACTTTTGAGCGGTGAGGGCCTTGGCCTCCTTCTCAGTTTGCCGTCGCGCAGCGTCATCGGCGGAGCGTTTGTGTTTGCTTTTCCGCGGGACTCGGTCGTAGAGTTGGGTAATGAAAGCGTGGGCATCAGGAGTGTTGGGTAGTCCAGAGGCAGAGAGAGAAGAGAAGAGCGCGTCAGCACTTTTCGATGTAGATGCTGGCGTACGAGAAATGGTCAGCCTTCGGGGTCGGAAGGGATCGAATGACTTCACATACCGGAAGCCTGGACGAAGTCTACGATACTTCGGTCAGCAACGCCAAAGAACTAGAGTTAATATGTCAGCTTATAGTAAGAATACTAAGCAAGCATACTCACCCGAACGCAGTTGTCGCTAATAAATCGGCCAAGGTCAGCCATAGAATGCTCGAGGGATGCGACACCGTCACGGTCTGTGCTGTTCTGTGCACAATTCCCCAAGTCAGCCATTGCCTCCGCGGGACCGGTTCTGTTGGGCTTTGTTTACAAAAGCCCCTAACATGAGCTTCATGTCTGTTCGCACTTACAATTCCAGAAGAAGAGCCAACAGCGGAACGCATATTCACATATTTCCCTTGGATAATTGGTATCGGCTAACAAATCACATTGATAATAGTCGACTAGCTAGTCCACCAAGTTACTGATAATTCACATCGTATCTTACATGCTGTTAGGCTTCATCCAAGCTGCATCTACTGGTCCGCGACAACAATCACCGCCTTCGCAACGTTCGTGCCCTTCTGGACAGACACAACTGCCTCGTCACCGTTCTCCAATCCACGCGTGACGTCTTCTCTGAAGTTTATCTCACCGCTAGCGAGCAATTTCGGCATCGCAGCCTGGAACTCCGCCACGTATTTGTCCCTCAAGCTGTTCACAATGAACCCGTTGATCCTGAGCTCCTTCTGGATGATCATCATAAGGTTCTTTAAAGAGAGTTAGCTGTCATATTCGCTCTGGTAAAAAGCAAGGTTCACCTTGACGGGGTAAAACTGGCCGTTGTAGCCTGAGATCATCCCACATTCCTAGGATACGTGAGCCAGCCGTCCCGTACCATCAGCGCAGTAGAGCACTCACGATAAAACGTGCGTGTTGGTTCGCTGTTCCAATAGCGGCCTCAAGCGTCTCGCCGCCGACATTGTCCCAGTACCTGTAACCAGTCGACTTAGTTCACTAACAAACGAGCAAAGCAGAGGTGTTTTACACGTCGATAGGACCCTCCTTCTCTAGGACTTCCTTCGTATCAGTCGTCTTGTAGTTGAACACAACATCGGCACCGATCTTCTTCATATACTGGACCTTATCTTCAGTTCCAGCAGACGCGATGACTTTCAGGCCATCGCGTTTCGCGAGCTGAATGACCAGCGACCCGACGGCGCCTAAAGTTGTACGCGCTTAGATTAGGCGACATCATAGATCAAGTGTACTCACCGGCGCCGGAGGAGACAAAGGCAACCTCTCCCTTCGCAACATTCAGATGCCACACATCTCCAAGGTACGATGACCACTCACCTTCTTTGCGAAAGCATATTCCTTCCATGCGTAGTACGCGGTCTCGCCGGGCATGCCCGCAGCACCCACATACGTCGTCCATGGCAGGTTTTCAGGCTTGTTTTCAATGACATAGAACTTGTCCGTCTTATGGCAGATCGCATAGTGAGCGTAATCTGCGCAATAAAGTCTGTAAGATGCGCTGGGTAGTATCCAGTCATGTCATATCCACACACCCATAACACCTTGGCAGTAGTCGCCAGCCTTGAACTTCGGGTTCTCCGAGCGCAAAACGAGACCAACGCCGTAGTTCTCGATCCTAAATCAGGGCGTTAGGTACCAGACGACCACGCGACGAGAGTTTGCATACGGTTCGCCGATGGTATAAGGGTCCTAGTAGATGAACATGTCAACACAATTAGGCGGTTTCAAGCAAGATGTTCACGCACGTTGTAAGACTTCTTCGAGGGTTCGCGCATCCGACCACGCATATAAGGATCTACGGAGAGGACGAGGACCTTGACGAGCCATTCGCCAGGCTTGAGGGCGATCGTCTCGGGGTCGATGGTCTGCTCCTCGTACACCATCGTCTTACCCGCCTCGGGGTAGCCTGGGCCAGTACATGATCAGCCAAACCTGCCATAGCTAGGTGTGCCAAGCGAACTAGATCGCACCTTTAGGAACTTCCTTGAAGATAACGCGACCATTCGTAACAGGGGCCATGTCTTCACGTTTTGTTGAGGGGTTTTAAGGGTAGGACGAAAGGATAGATGGGTAAGTTCGATGCTTCTGACAGTGAGAGTACAGATGCGCGGTATTTATACGACGCTCTACAATCGCTATAAATGACGAAATCGTAAAGGGGCACGTCGCATCGGTCCACGGAGGCTCACTAATCTAACCGCCCACGCCTGCTGTCGGTAGTTCGAAGACCTGTTGCGTCGTGAGTAATCAGCGCGTTAGTAAGGCAAAGCCGAAGGTGTCGGCGAGATCATGTTGGTATGCGTTCTCATGTCGTCGAAAGCATCAGTTTACTGGTGTGTCGGCGTCAGGGTACTCGAGCAGTTGGTCGGTAACGGCAACCAACTTCCCCGGCAGCGCTGCCAGTAACCAAACCGGTAGACGATGCTGCGACTGAGCCGGGGACTTACCTCGGCGATCCGGCGAGCTAACGCAAGTAGCTGCACAATCAGCAGGATGGGTCGAGAAGTCGAATCCGAACGTTTTCAATTGGCAATGTCGAGCCTTTGTTGTGTATGTTATTCAAATATGTGCGCAGATACAAGCTATCGACCATGTGGACTGCACCGTACGACGTCATAAAGCTTAAAGCCATTGCATTGGACGCCGATCCTTCAATTGGAAACAACAAGCACCCAAGCAAGAGCAGAAAACACACTTCTCGATGCCAAAGTCGCCAAGGCCCTCTAGCATAGAAAATGATCTCGAAGATCAACGAAAGCAAAAAATAGCATGTGCTGCAGCCAAAGAGTAGTCTGAATCGAGTTGGGCGCCTCGGTACGAGTCCTCGACGCCCGCCGCGAATTGCACTCAAGGGGCACGCGTCGTCCTTCGCTGCAAATCATAATGCTCCTCGAGGGTGTGCACCTGTGTATGCGAGATCCAACAGCGTCCCCGAACCCCACAACGACTTCCAAGCCCACGAATCCACGAGCCTCCCGACCACATACACCGTGACCTGTGAAAGGTCCCAGCGGATACCAGCCGATCTTGGGCGATGGAGTGGATGGTGTACGTTTTTCTGATTCGTTGCCCGACGCGTTAGCGTCGTGCCCAGCGAGGGCATGCGAAGGAGATTGTAATACTCAGACCTTAGCCCGCTCGTGAAGGTGGATCTCAAACGGAGAGAGTTCCTGTGTGTGACGAGCCTCGCGGCCTTGAGACTGCAGCATGCTAAAAATCAACAAGAGTTTGGAATCCATATCTGTTGTCGGAGAACGCCGAGATTTGTCTCCCACGTAGCTGATGATGTCATGAAAAGCCCCTTTCTCTTGCTCAAGGCGAAGATGGGGTGTGGTATGCACATAAGAATGTGATCTTCCGGGACATCATATCTCATAAAGCATATGGCTTACACTTCACTAAGACACAAAGCTAATTGTACACACATGTCCATCATACAGGAGGGCCTCTTTCACGCGATCTGAACCTTTGTCTATCATGATGATCAGGAACAAGAGAAACTAGGCATCGAGATGTTAACCTACCTTGTAAAAAGCGATATGATCCTTGATGTGAGCCGCCTTGTCAAAGGGCTGAGGGTAGTACCTTGAGGATGCTCAATGGAAAGTACTTTGCGCCTATAGCAATTGTACCTACCACGCAACGTCTTTGACAGCATCTCCTTTGACATTCACATTGTAATACTTTGCATCACTACAGAGTATCAGCTTGAGAGCGGGTTGATATGATGATGAAATCGTACCCTTTCCAAGGGCAATGAGTCCTAGAGACACGCAGTACATCGGTTGGGATAACATCGGTGCATATATGCAGTAAAGACGTACGTTGTGTCCGAGTCCATAAAGAGCTCGTTCTTGACCGACTCGGGAGGGAAGTAGTAGTTCCCTTCCACCACGGGAGGATTCGGGTGCTCAGCCAAGACGATATCGTTCAGAATGACTTTGGGCATTGTTATGGGATGCGACGGGGCGGAAAGAAGGATGTTTGTCTATGCTTTATCATGTGTTCTTTTTGGATGCCTGCATTTATACTAGCCTCCCGCACGTGCGCCGTCCTGTGAGTACTTCTGCATCAGCTTAGCAAGAACTTGGTCAGCATCGGGCATGGCCCTATCTTCGAGAACCACACAACCACAGTCTCTCTCAGCGAAAGTGGCTGTCTCAACAGCATTTTTGCATAGCACAGCGACAAGGTTCTAGTAGCGGAGTGATGAGTTGGCTATAATGAAAGTTATAAATATTACAAGTTTTAATATTACTGTAAGTAGCACGTATTTTTGCTTCGGGCCGTAAAAGTCCGTAATAGAACGGCACTCTCGCCGGCATCTTCGTCATCAAACCAAAGCTCCCAGATTTGAGGAGCATGAGCTTCGAGCATCCTGACTAGCTACAGGCACATAAACGGCCCGTGTTAGAGGTTTCGACTCATTCGATCGATGGCGTTCAACGGAATTCATGGGTAAAGCGGACGCGTACGAACCCCAATATTGATCTTATCAGATATTTGTTTGTATTGTGCGGAGGTCGGCGGAGCCCGGGACAAGGTTCCGACTCCCCCAACCAACCGTAAGCGAGTGCGGTGATGCCATGTAGAGTACTTGCCGCGTACAGTAACGGGCTTAGCTTAGTTCATCACCGACCTCCATCCTCTCCGGCCTACACCGCCCACCTTCACTCACACTATAACATCGACGACGATTGTCCAGACGGCCGGAAGCAGCATCCCCCGCTTCGCGGGGAGAAGAGATGCAATCAGGCAAACCGAAATGGACAGCGAACAGCATGATCGGTGCGTCGAGTCCTCTCGTGATAAGTCAGACGACCGAGCAGGTCGAGACTGAGGATGCGCAGCTGGGGCAGGTGGCGGGTTCGTAGCCAGCATAGCGACCTGTCCGCTCGATGTCATCAAAACCAAACTGCAGGCCCAGCGAGCGAGTCATGGCCAGTACGGATATCTCGGCGTGTGGGGTAAGCCCGCACATGACTCATCAACTTCCCGTGTCTGAACGTCATTTTACACTAGGGACCGTCAAATCAGTCGTTGTTCATGACGGCTTGCGCGGGCTCTATCGTGGTTTGGGGCCAACAATACTAGGGTATCTTCCGACATGGGCCATTTACTTTGCAGTTTATGATGGCATTAAGACGCGATTCGGCGAATCTCCCCTTGGCGAAGTTCATATCGAGGAAGAAAGAAAGAGAGACCGCTTGTACCCCGCAGCTCAAGCTAAAGGATATCAGCCTTTTGCACGCGAGCACACATGGGCCGTGCATATTTTGTCTGCCATGACAGCTGGTGCAGCTAGTACCGCTTGCACTAATCCACTCTGGGTAATCAAAACAAGGTTTATGGTGCGTTTATGATACCTTGATACCACATATTTTTCTTACATTTTTCCTAGACCCAGTCTCGAGGAGAAGTACGGTATCGTCATACGGTAGACGCGGCCACGACTATCTATCGCAATGAAGGTATACGCGCCTTCTACCGCGGCCTACTCCCCAGCCTGCTTGGCATTACACATGTCGCCATCCAATTCCCGCTGTATGAGCAGCTGAAGTTATGGGCTCGTACGTATCATCCTATGTCAATATCACTGGTCGCTTATCAGCCAGCTGGTGTGCGCTTTGCGAAACAGAGAGCCGCTCGCCTGAGCCTATTGGCAGCGACGCGATACTCCTTTGCTCTGCGATAGCTAAAATGACCGCCTCAATAGCGACCTACCCTCACGAGGTCATCCGAACGCGTCTGCAGACCCTAAGTTTACCTCTTGCGGCGGATGCGTCGTCCGACGGGATGATCAAGGAGCATGTAAAACGGGGTGTCGTTTACATAACCAAGAAGATCATTCAGAAAGAGGGCTGGGCGGGTCTTTACAAGGGACTCTCCGTTAATCTCTTCAGAACGGTGCCAAATAGCGCCGTGACGATGCTGACGTATGTCCCTTTGTTCTGTGATGAGATGCCTCTAATGTTTGACCTGGATGCAGATACGAACTCTTGATGCGAAAACTTTCGTCGCGCTAGTCATGAGTCGTCCAAAGATTACCTTTCTTTATTCGAGCCTCGCGCATGATAGGACTACTGCGTGTCAGCCCAAAACAGCTATACCTCAATCGAGGGACCTGTCCGCCCATCAAACCACCGAACTACCTCGCAATCTTATACACCCGTATGTCTACGCTACATACCACCAATACTTCGACTTGTCCACCCTGCAAGAAGCATAATATCGTCCGCAACGCTTAGAGATATATTGATAAGCCGTCTGTATATTATCACACTCTTTCGCCGTTTATCTTGTGCACTGTTCATATTCAGCAATCAATCTTCATGACATCTGTTCTTCGCGCGTGTCTTTCACCGGTAGCATTCGACACTTACTTCCGTCCCTTTCTGGCTGTGCATCTCCAGAACGATGCTCATGTCCCTTACGGCAGCTGGACGCGAAACGAGGCCTCATCGCGATGCGCCTGCCCAGGTAGTTCTAAAATCACATGTGCGAATAATTTGATTCCGTCCAGCTTCTCCCTGGGCTCAGGGCGCTCAGGGGCTGGGGCTCAGGCAAGGAAGCTTGAGTTGGATGGAGCAGGCTCGGACGTATATGAAGTATGCATTTGTGTCCAAAGAAGCTGAAGGCTCGAGTTATTCTGTCCCCCAAACGTTCCTCAACGTCTAGGTCTTCTGACCTTGCCTTCTATAAAAATTTCCTCGAATGCATGCGCCTTGTCTTCTATGTTCTTCAAACTATAGTCAACTTTCCGGAGGAGCCCCTGGAATTCATTGGCGTTGTTATCATCCTCGAGTCCTATGTTTAAACCAAGAGTTACGTGATGAGTCCCCTTAAACATGTTCAAACTCGTTGCTCAATGCACCGCGACCGTGTGTCCCAAGCAAAGGTCTGCTAAACTAGACATAATTAATAACGCCACCCACCACACCTCGATGGAACGAGAAAGGTGCAGACGCAATTCCTCTCCTTGCCTACCGCTCAACAATTCACCGACAGGCAGTGAGCGCTTCTCCTGGCCATTCATTGCTGTAACCTTACTACAATCCTCCAATCGACTGCTCTTCGTCGACGCCCTCAAATTCAAAAGCCACCCCGGGCCATTGTCAAGAACCAAACACTCCGTTAGCGACTGTATCATGCATCATGATACTGCCTGTCCAATCCAAAGCAACAACCTCGACTCCAGCTTACCATTGGAGCATCTGCATCAAAGCCCAGTAATTCCGCCGCTGCAGGTACCGGTTAGTCCCAACAGTGGCAATCGCGGGTTGCTCGGTGAATCTCGTCCTCGGAGTACTTCCCAAGCTTCAGCTCCGTTCCCAAGCAAGCCCTGCGGAACGGCCAGACAAGCCCGCCAGCCCAGCTCTGCCCAGCTCATCCTCGGCTGCTATGCTCTGCTACCCGCGAGTGGCTGCTGATGCACTCGCCGTGGCCGTTGACAGTCGGGCCGAATCATGAATGGGGCACAGGGGCAGACCTGATAAAAGCGCGGACAGCGGTCTCCGGGGCCCTCGCCGCTCACCCGCGCGCCGACGGTCTGCCGGCATCAGCCTAGACCGCGACCCCATTGGTTGCGTCACGACTGCAGTGGCTGAAGGCACCACATGGCTTCCAGCTGCGTAGTAGCACCGACATCACAAATCAAGTCTATATGTATAGCGAAAAAACTACCTACTATTGATTGATACGAAACGAAGAGAACAAAACATCGAGGGCCCCCCAAGAAAGAGAAGGGATAACAGTCCAATACGAGTCCTTACAGTAGTAATGGGAAGCCTATGTGACATATGCAAGTCAACGCTACAAACAGAAAAGACAATGCTTTCGCACTGCTAAATTATCGAGAACAAGAGTCCTGGGAACGCGAACAGCGCACTGCTGCCATTCGTGACGATTGATGGATGACGGGTGTATTAGAGGCGAGGGCTCTTCTTCATACGGTATCCGGGCGAGTAGCGGCGTACTACTTTAATAGTGTTCTGAATCGCGCCTTGGCCTCTCGCCTGGCAGATCCGTATACATAGGATAAGGTAAGGAGCGTGGGAGGTGCGAGCATGGGCTGGACGAAAGGACGAAGCGAAGTGTGGCTGGAGGGGGTGATCGATGGGAGGGGAATAGGGAGATGTCCTGGCGCGTATCGAACTACGGGGGTTGACATAGGTAGAAGTAGAAAGAAGGGCCCATTTGCTGCGACACCAAGTTTGAGAGTGAGGATCAAGTAATAGAAGAGAGTAAAGGTCCAACTGAGCACAGAAAAGCGGGATCTGGGATTAACCAGGGTCCGCCAAAAACGGTATGAAGAGGCCAGGCTTGGTGTAACGATAAGCACCCGCGCAAAAAGGTATAAGAGTGTGGACTGGTAACAAAAAAAGACGTCAGAAAAGCGGGTGCGAAAGATAGTGAGAAAGCAACGGATGGAAAGGTGGTTGAAGAACCTGGGTGGGATGAGTAGTAATAGATAAAGGTATCCGGAGTGATAATGACCAACGATGAGGACCAGTATACAAATAATGTAGAAGGAAACGGATGCGCACAAGGGAACCGGTGACTAGTGGTGTTCCGTAGTTGTATCGCCAGCATCGCTCAGCGTTTCCACTCTGACTCCTCTTGATGATCCGACACTCCGAATGTCTCGACCTTCTTCAGCCAATTCCCGGTTCATAATATCGTCCTCGCTTCGATCCTCCTGGGCATCGGGACTCTCGCCTTCTTCAACAGGGTGCCCAGCAAAATCCGGTTTTCGGAGGGCTTTTCGGAACGCGTCGGCCATAATTGCTGCATCCGCTCCTGAAAAGGGACCGTCGCCAGCGGAATTCGCGTGCGATGTGACGGATGCACCATCTGGTGAGACAACTGATGGAGCGCGGTGCTGTTCTGAGGAAGCGCGACCTTGCGTCATGGCCGCCCCACCTGCCCCGGCTGCCAATAAAGGAGACTGCGGTGAATGCTGGTTATCCACATTTGCCATCATCGGCGTCGACGAACCAATCGAGCTCCGTGGCGACCGATTCCGTTTGCGCATTCGTCTTGAAACCAGCCAGACGAGGATGCCACCAACAAGAAGGGCAAGGAAACCCAAGACCACGATCACAGCAATCGCCCAAGCAGGGAAGCGACTCCCCCCATTGTTTGATTGGACGTTGCCGGTGCCCGATGGACCCGAAACACCTGGAGGTAGGGATCCAATGGAGCTAAGGCTAGCTATGCTTGCCGTCGAGAGAACTGACAACGAAGATATTGACGCGACAGATGCTGTCGAGATCGACGACTGGAGACCGGTCGATGTTGCCTCCATAGATGATATGACCGAGTCGGCATACGTTGTTTCTATCAAGACATGAGGAAGGGAAGCCGGGTAATCAGTGCACACTTACGAAGAGCTTGGAAGGTAGGATTCGTGTGCTGAGTACCATCCAACCCGTTGGGTCCCGTAACAACGAAATAATAGTAATACGAGACGTTTCCACCGGTTGGTGTCCACGAAGACCCTCTCGAACCAAACCAGGTGTCATCAACAAGGAAAGTAGCCACGCCGGCAGTGTTAGTTGGATTTGCCACGCTGGTGGAGGACGCAATCACAGTCTCGCCACTGTTGTAGAGGTACACATTGACGGTGTCCAAGTATTCGAAGTTGGTGAGCTGAGGTAGTCGGTTGTTCCCTAGAATGAAGGGGGTTACGAAAAGCATCATAAACAGTGAGCGTATACGCACAGACGACGGCAGCATACTGGTGCTGAAGAACGACAGAACTATCATCGGGAAAGCATGTCCACTGGTCGTTGGGGACGCTGTTCGTACACTGCGTGCGAGCGGCGGCTGGAAGGAATTATGGAGGATGAAAGACAGGAGCTCGCATACGACTTACCAACTTCGTCAGACTCAGAAACAGCCTGACGTTTCCAAGCGGATGATCCCTCTGCTACGTCAACGGGTGACCGAGCGGCATTCGGTAGCGGTGGTGGTGTTGCTGCTGGCCACGGCGAATCGAGAACAGGGTGTGAGGCCATTGCGAGGCCAGGTCGAAGGTAGATACAATGACTCTAAGGACGATAGCGGGGAAAAGAGAACACGGAGGAGTGGAAACTGAAGGGAAGATTGATACGATGAACTTGAGGAACGATCACGGGGGGAGCCGAAGGCGGCGAAGGAAGGAAAGTGAGTGTCGTCGCCTTTGTTTGCAGCGTCGACAAGGACGACGGCGATGCGTGACAAGGGCGTGCACGACGGCGACGACAACGGCGGGGAGGAAGGGAAGTGGGACGGTGAGCGACAAGTCCCACCTAAGTCGTTGCAAGTGCCTAAGCCCGCAATTCTCCCGCGGCCCCCGTGCACCGCCGCTTAAGTAATAAATCTCCTTCGCCAGGACCATCCTGCCCTCCCTGAGAGTCTCTTGACCCAGCCGTTGATCCCCTTTACCCCTTCTCGCACACGCTGGAAAATTTGTGGGCTGTGCACTGCAACGTACCTGCGCTCTCGCCGTATCATTTTGGTTTTTCCCCCTGGGCACAGTGCTCTCTGGGAAGTCCGAGTTCCTGCCAGCTTCCCTGTAGCTCCCGCTCCCAACACGCATCACCACACTGACACCACATTTGGTCCCACCGGCCGACATCGGGCGCAATCACCTTTCGTGGTGCTCCGCTCAAATTGCAGTAGCACGTTACTCTTTTCTGCGGCCATAACCATCATTCCTGAGGTCATTCCTCCGAAGCTACACTACCGCCGACCCCCCGATGAGTCCCCCTATGTTGAAATCGCACCAAAACTACCGCCAAGATGGCTTGTCACAATGGCCGATCACTATCTGGGATAAAACATGACGCCCTCCGCCGTTTCTGCACGCATATGATATCTGGAAATTGACAGTATCAGGGGACCACACTGTGGCGGTAAAGATAGAAGCCATGCTGGTTAACAAGGCACGTCTTGCCTGAGAGGAAACCCATGGATGAATGAACTGTACGCCGATGGCCGTAGTGAGTAGGCTGGTTCCGCAGCTGGAAAGCCCGTATCTAAAATAAGGAACTTGAAGCTGCTTCACAGGTGCAGAGCATGTGCATCGCACGAACTTATTCTTGGACTTTCATCTCGGAGAGCCTGTGGCTTGGTTCCATCGTGTTTCAATTGAACGTTCGGGATGTTACGTTCCCGTCCTCGCGATAAACGAGCCACATCCTCGACCTCGCCATCCTCGTAACCGTGGTAGGTTCAAGTTCGTTGGCCAATGGTTAACGGTCCCCCCGATTCACAGCGGCAACATGAACATCCCTTTCTCAGCCAGACCATAAGGGTGCGGAATTAGTCCCAGTGCTAGAGCCCTTCTGGAAGCGCTCCTCAGATCTTTTGAGAAGCAAACCATGTTTACAAGGATAAATGGTGATCAGAGTACTGAGGTACTTCCGAGAATTCTTTTCCGCGGAAAATGACCGTTAACGTGCACATTATCCACATGCGCAACCAGCGGGCATGACGGGTGAAGGGTACCCATCCCACAAGGAGTTCATGAAGCTCAGACTCGGGCCCGTCAATGGAAGGAATCTGCGGGGGCCTCGACGAATCGGCACTGTCTGTACTTCATCCTGGGCAACTTCTGATGAACCTTCAAGGAAGCCAATCCCGCCGACCTCGGTCCAATACGAGGACTCGTGATTGCGCCGGAGATTATGATAGGGCTTTAGAGTTTGGTATTGAATAAGAGAGCTCGCAGGGAGCTTTCAGCTCGTGACGAACGCACGTCTTCGGGACATGTGGATGAAGTAACAATCAACGTCAGGAGCTTATCTATGACGGTATCTGAAGGAAGGAGAGATGCTTTAGGTACTATGTAGGACTCGAGAAGGACAGAAGTCGTCCAATGATAATTGTTTCAAGCATACAGTAGGAGCAATTGACCCAGACCAGTAAGATGGGCGGTGACTGTCGTATTGGCTCCGGCGCTAATTCTCCCTTCGCCTGTGCGTGTTGCTGCTACCAAGTCCCAATCCAAGACCTTGACGAACGACAGACACGACGTCGGCGTCCGTATCAATGTCATATTGAACAAACAAAACGTTATACAACTTGTTATCTGCAATGGAAAGCCAGGAACGCGGCTACGTCGTTCTCCTCACCTACCTCAACCGTCCGAGCAGCAACACCCCTCCTCTCCCGACCATCCAGGGCCTCGCCGCCCACTACCTCGCCCACCTCCAACCCTCTCCCACCCCTCTCGCCGCCGCCCTCGTCAGCAGCGCGCTCTTCCGCCCCTTCTCGCACGCGAAGCTTACTGCACTCACCACCGCATTGCGACATGCCGTCCACCTCAAATTCAAAGCACTCGACGCGGAGCCGAGCACTCTCTTTACACCTGGCGTAGGCACGCGGCTCCGCAGATGGGCGACGGCAATCATCCGGGGCTTCGAGGGCGGCCACGCTATCGTGCGGCTCGCGTGCTGTAGTGGGCTCTTGCTCGGGCTCGAGGACGTGCACAAGCGGCTGCCTCCCAAGCAGCGGGACGTCAAAGCGCGCGCGGAGGATGAGCTGGTTATGATCGTAGCGGACGTGATTGACGTCTTCTATTCGGCCGATCCCTGGGGGCGGGAGTTTCAACCTGACACCGAGGCTGGCGAAGGTACGCATTCAATGAGTGAATGCACGTCCGTGTGGCTAACCCATTGTCTGTGTAGTTGACGCTAGGTCATTATGTACACTCGTAATGGCCCAAGGATTATTGCTCGTGCCTGCAGAGAAGTTTGCTGCGTTACCTTTACCTGTGAGTTGTACGGTCAGGTATGAATTCGCAGTATGCTGAACGAACCCTAGTCACTCCTCCATTTCTCCGCCATGACAATTGACAATGCCTTTCAATCCGGCACATTCCTCTCGTCACTCCCTTCCTCGGCTCTGCGCACGCCTGAAGGTCGACTATTCATTTCAGTACGTCTCACATTTTGTACATAATATGACGACTGACTTTACGAAGTCATCAGCCCCCGTTTCTGAGTCACTGAGGAAACTCGCCGCCTCCCCTGTAATATCATCCATGGGCTCCCTATCGAAACTATGTGCGACCACGCTGGCACATCTTATCGATCGTCGTGAGAACCTTGCCCTGCCCCAAGTCCTACAAACGTTCGAAGCATTACGTGAATTATGCGCCCGAGTGGAATCGGACTGGCGAGCCAGCGCTCTCTCAGAAATATCTAGCGAGGACGACATCGGTGCGTACGGGCTCTCTCATAATACAAGCTGCCACTAAAAGCTTCGATTTTGTCCTAAAGCCCCTGAAACCCGAGAGCTAACCAGCGCGATATGGTCGCTCCTCAAGATACTTCTCTTCACCACGATCATGGTAACGGAAGCCGGCCTGTCCGCAGTCGTGTATCTATCCCCTGACACAGCAAACGCCCCACGGGGTTCCCCCAGAGAATCACCGGACTCGACGCCGTGGCCTCGTTCAACATCGGGCGTGACATCGCCTACGCTCGCACTGAGCACACTGCATACCCTTTCTCATCTATCTTTTGTAATCTCACAGTTCGGTGGCGCCGGTCAGGGTGCATTCTCTGAACTGAAGCGAGAATTCTATCTTGCGCTGGACATTCTATCGGCGGACAAGCAGGAGAGCGAACGGTTTGTGGAGGAGCTGTGCAGACCCTTCCTGTCACAAAGCCCAGGTGAGGTGTCTACCAGCATCAAATGTACGTATAAATTAACTCTGATAGTAGCCAACAGCAACACCGTCCTAAATCAAGCCCAGAAAGCTTACGTCCTCTCGAGCGTGGAGCAGCTTCTACCCGTCCTGAGTACACGCACGATCCGCGAAACCGTCTTCCCCCTCTGCTACCCGTGTGTCCTTTTCACATACTGCCCTCGCATGCTGCACTAATCTTGTCTCCATCGATCTCAGACACCTGTCTGACCCGGGACACCGTGAGACGTACGAGTCTGCACACAGTGTCGTCCTCGGCATCTTCGCTTCGCACGCAGATAAAGTCGAGCAACTCGAAGCCGACGGTACTCACGACGGCGTAGCGGAGTCCGGCAACCAGGGGGCAGCGGGCTTTACGGACCGCATCGTCCCCTTTTACACGGAGTGTCTCATTGAGGTGTGAACTCCCCTTTCCTTTGCTTTCTCTTCCCTTCTCCGGGACGCCACGACCACCCGGACGGACGGTATCTTGCCCCTGCCAATGACCCTAACACCCATCTAAAAATCGGTGTGCTGACTCAACGCCCGACAGAACTCGGAGGAGGGCAAACTCAGCACGCCGCAGCTCCGGCTCGCGTTCTCCGCGCTCGTGCGTGGCGCAGCGAAGAGCGTCGACACCGCGCTCGCGTGGTTCCCGCTTGCGGCTGTGCTCCGTGCGGCATCCGCGCCGGGTGTGGACACGGAACGCGTGCACCGTCTCCATCTCGCGCTCGTGTCGAGCATACCGTCGCTTCCGCTGCGGGTGCTGCCGCGCGCGCTGGATGCCATCGCAGGCGTCATCGACGGCCTGCCGCGGGAGGCGTACCAGCGCAAGGAGCTCATCGACGCGGTGTTTGACGAGATTATGGAGCGCGTCGGGGATAGAGAGAAGGAGTTCGCGCTCGGCTGGTGGGGAGAACAGCGCGAGAAGTGGGTCAGGGGCGAGTCGGATACGAGTGGGTTGTATGAGAAGGCGACAGAGGCGGGGAAGCGCTGGTGGGGCAGTTGGAGGGATGGTCGCCAGGAGGCTGCTGCGGGCAGTATATCTTCGCGGTTGTGATGTAGCCTCTTGTCCTCATTGGCCATTAAGTATGTGCCACCGACGGTTTATCCTACTCAACGCCCAACTGCGGGTGTCCAAAGTCGCGATCGTTCCTTGTGTATTGTGATGAATCCAGTTAGAAAGATCGGACATGGTTTATGCGATCTTGCCTAAGTGTGCACTGCTGTGGTGGACACCGATGCGCTGATGTTCCGTATTTTCGACGATGCCTCGGTCGTCGACGAGCGGCTGTAGCTCAGTACATCTCTCTGCGGCATTCTCAGCATCAAATTAAAGCAGCAGCGACAAATATGAGCCGCTCCGGCATGCTGAATAATGGTCAGTACATCATGTGACAGGCAGCATGTATGCACTCAACAGGCGCTTGATGCGACACACTGGGAAGCTTCAAGTTCATTTACTGATCACGTCCGAGTAAAAGCGAACTTGAATGATTGGGGTGCATTGAGCACGTCACTTTACTGCGTTTAGGCGGGTGAAGGTCCACGTGAGGACGACACTTACGGAACTTCAGCCTTTCCTCACGGAACATAAAGTAATCCAGGCAAACATGGCACCTGCTCCCTCTTCCGCCTTCTCATCCCGCGACTACCCAGCAACTCCAGCTTCCGCTCCTTCGAAAGTGCATCCTCCTATAACTTTCCCTCTCTGAGAAACGCGACCATGGCCGAGCTGGAATCGCTCATCGGCCCCTGCCCGTTCATTCCAGACGATGTCACCGTCGTGCAATTCATGCTGGACTCTTATCATCCATTACGACCCATTCGACCGGTGGATACCCCATGGCTCATAGACGATACGACAGGCAGAGGCATTGGGCTTGAAGAGGTGAGTTGCTGGTCACTCTACAAGCCAAGCGCCCCACCTTCCCCACACCGCTATCGCGCGTCCGTGAATGGCGGACAGCCACCACCTTATCCCCGCGAATCTGCCCCAGCCATTGACATCGCAATTCTCGGTTTCAGATCCGGACACGCGTCTGGGGCCTCGCGAACGCGCTCCATGTGCGCTTCGGCATTCGTGCGTGTTATCATCTTTTGACAGCTTGAATCAAACGCGCTAACTCGCGTTTCAGGGGAGGATGATGTAGGTGTGTGTCGGCGCGCGCGATTGCAGAAGTTACGAGCACACTCCTAACATATGTGCTCCCAAAGTCCTCATTTACAGTCCAAATCACATGGGTATGCGTTGCAGAATACCTGCTCGAGGCTCTCGTTCTGATAGCTTCTCTTTAGACTATCTGCTGATGGTGTGGGCAGTCCACCGGCTGGGCGCAACGATGTCGTACGGCACATTTACCAGCGAACTGATTGCCAGACTGACATTATATGCGACCCAGTGGCGCAAACCCATCCTATACCACAGACGAGCTCGTATATCAGATCGAAGAAACCAAGTGCACGCTCGTCATCACCCACCCCGCATCCCTAAAGACCGCTCACGACGCATCCCGCAAGGCCAAGGTCCCCGGGGACCGTATAGTGCTCTTCAACATTCAAGATGCAGACCACGGAAAGCACATAACAGTGGACGAGCTCGTCGCGCAGGGGCTGAACACGCCACCATCGTTCGTGGAGCGCAAGCTCAACCCAGGAGAGGGCAAGACAAAGATCGCGTTCTTGAGCTTTTCAAGTGGGACTACGGGTAGAGCAAAGGTACAGACATCTGGAATTGCTGAAGAGCTATGCTAAAGATGACTTCAGGCTGTCGCTATACCCCACATCGCTCCGATAGCCAACGTTATTCAGTGTGCTGCGCACAACAAGGTGAACCAAAACTATACACGATGGGAAGACCAACGATTCAGGCCAGGGGATACGTGCTGTGGAAGTATGTGTGATCAAGCTCTCGTACGTATGCTTGGCATTGACCTTCGCATTGGCAGTTCTTCCTCTATACCGTGAGTTTGAGCTACTCCTATGATGACGCGACACTAACCTTACCATAGATATCTACGGACTGGTGTATAATGTAAGCTCTCATCCTCAACCATCGAGATGCGTACTCAAGCAGCGTAGACCCACTATATATTCTTTTGCGGCATGTCCGTAGTCTTGGCGCCCAAGTTCAGCTTCACCGACTTTCTCAAAAGCATCGCCAAATACAAGATAACGCATCTCATGTGAGTAACCATGCTACTTTCCGTAACAACCCACCACTAATGATGGTGGGTCTAGGCTTGTACCCCCGCAGATTGTGCTCCTTTGCAAGGTAGGTCGACAGACACCACGCCATGCAAACAATAACACAGGCCCACTTGATAGCACCCAGCAGTGAAGGAATACGACTTTAGCCACGTTCGCTTTGCCACTATCGGCGCAGCGCCGATCTCGCGCGAGCTCATGGAGATGCTCATCAAGGTCTTTCCCAACGCTGACATTGGCCAGAGCTATGGTATGTGAACAAAAATGAGAATGATACCAAAGAAAACCCAACCCTTCTACCTTTAGGCTCGACGGAGACGTGTACGATACTTACCACCTTCCCCATCGACATCAAGCGTGACTTGAGTGGAAGTGGAGGACAGTTCATACCGGGAGTTACTGCGCGCGTTGTCGACACGAACGGCAAACTGGTTGACTTTGACGAGCCAGGGGAGCTTGTAGTGAAATGCCCTTCAATGGCGCTGGGGTATGCCAACAACGCCGAGGCGTGAGTATCTCTGCACCACCTCCCGACCCAGTGCTTGCTAACCTCCGTATCGAAAAAGTACGAAGGAGACATTTGTGGACGGGTATGCACACATTCACTTTCTCTGCGTCCTCTCTACTAAAATCCATGACTCATGAAAGATGGTTCCGCACCGGCGACGAAGTCAAGATAACCCGCAAAGGCGAGATCTTCGTCCTCGACCGCCTCAAAGAGATGATCAAAGTCAAAGGGCACCAAGTCGCGCCAGCCGAGCTCGAGGGGTGTCTGCTCGAACACCCCGACGTCGCGGACACGTGCGTCGTGAGCATACTCGACGAGTACGCGGGCGAGCTCCCGCTCGCGTACGTCGCGCTCAACCCCGATGCCGCTCGGCGCGCCGAGGCGGGTCCTACAGAGGCGGACGCGATCAAGGCGTCGATACAGAAGCACGTCGCAGACAATAAGATCGCATATAAGCACCTCGCTGCAGGTGTGGAGTTCATTGATGTCGTTCCGAAGAACCCGAGCGGGAAGCTGCTGAGGCGTGTGTTGAGGGATAGGGCGCGGAAGGAGAGGGCGGTGGTGAAGGCGAAACTTTAGATCGTCTTGTTTTGTACGGATCAGACTGTATTTTTATATCATGATTACGCTGTTATCTGGAGGTATTGGATTTGGGGCTGGTCTCTACACTTAAAACCGACGCGTCGAGCGGCGTCACGGTCATGTCGCGTCAAGGTGTTCTCGTCACCACTCGCTATCCCTTCCCTGTCGGCAACTTCGTTCTTCTATAGGGTATCAACCATCCCTCACCATATTTTACTCATTCATTCAGCAGGGCTGCACACGTGTTTTACATATGATGGCTTACATATCATGGGCGCCCGGGTGCTTCTCATCCCATCCAAATGCGATCATGCCGCGCAGTGAGAACGGACCCACACCTGCATGCATATAATTAGCTCCCACCCCGGCCGTTCTCTCTTTCGTCCCCACAGACGAGTCCGCGCCAAATCCACGCCAAACGACTAAACCATGACCGAGTTCCATGGTCCGCATCTCGACGTCCACATCCCAGACGACCTCACAGTCGCGCAGTTCTTGCTCGACGCGCAACATGCCATACGGCCGCATCGCCCTCTCAGCGTGCCGTGGATGATCGACGACAGCGCGGGGAGGAAGGTTGGCTTTGAGGAGGTGTGAACGTTTTCACGAGATGCTTTGGCAACGCACCGCAGCTAAAGCTCGAGGGACGATGTAGGTACGAGCAAGGACGTTTGGCCTCGCAAACGCGCTGAGCATGCGGTTCGGAATCAGTACGCCTCATTCGCTAGACTCGAACAATCGCTACAATTTGCTAAACGAAGCGTGTAGAGGAAGATGACCTCAGTACGGTTTCCTGGTGCTCTCCCGAGTGCTAACGTGCTGATGTGTCATAGTCCTCATCTACAGTCCAAATCATGTCGGTATGTCACTTGCGGATCCTCACTCTTCTTTTTCTTGCTGAACGAGACAAAGACTACGCCTCTGCAATTTGGGCCGCGCACCGACTCGGGGCAGTCGTATCGTAAGTCTTGCACACACCTCCAACGGCTTACCTGCTTAATTGCGCAGAGCCGCCAATCCTGGCTACTCCGCCAACGAGCTCTTGTACCAACTTGAGGTTGCCAAAGCCTCGGTCATAATCACTCACCAGGCTAGCGTCAACGTTGCTCTTGAGGCGGCACGTCGCTCGGGCTTACCTGCCGAGCGCGTCGTGCTGTTCGGGAACGCACCTCTGCTACAACTTGTGACCGTGGATGCACTTGTGGATGAAGGTCTAGCACATCCGCCAGGCTTTGTTGAGAGAAGGCTGAGACGGGGAGAGGCAAAGCAGAAGCTTGCTTTTCTGAACTTCTCCAGTGGGACGACAGGAAAACCTAAGGTAAAGGAGCTCCTTCCTAGCATCTTACCTTCGGCTTTAAGACTGAGTGGACTGCTACAATAGGCTGTCATGCTTAATCATTACAGTGTGATTGGTTCGGTCCTTCAGCTAGCATTCTACAATCGGGGAAATGGGAAAGACATACCTCAGAAGGAGTGGAGATTCAGACCTGGAGACCTTCTCGCTGCAGGTCCGTTTAGGGCGACTGAATCGTTGATCTTAGCTAACGAGAAGCAACAGCGACGCCATTTTACCGTACGTGAAGTTCTGCTCAAGTAGCTCGCCATTCTCATGCTTTCTAGACATATATGGTCTTTGCATGGTCAGTTTCAGAGTCTATCAGCGTTGATAGCCTTGATTCACTTTTCTCCTGGGATTTTTTAGCTGCATGCCATGGCATTCATTGGGGTGAGCAGAGACTGCTTTACCATAGCTTGCGGACTGAAGCACTGATGCACAATCGTAGGTGACGCTAGTCGTAATACCAAAGTTTAGCTTCAAAGACTTCTTGGATAGCGTTGTCAAGTACCGCATAACCCATTTGCCGTGAGTCAAGTTTCTAATGCGATCAGGGGCACTTGAACGAATCATTGGTTAGACTCGTGCCTCCGCAGGTGGTCTTGCTTTGCAAGGTTTGTTTCGTGCTTATTTGTTCGGTCAGGCCTGTTTGCTGATCTTGTACCACTCCCAGCAACCAATAGTGAAAAACTACGACCTCAGCCATGTCCGCATGATGTCTTGTGGTGCAGCACCCCTTTCAGGCGAGCTTATGATGCAGCTCGCCAGAGATTTCCCCGCTACGCATATAGGTCAAGGCTATGGTCAGTGTTCACCCCTTTAACCATAGTCAGCACTTCTTATCCGCGTACTTCCAGGGATGACAGAGGCTGTCGGGACTATTGCTATGTTCTCTGTACACCATAAGCTTGGTGTGATAGGCAGCTCCGGACAGCTCTTTGCCGGCTTTGCTGCTCGTGTCGTGCGTCCTGATGGAAGCCTGGCTGGACCCAATGAACCTGGGGAGCTGTGGCTGAAGTCACCGTTCCTTGCAATGGGCTATCTGAACAATTCTGAAGCGTGAGGACAAAGGATTGTCGCCCATGTATCTGCTGATTAACTTCGCCGTTCGTTCTCAGAACCAAGGAGACATTCGTAGACGGGTAAAGCATACATTGGATCTGCAACTCAACAATGGAACTGATACATCTCACCCAGATGGCTTCGTACCGGCGACGAAGTCAGTTTGGACGAGAACAACGAGATTTTCATCCTTGATCGTATCAAGGTTCTGACCACACCCTCGTTTCATTCTAGCTACTAACGTTATCCACAGGAACTTATCAAAGTCCGAGGCTTTCAAGTGGCCCCAGCCGAGCTGGAGGGAACACTCTTGATGCACCCCGACGTCGCAGACGTTTGCGTTGTGGGCATTCCTGACGAGTACAGCGGGGAGGTGCCGTTAGCGTTCGTCGTCTTGCGCCCCGATCCCATGAAGCGCGCCGCTAGCGGTCAGACTGAAAGCGACAGAATCAAAGAGAGCATCATCAAGGTAATGGACATCAGCTTCGTTCCCCTACCGGTTTCTGATGACTTTCATATAGCATGCTTCTGAGGACAAGGTCGCGTACAAGCGACTGGCCGGTGGAGTCGAGTTCATAGATGTGATACCGAAGAATCCCAGCGGCAAGATCCTCCGACGGGTTCTCCGCGACAAGGTAAAGCAAGCGCCGCGGCCTAAGCTGTAGACTCGGTACGTTGTGCGTAGAGCTTACAAAGCAAACATCTGGACAACGCCTGTGCGAATAATTTACAATAGCTTGTGTCGATCTGACGGGGAACGACTACAATTTAGCTTTCATGCCAGCCAGCTTCTCCTTCGCGCGATCTCGCAAGACCCTACGCAGAATCTTCCCGCTTGGATTCTTGGGTATTACATCCGTAAATTCCACACCTCCAGCAAGCCTCTTATACGCCACCTTGTTCTCCGCGGTATGCTGTAGGTCATCAGAGCGAACATGATGAATATGTGTCACAGCGATTAAAGGATATTGTTTACCAACCTGGATGATTTCTACTTTGACCCGGGTCGCTTCCGCTGGATCACGCCTGACACGCTCGTCCACCTCTGGACGCAAGACAACGTATGCCATGGGGACTTCGCCATTGTACTCATCTGGCAGGGGAATGACACATGCATCGACTATGTCGGGGTGCATCAACAGCGTGCCCTCTAGTTCAGCTGGCGCAACTTGGAAACCGCGGACTTTGATGAGCTCCTACGCATGTTCAATCAGTTTGCACTGCAAACACGAAGAATGCTCAAGGGACCTTTAGTCTATCGAGAACGAAGATCTCCCTATCCTTGTCTATTCTCACTTCGTCTCCTGTGCGCAACCACCTAGATGAACACTGCGTCAAAATTGAGCCACTCAAGTGCTCTGGTCAGCATACCCGTCGACGAAAGTCTCGCGAGTTCTGAGTACTCAGTCAGCCTTGCTTTCAGCATCAAGGTACAACGTCCACCTACGCTTCAGGGTTATTGTAATATCCCAACGCCAGAGCTGGCGATTTCAGCCACAGCTCCCCAGGCTCGTTGACACCCGCGAGACTCCCGTCTGGCCGCACAACTCGTGCGGTGATACCCGGCGCCAGTGTCCCTGAGCTGCCCACCACGCCGACCTTGCGATCAGGTGAAAACATGGAGACGGACGTAGACGTTTCGGTTAAGCCTCAAAGGGGGGTAAAACGTGCATGCGAGGGATGAGCAAAGGAACCGTCGTACCATATCCCTGACCAATCTGTGCGTTGGGAAAGCGATCCGCGAGCTGTGCCACCAGTTCCCCTGAGAGAGGAGCGGCGCCAGATACGATGTAATGGACGTGACTGAGATCATACTTCGCCACGATGTCTTGCTGCATGAACGAGTTTATACATTGCTTGTCCACAAACGTTACAGTCCGAATGGAACGCTCACCTTGCATAATAGTACTGCTATTGGTGGAACCAGCATACCGTGGACTGTTAGACTGGAATAGCGTGAATGAAACGGGATCATAGGATAACCGACATGAGATGAGTGATACGGTGCCTAGACACGCTCTCTAGGAAATCGACGAAGCTGAACTTAGGCACAACGACTAGGGTGACCTAGCGATCGCAATTCAGAAGAAAGTCCGGCGACGTACAAGAAACGGAAACATACGCCGCAATATAACATGGAGTGTATCTAGAATAAATTTGATGAACGTGAAGCTTCCACGATGAATATCGTTTATCGACACTTACGATAATGACGAGTCCATATATGTCTTCACGGAGTAAATCAGTTCACACAAGTCATGCAGTCATAGCCTGCAATAGGGTACTGCTCACGGTAGAATGGCAGACCTATGGCATGCATGACAATCAGCGCCTTACAATGAAACACAAGAAACAAACGAACAAGCAGATACAAGATCACCGGGCCTAAACCTTTGCTTATCCCTGGGACGGTCGGTATCGCCCACCCGAGCATGAAGGGCGAGCTGTATAGCGTTCGCAATGGGTGCGTAGTGGGATATCATGACAGCCTGATGACCGGTGATGGATACACATACCAATACTTCTGCGGAGGCTGAGAGTACTGACCTTTGGTCGTCCAGTCGTACCACTTGAAAAGTTGAGAAACGCCAGCTTCGTCTTCCCTTCTCCTGGCCTTAACTTGCGCTCCACGTAGTGCTGACGTGCAGCTAGCCCTTCCTTGACCAATTCATCCACATTCGCAAACTGACGAAGAGGCGAGTCCCCGATAACGACGATGCGCTCATATGGTATGCCAGTTTGCCGTGCTGCATCGGCAGCTACCTCCAACGAGGTGGAGTGGGCAATAATGGTAGTCGCTTTCGTAAGCTCGATCTGGTAAACGAGCTCTTCTGTGGTATAGGCAGGGTTTGCGGTGCTGATATACTTAGCGAACATCAATATGAAGAACGCATACATGGACCTACGAAACAATTGCGCCCAGTCTATGAATAGCCCACACAACGGGAGCGTAATCTGCCATGTGCTCAGCAGCGGTCTGGAGCCGGATATAGCGACAGGCTCACCAACATGGTTTAAACTGAAAATGACGACTGTGGCAAGTCAGCTTGGTTGGCAACCATACAGGGAAACAAGAGTCGATAGTATGCATACCAACTTCGTCTTCATCTGGACGAGGCGTATCAGTTGCATCCTTTGGACCCAGATTTAACCTGAATGTACACACCAATTCCATACCGCATGCTCAGCGCATTTGCAAGTCCATGGGTCCTTGCACGGAGCTGAACTGTGTTCAAGTAGCTTGGAGGTTTAGAGAAGTTCGACATACCTCTTCGTATCCAATCTTCCTACCCGTCTTGTCGTCTATCATCCACGGAACGCCTAAGGGGCGCTTTGGCCTCAGCGAATGCGCCGAGTCAAGAAAGAACTGGGGGATTGTCAGATCATCTGGTAGATGTACGTTAATTGGAGGGCCATGGATCTCAGTCATCCTGGGCTGGCAGGGAACAGTCCACCCTCTGCAAGGGTACCGTATATATATCCATCAAGCTCAAGTGTCGTATGTGTGCGGCGTGAGATGCTTCTCCACCACGACCCCAGACGTGCAATTGAAACTAGGTCACAGGTCGGTCGGGCCGTACTTAAGTGGCGCCTACATGCATCAACCACTGCAGAGGTGGACATCCCACGGTTCAGACCCGCTTCTTTCTTGATATCCGATGGTCAGCTGGTCTCAGGTAGGAGTGCCTGGCTCCGCTGAGAGGACGATAGGAACGCACAGTCCTTTGCAAAGGTGGTGTGGCTACCAAAGGTTAGCGCTCGTTGCCTGGGAATAACCTCCAAGGAAGTCAGTGCTTCAAAGCTTCAACCTCGACGCCAGAGAGTAGCAGAAGAAGGCATCACTATTCAGTCTGGCGATGACCTGCCTGCAGATCGCACAGACCACCACCTGAGGCCTCGAGCAAGAGTAACGTTGTTAGATTTGCGACGCAATGCGGCGTGTGCTACACGTGTGATCGTGATGTTCATGCACCTTTGAACACATTATCAGTGCTCATTAGTCATTGTCCATATAACTGGAACTCCCAAGGCAGCCCCTGCTTGTTGCCTGAATCGCTAAACCATATCCTCCGGAGGCGACACGTAGCGAAAATCCTGACATATGCAATGTGAGAGTATTTACCGCTCGGAACAGGGGCACCGCTCGTCGGGACCCTCTGCTGCGCCCTTGTCTCGACTTCGTCTTCATCCTCACTGTCCTGGTTGTTCTCCACGTGCCTCAACGACATCAATGAAAAGTGGGGTATGAAGGAGGGAAGATGCAGTGATATGTCTGCCCAGTGGGTGAGCGGGTTTGACGATGCAGCCGGAAAGGCAAGGGGCAGATGAAGGGTTGGGCAACTTGTCTCCAGATAAAGTTTTGGTTCTCTCTAGAAGCCACGCGTTCAGCAAACATCTCTCGCCAGTCAAGCTCAAACTTGTAAGACCATTACTCGTGATTCACGAGATCATTAGCATTGTTCATATACCACGGTACAACGTCACATAAGCGTAGTAACATAGGACAGACACATACCTGGAATGTAGAGCACCTGATGATTCCCAACCGCCTCGCCGAATCGACAATCCCAACCTCAAAAGACCACTCCCTCCCAACGTTCCGTACTTGCATATGCAACCACTCGTGACGAAGACCCAAGTCACCCCTGGAAGTGCTCGATGACAACGGGACGAAATGAGGCGGGCAGCATATCGAGGTCGTCCGTAGCGTTGGGGACTGTATATGAAGGACGGTCTGCCGAAGCTCATGTCCTATCTCCGAGTTATTCGGATGCGACAACATTTGCGGCAGAGAGATCGGAGAAGCAGGTTCTGGTGGGTTGGGTAAAGAGGTGGCATCGTCGAGGAGATGAACGAACGAGTCGGAGGGCAGGGCGTCGTCAGTATGGACTGAGAAGAGGCTCAAAGGGTTGCTTCCGGTCGAGGAAAATAGAGAAACTATTGGCGGTTGAACCGAGTCAGCAAACATGATGCGCTTGTGGGTGATGACAGAACGCAGTGATGGTGGAAGTTCACTGAGTGTAAGTCGCGGGGAGAAGTGGGAGAAAACAAAACGACAATGCGCGCCCCAGAGATCTTTTGCCACGTGCGTCTCCTTCCGTTCGACTCTTGTCAGCTCTTGTCCTCCGATGGCGAGTCTTCTTCAGGGTCCATCTCAACATCTACACTACTACTCAGACCGAAAATGACATCGCCTGCGCCTCCCGGTGACATCGAGGACATCCTGCACGACGCGCTCGAGATCCTTGGCGAAAAACCCATCAGCGAAGGACGCGCCGTCCAATACGGGCCCCTGACACTTCGCGTCGCGCCGAAGGCAAGTTCTCCGTGCAGTCAATCGCTTTGATTCCTGATCACTGTGCTGGAATGTTTAGGAAGGAAAGGTTAGCAAAGGCCAATATGCTCGTTGCCCTGAGCACTAACGTCTGTTGCACAGGCGAACACTCTGCTCGCCGACCACCTGTTTTCGCCAGCCCTGCTGCTGGCGGAAATGATCGAATTGGGAGAGATCTCACTACACTGTGAAAAAGGTCTAAACAGTTTCTTCGAAAAATGATGGGGAATGCTTATCACTCTATAGTGATCGAGCTCGGAGCTGGTTGTGCTTTACCGTCTCTACTGGCGGCCACCCTGCCGAACCCTCCCTCCTTAGCCATTGTCACCGACTACCCGGATGAAACCATACTCGCCAGTTTGAGGGACAACGTCAATACCAACGTGTCTGCTTTCTCTCCGTCGTGTACTGTCAAGTACATGGGGTTTGAATGGGGCACAGACGCGAAAGATCTTCTGTACGTCTTGCCATCCAACAATGAGAAGCAAGCCCCGGCAACTAACACTACCTAGTGCACTAACGGGATCGACTTCAGCCTACGACGTTGTCATTCTTTCAGATCTCCTCCACTTTGACGCGTCACACGACGTCCTCATCCGGTCGCTGTCATCTCTGCTCTCCCATGCATCATCCGCACGCGCATACATCGCCGCTGGAAAGTACACCAAGCCCGAGGTCTGCCATAACTTTGTCCGCGCAGCGAAAGAAGCGGGCATCATCTGCGAGGAACATACGACCGACGAAAAGAGTATTGTCTGGCGCGGGAAGATGACAGTCAGCGGCCTCAACAAGGATGATCTAGGTGTGCGCAAGGCCATGTGCCGATGGTGGGTCGGTCGGTGGGCAAGTAGCTCAGATTCGTAACATAAGGACTTCAATATGGTCATCAAGACTTGAAGTCTAGCTACGCAGCGATGGAATTGCATGAAATGTATTGATTCATTAGTGGCGTAATGTGTGTAGTAAGGTATGTTGACATTGTTGTACATTAAGCTGGCATCCGCGATAATCTGGACATGGTGGAAGTCACTGCGTGCATAGCATACACCGTCTAGGCACTCGTGCACTCGTGCTTAAATAGCGCCGTCCCCACAACACTCTACCAAGAGATCTCTATAGCTTCGCCTTGGGCTTGGACCACATCTCCTTCACTCTTTCGCGGAGCACTCTCCGCAGAATCTTCCCGCTGGGGTTCTTGGGAATCGCATCGATGAACTCGACACCCCCAGCAAGCCGCTTGTATGCGACTTTATTCTCCGCTGTATGCTATACCACATCCCAGGATCAATAACTTGCCAAGTACACAGGAATGTCCCATACAACGCACCTTGATGATCGTCTCCTTGAGCTTCTCTCTCTCCGACGGACTCTTTGCTACGCGGGCGGTAGCCTCCGGGCGGAGAACGACGAATGCGAGCGGCACCTCGCCGCTGTAATCGTCCGCAACGGGCACCACACATGCGTCTTGAATGTCTGGGTGCATCAAGAGGGTGCCCTCAAGTTCGGCGGGTGCCACCTGGAACCCGCGAACCTTGATGAGTTCCTGGGGAACGAAGGATGAAGTGAGCAGGACGACCGAGCACAGTGCAGCTTATAGTTGCGTACCTTGATTCTGTCAACGATGAACACCTCGTTTTTGTCATCTATCCGTACTTCGTCTCCAGTACGAAGCCAGCCTTCCCCAAACGTCTCTTTTGTCCTGTGAGTAGTCAGTCTCCGTTGTAGAAAAGGCAGCTTAGAGCTACATACGCCTTTTCGTTGTTCAAGTACCCCAACGCAAGAGAAGGTGCTTTTACCCACAACTCGCCGGTCTCGTTTCGACCCGCACTGGTGCCATCCGGCCTCACAACCCGAGCCGTAACGCCAGGCAGCAGCCGCCCAGAGCTATTGATAACACCAAACTTCGTCTCAGTGGAGAACATGGAAAGAGTCGTCGCTGACTCTGTCAAGCCTGGGATGGTTTGGGCCTTTAGCGCTGCCAAGGGCACAATGACCTTGAAATGACTCACCATAGCCTTGACCGATATGTGCCTTAGGGAAATCAGACGCAAGCTTCATCATCAGCTCGCCTGAGAGGGGCGCCGCGCCGCAGTTGATGAAACGGACATGACTCAGGTCGTAATTCTTCACTATGGGTTGCTGATAATTTGTCAGCAGACAATCATCTAAAGGGTCACGCTAGAGCTCTGTACGAACTTTGCACAAAAGAACAACCTGGGGAGGAACGACACTACAAAGTGAATGTTAACCATGGTCGTGGCTAGCGAGGTTCGCAGCTTACCAGAGGTGGGTGATTCTGTACTTTACGATACTATCCAAGAAGTTCTTGAAGTTGAACTTAGGTACAACGACGAGGGAAAGCTGAGGGTGATAGTTCCAATGAGTCACGGTAAGCACTAAATAGTTAAACAGAGCTTACTCCGCTGAAAAGCATGAAATGAAGCTAGCGAATGGCTGTGAGTACTAAGGTAATGTTCTCAAAGATAAAACATACGCACCACCACCACAAGACCGTATATGTCTTGATATCATGTTAGCATCAAGTAAGGATGGCCGGTCACGCACACCTACGGTACAATGGAAGCGCTGAAGCAACACATTAGACTCAATCCATCGGGAGTAAAATCTCAGAGCACATACCTGCAGCAGAGACATCACCAGGCCTGAACCGCCGCTCTTCCCAAGGTTTATCTGTCTTATGTATCTCGCTGTGCACTGCGGTTTGGATCACGTTCGCAATGGGCCCATAGTGACTGATCATCACCGCCTTGGATGCATCCAGATTCAGCTATTCACATAATTTAACGGCATTGGGAAGATGACTCACCTTCGGTCGGCCAGTAGTCCCACTTGAGAAGTTGAGAAACGCAAGTTTCGTCTTGGCCTCGCCCTTCTTCAGCTTCCTCTCCGCGAAGTTGGGTGGATGTACGAGTCCTTCCTTGACGAGCTCGTCAACCGTAGTGCACTGCGACACAGGCTCGCTCCCAAACACGACCACTCGCTCTGCAGGCAAACCGACGCGTTGTGCAGCGCCGAGTGCGACTTTGACAGAGACGGGGTGAGTGATGATGACCGAAGCTTTCGCAACCTCCAACTGGTAAACAAGCTCCTCTAAGGTGTAGCCAGGGTTTGCAGCGCTGAAACGCAATGAGCTCCATAGACCCTCAATTTATCGAGATGGACTCACGAGACAATGGCTCCAAGCCTATGTGTAGCCCATACAGCAGGAGGATAGTCTTCGGCACGCATGCACGTCAGGGGCAAGTGAAGGAAGAGACTGAAACATACCAACGTCATTGGGGCTGTAGATACAGACTACATCATCTTCCCCTTCATTGGAATCTCAGTAGACCCTCTTGAGCTGAGAACGGGCGAGAACATACTGGTGTTGAAGCGTCTGCTCAGTGCATTCGCGAGTCCAAAGGTCCTGGTGCGTATCTGAACATGCGCGAAGTTCAAGGGGCAATCCTTGCGCTAGCATGATGAGCATACCTCCTCAAAGCCAACCTTCCTGCCAGATGCATCGTCAATCAACCATGGAGCACCCGCTGGCCGTTGTGCACGAATCGGATGTTCCGCGTCGAGAATGAACTGGGCGATAGTCAAGTCGTCAGGGATGTGCGTGCCCAATGGCTGTCCGTGGAACTCTGTCATGATGTCTTCTGGCTTGGTTTGCGTCTCGGCGCGCGACTTGCCTGCTTAAAAGATGAGGAGAAGGAAGGACAGACTGGGGCCAGTTGACAAGCTCTAAGTACATCATGCTCGGATGTGTTCCGGACATGTTCGGCAAGGAACACTTGCTTGACGCGCCTTACTTTGCCTTACTCACGGCGACCCACGCCGCGGGCGTTTTAGATGACATACTCTTGCCGGGTATATTGCCCCAATCTCTACAAGACGTTAGCCCCTTTCTTTCGTCCCTGAGCCCACCGAGGAAACGCAATGGCTGACTTGCAGTCTTCAGAGCAGAGGACTACCATCAGAAACGTACATTTGGCCCACAGGGACACCGCCCTCGCAAGCAAACTCTGGGACGTCGATTGTCAGGATGGTCGCGTCTTGTCAATACAATCTTCTGGCTTGGAGCAAATATCAACCTCCGGAGAGGTGATAAACGGGGAAGGAGGCGTCCTTCTGCCCTCGTACGTCTGGCCCGCGTTCATCCAAATGGGTTAGGAGATGAGAGATATGCTGATGATGGAGTCATTAGGCTATGCCACGCACATATTCATTTGGACAAGTGCTTCATTCTCGATCAGTGTGATCCTCTGGTATCAGGGTGAGAGCCTTCTCGCTGATAGTCAGCGTGCCTATTATCAATGCTTGGTCCACTAGATCCCTGAAAGAGGCGTTGGATGTGACTGGGAAAGCAAAGAAAACCTTCCCTGAGCGAGTCGACAACTTGTATGCGCGTGCTGATCGTGTGATACAGGAGAGCGTGGAGGCCGGCGTAACTGCTATGCGAGCGTTTGTCGAGGTTGACACGACTGTCCAGTTTGCATGTCTTGATGTCGGCCTTCGTCTGAAGAAAGAGTGGGAAAATGTATGCGAAGTCCAAATTGTCGGTAGGGCATTCAATCTGTTTCCCGGATATTGGGCGCTAACGAAAGAGCAGCATTCGCCCAGGAGCGTCTATTTGAGAGTGCCGACGCGTCAAACGCCGGCGCTAATTACACCTTGCTCCAAGAGTCTTTGACGCGCCCAGGCGTGTCCGTCGTTGGATCAGCCCCCTGGGTGGAAACGTCTGAAGCACATGCGCTAGAGAACATCTCGCGAATATTCGCTCTGGCCAGGAAACACAACCTTCATGTTGACTTCCACCTCGACTACAACCTTGATCCCGCGTTAGAGCCTATGATCTGGCGCGTCGCGGATGAGATGTACTCTATGGGGTGGACCAAAGCAAACAACGCCTCCAAGGTAGTGACACTTGGCCACGCAACGCGCCTTGCGCTTCTTAACAAGGATGAGTTACGCCGCTTACGAACATATATGCAAGAACTGCCACTACACATCGTGGGTCTCCCACCCAGCGACATATACATGATGGGCCGATCAAGCGAGGGTGGCGGCCCTTCTCTGGGCGATCGTACGCTTGACGCCCCTCGACTTTGGAGGGAACACCAAATTCAGGTTGCTTTGGATGCCAACAATATCGAGAATGGGTTCACACCACACGGGTCGCTTGATCCTCTGTCCCTTATATCGTGGACCGTGGGCCTGTACCAAGCAGGTAGGGAGGACGACTGGAGAATGCTACTGGTAACAAGCCCTGCCCCTCATTGAGCGATCCTGATTCTTCCTTTGTATTGATTCTAGGCTTCAGTCACTACCGCTGCGAAGGAAGCTGTGGGCATGGCAGAATTGGAGGGAGACAATATTGATGGTCTAGTGCCGCGGAAAGGCAGCAAGGCAGACTTCGTTATCCTCCCCCAGACGGCGCGGTGGCAATCTGCCGTCCTCAGTCCGTCGTATGACAGAAAGGTCGTCTTCCAGGGGCGTTTAGTGGCGCATAGAAAGGCCGTCCGGTGGATCGCGAAGTCCAAAGGTTTGTAATAAGCAAGATAATACTAAGCATAACATTGACGACGCTGGAATGCTCTGCGATAATATAGAAGGGAATACGGGCGAAGTACCTTATATAACACAACGATAGGTGGAGATATGTTACCCATGGAAATCCTCATTAGTCATGCAATTAGGACACCTTTGGCATCGCCTCCAGTGCCACCTCAATCTTCTTCATAACCTCATCTTGAGGCTCCGCGCCCACGCTGATGCGGACGAGGTACTCGTCAATGCCAAACTGCGCCACCTACCCCACGCACACACATTTAGCCTCGGTTCTCATTGCCCCGATCATCTAAAGACGACTCACCCACTCCAACTCGTTGTAGTGCCCAAACAGCGTGTACGGACACGACAAACAAAAGTTCGTTCCAAGACTCGGCCCCCTCGCCACGTCCAATGCGTCGAAAAACGCTACCGCCTCCGCGGGCAATTTGAATAAGATCGTGACAAGGTAACTGTATCCGCCTCCAGGGCGACGGCACACGTCGTACAGGTGCTTCGTCGGACTCAGAGACGGGTAGTACACCTTAGCTACCCGTGGGTGCGTGGCAAGGCGCTCCGCAACAGCCTGCGCGTTCCTGTTGGTTGCCTGCACGCGTTCGTGGAAATTGTCAGAGTTCTTCCACATCTGCTCAGCATCGAGTGGGAAATAGATGTCTCTGTGGAGGTGCGTCAAGGAGTCATGGACGCGGTCGTGGTGTTTTGACTTCGGGTTGACGACAACACTAATAAAAGGACGTCAACACTAAGTTTCAGGTCCCAAGATGGGGTAGCCAGCGCTTACCTCCCGCCCATCACGTTACACGTGCCGCTGAAGAGCTTCGTCAAGCTCGTCACTACGACATCTACGTATGGTAGCACATTCACGTTCACGAATGTGCCTACCGTGTCATCGCACACGAGGACAAACTCATACTTATCCGCGAGCGCCCGGAGCCGCTCCATATCCGGCGTGATAAGCAGCGGGTTCCCTGGCACCTCGCAGAACACCGCCGTCACCTTCTCGCCGCCCTCAAGGCGCGTCTCAAGGTCGTCGAGCTCCTCCGTGCTTGCATGGCCGTACAGAATCGCGTCTTTGGGCGCAAAGCGGTCCATGATCTTGAACGAGTCAACGTACAGGAACCCATACGCGACGAACTTGCCCTTCGCGTACGGCCCGCTATGAATGAGAGCGCGATAGAGGTCTGAGATGGCCATCATGCCCGAGCAGTAAAGAAATACGTCATGCGTCGTTACGGGATTGTCCTCAACAGAGATGAGCCCCGCGATGCGTTTGCGGATGTTCTCTTTCTCGGCCGTCGCGTCGCTTGAGACGGGTGCAATTATAGATAGGGGCACGTTTGATGAGGAGACGGTGCAGACATGAGAAGCGCAGTCTTGAACAAAAGAGTCGGCGATTCGTAGACAGTATTCCGCCTGACGGCTGGAAACGCCCTCTCCGGTGTGCTGCCAGAACTGTCGCGCAACTTTGACGTTATCGGGGTGGAATGAAACGGCATGCAGGTTTGTCCACGGGATTGTATGCGACTCCTTGTCCCCGTCCGCCAGTTTAGCAGAGACACAGACTACCCGTACTGAACTGTCCCGGGCTGCACCAACGGAGATCGTGAGGGGGCGCGGGACTCAACGCCAGACTAAGACGCACCATGGTCGTGAAGATAAGCCTGACACCGCTCCGCTATGTCGTGCGTGGGGAACACGAGCGCTTCCTGACTGCTCTCTCCAAACTTATCGACGATAACGCGGCTGAGTTTAGTGACGAGGTGATGTACAAAGAACCTGCAGAGTCAGAGCGCGTCTTAGCATGTTGGCCATCACAAGCAAACGTTTCAACACGGCTACAGCAACGCACCTTGGGTATCCGTTGTTCATCTGCTTGAGCACCACAGGGTTCCTGCTCGCCCATCCCAAAGTCGCCTCCCACGATGGTAGAGAAACACTGACGGCCTGTTATCCACCGCGTGAGGCATCCAACGCGTAGACGTCATCAAGACACGTACGTGGACATCGCCTGGCGGGATGGTCTGTCCGAGTACGCTGTTGGAAGGCATAACGTCAAAGACTCATACAGAGAAGTTGGAGAGGGATGGAGGTCCGAAAAGCCAATCTGCGGATGACATATGTAGTGGGCGCTGTTCGCTTAAGAAGCTGCCTGCCTGTACGCCGTCGATGCAGACCGTGCGCCCGTCATCGTCGACTTTAGGCATACTTCAGCCCCATTATCTCCGAAAATCACAGCACGAGGCTAAAATAAAACCAAAGCGAGATTCGAGACCCGCACGATAACAGTGCGAATCAGTCCCTTGTCTACAACGAGGCTCCGGAGCTTGGAACGTTTAGAGACCACGATAACTTGATGTCTTGATGTTTTCAAGTGTAGTCCCGCTGAGGCTCGTCCTACAAAGTTTGGAGTGATACCACGATTTCGCATCGAAAAAAGCTGTACTGAACGTGATACTGTCCAGATATCTTCCTACCCTCGAAGTCGATTAGATGCCTCGAGGAGATGAAACCACTGTTCAACCTTACCAAAGTTCGTGTGGCATACTGTATACCGCCACGCTCAGGATTAAATAAACGAACACATTAATTGATCAAACCTTGTTACAATGTCGTCAGCAGCGGCGGTGTTGAGGGGCGGCCTTGGCCATGCCATACTAAGGACTACGCATCTAATGTTACATGGGAGCAGTTCTATGTTCCCAACCTCTGCTTCGCACTGTTGGCCTTTTTATACCTCATTGAATATCACAATCGCCACGGAACCTTCCTCTACAAGCACCCTTGCTTGGTCCCGGTTGATGTGGCCAGAGCACTTCTCAAACGTCAGCTTGGCCAGTCTCCGACCACAGACTGCCCTCCGAATGGCGAGACATCGACGCAATAGTCTGAAGGTAATGTCCACTGGAGGAAGCGACGGAGTTGACGACCCGCCGCCGTCGGAGAACTTTATGTTGGCAACGCTGAGCTCCTCAAGATTCGGCAACGGGCAGTCGGCTGTCTGTAGTACGCTACGGGCATCACTGCGATCACGAAGGTCGAGATGTGGTTCAAGAGAACATACCCAGGCAGCAGTGCAGGATTCCGCTGATCTGAAGGTTTCTGTTGATTTGGTTGCCATAGACAAGGTCTGGGCTTCCGGGAAGGTATGCCACAGACGCTCCCAGTGCACCTGCTCCTTGAACATCGTATCCTGTATGTTTAGGTGTTTGATGCTTGTCACGCCAACAGTGGCGCCGATGACACCGATAACATGAGATAAGTCCAGAGGATCGACATATTGCCAGCGAAGGTCCAACTCGACCTCCACTTTGAAGTTGGCTTCGTGCTCACGCGGTTTCCGAGAGGATACAGAAGCCTGGACGCTGGGCGAAAACGGTTGGAACCAAGGCAGGAACGATGGGCACTTGGACAAGTCTAGCGTTCGTTCGGGATATATCGCATTCGGAATGCTTGAGTGTGAAGAATCAATGGCTTTTGAATGAAAGTGGGGTGCTAAACAGGTTGGCAAAGCCTCGATAATATCACTGCTTGTATCTCTCCCTCTGCTTGAAAATCTAAGAGAAGCCGACGTTGGTACGGAGAGATGATTCCACAAGTTAAAGCATTGAGAGCCGCGGCCACTTAACGACATTACCATGAGGTGAGGCAAACAGACGATATCGCAAGGCGGAGAGGCGGTGTACTGATCGTCAATATTGGTTAAACATTCGAGCAGCAGTATGCGAATGTGAGTTGTCCTTCGAAGGATAGCGACGAGCTGTGGGAGAGTGGGTTGGCAATGAGATCCTCCGTCAATTGCAAGTAGTGTCAAGTTGTCAAAGCAAGGTGCTGGAGCCCACGACGGCAAGCCGCACCCTCTGAGACCGAGCGTCTTCAACCGCGTCGCTGTCTTCATCCAATGCGCCGGTATCGTCTCGAAGCCGCCCACGCGTCGATTCACGATGGTTAGGACCTCCAATGACGAGGCTGGCTGATCCCTCATCTCGGCCAGCAATGGCTCGAGTTGTGAGATATGGGTTGCGCTGAAGCGCAGCTCTTTACAACGTGCAAACCATTGGAACCCTCCCAAAACTCTCCATTGCCGACAATCACTCCCTGTGAGTCGGAGCACATTAAGAGGCATGTTCCTGGAGCGCCTAAGCATCTTGCGAGCGCATATATCGCTGATAGAGAAGTTGGGCGTAGTCCAAAGACCCGGATCCGACAGAATAATGGCGCGCCAGCGTCGGCATACGCACATCACCCTGATCCACTGGAGCCTGCATTCTGCATTACAAGAGTGTGACACTTTCCACGTCGATCTTTCGGGAGGGGTCGCTGGAAAGAATGGGTAGATTTGGGGATCGACTCCTACAGTGAGACAAGCCTCGGCGTAGAAGGCGAATATCACGGATAACACTTCATCGGGTAAAGAGAGGATGGGAGGAAGCGCGGGGCTCGAAGGTGGACGAGGACCTTTTGCTTCTGCCCGCTGCGCCTCGGAACCCATATTCAACTTGAAACGGGGTGAGAAGCGCTTTACGATGTGAGAGTTACAGGCAGCTATGCGGATGGTTTTACGTCAAGGTTTGCGTCAAGGGTGCCTCTGTAAACTGAGGTGCGTCACTCACCGTGTCGATATCAGTACTGGTGTATGCAAAGAAGGGGCGTGAGAGCGGAGACAGGCCTTTTGTGTCCAGCTGACTAGCGCCGACGCGTCATGCATGTCGTGATTAGGCGCGCGCTTTGGACTAAATGCGCCAAGGCACTTGGACAATGAGCTTAAGGCAGGATGCGAGCCGAATGTGAGCGGCAGTCCGTTAAGTATGAATGCAACTCCTTATGCGCGTAGCGTCGCTCTCAGGCACTGGCACAAGTAAAACAAACAATAGTTACTTCATTGCAAGCGTTATTTGAAACAAGTCTAGGCACTACAATGTGGTAAAAGAACATTACGTGTTAAAACAACAAGTGACGCGTGAACCGACTTCCGGAGCCGACACCCGCAACTCTAGTGATGCACAATGGTGCCATGAAAGCGTAAAAGGGACAACGTGAGTGAAATGATACAGCGCGGTGATACTTCTATAGTCGTGTGTCTTCTATGGTCTATCTTCTATGCAGATTTAGTCTCCGTCTAGCCCAATAAATTAAAAGAAAGCAAAAGGCGGGCAGCTGATTTGTGGGTGTAGATCGCTCTTAGGACGACCGGTCCTTGTTCTTTATGAGAAGTTCCACTGGATCTGGAGAACACCCGTGCTGAGATCGCCGAGCTTCTGAAACAGTCCTGGCGACATGTCTGTGACAAAAGTCGCATTAGCTCCCTGCTTAGAAAGTCATGCGGGAAGTTTACTCACCAAGGCTACCAGAGTCGCAAGATGGGCATTCGTCACGGATCTGTCCCCAAGCAGACGCACCGGTCTGAGTGTTGGTGACTTCCACCCACTTAAAGACAACGTAAACACCACTACAAGCGTTCAATACAAAACAAAGCGCTTACCTGGTTGCAGCTTCCTCCATCGCCATAGATGTCCGAGGAGATAGCAACGATTGAGTCGCTGTTCTGATTCCAGTCTCCGCAGGCACCTTCCCCCACGTTAAACCAGGTTCCCTGAGCGGTACGTCAGATGAGATGAACACTTGAGTAAAGCAATGCACATACCTGTCCCCAGTAATCGCGCTTGTTAAGTTCAACATTGTTGGGCAATGGGACAGCGAGCACCAGGAGCAACGAGGCGAGCAAAGAGAGGATGAAGAGGCTGATGTTGGCCATTATGAAGTAAACAGTGCTTAGAGGTTATGAACGGCTCGGAGAAGGTTGGGAGCTCAAGATGTGCGTGAAGAGAACTTGACTGTGAGGGGCACAATATAAAATCGTCGAAAACCACTCTCTTTTATACCTTTGGTTGGGCGGCTCATTTGTCTCTTACCTCAGCCCTGCACATGGTGCGGGACCAACTACGCGTTTTAGGGAGAGAACAACGTCCACCCTGCATTGCCGGAAGTGACGCGACGGCGCAACTGTCAAAAAGAGGGTTGCGGTTGCCTTGACCTCAGCTTCGAGATTTCTCCGTACGTGGATCGGCAAAGCCCTTGAGCAGACAAACAACAATTGACGGAGATGAATACCGCACAGGTTACCTAAAACACGTGAACAACACGCACGGACAATGAGGAAGGTTGAATCAGAGGACAACGAAGGGCGGTTCCAACAAGACGGTCAGATTACGACAAGACAAAAATTGAAACTTACCTTCCGAGTCGCGTCTCCGGTGCGCACCCGCGGTGGCTTAATGAAGCCGGCCACGCGTGCCACACGGGCCTCGGAGCTCGCGCCGACTGAATTTCATGCTAGGCACTCCCTAAAGGGAGGTTCCACATCCAAAGCTATGCCTTTGTGCGCAACGTCTGGGCCTATTACTTCCTCCCTCTTACCAGCCCTTGTTCACGTTGTCAGAATCACGGTCTTAGACTGTCTTAGACTCTCGGGCCAGTGTCAATCAGGGCAATATGCCTACGGAGACAAATGCGCACGATCAACTTCAGGAACATTTCCGCTTCCGCTTTTGTACGGACCCTTGAAATTTGCAGCAATGGAAGGTAAAGTCTAGATCTCTTGTACACTCGCCTCGAGCAATGTCTCCGTCGACGTCCCGGCCACTGTCCCGGTCCAAGCACATGCATTGATTCCACTTCGATCCGCAGTGGCTTCTAAGTTCTAGCGCTTCATATATCTCACCGTCGCCCTCGATCGATGACTCGAACGCATGCTCGATCGATTGGTCTCGAAGGCTCACATTACTCGCTTTGGCTCAAGGTGCAAGATTTTGTGGTCTGATCAGGTTTGATCCCGTTGCTATTAGCTTATTTGTGCCTTGAATAATACACGGCACCTCCGCGATCAGCCGCCGCTGTCAAGAACGGGCGATCAAAGCCTCTTTATAATCACCCTCTCTCGCGCGGTTCACACATATTCTGTCCATTTTCTCCGTTTCAATACACTTCCTTCCTCTTCGATCCATGCTGATCCATGGATCCGACTCAGTGCGTCTAAGCAGCGTATCCCCAAAATTCGCATGAACTACCTGAACATGCAAAGGGCTGAGTTCTTATCAAGGGCACATATATTGACGTTGGGGGGACACGTTCCGCACACGCCGGGTGTTCAGTGAACTGTCTCTTCGTGTATCGCCTTCGGGCGAGGTCCGAATCGTATTATTGGCCACCCTCACTCCCAAACATTCTTACAACATCAAAGGACAAAAAAAACTCTTTCTCCTTCTCACCAACGACAGTATGAGGCAGGCGATCCACGAAGGATGTATGCATGCATGCAGAGGGTACATTCCTGATTATTGCTTTTCATGTGATATTGAACATCTCAACTGAGCGTTTTTCTCCACTGGTATATTGGCTCGTGTTGACTTGGTGTTGACTCACGTTCAATGGCCATTGCGCGGGCCGTGTAATGACTGTCAGCGAGTACCACTGGTGCTGGAGGCGAGTCCTACTGGTGCTGGAGGGTATCTAATGTCACCAGAGATTACGAGCCTTGTACTTGTCCAACTGTAGCCAAAACACTTGTAGCTTTTTTGAGTTTTGATGTTGACCGCCGCTAAGTAGTGGCTGTGCATTTGGAGTCCAGACCGGCAAGTCTCAGCACGTGCATCACGTCACAGGCGAGCACTGCATTCCAAGCCACTCTGTGTCGGACCGCGTTTCATGTGTTTCGCCCGTTGTCCTGTTCCACGAGTTGCCTGTTGCTCAGATTACCCACCATCGCATCATACCACGAGATCAATCATACCTCGCCATGCAGAAGTCAGCAGAAAGTTATGGGAAGAATCTCCCGGTACGCCGTGTAATCGCGTTTGGTCAGGTCCCCGAGCGCTGACAACTCTACATCCAGGATCAAGTTGATCAAATAGCCAGCGCGCTTGACGCGCACATCGGGCTTCTGGAGGATGTATGTGTGGTTTGCTCGGAGTGCCTCAAAGTTGTGACTAATGGGATACGTGTCAGGTCCGCGAACTATACCGCGATCGCGCTACGCTCGAGCGCGAGTATGCGTCCAAGCTGCAAACACTGGTGCGCAAAGCGGACGAACGGAGAGCGAAGAGGGAGGTTACGATAGTTGGTGGTATCCATCCCGCCAAACCCATCACCGATGGTGATGTTAAGCAGAGGTTCGCTTTCTTGTCTGGACCGTTCCGTGCACCCCTGATTACCGAGTACCGAGTAGTACGATACTGCAAGCATACACCCAGGTCACTGCCTCTATGGCCTCCACGGCTCAGGATCATATCAAACTCGCAGAGAACCTCGTTCAGAAGGTCACCGAGCCTTTAAGACTCGTCGAGAAACGCAACGTGGAATTAAAGACCAAGGTTCGCTGGTAATTATACCTCCGTGTCACCGAGTTGACTTCGCAGCAGGAGATGCAATTCTATCAGAGGCTCCTCTCAGATAGAGACTCGCTTTATGCTGATCGAATCAAGGTCAGGCAAATCGTTATTCCTCCCCCTGTCTGAACTAAACCTTGGCGCGAAACAGATGAAGCAGAAGGTCGGCAGTGATCTACATCGACCTCAAAAGCACTAACCTTCCCACAGTACGATGAGAGTTGCACGGATCTTGAGAGTTATCGCGCAAAGCAGGTGGGTATTTATCCGGCTTCAGTAATGCTGTTCTGAGAGCAGCAGGCCAAACTGCAAGATGATCGTCATGCGGACAGAATCGCCAAACTATTCGATGAGCAACGAGTGGACATGCTTACTAACAAGAAGTAGGTCCGTCATACCTGGCGCGTATATGTGGCTGACTGTCCTCGAAAAGCATGTACATTATCTCTACTGCGATAGCCAACAGCGCGAAGGAGAAGTTCTTTACCAACGACCTTCCTAATATCGAGGATGTGAGCGAACTGGTTTGTAATACTACGATAGACTAGAGCTAACATCTAGGTATCAGGCGTTTCGTGAGGAACCGAGTCAGTGACCACTGTCTATCAAAACTGACAGTTATCATAGAGGATATCCAAAGTCGCTTGGTCGAGAAGCTTGTGGACATAATGCTCGAATGTCAAGGTATACAGCGTGATCACCAAGATGCGTTGATCAAACACGTAGTCGGGGCCGAAGATGCATTGAAAGTCGTTCAGCCCAGCAAGGATCAGGAGCTCTTCATCGAGCATAACGTAAGGCCATTCAACACCCCTGCGGATTGGACGTTCGAACCATGCGCAAGCCATTATGACACGGTGAGCGGTGCATTAGCAGAGGAAAATCAGCTTTGCTAACCCAGGCCGCAGGACGAGATGAGCACCGAGCCTGCACCGAAAATCTTCCTTCAAAACAAGCTAGCCAAGGCTCGCAGTAAACTCGACGAGCTGACACCTATCCTAATTAGTAAACGTATGAGATCGTTTTGATCGCGCCGGTCCCGCCTGACCAGTCTTTTAGGTCACGAGTCTGAGAAGTTGGGCGAAATCGTGAAAGCGTATACCGCTAACAAGAGTTTGGGGAGCGTTGACGACGCGCTTGTTGTAAGTGCTCTCGTCTGCCGACAGGTCTTCTAGTGCTTAGCATGGTGGCTCTTGGCTGTCGCAAGAACTACTTCGATGCGTCTCAACAGACAATTCTTTATGAAAGTTCCGAACGTATCATAAAGACAGAGCTCGAGGCTATCTCTTCCACGTTGGGAGGTAAGTGTAAACATTATACTATACATGCGCAACTAGTGCAGACCGCTGATTGTCGCCAGGGGACGAGGGTGGACAGTATCCCCACTCGTTCAAGAGTACATCATTTTCCATTCCGACGCCTTGTGGCTTCTGCAAGGTGCGTAAATACATAAAATGATTCTACCAAAGTTCGAGCATGCCTTTTAGGTATCAATGTGGGGTTTTAGTAAGCAAGGCAAAACGTGCACGGCGTGCGGTCTTGCAGTGCACTTTAAGTGCGAGCTTAAGGTCTGTCACGACTCTTGAATTGTTGTTCTGGCATCTCATGGGCTCGCAGATACCCGCGGACTGTACCGAAGCTCAAGGGCAGCACAACGCTTCTGAGACATTGACGCGGACTACATCGAAGGTGATCAAACCAGAGCTCAAAGCGTCCGCCAGCGAAGGTACGTAAATGTTTGGTACTTGTTGTCATTGCATTCATGGCTTGGACAGAAACCCTTACCAACGCTGAACCCGGAGATATCCCGACTCCATCTTCATTCATTAATTTCACTAAGGAAACTCAGGCTTCTGCGCGCATGTTGTTCGACTTCTCCGCGTCATCGCCTTTTGAGTTGAGCGTGACAGGTGCGTGGTGACGCTCATGCTCCGGCCAATGCTAACATCGTGTAAGATGGAGCCATCGTGCATGTGCTGGAGGAGGACGACGGTTCCGGATGGGTCAAGGTCGCCGATCAAACAGGTGGGAAAGGTTTGGTTCCGGCTTCTTACCTTGAGTCTCTAGATGAACAACCGGGAGGGGCGCCTGCCAGTCGCGCACGATACGGTAAGCGCCATCGTTACGATATGCTTTTGATCTTATCGTCTTGAAATCTATGTCTTGAACAGTGCGCGTCCTGTATGACTGGGTTCCGCAGGGCCCTGACGAAATCAGTGTCAAGGAAGGTGAGGTCATTGAGCTCTCCGACGACCCTGCAAATGGTACCGATGCTGGATGGTGGGAAGGTGAGCATAAGGTTATCTTGCATGCTCACTATACCGATCACATACCATCCTGGATCGCAGGCTTCTCGGCGGCAGGCCAGAAAGGGATCTTCCCCAGCAATTACGTTCGTCCACGGTCCGTGTTCCGAGCCATAATCAATAGCTAATGCCACAGACTTCAGGTGGAGCTCGTTCAGTGACCGAACTTGTATCGGGGACGTGCTGTGGTGTAGATGGACAATGGATCATGTTCGTTTTGACTGCGTGTAATCTCACGGTGGGGCCAAAGCAATGTTCTGTAATGGCTACTCTAAGCAGGTTGGGAGGCGAGATTGCACGATCCCCGCTTTGCTGCCCGGAGATTGCCCTTTTATCGTCGATGTAAGTACGCCGCTCAGTATTCCCCACGACGGGCGCTCGGTCGCCCCTGTGTTGCCCATTTTCTCTGGCGCGGGGCCCTGCGATTTGCCGCCCGCTGCATACAGCTTACAAGCAACGCTCACCCGCTGATAGATCCACTGCATAAGGCTATGTTCATTACGGTCTAGGAACCCGTCATTTTAGGGGCTTTATGCGACGTCGTTCCAGGTACGCGTCCTACGCGGGACGTAGGTCTACTCCCAGCTTGGCCTCGTTCATGACATCAGCGCGGCAAAGTTTTGAGGCAGGGGGCAATCACCTGCGGCCACCTTTGGGCCTGAGTCTTTTGGGGATGTTGAATTCAATTTCGCTCGGCCTCGGGGCGATGTCACGTAGCTTGTCACGCACCATTTCTGACCGATCACATCTGTAATGCCCGGGGCACTTAGGCAACGCCGCTGCCATTTCTGGAGAATTTCCGGTCTCACAAAGGAAGTATAACATAAACTGACTATTTGTTCTGCGGGAAACAGGCAGTAGAAAAGACAGCGGGCACGAACCGTGGAACATGCCTGCAATTGTTATTCTTTGGCTCGCATATACTTAGAGTCTGTTACCAATCCGTGGGTGCCTTGCTAAGCGAGCGATGACAGGATGCTGCCATTAATTTACCCTCATTATGGTGTCGCGCGCATGCACATGCTCCTGGAAAGTAGTCCCCCATCAGGTTTGGTCAGCGGTACTGTCGGTTTGTTTTTATTGTCGGACTCAGTAATTATCTTTCACATTCAAGTCCGCAGAGTCAATGTCCGCATTGGGTTCGAACTGCTCAAGCCTGACCCACATTTTTCCCTGGTCGTCTCCTGCGGAAAACTGGATAACGATACGGTGAATTTTCTCGAATATTTTTCTGCTTGTCACGAGCCACCAGCACATCACCGCAATTGCCGCATGGATCGGAAGACAGGTTGCAAGATCGTGGTGCTTGCTTTGGAAAGATGGAAGCATGCTGCGGGCCATCCATGACTAGCTATTCAGGTTATCGCACCTCATCACCATGCCTCGCCTCGTATCTTTTTATGCAACCGATGCGCTGACTCTCATTTCTACGAGCCATACAAGGCAGGTGGACCGCACAACTCAATGAGGCTGGTAACTCAAAGCTGGATCCAGCCGTTTTGCACATGCAACGGGTGCATGCCCTGACTGGGCCTAACTGGGCGCAAGCGGAACCCGAAGCTTAAAAGGAGAGAAAATTCGGACGTGAGTTGCATTAATCCGCTGTACTCAGCTCCCCCGTCTCACCCCGCCTCAGTGTCGCTCTGCAGAGCGTTAATTCCTGGTCCTGGCTCTTGAACCGACTTCTTGGCTTCCATCCAAAAGCGCGGCAGCCAAGTGCCTGACCTTCTACTCGAGTGACGTGAAGGACGCGCTATTGCGATGGATGACTGCGAGGCCGCTTCCTGGGTAGCGACCCGCCTTACATCCCAGCATTTATATCCCTTGGCCCACTATCTGGTGCGTAAATCCTCAGGAGTCACAGGAGTCATGCGTGTAAGGCACGCATCATATGGGCTGTTTCTCAGGAGAAGGTACGATGTGTGGTCGTCAGGCCAGGCGATCTCAGGACAGTCTCATTGTTTGCGGTAGGTGCTTTTGATAGCTTCAAGACTTTTTGATGACACGCTTTCCTCCATATTTATCCTCAATTCCCTTGCCCGCAAGCAGTGGCTTTGGTCCTAGTCTGCCGGATCCCGCAAATCTTTAGGAAGTGAGCCAGCTGTGAGATTGCCAAGGGTTGTACGATGTTCTAGAGTTTGGGATTTTAAGTAGCGGAATGAAGAAATCATGTACTCCACCGTCCTAGTCTTGACCGGCAATAGTGTATCTCCGCTATTGTAGATTTCATATATTTCACCTATTTAACCAAGCGCCTTTCTTGTTACTACGGTCGGGGAAGTTCCGGCATGTGCTTTGCCAAGTTTTGCGTACTGGCTGAAATCAATTATTATACAGTTCCCAGCTGTAAAAAAAGGGTCAAATAAAGACTCCTTTTGATGTACTGTAATCTCTTACACTCAAGACGGTTGCCTTACTTTCCTTATGAGCATCGACAACGGTGGCACGAGCACGAGCACTTTTGTCGATCGTAGAACATGCGCGTCTCTTTTCGAGTCGGAGCTGCAGGTCTCCGGTATCATTAATCCGCGTGTTGATCGTGGCTGCATTGTATGAACGCACCACACACCTTCGCCTCCAGTTACAAGCCTTTCTACTGCGGTGAAGCCAACTTCAGCCAGTTTATTCCCTTATCGCTATCATGGGCTTCCCCTTCACAAAACGGGATGTTACGCCGTAACGCGCCGCAAGCTCACTACCGAAAATGTGTATGCCGATCAATAATTTACTACAAAGTGACGTCGTGTGACCCGGGATCGCCACCGAGGAGATTCTGTGAATTAGAAGCATTACAGTGCCTCTTGAACGATTTAGCGTCTCATATTGTCTTAAGCCGATTCGGCTCACAAGAAGGATGCTGGCGTTTTCTGTCAAGCGAGAGCAACAAACCCATTCAACCGGCGGCTTGTGGCGCCGAGGAGAATAGTGCACTAAACACTGACCATCGCTTACGACTTACATAACGGTCCGGTCCATTCAAAGTTTTCAAAGTTTGGTGACCCGTGGTATCATTTTGAACATTAAACCATGATGCGAGCGAATACACGAAGATGCATCTGACGGGTGAAACGGATCGTCGCATACTTAGAAAGTCAACGGTACGTTAGGTTAAGTTACACGTCCTTAGTACCTACCAAGATAGCAGCGGTGACTAAGGCAGAATTCATGTTCCTGAACACACTGCGTCTCTAGCTCGGAGTTGCCACAGGCGCCCGTCTTTCATTCGAGAACATGCCACTCCTCGACTTTGCCTTAAGAGTAAGTCCATGTTTGGTGATGGCGTGCATCAACCTTCGTAGCTAATGGTCTCCGTCCGCTTCACCTCGGACCGGCGCCGAAGGTTCGTAACAGGTACGGAATGGATCAAAGTTTGATATCTTGTAAAAGCTCTACTTCACCTCCAACGTCCAAACATTAGCGTTACGTATATCCAGCAGACATATGTGCACTCAGGAGTTCGCAAGCTCCGGGCAACTCGAAAGAGCATGAGCTGAAAATAACAAAGAAGCCAATTGATACAATCTGATAGTAAAGATAAATACACGTGTGGTCTGAGTACCGCCCAACAGGCAGCCGCGCGCTCGATCCAACGCGACGCGACGCATGGCTGCCTGTCTATATTAAACTACCTAGCGCCCACCGACTATGGACGTCCGGATGTACTGCGCGTTCGCGCTCATCGGGCCATACGCTGAGCCCGCCGGCAGAGGAGTTGGCATCGCGCCACCAAGCGCGGGCGTCGGCAACGAGCCCATGCCCATGCCCATACCCATCACGTGTTGCCCGCCGCCGCCTCCGCCAAGACCGGCGCTGCCCGGTGCTGGCGTGCCGCTCCGCCCATCGCGCATGCCAATGCCAGCAGCTGCTGCTGCCGCTGCGACGTTTGCGGCGGCAGTGGCGAGCGGCACCGCACGGTCTTCTCGCTCGGCGATCGTCGCGCCGTTCCGGCCCGGATCCACCATGCCGTTTGGTGAGGTGAAGGTCTGGCCGAGGCCATACAGCTTGCCGCTGTACTCGTCGTCGTCGATTTGGTCTTCGAAGAAGAGTTCGCGCATCTTGAAGAAGACGGATGCAGTGAGAAGTGAATCCGAGCCAGCTTGATGGGAAGTTCCTATCCGCAGGACCTACAACAGCTCAGCATTGAACGAACTCAGGAAGTTGACAGGGGCTATTAACTTACACCAAGGTCATCTGCGATATCCTGGAGCCCACCTTTCAGTGACTTGCACGCCCGCATCATGAATTTTATGTCGTATACATGTGGAAACCACATATTAAGCTCGTCAAAGAACACGTCTTCTGCTGATGGTAACGACTGGGCGGTGAGAAGCTTGACATAGTAGCCAAAGTCATATCCACTATAAGGAAAGGTAAACATGAGGGAAATGCAATGCACAAACATATACGCCACCCACCTGTGGAAGGACAACCACTTCACATCTGGGTTTAAGACGAGCCCGGAAGTGATCATGAGTTCGGCAAAGTCATTGGGGTCTATCCCATACTCCTCGTGCCGGGCAAAGTCAAACCCTGACTTCTGGAGCAGCTCGATTGACTCGGGCGCGTACATGTCGGTCCTGTATCGCCCAACCCCGCCCAAAGTCCCACAACGGTCCGATTCAGCGCACAACACACATCGCGGCCGCATCACAAGACCAGCACCATTTCCAAAGCGACAAAGGTCGTAGGCCACCATCAATCAAACCAAGCAAGCACCCTGTCAGCACCTCCCCAGCACCCAAAGACAAAAGGAGGAAGAACACACGCAAGGCTGAACCGGAAGTTAAACTGCCACGTCGCCGCGTCCTGCGGGAAGCTGCCCTCCTCGTCCGCGAGCGTGATGCCGACCTGGATGATGCGCAGCAGGTCGACATTGCACCGCATCGTCTGGTAGTGGTAGTCCGACGACGTCTTGAACGACCCGATCGGCCGCGCCACGACGCCCGGGAACTCGGTGTCCTGTTCGTGCGAAGAACACAATATTGGCGTCAGCTCAAGTCTGGCATGTCAGGATGTGGCGTGGCGTTCGAAGAAGTTCAGAAGCGCGAAGACGCTGAGAGAACGTCTCCAGCACGGTGGCATGCCGAGGTGGGAAGCCGCGAAAAGGGGGAGTAGGTCAACAAAGGGGGTACGCGACGCACCATGGCAATGTAGGGATATGAGTCAACAAGGTCGCGGATGGTACGCATCTCGGCCTCTAGGTTGACGGACCATACGTCTCGTATCCGCGACATAGTTCCGAGCGCTTGTTGAGCTCACGAAACCAGGGGGAGGGTGTGGGGTTGCTGTAGCGATACGCTCAGTTCGAGTTCAGTGGTACGCGTCGGCCCGGTGTTTGTCACGGTTATGTCAGATTGATGGTGTAGATCGCTGAAGTAGAGGTGAGAGACACGTAAATTGGAGGAAGAGAACAACAGTACGAATACAAGAAATCTGCTTGTCGGTCGAGGGCGACGACGGGGACGGTGAGACAATGGACGAGCTCGAGCGCTTGAGTCCCCATCGGCCACGGCATTTGGTCCAGAATCTCGACTACCGCATTCGTCATCCTCTCGGAGCCAATTTACCACCCCCGATCTGGACATCCTTGTAATCTCAATCAACTGAACATCCGTCATCACGACATCTTACAATTGGCAGACAACGATCTATTGTGACTTGCGTTACAATGTCATTACTCCGCGTCAGGTAAAGCAAGACGCCTTTGGGAAAAATACAGGAAGAGTGAAGCTAAACTACTCGACAATATGCCACAGAGAAACTATGCGCTGTGCCAATCTTCACTACGTGTACGTGGATGGAATGGAAGTGTGATCGGCAACATGATCACAAGGATTGGGTAGAACCAAGTGAAAAGCAAAACAGAGATGGAAGAAAATCGACAGACATCACTAACAAGCAAAACAGTTGCAACGTCAGAACCACGACATGTACGTGCTGCTCTGGTTCTCGAGGTTAGACCCCAGAGCACCAAAATCAAGGTTAAACGTGTGGTTCCCAACGCGTTGGCCTCCGCCGCCCAAGTGCATCTCGACATCCCCATAACTACCGCCCGACCGGCGGAAGCTCGCCAGCATCTCGTCGCTGTCCACGTTGGAAAATGGTGCTTTGCCCGACCACGACGTGGGCGAGTGCTCGCGCACGGGCGGCGGGGCGTCGCGCTCGACTGCACACAGCAACTGGCGCAGCTCGCCGTGAACATGCGCGAAGGACGCTGGGGATACACCGTCGGCCAGGACACCATCGCTGTCGCGGCTTTCAGTGCGTGCCGAGCTGACTGGAGCATAGCCCGAGACAGAACGCTGGGGCGGTACTTGCGTTTGATGCCACTGTACATACGAGCGATGCGCTTTCTCCACGATCTTGCTCAGCAGCGGCTGTCATACATATGAGTCAACCGAGTCAGAGCGTTGTAAAGCGAACTACCATACCAGAGCCTGATGAACTCTAGGACACTCCTCAGCAACCTTGGAGAACAGGCGATGAACCTTGTCGAGTTCCCCGAGGGCGTAGGGCGCGAGGCTGAGTGAAGGCGCCCGCGACACAATCAGCGACAACGCGACCTATTCCCGCAGCCATCAGCGCTCGTACTACATGGACTTTGAAGCACTCGGAACTCACCGCCCCAGAAAACGCATTGAACCAGAAACACATAAAGCGCTTGCTAAGAGCCGGTTCATTCTTCTCCATCGCATCCAGCGTCGCAATCAAGCGTGCCGCAGCGCCATATGTTGCAATCACACTTGGCCCATACCGGTGCGCATACGAGAACTCCGATGCATCGCTCAGAGCATCCGTGAGGAAGTTCCGGTGCAGCTGCAACAACACTGAAAAAGCATCAAACAGCACCCCGTCAGACACGGGCGAGCGCTCAAAACGCAAAGCTGACTGACCAATCTCCCGTCCAGTGCTGACAAGCACCTGCTGCATCGTCAGCTGCCGCTTCGCCACTGACCCGGGCTCCAGCCCCCACTCGCGCGGACCTCGGCTCTTTCCGAGCCAAGCAGGGCCATGGATGTCAAGCGAGTCAACGCCAACCGACGTGAAGATATCAAGCGCGTCTGGCACCAAGAAGCCCCGCACACGCGCGTCCGTCTCAATGACGTGTGCATACTGTGGCTCGTGGGCACTCATCATCGTGCCCAGCACCGGGGCGAGGCAATGCTCGTAGAATGAGTGTTTCCACTCGTGGTCTAGTATTTTTTGTGAGCATCCTCGTGCGCAGAAGCGACGTGGAAGGAACACATACAAGACGGGCACCCAGGCGCAATTACCATACCGTCGGCCGTATACGACGGCCGCCGGCAATCTACGTGATCGATCGAGATCGACGGAGGTCGCCCAAGAGAGAGTGCCTAATCATATCAACGACCGTTCAAGGCGTCCAAAAAGACCCAATGATCATCAGGACAGTCAGCCACGTATCGACACCGAATTGCAGATCGCGACACCACAGGTACGGATGGGAGCCCCCGTCAGCACATTTACGAGGATCATGTTTCAAGGCCAATGCTTACCAAGCGCGCATCAAGCGAAAGTAGTTCCCAAAGGAGCATCTGCCGCCTTTGCGATTCTTCCGGGATCGCCTTCGACTTGTGTCCCTCGCGATCTGTACGGGCGATTCCACGAGTCGTCAGCAAGTGAGGTCGCTTAACATACTCTATACTCACGTAGACCCAACTAACCCAGAAGGACGACTATCAGCCCACATCTCCTGCCGACAAAAAAAAAGCAGACCACTCACACTCTGAGCAAGTTTCATAGCGAGACCCGAGAGACTCCACGCATATGCTACAGCCTGAGCCTTGTCCGAAAAAATCAGGAGATACCAGATCATATAAAACTAAGAAATCACGTCAAAACGTTTTGCCTAAACTTTTACCAGCGGATAAAAAAAGTTTCAGCCACTCACCAGCGTCTGTAGCAAGTCCAAACTTGGCTCATCCAGCACGTTAATCTCGCAAAGACTCGCCCTGGCAAGCTGATGGTAAACCTCCGCCATCGGGCTCTCCTTCTCGCCGTTCAGATCTACCAGCAGACCCATAGCACATAGCATATAGAGCAGACCGACGCGGCGGAAGTTGACCTCGGGCAGCGGCGTTGTGTACACATGATGAAGAATGTTCGGGAGCCACGTCTCCGACGGGTCCAGGTTGTATTGCCACAGCGCATTCGCGCGCGCTATCATGCAGAGGCGAGTCGCCTCTTCCCTGAGAGGAAGCAGCGCGTAGATTTGGGGGCGAGGGGGGTTTACTGTAGCCCAGGGGAGAGGGAAGGAGGCGCTTAGGCGCGCGACTTCTGGAGGTAGTGAATACTCGCTTGGAGTGGGAGAAGTTTTGATAATTGCTTCAGAACGAGGAGGCGACGAAGGGCCAGGACCATCGTGAAGGAGAGGACGGGAAATGGAGTGCACGGGTGAGTGAGGGTCTGGCGAGCCGTTCTGAACGACCGTGCCATTCCCAGAATGGTGCTGGACGCCATTACCAGAAGGCGGGCGGCTCGGGAGCGGGGCGGCTGATGAGTAGAGCTCCAGCGCGTTCTTGATAAGAAGCTGATCAGAGCTAAGTAGGGGGTGTGGGATGGTCGGCGGCGGTGACGTGTTTGCGTGTGCGGCGTTGAGCGCTTCTTCGAGAACGCGGATACGCTCTGACATGTTGATGATCTTTGCGTGAAGTTGTTCCGTGTTCGCCAAGATGAACCTGCAAAGAATCAGGCCTGTCAGTTCGATCCGCCGACGCCGTCAAAGTCATGGTGAAAGGGGGTTATCCGCGGGAAACGGAGATGAACCAGTGCACATGAAGAAGGAAGCGAAAGTCGCAACTTGTGGAGAAGTCGTACCTGCTTCCTTTCCCCGAAGTCAAAGCACCTGCGAAGCATCGTCAGTTCTATCACAATCTCGCACTCTATCACAGAAGCCCCTGTTGGCTCCACAGCACGGCACAGACGGCATCGGTGGATAGCACAAGGAGCAAGATACTCACCGTCTGGACATATCTCTGCGCACCCTCGCTTCGTACATGACTGGCACGGGAACACCCGATCGCACTACAACCCATATTTCGATGTTAGCGCCGACGCGTTCACACCGGCCGACAGATGCGGTGGCAAGTGGCAAGCGGACGTACGCGTAACTTCAACCTGAGTATCCCCAATCAAACCGGGCGCGTCAGTGTCACGAATACAGCGCATATACCCAGCCATAAAAGTGTGCGACGTAGGAAACGAGAAAAAGAAAGATGCACACCTGCGGCATTCTGCGCACGACAACGGCTGCTTCTTGCTATGCGACTTGCGTCCTGATCCCGACGGAGGTGCGTGAGGCTCCTCCGGCGTACCTCTTCCCGATACATGCACCCCCTCGCCCTCCCCTCCCGAATGGTGCCCGCCTGGTGTCACAGAATGAGGGATCTGGTGCATGGATTGAGGCGGTGGGTGCGGTATTGAGTGCGATGCCGGGTAAAGGATAGGCTGTATCGGCTGCGCGCTCGGGCTCGCCTGCGCTGTGCTATTGTTGCGTGCGCGCTTCGGCGAGCGAGAGCTCTCCGCCAAGTCAGGCGGGTCATGCACGAGGGCGCGGCCATCGCGTTGATGGTCCATGTTCTCGTGATGCATGCCTGTGTCCCCGTTAGCGATGCGAATCATTAAAGCAGGCGGGTTTGAGTATGTTGCCCGGTCTCGTTCGGCGAGGTTGTGCTATACAAGAGTGTCGGTGACCGCGAATATGGCGTTTGAGGGAAACACAGGAATAAGTGAAACACAGGTAGCCCGGTTATTGGACGGCCGATAGCTCCAAGAAGGCGGGTTTATCAGCAGTGGAGTCTGAGACCGAAAAGCTAGGCCAACAAGTTGTCCCCTGAGTGTCCAGAGATGATGTGGCGGGAGGGAGATGGAGGGAGAGAGGAGAGAAATGTTGATGTCGAGAGTCGAGACTTTGACCGCGCCGCCGAAAGCCGAGAGACGTGAGGGACAGTCAGCACGGATGGGGTGAGATTGTGTGGCCTAAGCAACTTTGAAAGGGGAACAGGGAGGGGAGGGGCCGAACTGCACGGAGTCGGCTCGTCCGCGGTAGATATAGGCTAGGCCCAGATTACGGCACGTCCCCTTTCAGTATATCCGGCCCAAGCTTGCCCAGGCCACGGGCACAACAGGACGAGCAGGCAGCTGAGCCTAGTTCTCCCGCGGCCACTCGTCATTCTTAGGGCGCTCCGTCTCGCGTGAACACATTCAGACTCATCCAACGGCCGACCCAATTATCAATATTCCGGGTCGGCTTGGTTCGTGTTCGAGCCTGGTTTCACAACGTGAGATTAAATGAGATCCAGAGAGCACATGGCAGGCTGCAATGATCCCGTAATGATCCCCACCGATCACCGGGCGTGCTGTCGGAACTCTGACGTCGGACGCGCAGTCCCCGAACTCCCCAGTACCTCTTGCCTCTCTTGGGCTGGATCGCATGGGGCCTCTTCCACTCTTCTCATATTCTCGACGACCGCGCATGACTTTGTCTGGCACTTTCCTCTGGGAGACGAACCGACGCGTTCGTCAAGAAGACTGATTCTACGCCACCAAGCCTCTGCACATCACTTCAACACTGATATGAAGTTGATCATGCCGCGCCTTGCCTCTCCGCTTCGATCGCTTCTGCACGGACCTGGTTTGTGTCCGTTTGCGCGTTCTCTTGCCTCTTTGACGAAGTAACCTTTGTCATGACCTTGCAAAAATAAACAGCCCTAATCACAGCACACCGCGGTATACACGCTCTTTGATTTTGTATCGCTCTCTGGTTTTCTATCAAGCGTTCTGGATCTTTCCACGCCTCTGTGCACCTAACCGTAGAAGACGGCGACGTGAAGCATAACCGACCTGTGTCCTGACCCCTATGATATCGTGTTTCTGAAGTTACCAACAGACACATGCATACACGCATCTTCTGCTTCTCTTCGATGGTCGTAAAAACAGGTGCACGCATCGTGATCGCATTCGTACACCATCTCACGCTCGTAGATTTCGCAATGACTCTATGCACCTTTCGCTCCTGCATCGTCAAGCTCAACAAACCAGTTCTGTTCCAGTTTTTCCCCAGCGGCGCCCTTGATTGTGTTTCCCTGCGTCCCGCTTTAGGTCCACAAAATTCAGACTCGCCTGACTCTTGTTCTTTCTTCCGCAGCCCACTGCCTTGTCAACTATCACTTAGGCTTTAATCGGCCTATCACCAGCACTCGAACATTCTATCATCTGGCCACAACTGTGCTCCGGGGCCACGAACACAACACGTACATACCGGCAACCACACTTCCGAGTCCGGTATACCAGGGTATACCTCCGAGCGTGCCGGAGGACGACTTTGATCTACCATGTCTTTCGACCTAGTTTATCGTGTCCTTAACTTTCTTTGGGCCCGCGGGGCTCGGACGAATCATGTCCTGGATGAAGGATTCACTTGTCTTCGGACCGTGCCCTCCGTGATCACCATTAGCTCCTCGCCACCGACGCAAGGGGCGGTATCTACCGACAAACACTCGAATAATCTTGGAGCGTTTCAGCTGCATCGATATGATTGGCGGCCTCGACTCTATTTCTCAGTAACGACCACCGACGCCCCGCGGAATCCGGGGACGAGTGATACGTGGTTTAAGTTGTAGAGTATAGCTAGCGCTGCTCGTGGTCTGCAATGCAGTGGATATGAACGCCTATGGGTCAACGTTTATGCATTATCGCGGCTATGTCCGACTGCTTATGGGGGATCTACGAACAGACGCCTAAGTACCCCACTGTAGTGCTCCGGACGACGCGGTGCCATCGTACTTCCGCCGGCTCTTAGTCCAATCACTGATTAATCGTCGAGTGTCGGGACCACGGGTGGCGATCCCGATCAAACCTGACACGAGAGTGAACGCCAGCCTCATCTCACCCCCTACGTCTGGATATGCTCTGGCCTGCTTCAGCAAAAGAAGGGCTTTACCCGGCGATGGAGGGCTCCGCGTTGATGCGAGTGAAGAGCACCACTAAGAGGACGTTGCGTGAGGTCCTATCAACGCGTCGGCATTCATTCCTTTCAAGTGCTCTCGAAGTAGTATACTGATTGACTTCGAGGGTCGAGGTAACAATCGCACCTCAGTTTCACCGCATCTCCCCGTGCTCTGTCTCCCCTGATCAGCTTCGTGCGGCGTTCGACATCTCTTGGCCGTCGTACCCGTTCTCTCGACGCACGTTCATTCGCTGTCCTTGCTCTTGTCCCTATCTTGGCTATCGTGTTCGACTTTTGGGTCGCTTTCCCCCGCGCCTGTCGTAACGAACCCCCACTGCACATGTCTTACGGGTTTCAACGGCGTCGCAGTGAACGCTCTGCAGCTACCCACGCCCTTCGCGTTTCATCGCCTACGCCGTTCTTGCGCAGGTCACTGACTCCGGAGCTCTGTTCTTGATACCAGCCAGAACCGTTCGGTCCTCAACACGCGCATGAACCGACTCAATCCGACTCCTTATCCGTGACAACCGCATCAAAGCCAATCGACTCGGCGGGCGACGAAGCCGATGTTGATCAGGGGGTGCAAATGTATGTGCCTCCGGTCCAAATCCATCTGCCTGAACGTTTCCGCCGATGCCCCCCGATCGTCCGGGTCGATCGGATGACTTAGTGCTGGCACGTCGGGCCATATCGGACCGTGGGACTGGAGTGTCTTGATTGTGATCACGTGCTGGCTTATTCACGGGAGGAAGTCCGACCGACTCGGGTTCGTTGTCGTCATTTTTGCTGCTTCTTGACCTTTCTCGACCTTGGCCAACCTTCTTTGGTCTTGTGGACGTACGTTCTGGTGATGCGTTTGCGTGCGTTTGAGGTCTTCCGGCCATGTGGTGACAGATTCGCTGAAATATGTCTTCTAATTACACGTTCGAAAGAGTGCACCTTGGCCAAGTAAGTCCGAGGGCCAAGTGGCGGCGGACTTGTTCTTTAAGGATCCGACTCGTCTAGTCCTGCGTCCGGTGCATCACAGTACCTTTTTCTCTGACGAGACCTCGCTCAGCTTGAAAGCGCGGCGCTGACTCTCGTCAAAGTTGACCATGATGATCAAGGCGCCCGGGAGGCATCTTTGTCCGTGATGAATCGGTCCTCCCGTTTCTCAGGTGGATACCCATCCATTGGCTTATACTAGGTGCATCCGTGCCTCGCCCCCTTTCACCAGTAATGTGCTGATCGAATATCCGTCTAATCAGCCTTAACGACGACGTGCCCTTCAAGGCAGAAGCATCTACATCCCTTGTGCTAGAACGGTAAGGTGTATACGATTTTCGTCATCTGGTTCCTTATCCTCTGGAGGCGAGCGAGCGACAAGTTAAAATGACCATGTCACCAATCCCCAGTGCTCTACGGCCAAAGTGAACCATTTTGGTGCATACCTTTTGGGGGCTTTCTCACTGAGGCCTGTCGTCCCCGCTAGGCGCAACCCCTGGACGAAGTTAAGGTAAGTTACCAACGCTTGAGGACAAACTTTGGTCTCCTGCTCACACACGTAGATACCGGCGATAACTTAAAGCTCTTCAGCCTCGAAAGGTAACATTGTTGCTGATTGCTATTTTGAAGTGCGTGGGGCAAACTCCTTTCGGGTTTCTGTAAGCTGTAGCATTGGTGCGCTTACTGTACGTCGAATCTACCCTAGGCTGTGCGTTCGATCATCTCGCACAACGTATGCTTGATTTGTTGCCTCATGCATCCTTATTCGGAACGTGCAGAAGTCCCAAAAAGCATGTGGCGAAATAACTCCTCGATCTTAGAGGTGGGCAATTATTTTTGATAAACCACAGCGCACTCGAAAATATCCCGGACGCTCCGAATAAAAACGCGACCTCAGCTGCGCACACTCCGCGAGCCCTCCGAGACACGTAGATCCTCTCATGAACCCGCCTCCGTCGGTCTTCCGCGATCCACACGCACGGGGACTATACTCTATATGACTCACGTCACTACGCAGCGGGGTCACAACCGGGCAGATCACATACCGCAAGAGGCACTACGCCAAGGCGTGGCTTTCACCGTGTTCTCCCCCGGTGCCCCTGATGAAAAGCCATATTGAACGCAGCTCGCCCTACAAACTCGAGCGGACCCGGATGCAAACCGGGTCATCCGCGGGGCTCGGGGCGGTGAACTCATTCACTCGAGTCGTGATCTTGCTCCGGGCTCCTTTGTGTGTGCACTACTAAGCACGCCTCATGCGCATGTACGTTTGCTGTACGCTACTTATGGGTGCAAGAAGATAAACATAGCAGACGCGGGCTTCTTCGATGCGTGATAGGATAGAGGCACGACCGAAGCGGTCTGGGGGAGCCCACGATGACTTCGCATGATATCACTCACTGAGGGTTCCTAGCTGACGCCAAATAATGGGGAGTCAATTGTGCACGAGTCAGAGTCGTTGAGTAGCTGCTTAAGCTCAAAGTTGGCAGTCCGGGATTTTTTCCTTCTATCAGTCGTACCATTTGGGATTTTTTCCATGAATCACGGACCCCGTTTGTTTTTTTCTGATTTTTCTCTCCGTCGGCCCCGCAATACACTTTTCAGTGCGTGAAGTCGCGGTCACCCTCGCTTGAGTCGCAGTTGCAGAATGGCCGCGCTCAACGTCTCCGTTTGGCGCGGATAAACCTCGAGGCCGCCGGTACGAATGCGGGCCTGAAGAAAGAAGCCTTCATGTTAACGTACCCATGATGCCACAGGGCCTGATGACTCGGGTCAGCAGACTCATCTAGCTATACCCCGTGCGTACATTATCCGTGGACAAGGTTTTTCTACGTCCCCTAAGCATGCTCATATTACAGCAGGCGTCATCTGAATTCCGGGAAGACTTCGATTTATTCACCACATTGCCTGCAATTATGAAGGTGATGACCCAATCGTTGCCTTTTCTTGTGGCATCGTGACTAGTGTTGTCTTGCACGGAGGACCAGGCAGGTATCTTCTCTTCCTACATGTCCTCTACCCTGACAACTTGGTAACAACCCCTTGCCTGTCTTACCGCGAGCGAGCTGATTCACAGTGCAGTATCCAGCATCTTTCCGAGAGAAAGTCATTTCCGTCCCCTTGTAGCTCGCAACGTGCTGTGGTTTTGGGGAACACGTAACGTTGTTAGACCACACCGTCGAGGATCGAGATATACACTCGAATCCCTCCAGCGCATGTGCTTGACATTACTCGCCCAACAAAGTCAGATTGCATTCATCTACCGTATTACGTCTGCACGCAACACATTCGACCTTCCCTACGTCGAATAACGGGCACTTCTGATTCTGATGAGCACCATTGCGATGCCCTACAGCGCTGCAGCAAGATTTCTCTCAAAACTGCGTCATAAAGAAGATCCTGCATCGGCCTCAATAACCACTTCCATACATCAAGATACTATATTCTCTCTGCAGTACCCACGCTCAAACTTGCCAAAGGCCCCCCGTCTGCCGCTTAGAGCTTCGCCTTGCCCTCAGCAGCCTTAGCCTCCTCAGCAGCCGCACGCTCCATCATCTGTCTGACCTCCGTCGCCGCCTCAGCGAGGTAATGTTTGAGCTCGGCGGTGTTCCGCTTGAGCGAGGTGATCGTCCACCGGATATAATGGTCGTCGATGGAGTACGACAGACCATACCCGTCCTCCACCACTGATAACGAGAGCACATGATGATCAGCGCCCTCTCCAGAAACGAAACAGTGAGTCAGTGAGAGAGGACAAACCTTCGCCATAACCCCAGCCGTCGACGAACCGACTCGACAGCTGCGACGTTGAGAGCTCCCAGTGGCTCGATTTGCTGAACGAGGGGTCCTCGTAGATCTTCGGAAGCGACTCGCCCTCCTTCAACATCTTCTTGAGACCGAAGAGGTGACGGTCGACGCCTTGGCCATCTGCCGCCCACGCAGCATACTGCAAGTGGCGGCTGACTGCCTGACGGAAGAGAGTGGCACGACGAGTATCCTAGGATCATTATTCAGTCACCAGGTTCAAGTAAGGCAAAGCTGAAGAAAGACAACGCAGAACTGCAACTCACCGAAACATCAGGGTTCAACATCGCCTCCGCCCACGCCTTGTTCTCGTTGCTCGCACTCCGGATGACCTCCGTGCGCCCGCGCTGGAACTTGCGCGTCTGGCACGACTCGTACGTCACAGCCGGGCGCCCCTCCATCTTGTGGAACGCGAGCTGCTTCACCAGCTGCGCCCACGCATCCGGCGACGCCTTGAACTTCTTCATCAGGTCCTTGCCGTACCCTTCGTAGTGCAGCACGTGCATGTCGTGTCGCCCCACGAGCGCGTCAAAGTGCTCGCACGCCTCGTCGACGAACTTGGTGACTTTGCCGTCGAGCTTGAAGGTGAGCTCCGTGGGCGCGGGAAGCGAGGAGCCTGTCGAGGCGTCACGCGGGGCGCCGAGGTCAGCTTTGTTGGCGGCGAGCGAGGCGAGGATGAACTCGTTCATGCGGAGAGTAGGCGTGCCGTCCATGCAGGAGTGCTCGCCAAGGAATCCGGACCGGCCATTATCGAAAACCAAGACTACTCAAGCGCGTCAGACGTAAAAGCAAGCCGCTTCGTGAGCAGAAACGTACACTGGTGTTTGTCATAGAAGCGGTTGCGACCGTTACCGACCCAGCATGCCCAGGAGATGTCTTCGCGGGTAACGGGCTTGGTATCGTCTAGACATACGATGACCGCTGCGCTCTCGATACGCTCGAGAGACTTGGCGTTTTCAGGCGAAGCGGCAATAAGAGCCTCGCGGGCCTACGTATGCCGAGTCAGCCACATTCGTTCGACGGATAGCAAGGGGACACACCTCCGTCCAAATATCACGATTCTCGCTGGTCAATGCACCGATGGGGGCACCCTTGTTCTCGCCAGCCTGTTGAATGACGCGCTCAACTTGACTGTATTGACCCGGATCAACATATACACCGTTAGAGCCACACGTTTGTCAAGGAAGGGGAAACCACGCACACTTCCAGTTCAGCAGCACTCAGCTCACGCTCATCAGGACCAGCCAGCGGCACCTCAAAGAACTTGTTTTTGCGAACAAATACGACGTGATTGTGCGTTTTCGGGTCGAACTTGCGAGCGGTATCGGAAGGCTTGGTTGGGTAGCGCGACGAGTGGAAGAGCCACTTGTACGAGTCCATGCACAGCGGTGCGCCCCTCACCTTCTCAGGCTCAAGCTCCCCGCTGCATCAAAAACACCCCCAGAGACGTGCCCAAAGTCAGTTGCGACGACCAAGGGTAACATGTGATTGTCCAAGTACACGCACCTCTCGGTAAGCTGTCGGAACGGCAGCATCGCCTTGACGAGCGCCGCCGCGCGCTTCGCTGGCGTCCTCCGACGCATGTCGTCGACGTGGACGTAGAAGTAGCTCACGAACACCACGACCGGGTCGCGGTAGCCCATGTACGCCGCCTCGTTCCACCAGTCCGCGAGCCAGTTGCGCTGGTCCGGCTCTGCAGCACGGGCCTCGAGACGCTTCTGCAGTTCAGCAGCCAACGGGCTCTTGGCGAAATCGCGTACGGCCGCTTCGGTGGCTGCATACTCGGCAGGGGTGACGAGGGGACGGACGGTCTCGAGGTACTTGGCGGTGGTAGAAGCGAGGGTGGGGACGGGTAAACGGGGAAGGGAGTCTTGGTATGCGAGCATGCGACCTTTTGAGGGGTCAGCGACGTAACCTGGAGGCACGTCTGCCTTGCGAGGCGCGGTAGAAGAAGCGGGGCGGCTCCGGGCCATCTGGTTTACCTGAACGGTACATGATGTACGTCAGAAGAAGCGTTCAGACGACCAAAGTGGATTCTGTGCTCACGGGAGAAAGAGTAGACCTGAATGTGAATCTGTTCGAGAGTCTGAGCATGCCCGAGGAGTTGGTAGTGAGATCAGTGGAAGCAGGGGGGAAGATGCCAGCGGTGCTAGGGACCTTCCAGACGTGCTTCCTCGGTGTCGAGCTTTAAAGAGATGGAGATAGAGAGGTGACGAGAGTTTGGCGCCTTTCTAACGGTATATGGGCGACCTGAACGTCTCGATTAGTGCTCGTTGTCGACAGCGATGGGACCGGGAGGAAAAGTGCTGCAGTACTTGGGCCAGTCCAGCTTTTTGAATGTGTTGTCATCTCGTTCCCCGGACCCCGGCGGCTTTCCGGCAACGCGACGGTCCTCCTCGTGATTTTCCGAGGGCATCCCGCGAGACAAATATATTCTTAGTAATCTCCATGTTATACACTCCTCCTCGTCATCCAGTCCGAGAATAACATTATGTACCCTACGCCTCTATCTAATAACACGCCATCTCTCTCACCCCGCACGGATATCCATGATCATGAGCACAACTTGGCAACATCCTCCACGAGACTCCGTACTTCCTCCTCCTTTGCCTTCTTCGCATCTCCGACGGCCGCCCACCCGCCTTTCTCTAGTTTCCCAAGTAGCTTGCTCTTGGCATCCAGCGACTCGAGCATCGGCTTCACCTCCTCTTCAACGTATGGTGGCCAGGCGTGAATCAGGAAAGTAAGCGACGCGACCAGCCGATGCACTGTTCCTAATTTGAGCAAACAACAAGAGTATATTGCGGAGACAACTTACCAACATCCATGTTCGTCTCCCTCTCGATTGCTTCAAGAACCGCAATGACAATTTCCACCTCCCAGTCAATAATCCCTTCGCCACGCTCCCACTCGCCCTGACGCTCTTTTCGCAAGACGGCCACCCGCGCCGCGATGTTGAACGCCAGACCGGCTACCGCGCTCCGGACATTCTCGCGTCCCTTCTTCTGGCGTGTCTTTTCCTCCACAGACATCCCAGCGGCACCCGTCTCCTCCTCAGCTTTCTCTTCCGAGTACCTCAAGAGGCCTTCAACGACCGTAGTAGCCAGCTTCGTCCTTGTCTCCTTGTCCCCAAGCAGTCGTTGCGCGAGCGAGCCATGCGCGAACGCGTTCCCAAGCACCTGAAGCAGATACCATGTAAACGCCATGGAACTCTGCTCCTTGGCCTGCATCTGGCCCAAGAGTTGGTCCAAGAAGAAGGTCGCAGGGTTCGCGGATAAAGGTGCAGTCGCGCACCATTTCGCGACAGGCTCGTCGCGCACCGCGAGCCGCCACATAGCGAGGAGGGATGCGAGGCTATCCACAGGAGCGTTCTCCACCAGAGTGCGGGTCGCCGCTAGCCAAGCGGGAACGTTTGGATTGAGGCCACTCTTTGGGAGACCTTGTGCGGGGAAGCGTGCCTTGAGGTAAGGCTTCATGCCCTCGTCCAGAGGCTTGAGTGCCAGTTTAGCACTATCCGGAGACGTCTGTCCAACAGCAACTTTAAGCTTCTTATACTCGACGTCGAGTTCAGGGACCTTCATGATGAGAATAGAGTCCGTCGAGAGTTTGTCGATAGCTAGATAGCCCATTTCCACATCAGCTCATCCAGTCCCGCATCAGCGACAAGCAGAAGGAATGACTCACGCCGCAGCTTACTAGCCAGCCAAGTCGTCCACGACTCCACCTTGCTCCCCAGCTCAATCGGATTCGCACCAACCAGCTGTTCCTCCTTCTTACCATCAAGGAAGAACAAGAACGTCGGCGTACCCCTCAGCCCGTACTCCTGGAAGATCGCATACGCCGTCGGCATCCCGACGTCCACCTTCACAAACGCGACCCCGCCTTTGCCCGGGCGGCCGTGTTCGCGGGCGAGTCTGTCAAACTCGGGCGCAATCGCGCGGCACGGGCCGCAGGTCGCACTTGTAAAGTTCGCCACGACGAGGCGGTGCGACTTGAGCAGGTCGTCGAACGAGCCCTTGTTCGACGCGATGTGCACCTGGCCAGTGAGGCTCGCAGTTGCGGGGTTGGGTTGGTATGTGGACGCGGGAGAGGACGAGGAGGCACGCTGTGCGACCTCGCGTAAGAGGGCTGATGTCAGAGCGGGGTCGACGCCGTTCGCGCCAGTTGGTGGAGTGGGGACGGTCGGGCTCCGCACCGCGGCGGGGTTCTGCGGTCCTCGGAACATGGCATCAATGGTGGGGCGGAGGGCAGCACCGAAGGGTGTGGAAAGGAAGTCGGAAGGGAGCTCTTGTAGAATGAAGATAGTATAAGCGTGTCATCGTACCCAGAAATAAGGAAGCCAACCTTTGATGTAAGCCGGTATCGAGTTGCCCGTCAAGAACTCGACAAGGTCGTTCGTGAAGGTGTTGCAGTTGAAGTCTAGAGCGATACTTGAGCCTGTTGGGGTCCCAAGCTGTGTTGCCATTCACATACCTAGAAGGTGATACTAGTACAAGACCGAGTAGTCAGTCATTATGACGGCAAGGATGTGCTGTAGAACGCACCTTATCTGCTGTATACGTCTCCCTCAGTCCATTGAGATACTCTGTCAAAGTCCCCTCGTCTGTCTGCGTTTCGCCCATCTCCTCTATCTTCAGAGGTCTCCCATGCTAATTGTCGAGCCCTCTCGTCAACCTCCTGCTCGGGCTTAGCTATGTAAGATATGAAGAGTACTTACATGCGACTGCCCCGGTTGTGTAAGGCATATTCCCTGACCATAGAAGATTTCGTATCCAAAGACAACAATGGAGGTATGCCTGTGCTTCAGCAAATATGGTGAGCCAGCAGGTACATGAGGGTAAGCGAAGAGCACGAACCAAATCCCGTCTATCTGCCGACCAGTGAGCTGCATGGACATCTGTCGGGCCAGGCCATTGCTGAGGTCGTAAACATAGAGCTGCACGGGTGCCATCTGAAAGTACAAGATATTAGAGAAGTGTAGTTTGCCTCTAAGTGCTCGGTGAAGGGTATGGTAGACTGAGAGCAGAAACAAGAAGATATAAGTAGTGGAGAACGCGTAAGTTCTCGCGGAGACGCGTATGCTCCCCGGAAGATTAGATCACAGCCACGTGCGCAGCCATTCCCGAGTTCGCCGGTCCGTCGTTTCCTTCCGCTAACTTGAAACAGGCCTTTGTCCAAGGGACCACAATCCCGGCCTACTAACATACGAAGAACAAGTCTCTCAGAAACATCACCTGCAGGCCTCTCTCATTCACGGTCGCGAAGAAAACAACCTCCTCAAACGTCGTCACGAATCCATGATCTTGTTTCGGGTCTAGAAAGTTCTAGAAGACTCGGATTTTCTGCAACTAGACACATTCTCATTTACTTCATAGTCAAGCCTAGGTCTACCGATAACCGAGCATGAAGCTTTGAAGGTTCAGGTTGTGCCGGAACATCACCAATAACATGCACATATGCGCGGGATCGAAGGCCTCGAGGCAAACGGAGGCAAACTTACATGACGCAATTTCGGAGCGCTTCCACGAGGCAAACACACCGTACATGCGCGCCTTGCCTTTGGCACGCTTTTCGTTACGCCGATAGTGATTAGGTCCTGGTCCTGGTAAGCACCTTGATTTCGGGATACAGGATTTAGTTCGGCATATGTCTGCCATACTGCAGGATTCGGCCCCGTCCTCTGATTGTTGGTCGGATCGTTCTGAACGCCGGAGGAACGAAGTACCGCTCAATGGAGGTGCAGACAAAAACATTGATCATGTCAATCACTCGCAACGTGGGAGCCGATCTGAGTATACTATCCTTATCCGCACGTTCATTCATTACGCCACCAACGGCATGTCTTTGACTCGAAGAGGGCGATGAACCCAACCCAGGACCCAGACATTATTCAAAAGAGCTGTGCTTCTGCGTGGCCAACATGGGGCATCCCATTCCGCTTATATGCCGCCGCCCTCGAGTGGGACGCCCAATTCGCATGCTCCCAGCCCATCACCACAGTACCAGCAAGTAACCATGACCTCCAGCATACAGTCGCCTTCTCAATGGTCTCCGCGAGGCTCCCTCTTCTCCATCGTTTCTTTCACCTGCAGCGCAGTCGAATTCTCTTTCTTCTACTTCGTCAACATCATCACGACCTCCGTCGAGTTCATCGCTGGAGTGCTGGACATATGCCGTCTGTCGTCACCATTGGCGCTAGCGTACGCCCTTACTCCACGTGCGCTTCTGACCTTCGCCTACAACACCTTTGCCTTCGCACGTAGCGTCGTGTTATCAACCCTAAACTATATCTGCAGCATCATTCTTTTATGCGCAGCACCCATCCGCACACTCAAGTCCGCCGCACATGCGTTGGTCGCACTTGTATCTTCCCTCGTTTCTTCGCTCTCCAAGCGTCGTACTGTTCCTGCGGACCCTCAACCCACGCAAGCACGGCCGGTGACGAACAAGCCAAGGATACGCCCCTTCAGCGTCGGCAAAGTCTCGAGCTCAAAGGAGCGCCCCTCGACCTACCATGAAGCGTGGAAAGTCCAGAAGCACGAAAGCTCCAGCTCACAAGCTCGCTACCCGGTCGTCCAGGAGAACGGCACGCAACCCCGGTCCCAGGTTACCGTCGTCGAGCGCGAAAGCCAAGCACGCCAGCGGAAGCCCCGTGGAACACTTGATCACCAGCGCCGCCGGAGCCAGAATGTCAACATGGTGAGGTACCTCGTCTCGGAGAAGGCACGACTCCAGAAAGCGATCGAAGACCTGAAGGCTCAGACTCAGGTCCAGGACGGTCGTGTTGCGTCAATGAGCTCGAAAGGTAAGCCGCTCACTGCCTAGCGATACTTATCGCATGTTGACCGAGTTCGACAGGTACATCGCCACGAGCAACGCCGAGCCTGACTTTGACGAATGTAGAGGGGCATACCATCGACTACTTTGACGGTATGTCCAATCGCATCTTCGCGGTATGGTACCAGGCTGACCATCGTGCAGGCCAGCATGGATCCGGTCAGGCATCATCTGCAGAAGAGCGGGAGAAGCTCGAAAGCAAGATCACAGAGTTATCGAAGCAGCTGGAGGCTGTTTTGTCCGATAAGGAACAACTGGAGTCGCAGCTGAAGTCCAGTAAGCAGACGTGTCTCCGGTGTCAGGACAGCACTCTCTCTGCACCCCATACCTGTGAGGGAGCTTCAAGCAGAGCAGAGAGTCGTGGAGCAGAGAGTCAACGTGAGGTGTTCTCAGAGCCGGAGGAATATCGCCCTATATTTGCCCCCAATGACGAGATGGCCAATGACGAGGTGGACAATGGTGAGACTCTACCCTATGACCTTGAGACTGTTACTGACGTAGAAGCAGACGAGCCCACTCCACAGAAGCCTTCAGAGGCCTCGTTCAAGTCATCAGATCCTCGTCGGGTCCGCTCGGAAGATGCGCAGCCCTCTTCTGCGTCTCAAGCTGCCGAGTATGCGTCGCTGGGCAATGGAGTACCCTCGTTACGGAGCAAGCAGAGTTTCCGGAAGAAGATCTTTCACCGCAGTACATCGCCGAACAGCGTCACTCCAGAGCCGAGCGTTGTTGACAAGCCCTCGCCGTCACGATCCCCATCGATGCTGATGTCGAAAGTGAGAAGGCTGACGAATCGGAGGGCGTCTGTGCGTTCGCCCTCTGAGTAATGTTGCTTTCTATATCGCTTTTTTAAATTTATTTATTGCATTTTTCTGAACGTACTACACGATAGACTTGCTCTGTAGTGTTTAGGATCAGATGCTTGACTGTATCGTTAACTTACTTATGTACTTGCTAGGCATGCTATCTTTGTGATGCGGCTCACAACGGTATTGACCGTGGGAGCAGATGAGATAATGGGGGTCCGTGCGCAAGCAATGCGGTGCTTGTGATTGGCCGCGCGGAAATGCCGCAAGTGAGGCATTTTTCCCGGGACCTTCCTTTTCTTCCTACCTCTTCCTACCCTCGCTCACGCTCACCCTTCCCTCCTTTCCGCTTCCTGTCGACTCCAAGTCTCCCTCTTCTTCGACCTTCTGAACACCTCAAACGGCTCTTTCTTCCTCCTGTCAGCTTTAAGGTGGTCTTCTTCGTTAACTCAGGTCCCTCGGCTCCGGTGATCGGCTCGACACCGGAAGAATCATCGATCTCAGTGCACCTCCAACGAGCGTCAGTTCTAGTGAGGGTTTTGAATGCTTACGGTAACCCATTCGACGATCCTCTTTCATTCCGTTGAACCCAATCAGCGCCAGCGCTGAGATGACCGAGGCGAACAACTGCTCTCAACCGTCGCTTCCCTGGCTTGTCATTACGGCACTAGTTTCTCAATGACTCTTGCCCTGCTTCTGTTGTCGCCTCCTCGTCCTAGAATCCCTTATCAGCTGGTGAACGTGCCAACAGACTTCAGGACCCGATTTTACTCTCTGTCAAATGCCTTCACGCAACCTCTTGGCGCGCTGACTTGTTTTGAGCTATCGGCTTTTATTTTGTTCTGACTGTTGATCTCTCTTTCGTCGCCCTTGTTCTTTAGCGCCTTGATCTGAACTCGTCGTTATGCACCATCACCTAAACTCTTCGTGGGAGCTGGTTATTTGTACTTGTTTACTGCTCGGGGTATTTTGCTGTCCTTCGGGTTATTTTCGCGTTTATTTTCACCTTGGCAATTTATCTTGTCATCAAAGGCGCGGGAACCGGGTAGCTCCGCCTCGGCATCGGCCGCGAACAAAAGCCCGGTTTTCTCCCATTTCGTGCCTTCACTACCATCCAACCTTATCCACCATGAACATGTCCAGCGGCAGCTCCAGCATGAACGGCACCAGCTCGTCTGGCATGGGTGGCATGGACGGTTCAGGGAGCATGAACATGACGATGTCGGATAGCATGGAGATGTTCTTCCACTTCGCTCCGATCGACCATCTCCTCTTCAAGGCCTGGCAACCCAGCTCCGCAGGTGCTCTTGGGGGTGCTTGCGTCGGAATTTTCGTCTTTGCCATCCTCGAGCGTTTCCTCGCTGCTTGGTATCGCTACAAGGAAGCCCAATGGCGGATTGCGTTAGTGTCCATGACTCCCCTGTCTTCGTTTCTCGCTAATGTGTTGTTGCTTAGCGCTGGCAATGCTCTCGTCGCCGTCGCTCAAGACTGCCCCTGTGACGATCCCAAACAGTCTCCCTCGCTTACCGAGGATGCGGCATCCGGAAACAGGGTGACTACTGGACCGCGTGGCCTGATCGCTCCCTTCGTCCTTTCCCGCGAGCTCGCTCGAGGGGGCCTGATGGCCTTCCACTCGCTCATCTCATATGTGTTGATGTTGATTGTCATGCACGTGTCTCCCCCCTCCTCTCACCAGCCATTGTGCTCATTGTATGTAGGACATTCAACGCGGGGTTCATCTTATCGCTCGTCATCGGTCTTGGTGTCGGCGAATTCTTGACGGGCCGGGTAGCTCGGGTGTAGTGCATAGATTTCAGACTCCTGACGATAGGTCACTTTGGAGCTCTCCGTCCACCGCCCCTTCTTTTATCGCTGCACGATTACCTTTTGCCCTTTTTGTACTCTATCAACTATCGCCTCGCTTATCTGTTGCCCATTGGAATTATGGAAACTGAAGGACACTACACTAGCATACTTCGCCGCAAAACCCATTTGTTTCTCCATCGCTACCTGTCCATTCTCGCAATGCGATCCAATGGCATGTCGTTTCATCCCACAATGCATCGACCTGCTATGTGCCTGTGCCGCCGGAAGGATCGACCGTCGGCCCAGCCACTGCCCAACCTAGCGTATTCAACCCACGCCTCTGACGTTGCGAGCGTCTACGGCGAACACGAGACCTTGCAGGCTAAAATCAAACCTATCTAAGTTGTTTCATCTCCACCCTTCGATGCAGATGACCCCTACCATGATGTTTCCCCTGATCCTAGGAATCGGTATTGAGCAAGCGGGCCACAAGCGGGCTCCCGCTGTATCGCCCAAGGCTCTCCTTTGAGCGGCAGCCGGTTCTCTCCACTCGTCTGACCAGGCGTCCAGTATGATGGTTCTCTTGTTCAAGGGCTCGGTACCGGAAGCGAAGCATGGGTGGAGCAAAGCAACCGTTGGCTCGGTGAGTTCTATACCTGACCCTGATGCAGAAGCATGTACGTATATTTAGAGCGTCTTCTGTGATTCCCATTGTTCGTGCTTAATTACCCCTGGGATAAGCGCAAGGAGTCAGAGGTATAGATGCAGACCATGCATCGACTGAGATGCGGTGAGGGATGCAGTGGACGACCGGGCTCGCTTCGACAACGTCGTGTGCAGAGTGTTCGACTTAAACTTTGGAAGATACGAAGTTGGCAGAAGATGGCGCTCCGCACAAACGGAAGGCGGCATATATAGGCCATATGACTTCCGCGAGGTTAAGAGGGTGTGCCGCCGGTTTTAGCAGCAGCACCTACACAAAGGATGTCTTCAAGTGGCATCCATGTTTTATTTATACTCGTAATCTCCGCATTGCAGGCCGCTCTCGACTTGCTCTTTGTTATCGCCACTACAGCCCGATGGACGTCGCCGGGGACGCCACTTTATAGATTTGTGCGCTAAGTCATGTTTGACACATATTCATTTATGTAAGTAGCCTAGACTTCTGTTAGGATCGCAACATGGGCGGCCACTTTGCAGTACGTAAATATCGGTCAAGCGTTCAAATCCTTACTAACCTGAAAATGTTACGTTTTGGGATCTTGGGAAGGGAATCTGAGCCAATCCCAGCGTCGTTCAAGCTGTGGGGACGCGGTCATCATTTATGGCTATATATAAAGGCTGGTGAGGGTCAGATAAAGCTTTGCCTTATCGTGGCGCCAGAGCAAAGGTCGGTGGTCCTCCCTGACGGACAGGCATGTTTGATTGTTAACGTGACTGGTAAAGCAGGCCGCACACTTTGTCTCAGAAGGTACCAGCCCTCGTAAGTTCGGTACGCCACTAGACAGCCAGGGACTACCCTCACTCACCTGGATCATTGCAAGCTCCCGAACAGCTTAGAGCCGGGAGACAACGGGTCGAGCTACAAATGCTAGCCGAGAGAAATGTATAATCGTTTTCCCATCACCTTCTGCGGTATCACATGGCGGGTTGGCAACATATCATTCGATGTTGCTCTTGAACTTGGACTACCGCACCCCGACCCCGAAGGATATCGACGGCGTTGAACCACAATGTACGCGTTCAGAGTGGACTGAAAGCTATTATAGGACTGAAGCGACGTCAAGAACAACGTCTGTATCCTTCGCTGGGCATCGGGCGGACCGCACGCGAGATGAAAGACAGAAGAAGCAGCGGTGATTGACGCGCATGTTCCCACGCACAATCGCACCTCTTATATGGGCTGGCTCTCGCGTGGAGAATGGTTGGCGAACTTGCTTTCCGCTCAGTTCCGTGCTCGGTCTCCCCTCGTGCACTACAACGTACCCCAGCCTTCACAAGATGATGTTCTTCACGACCCTCTTCACGGCTGTTTCAGTGCTCGCGTCCTTGGCGAACGCCATCCCAGTGGGTACGCGCGATGTGGTAGATCCGCCCATCACGAGTCCGAATGCAAGCACTGTCTGGCATGCAGGCGAGACTCAGACGGTTACGTGGTGAGTTCGACTATTTCGTTGGTGCCATTGCGCTTGACTGAGCCGACTCTCAATCTCTAGGAGCACGGACAACCTCCCTTCTCAGCAGACGACCAGTACTGGAATGTTGGTTTTGGGTTATCAGTTCAACAACAGCGAGAACCTAATGCTGGGTATGTCTCTACGGAGCGTATCTTCATAAATCAGACCACTCATGTGCATTCTCTCTGTTATCCAGACAGCCCGCTCGCCACTGGCTTCCAGTACACCGACGGGCAGGCGCAGATCACGGTCCCTGATGTCCCCACCCGGAATGATTACATCGTCGTTTGTGAGTACCTGCAGGACCGCTGGCATTACGGCATATACTAACCTACTTCGTTAGTGTTCGGTGATTCGGGCAACGCAAGCCCTCAATTCACGATCATAGGCTCTTCCTCTTCATCTACGTCTTCATCGACATCCACGATACCCTCCGACTCTGCGACCGCCTCATCCGCCAGCTCTACAGCGACCAGCGTCTCGGACGCTTCTGGCTCGGAGTCTACGACACCTTCCCCCACAGACTCGGTTGCACCCTTGACTGCATTCTCGACCGCTACGTCAAGCTCTGCCTCTCCTTCCGGCGTTTCCACTCTTCCACCCGGTTGGACATCCAACACTTCTGCTGCCTCTTCGGCTCAGCCAACCTCCAGCACCAACGGTGCCTCTCAGCATAGCGGACGCAGTGCCATATTTGCTGTCCCTATTGTTGTTGGCTTGACGTCCCTCTTTGTCCTCTAAGGATACGAACCGCTACCATGACATGATTTCTCCACGCATATTTCCGCTCTTCTTTACGTTTTAACGCTTACTTAGGATCATCCTAATGATGTTCCTGAACATTCATCTTTGGGGGCAAATTTCTCTTTCTCGCCATTCATGTTGTACGATTATCACGGGCTTACGAAGTTACTTCTTTTACTGTGCTTTCGGTATTTGGCACTACGTCATCTGTATCATACATAACTCTGTACATACTACGAACACTCATGATTCGGCTGAAGGTCTACCCTGTCCGGCAGCCTTTTGATCCGCCTTCGAGGCAAGTCCGAGGCAGGTACATGTCCGCAGCTGGCACACTGTACTTATGTTCGGCCCGATTGGAGGCGATACCACTCGAGTAGGGCTCTACTCGGATCGCATGGCCGATGTGAGAGTCCAAGTCGACGGAAATGGGACGCGGCGTACACATGGATTCCAGAGGCATCATAAGGAACTTCACCTGTAAAAGAGCAAAGCCCATGGCAAAACCAGTGCATATGCCCGGCCTCATCTATGTCGGACCGGTCGGTAAGGTCTGGCTCAGGCATTTCTTGGGCAAGGAAGCTTCGCGCCGTCGACTGCTAGGGGAGAAGCCGACACTGCCGTCGGCTTAACCCTAGTCCTAGATACATGCTCTAGATCATGCTCCTTGAAGATGGTCTCATGTTATGAGATCGTTTCGAGGAGCATGTACCTAGGTGACACCTAGACGTTGAGAAAGTCACGCTCCGCATCTCTTGAACCTTCGATTAAGCCGCTTTAGACTCGGAAAGTGGCCCAGGACACGAAGGGCGCAGAGCCTGAGGTTCCTGACTGAGGGTCTCGGTCGTGGGAGCAATATTTCATACTTTCTGGATAAGACCGGACAAGATTGCGGCATTTGTAGCCTGCCTGGAGATTATCATTCACCAGAAAGCCATAAACATCTTGGTTATAGCTATCTACTGTGGTCATCAAACGCATTTAAGCCACCGTTTTTACAGCTGGGATGTGCACGAAAGATAGGAGTTCACAGCTCGCGATACGCACATCCAAGCTTAATCGCAGGTTAGGAACACGTCGAGGATCAAAATACTTACCCGAAGGTCCCTTGAACTATTAGGCCGCGACCGATGCGACCGACCGCACCTTTATCCACCACGAAGCTAGCACATATGCTCCCTCTTCTGTGGCGTTGCCGCCGTTCACCCCAGTTGTAGGTTCGGAACTCAGAGAAGAGTTTTGCCCTGCCTAGTCCCTCATTTCCGACGGATGCATGCATCTTCTCGAACTGTCCAAAGTCTGGCCGAGCGTAACCGAACTCAACGGCGGTGGTAGGAAACTTGCCTATGCCGACTTCAACCGCCTCGGACGGAATGAAAGACAGATCATGAGACGATGGCGACCCTCTTTCCTCCAACCAGGAAGCCCCTATTTGTCCCAAATTGTTGTTTCTCACCTTTGAAGCCTTCCGACCTTGACTGTGCACATCCAGGCCTCGAGCAACTTCCGCGTCCACCACGTGGCTTTAAGGGCCCAGCATCGCCACGCGGGGGCTTCCTTGGACAAAGCTTCGGTCATATCTCACGTCACACACGGTCACAAACTCTACTCCAATGCAAGTCCCTCTGTACTTTGGTATTCAAGATCGCCGGGTTTCACCGGCTATCGCACTCTAAGAGCTTATATAAACCCCTGAGGAAATGCTTCAAGCCTTCATCCCACCCCCTTACCTCCTAACATGGATAACACCAACGCAAGTGGCCTTCAAGCACAAGTCTCTCGCCTCGAGCATGAGGTGCATGCCCTCAGAACGCAGATTCATGCCTCGGACGATGAAACAATCACCATCTCCGAGTACATCTTAACCAGACTGGAGCAGATGGGTGTCGAGGTATGCATCCCCCTATTGCCATGCTATGCTAGCTGAGGCCTGTCATTTGCAGTCAATCTTTGGTGTTCCTGGTGACTTCAATATGCGTGAGTCCACACAGTTCGCGCTAATTAGCCAGTGACACCTTACCCCTAGAATAGCGTTCTTGGTACGTTCATCTTTCAAAGATGCGACTATGGTACTCATGGTGGCATCAAGGACTACGTAGAGGATCACCCGAAGATCAAGTGGATTGGATGCTGGTGCGTACAATATCTTCGGTAGCCGTTGACTAACACGTGGACACCCAGCAACGAACTCAATGCTTCGCATGCTGCGGATGGCTATTCTCGCGTCAAGGAGCATGGGATCGGTGTCATAGTGACAACGTATGTGGTCTCATAATGCATCCTCGAAGCTCCCTTCAATGCGTCTTCTATCAGGTTCGGAGTCGGAGAACTCATCGCGATGAATGGAGTTGCCGGAGGTGTGGTCCAAATGATCTGATATGTAACGGTCCTGACCAGTGGCTGTAGCCTTCTCCGAGATGGTTCCCGTGTTACACATCGTCGGCGTACCGAGTACTCTGCAGCAGAAGCAGAAGCCTATTCTCCACCATACTCTCGGTGACGGCAGGCAAGTGGCATAACACATGCCTTGAACTGGACGTTCTGATGTCGTCTAGGTTTGACGCATATACGAAGGCTGCGGCACAAACCACCATTGCACAAGCGGCTATCGTGGACAAAGTGACTGCTGGACCTGAAATCGACCGAGTTCTTGCCCAAGCTATCACGACGGTCAGTCGCATATGTGCATTAGCTCGAATTATCGCGATGTCTAACGAACTGTAGGCTCGTCCAGTATACTTGACGCTTCCAATGGACTTGGTTTCTACCAAGATCTCGGCTAAAAGGCTCAAGGTTGAGCTCCCTCGGAGCCCCCCACCGAATGATTCTGAGGTCGAAGCCTTCGTGCTCGATGAGATAGTCAAGCTCGTTGAGGCCGCTGACCAAGACGTCGTGATCCTCACCGATGCCTGCGTCATCCGTCACCACGTACGGCAAGAAGTGAATGATCTGATTCACAAGACGCATTTCCCTGTTTACTCCTCGCCCATGGGCAAAACATCTGTTAACGAGAATTACGAGCGCTACGGAGGCGTATGTTCCTTTACCATGATTCATGCCTGCTGGCTGATCCAGTGTTCTAGGTGTATGTTGGCCTTAACTCCCACCCGAAGATTAAGGAGAAGGTCGAGAATGCGAAACTCATCCTCTCAATCGGCTCGTTGAAGAGCGATTTTAACACTGGCATGTTCACGTACAGCGTCCCAGCGTCGCGGACCGTCGAGGTATAGTGTGCAGTCTTCATCATCGACGACGTCACTGATTGGGTCAACTGTAGCTGCACTCTGGCCACACTCTGATCCGTCATGCTCAGTTCCCCGGCATTGGTATGAAAAAACTCCTGCCTAAGCTCACTGAGCGCTTGCATAAGTTCGAAGAGGACGCGAAGCAGCTTCCTCTTCCTCAGTACAAAGCTCTTATCCCCGACGAAAAGGACGACATTATCTCTCAAGCTTACTTCTGGCCACGCATGGGCCAGTTCTTCAAGCCAAAAGATGTCATCGTGGCCGAAACTGGTTCGTTTTTAGCTCCTAACTAGATCCGAGTAGAAACGCTTACGACGCCTCAGGCACGTCAAGCTTCGGTATCCTCGATGTTGAGCTTCCCGAGGACTCCATTTTCGTCGCACAAATATTGTTCGGCAGCATTGGCTGGTCTGTCGGTAAGATCCTTTCATCTTTTCAGCGCTGAGGACCCAGTAACCAATGTTACGTAGGTACTACGCTGGGAGCCGCTGTTGCTGCTCGTGAACGCCATCTTGGGCGCACGATACTGTTTGTCGGCGATGGTAGTCTCCAAGTCACCGCCCAAGAGCTGTCGACGATGACAGCTAAGGGCGTGCATCCGATACTTTTCGTGCTCAATAACAACGGTTATGTTATTGAGCGTCATTTGCATGGAATGGATAGGTGAGTTATCGAAACGCCTGTTATAAACAATATCGCTTAACCCCGCCCAGAGATTACAACAACATCGTGGACTGGTAAGCCGCCGTCAATTTGTCAGTGTACGGGATCTTGACAAACCTTGTAGGAATTACACGTCGCTTCTCACTACCTTTGGTGACAAGGATGGCTCTCGCTCTCGCTCCTATACCGTCCACAACAAAAAGGAGTTGAACGACCTGCTCGAGGACGAGACATTCGCGAAGGCGGACAAGATCCAGCTCGTTGAGGTTATGATGGATAGATATGACGCTCCGCGTGCGCTGAAGGCATCTGCGCAGCTTAGCGAGGCGATGGCGAAAAGGATAGCAGAGCAAGACCCAGAGGCTTGATTTTTGGTCAAACCCGGCTGTAACTTGGGCTTTCGTTGTAAGATGGGGAAAATGGACTTTTATCAAGTAGAACTGTACATTACCTAGCATTTCAATGTGATTCTCTCCCTTCACTGCCTTCATTGTCGTTCCTACAAAAATTTCATAGCAACAGGGGCTGACTCTCCCTGGTTGGGCGACAGGCTGTTGGAAAGTTGAAATGTGGAAACCGCGTTTTCAACAGCCACGTGACCGACGCGTACCTCGTGAACTTTGCCTTGCAATTTAGCCAGTTATCCATTGACTCACTACCATCGACCAACACTATCGCACTGTCCGACCCATGAGCTAAACATCTGTATCTGTATCATCTATCATCATCATCTTATATTATCATTCTCTTTGATTCACCGGACGACCATGTCGCGCCATTCCGTACCCAGACAAATCGGAAACTATTGGCTGGAGGAGTGCTTGGGCTCGGGCTACTCTGGTGCGCTGAGCAACTATCCAATTCCACTAATTCTAAGCACCTACTAGGCTCCATCTTCAAGGCTGTCCATATTCACAGCGGCACACGAGTAGCCCTCAAAATCCAAGACGTCGACCATGAGTGCCCGACCAACCGATATGAGCGTCACATATATCCGCATCTGCAGGGAGGAGAGGGAATGCCTACACTATGGGCTTCGGGAGTAGAGGGTAAATGGGACTATCTTGTCATCGATCTACTGGGTACGAGCTTGGAGAAGGTACACAAGAGCAGTGGAAAGCCATCTATGGACCTTCGGAGTGTATGCGCGATCGCGGTACAGTTGGTGCGTGGTAGCCTACAACATCATTTCTACACACCCTAATCTGTCTCAGATTGGCCTATTAGAGACGATGCACAACCGAGGCGTCTTGCATCGTGATATCCAGCTTGGCAACTGCGTCCTCGGCCTCGCTCCGAAACATACGCGAATATACATGATCGACTTCGGCTTCTCGAAACAGTACATCGATCCGCACACCCACCGACACATACCAGACAGCAAGGAGAAGCGCGACTTCCTGGGCAACTATTGGTTCACCTCGGTGAATGTACACTGCCGTGGCAAAGGTGGGTATCCTACGCCCTATCCCGAAAACGGTGTTTGACCGGCTTGACGTCTAGTACCCTCTCGCCGTGATGATCTCGAAGCAGCAGCCCTGATGCTCATCCATCTCTTGACGCCTTACGGTTTGCCATGGACGAGAAACGGCGTGCCCAAGACAGACTATGCCCACAACAAGATTAAACGAGCCAAGAAGAGCGCATTGCCTGAGGATCTGTGCCAGGGGATACCGCAAGAGTTCGAGGACTTCCTTCGATACTGCCGACGGCTGAAGTTCTATGAGTGCCCAGACTACAAGCAGTGGATCGGCGCCTTCAAGGACCTCGCCCAGGATAAAGGGTTTGGAAGCGTGGACGAGTTCATCTGGCCACCGCCTCCTCTCCCCACGCCGATTATATCGGCACAGGTACATACATCCCTCTGTAACGTGTTTCAGTCTAATATCTGTCATTCTCAGGCTCGCATCCGGAAGTCAAAGAGTCCCGGTTTCACCGATGCCCAAATCGAGGAGGCGCTTAATGGACTGGCCAATCTGAAGCTTACGAACCGCCCGATCTTGGGGGAGAAGACCAATATTCAGCAAGGTTCCGGAAAGAGCGATGCACAGCGGAAGAAGGCGAAGGAGATCATCGAGCTCAGCAGCGATGACGAGGATTCCTCGGGCCAATTGCCGCCTACGCGCATGGGCAAAGCGATGGAGCTGCAGCGGTTCACGAAGACTGTCAGCAATGCAACCGACAACCAGGCTCTGGCCGACGTGGTCAGGCAGTTTTCCAAGTTCCACCAGACCAATCGATCGCGTACGCTCACAAAGGAAGGATTCGCATTCCTCGACGCCCTGCACAGGCAGCTCGCGGATCCATCCGTCTATGTGATACCACGGCGCACGTCACGCAACGATAGTCAGAACTCGCAAGTCGTCGGGGTCAGCGATAAGCTGATTGCCATCGCGAGCTTGAGACGTCAAGTGGCGATTGTTGCGGACAAACGCGCGCTGGCGAAGATGGTCGCCGATTTCTCGACAATTACAAGTCGCACCACGTCTCGGACGATCACCAAGGACGGGTTGGCGTTCCTAGATGGGGTTGCGGATCGATTGCAGGCACTTGGCTAATTGTCTGGGGTGGTCTTTTGGGGAGGCCGTCGCTCGCGCTCGGGAGTCGTTCTCTGAACCAGGCGCCGAGGACCGTGTGAGGACTTTTCTTGGTTCCCGTAAACTTCCGTACATAGCTATTTTTCTAGTTATCGATATCATATTTGCTAGTACTCGCTATGTATTTGCTATCGACCTCGGCCGAGACGTGGTTCACCATGAGCAGTTGCTGTGTGCATAGGTGTGCTGCCCCAGCGGAACCCCTGAAAGGACAAGAGCGGCGGTTGTTGCACTTTGATAGCTGAAATGACAGCTGAAATCAGCTGCATCTTGTGGAGATAATAAGATCACCCCACACCACTATGAGATCAACGGAAGTAAAAAGACCGAATCCGGTCGGAGTGGCGTCCGATAAGGATGGGGTTGCAAGCGTCTCAACAACTGTAGACTAGAGGCTTCTTGACTGGCATTTCCAGGAGTTGCAAAGTAACCCAACATAAGAGTCTACAGGGTGGAAAACAGACTCTCGGGCCAAATGGTTTGTTTTACGCACGATAGGTTGCGCGGAATCGATATCGCGACAATTCCAACGCGAATTACTGTTCGGTTCACCATTCACCGCGCACGTGCATCCGGAAATGACCGAACTCTAATTTGCCCCAAAGGAAATTTAAAGCAGCTCTGCGTGAAGCCCGTCCCTAGGTTTTCTTACCCTCCCCTCCCCTTTCCCCTTTCCCCCTCCCATATTTTTTCTTCGTTCTTTTCTTTCATAGACTAGACCGTTCTCAATTCAACGTAAGACGACGGCGACCTATACAACATGGGTGTAGCAACCAAGACAGACAGCGCGTCTGTCAAACAGAATGAAATCGTTATCCCCGACCTCACCATCAAGGACCTGCTGAGTGCCATCCCGTACGTGCTTTCGACGTGTCGCTGGGCACTTGCAATCCATTGGTACTCAAGCCTTTGCTGTGTAGTGCGCATTGTCACAAGCGGTCCGCGTTTAGGTCGTCGCTCTACATGTACGTGTTCGCTGCTCAACATTCACGTGTGAACCATCCTCATTTTTGCCACCCTCCAGTGTTTGGGACCTGGTAGTCATTGGATCCGTTTACAAGGCTGCAACATATCTCGACGCTTTCATCACGCCCTCGCAACTGAGCCTCCCCCACCCGTACCTCTACCCCTTCGCTCGTTTCGCTGTCTGGGCCGTCTACAGCTTCTGGGTCGGCCTCTTCGCCACCGGTCTCTGGGTCATCGCCCATGAGTGTGGTCACCAAGCCTTCTCCGAGTCTAAGTTCGTCAACAACTTTGTTGGTTGGGTCCTTCACTCCGCGTACGTTTTTTCGGTGTTTCATTAATATTCCACGTGACTCATTACCACGTCGGTGACGATTTCGAACACGCAGCCTCGGTGTGCCTTATCACTCTTGGAGAGTAACGCACGCGAAGCACCATGCTTCGACCGCCCACATGACTCAGGACCAGGTTTACGTTCCGAAGTCCCGGTCGCAGCTTGGCCTCCCGCCGTTTGACCCCACCAAGGAAGACATACATGGCGCCAACGTCAGCGAGGAAGTCAAGCAGGAGCTTTGGGAAGCCATTGGCGACTCACCTATTGGTGCTGCTTTGGGATGCGCTACCTACTTGGTATGTTTCAGTGATAATATTTTCGAGGCCTTCTCGCTGACTGTAGGCATGCAGCTCGGTGGTTGGATCATGTACCTTACCATTAACGCATCTGGCCAGAAGAGATACCCCAAGGGCACCAACCGTAAGGTCATCGTCCGTCAAAATTTAAGACATAGACTAACTCTTCGCCAGACTTCAAGCCCACCGCCGTCATGTTCCAGCCTCACCACTACGGACAGATCGTCCTTTCTGACGTTGGCATATTGCTCTGGCTTGGTGCTGTTGCTTACTCCATCTACACGTATGGATTCTCGACTGTTTTCCGTCTTTACCTGGTCCCCTACGTCTGGTAAGCGCCTGTCATGATTCCGGCAGACATTCCACTAATCAACTGCTGCTCAGGGTGAACCACTGGCTCGTCCTCATCACCTTCCTCCAGCATACCGACCCCATTCTCCCCCACTACCGCGCTCCCGAGTTCACCTTCCCCCGTGGTGCCCTTTCTACTCTCGATCGCCAACTTCTTGGTGGCTGCGGCAAGATCATGGGATGGATTGGTGCCCACGCAACCCACGGTATTTCGGAGACCCACGTTGCCCATCACGTCTGCAGCAAGATCCCTCACTACCATGCGTACGTCTATCCCTGTGTAGCATCACCTAATGAAAACTCATGCTCCCTTCTGATATAGTTGGGAGGCTTCCGCCGCTCTTCGCAAGGTTCTCGACCCGGCTGGCATCAGGCTCGAGGGCGCTCCTGGTGGCTGGGGCGAGATGTACCGCGTCTTCAGGGAATGCAGGTTCGTTGAGGACGAAGGCAACATCCTGTTTTACAAGAATGCCTACGGTGTTGCTGCTTCGCGTCCCTCGCATCGTAGCGACGGTGATGCCAGCGACTCTGGTATCGAGGTGGATAAGCTCTGAGCTCTACTTTCTCGTCTGTTTGGCAGCACATCCATAGAGGGTTTTTAGACGGTTACGCTAGAGGGTCCTGGGCGACCCATACGAAAAGTTATCACGGCCTTACATAGTCTAATGTTAATCAGACAATCGGAAACAAATAATCAAAGCCACCGCCAGTGCTTACCGCGCTTACCACTGAGCTGCTTGAGGTGTCGCACAAGTTTCGCATGAGCAACTGCAGATGCTTGGGGTATGGGCCAAGGATAGGGGCTTCGTTACGCCGTGAGAATGCATCAGGGGACAGATTTACCCCACCCCTTTGGATTGTATGCGCCATCTTGCCGATCCATGGGCAGTATAATTCTTCAGTGACTTTGCCGCCCAGCATTGGCGCTCTTTTGAAAGGTAGGGGAGAAAAGGTGAGGGTCGATGAACCCCGCCAACTTGAAGCTTGAAGCTTGAAGCTTGAAGCCCCAGGCACCAGACACTGAAACCAAGGTCCCGCAAAACATATGGTACATCTCTGGTCGGAATTCTTCGTAAAAAGCGAGTGTTTTACGGGCTCTTGGTCTTGGTCTTACCTTGTCTCCTTGAATGTCCGGGTGCCATCATCAAGGAACCGAAATTGAGGTGCGGAAGGGATGAAAATAGGCTGGACTTACTTATCCCGCTTCAAGATGTAAACGAATGATGGAATTGCCTGGCAATGCGAGATTCGGGTTGTTCGTACCTGTTGTGGATAGACCACCTGCTTATCGGCGCGACGTACGTTTCATTGCTCTATGATGTGCTGAGCCGTAACGTTCAGAATCATCCGAAGGAGATAACATTGTGCTGGGTAAGCGCTTGTTTCCCGTAGGTCGCATTCGCAATTATGCTAACAGTTCCTCTACAGACCCTCAAAATTTGCCTCAATATGCTCAGGACTCCAGCCGTCGGGGGTCAGGACCACTGAGCGTTGCCATGATCAAACCCAGAGTATTATCCGAGGTCTGTACCTACCCATAGAGTTGAGGAAGCGTCCCACGCCCCATGAAGAATCTGAGCTTCCGAGGACGCGAAGTGGCACCGTGTCTCTGTCGTGTTCCCGGCAGAAGCACCTTATCCCGGATTCTCATGCCGCTGAAACCAATCAGCTCACTACCATCTTTCATTGGCGGCGATTTGCATCACCCAGATACGTTCGATGTTCCAGCCAGCTATCTGCTGTTGAAGTTTCTTACAGCAATGTATGCGCCTTTTTGCTCCGAGTTGCCTGGAACCACCCTGGAATCTTCGGGCCGTACGCGTGGGGGGCTGACATCCCCAGGAAGAGCTTGAAATTCCTGCAAGCTTGTAAGGAGCGCGTTAACCCCACAGTGGGAGAGGGATCCTCTTATTTCCCCACCGACAGCACTTTACGTGAACGCATCAGCCGGTTCTGGGAGGATAAGGCGACCTGATATATGGAGACCGCCCCGACGGAAGATGAGAATGCTCTGGTTCGCCCTCAGCCTCGAACCTCAACGAAGACGGCCGACGTATTCAAAGGCGCCTGACTCGGGTTGGACGCACTGTCGGGATGGGCACTTCAGAGGGCGGGTTGAACAAAACGGATGCAGAACAAGGGAGGGACGGCGATAGGTGAGTTTTGCCGTTTGCAGTGCCTTGCGGTGGTAATGAAGATTTTGATCGACACATGTAGAACGATCCACCTCCTTGAGCAGATTCTAGACACGTTGCACAGCAGTAAAACTCCTGCACGCTATGACGGAACGGACATTCGGTCTCAATTCTGGACCATCTATCAACAGGAGGCAAATGAGTACGACATGGACTTTGTGGACAAATACAAGGGTGATATGGACATCGTCCTTATTTTCGTGCGTCCCGTTTCACTTTTGCCGGCCACAGCGCCTCACCCGGGATTCGCTCCAGTCGGGTCTTTTCTCAGCAGTCTCAACCTCGTTCGTTTGCGCGTTTCAAGGCGACCTGGGCCCCGACCACGACGCCAACACCCATATTCTCCTCAAAATCCTGATCCACACCATTGATCCCAGTGCGTTTGCTAACGATCCCTCAGCACTCCAGCTCCGCGTATGGCAGGGCCCGGATGCGCTTGTGATTTGGGCGCAGTCGCTGATGTACGCCAGTATTGCCACCAGCGTTCTCGCAGCTCTAGGAGCCGTGCTAGGAAAACAGTGGCTTTCCCAATATAGGCGATTTGGACGTGGTTCCGCCGATGCTCGAGGGAGGCGCCGACAAGCCAAGTTGAATGGCGTCGAGGCTTGGCACCTCGAGGCTGTGCTCGAAGCACTTCCGATTTTACTCCAGATTTCTCTCCTTCTCTTCGGTATTGGGCTCTCGGCCAACATCTGGGGTCAAGAATGGATCATCGCGAGTGTACTCGTCATAAGCACCGTTTTTGGATTTTTGTTCTACGTTGGCATCGTGGTATCCTCCATGATATCCAGCTCCTGTCCCTTCCGGTCTACGACAACTCGGTTTCTTCATCTCATATTCAAACCCCTAAAGTCGTTCTGGGAGCTCCTGAAGAGGCAAGAGGGCCTTCTCACCTCAGCATTCCCTTGGCCCTCAGGGTTTATCGACATCGCACTGACACGTGTGCGAAGCCTCTTCAAGAGATCTACCGCCGACATGTCCATTTTACCGTCCCGGGATTCTCTCGTCGAACTTGGCCACACTCCACGACTTCTTTCTTCTGCCACCGACGTCATGCGGCTGGACTTACCTGAGATGCCGGTCAATTCCCTCGATGCCTCTTCGATTCGATGGCTGCTCGAAACATCCGGCAACCCCGAAATCATAACCATAGCGGCAAGAATGGTACCAGAGGTGGAGTGGCCTTCGACTCTCGCCATCTCCGCCGCTTTCGAGCAGCTCCGAGATACCTTCATGTGCTGCTACGAGAACACGCAGTATGTCCGTCTCGTTCCTCATGGGCGGGACCGTGCCCTCGCGTGCGGAAAGGCGCTGCTGCACCTGTTTTACGAGAACTTCGGACAAGGACGGTTGAACGTACTCCCGCTGGGCACCGTACACGACATCCGGCTGACGGCCACGCTCGAGGGAACGGATCCCGAATTCGACTTCATCTTCCGGCTCTTGCGAAAGCCGCATCACATACCAGCCATTCCGGCCGTGCATCTTCCGTGGATGTCTCACGTCCTTCTCCACGTGTTATCGTGCCGCCATCGCTCTTCTGACTCGCCGCATCTCGATGAGGTCGTCGTGGATGCGGTGGCGCGCCTCCTGACCCAGCCTTTGCCTCCAGGGAATATCATGGCCAATGCGCTGTTGGCAATGGGAATGGTGCTCGGACTCAAATTTGATCCCAGAGATCTTGAGAAGATCGACAAAAGGTCAGCTGATAGATGGTTAGTTGCACGATACTTGGTTTACTGACCAACGGTTGGTCTTTTCGCAGTTCAGTAGTTGGTCCCCTCTTGGCACAGATTCTCCAGAGGCTCAAAGAAGTCTTGAGCGCTAGCCCGAGCCCGAACTCGATTCAAAGTATGCACCCAGCTGTCAGACATGCAATTGATTTCCTTGGTCCGTTGTCAAACATCATGGAGATCGAGGCGTTCCACACTACTTCTTTCGACCATGATATACCTCGCTGGGCCTTCCAGCTCTGCCGTACTCTCGTCAGAGAGGCCACTGAACAGACAAAAGCAGGAGCCCCGCCATTCAAGACATCGCGTTGTTGGCAAGATGCGTGCTCAGCCCTGCGCTTAAGCGTGGCGACCAACTATGGTCGGGGGGACGGGTCTTCACGGCATATCACGGTTCCTGTCCGAGCGCTCTGCTCAGAGGATTTCGGTTGGCTGGTCGACTTCCTTTCGCACCATTGCCGTCGCTTCTCCAAAAACGCGGTTACTGACGCGCTCCTAACCCTCAGTCGAGTTCAAGGATCTGGGACCGTCGAGAAACGAGCAGAATACCTCAGTGCCATCGCCTTTGCTCTGGGTCACGACAAACCGTCTCGCGTCCGCCTCGCCGCACTACAAGCTGCACGCTGCCTCGGAGATCATCCCCGTCCCGATGAATCGCTTCACCTTCAACTCCTCACGCACATACCGCCCTCGCTCAACGCTGCCCTCTTCTACAATATCTGTCCCATGAAAAGCGGACACACGTCACCGAATGAGAGCCTGGAGTTCTACGAAGAAGACCTCCAGCATCTCGCGATTGCTTTCAAGCTCGCGCACGCAGAGCTCGCTCACAGCATCAACCCAGCAGACTCGGATCGGTACAACAGTATCTCGCAAATCATTGCGGGCACACTCGACGAATTACCACGCTTCCAGCTAGAGAACATTTCGGGCAGCTTCGCGCTCTATCTTCTTCTCCTCCGACCTTCGCACGACAGCCAATACCCTAACAAAGCCGACATTCTACATGTCATCCGCGGACGACACATATGGACTCTTCTATCCAGTGCCTGGGGCTATATGAGCAAGCCTCCCTACGCGCTCTGGCGGCACGAAGGCTTCGGCGACGCGCTCCTTCCCCAGCTCGCGCAGATCACGCTCGACTTTGTCATCGCGAACCGTTCAGCAACCCTCCCTATCGCAGACTCGGACTCGGACACTGTTGCCGACACAGAGCGGGACGTGGGGAGGGATATGGAGAGTAAGCTTCTTGCAGCCGTCAAGTCGACGAAGCGGTTTATCTGCAATGCGGACGTCTCGTGTGAGGCCAAGGGGGTTCTCGACGAGATTATCAGGAGTCTGGAGGCACCTTGACGACTAGGGTTCGACAGCATGATAGCATGCTGCGAACGGAGGAGTATGGCGCCGACAAGTCGTGTACACGGACTCTCCTCGCTCAATTCGACCTGCTCGCACCTTGCGCGTCTGGCGAAGTCCAAATGAGACTTCATATTTCCAAGCACATCGTTATCCGGGACCCGGGAGGGTCATTCGCGGCGGAAGGCCGCGTAGAGGACGTTTTACTGAACTAGACGAAACGTCGCATATCAACATTGGTACACGACTCATGAAGTGGACTAGTTTACTGCCTAAGGGACAGACGTAGTTTGTACGACACCATATTGTATCGGTAGGAAATGCCATGTATCATGATATCTATTCTTTGTAGACGATCTGAATGCATATACCCGATTTTACCCATCGTCATCCGCCTTTTGATTACGGACCGCCTCCTGGATCGCGTCCGCCCAAGCACCTTGGTCCGCACCAAGGCTGAGTGCCTCCATGGGCACCATGTTGTGTTGGTTGGCTGGTGCGGAGGCGACTTCACCGTGCGATGTGATAGTGCGGAGCTCTGGGATTGTGGTAGAGTCCGGGGAAGATTGGCTTCGGACGTGAAGTTCTTCAAGTTCCTCGTAGCTGAAGAAAAGCGTGTCTGTGCGAGGAGCGTAGGGATTGATGTCTACGACGTGCGCTCGCGACAGGTCGCGAGTGAACAAGATGTCGAACACATCTAACCAGCTGCGTGAACACCGGACGTGAAGACGGGGCTAGGGAGAGCTCACAGTTTTCACCTCCCTTCCATCGCTTCTTAACTTCCTCTGTCCAGAACTTCGTAGCAGTCGAGAGGATCTTGTCGCGAGTCTCCCTCTCGAGCATATAGTCATAGAAGTTGGTGTCGCGCTGACATATGCCTGAAGGGATCGAGTGCGTCGGTCAGGGCAAGCAGTCAGTTTGGCGCGCATATACTCACCGATCAATGCATTGTCCCGCACGAAGCACCGAAACTCGCGACTGCGATCCACCGAGTACCACTTCCTCAGGACAAGCTCCAGTTGGTAACCCGGCGCTGTGGGTGAACTTGCATCTATGCAGCCTTCGAAGACGCTGGGGGCGTGCAAATCGTGGGGGATGAAGTCGGATGATTTCAGGAGAAGGTAAACGTCAGCCGGCGATGTGCATTTAAGCGGCGATGATGGAGGGAGAACCCAAGCAGCGTCCTTTGCGTCATCAACCACTTTAGCTGCAGCATGCAAGCGGGACTTCCCCTGACACACCTTTGGCGAGGTAAAATTGAGTTTTGGAAACACACCGCCGTACTGTGCGACGACAGCTCTTATCTGCGCATCGAGTTCGGGAAACGAGTAACGTCTGGTCTCCCCTTCGTCTTCGTCCGAGTCACTGTCATCCTTTCCATCTAGGAGGTGATCCTCTTCCGTTCTGCGTGCTTGTCAAACCTGCCTGGCCGATAGTGAAGGTAAACCGCACGGACACACCCTCAGATCCTGCAGGCACGAAAACGCCATCTTCGTCAAGATACGCGAGAAACTCTGCGCTCAGAGGGATAATGGTCGATCGGATGCTGACAGGAGCAAAGTCCTTGTACCAGGATGAGAACTGGCAGGCTAGGATGTCCGAGGTGGTGAAGGCAGGGTTGAAGGAAGATGACATCAAGACCAACAAACGCTAACCGTTCCCCGCTCAATTCGCGCCAGCCGATACAGCACGCAACATTCTCGATTCGGGATGTCTCCCAAGTAGCTCTCGCGTTGGCACACCGAGTACGGTACACGTTCCATTGTCTGGTACGTTACACCCACCTGAGCGCCGCCCCTTCACACAGAGTGTCGACTTAGAACTGCAGCCCACCAAGGGTGAACGCTCTATTTTTGCGCCAGGACAACAGCGTGTGGTTTATCCCTGAAGTAAGCAACAAGTCTAAAACTCATCGCACGTTGCCTTGATCCTGGTCGGTTAAAATGTCTTGTTTGGGACTGTGCTGCGTGGCACGCTCTGATCCCGAAACCATACAGAGTCCACTACCATGCAGTGCACTGTCCCCGAAGCGCATCCCCGCCTTCGCATCACAAGTAACATCCGTTATCAGTGAGCACCAGAAAGGTCTCGCCGGTGTCATCTGGTGGCATGCACATGTGTCCATCAACTTCAGGCGACTTTCGACGAGAACGTTGAGCATCCGTGCATATGGCACCTCGGATTTTCACCAGCGAATGAATCTTGCCAGCGATATAAGGCGCATAGGCCTGTTCTCGGTGCTCTAGCCCACCAAAAGCTCTCCGTCCCTTGCGATGTTGCGTCGTCTCGCGCTCCTGGCTGCTGTCCCTGCTGTCCTTGCCACCTCTCTTTCAGACATCCAGGGCTCTGCTTGGCAAAGCACCTATGCGGGCAAGAAGGTTACCGATGTGGAGGGCACTGTCACTGCAAAGGTTCGTTACTACGTGTTATAGTGGCCACAGAACAGAGAAAGAATCTTGCGCGATACACAGAGCGACAGTGGCTTCTGGATCACGTCCGGCAACTCTAGCCTTCAAGTGTACACGACTTCCACAACCGACCTGGGCAAAGTCGATGTCGGTGACTCTGTGACTCTCAGCGGCACCGTTAGCTCGTACAGGAGCAGCTCCCAACCCAACGACTTGTATGTGACCGAGCTCGATGACATCTCCACTACTTCTTCGTCCTCCGGCGATGCACCCTCCGCCATCGTGCTCGGCAAGGACGTCTCTCCCCCTACTGGTCAGATGTCTGCACTGGACAAAGGGTCGGACGGCTTCCTTTCCGTCCCCAACAACGCCTCTAGCGTTGAAGCCACGAACGCTGATCTCCAGCCTGACGCCTATGGGATGGACTTCTGGCAGAGCATCGTGAACTCATACGTCACTGTCCCGTCCCCAGTCGCCGTCGACTTCAATGACTACTATGGCGACATCTACGTTCGTGGCGACTGGAACGTCCTGGGGCTTAACAGCCGCGGCGGTCTGACAATGGTTCCTGGTACGTGCCTCTGTGGTTGACGCCCCAGTCACTGTCCTCATTCTGCATAGATGCCAACGGCTTGCCCACTCCCCATCCTGACGAGATCCTGGTCTCCACGCCTCTCGATAACACTACGCTCCCGAATGTCACCATGGGCACTACCCTTTCAGACATTAGTGGTGTCCTGACTTATCAGTATGTGTTGACCCTTATTCTGACGATCGAAGGGTGCTGAACGCGTACCAGGTACGGTTACTTCACCATTCTACCTACGACTGCTCCCAAGGTCCTGTCTTCGCCGGACTCGACGGTACCCGCCTCCAACATTACGTCCAGCAGTGACCAGTGCACAATTACGTTGGGTGACTATAACGTAAGAAATAGGAATTAGGTACTACTGGTGACGGGCCACTGATCGTAACTTAGGTTGAGAACTTGGCGCCGAACTCAACACACATGGGCAAGGTCGCCGACCACATCGCCAACTACCTCAACTCGCCCGACATCATGTTCGTCCAGGAGATCCAGGACGACAGTGGCCCCACGGACGATGGCACCGTCAGCGCTAACCAAACGCTCGCGAACCTGGTTGCCGCTATCAGCTCCGCGGGCTCGAGCGTGGGCTACGAGGCCATTGATGTCAACCCTCAGAACGATAAGGATGGCGGTGAGCCCGGCGGCAACATCCGACAAGCTTACTTGTGAGTTCAGTGCGATCCGGAGAGTGATCCAGAAAGCTGATGCTGGTTTTTAGGTACAACAGCAAAAAGATGACTCTTGTCCCTGGCTCGCCTGCTGGCGGTGCCACTGACTCAACTAAAGTGATCAACGGTACTGATGGCAAGCCCACTCTCAGGTATGGTCATCTATACTTCCAATGATAGGGTGCTAAAAGTCCCCGCTTCAAGCTATAACCCAGGTCGCATCGAGCCATACAGCCAGGCCTGGAACGATTCGCGCAAGCCCCTGGCAGCGGTCTGGGAGACTCCCTCAGGCGACCGCTTCTTCACGATCAACCTTCAGCTCACCGCCAAGCTCGACAGTTCCTCTGTCTGGGGTGATGCCCGCCCTCCTGTGAACGCCTACGTTGATGAGCGGACAGCACAAGTCAAGGTCGTCGCCGTACGTCACCCCTATTCTACCCGGGCCGAAGTACCCGGGTGATAGTAATACAAACTAACCCATCGTTCTCTCCTGCAGAGCTTCATCCAAGACATCCTGGATGCCGACTCCAACGCGAACATCATCATGGGCGGCGACTGCAACGAGTACCTCTACACCACCTCCGTCTTCGCGTCTCTCTCGGGCCTCGTGACCGAGATCGACGCGCTCGCGAACATCCCCGTCGAGGAGCGCTACACGTACGTGTACAATGGCATCACCGAGCAGCTCGACCACCTCTTTGTCTCCGACGCCGTCAAGGGACGCGGTGTCGAGGCTGAGCATATTCACGTGAATAACTGGGCTGCTACGGAGGCGGACCGAGCGAGCGACCACGATCCCACTGTTGCGCAGTTCAAGGTCTGCTAGACTATGACTTGTAACGAGTAGGCTTTCTAAGCTTTGATACGATGTTTAACCGATGAAAACATGGCCTGGAATATCTTCGCCTGTTTGTGCCCAACGTGATCGTCACCAAGACTTAGGATGACCGAATCGTTCCTAATTTGACTGATGTGTGAGCATATGAAGCTCAAGCCTCTTCCTCAAACTTCATATCATGGAACGGTAACTTGGCCGTGACAGTTTGGTGACTCCATTTGGGAAAATGCTCTGTCAGTTACCGAACACATTGTTACGAAGCAAAGCTTGACTGCGACACCCGTTTAGCTGCGCACTGCGTGCGCAGTGTAACATATAAATTATGTGATCGGGACTTGGGCGATCATCTGAATCCGAGTCCTTGCTTACCCGGGTCACCGCTGAGATGCCTTTCCAGACAGATCGGATGACTCTACGTGCATACACCGAAGCCGACCTGGACAACCTCCTGCGTCTGCGGGACGATCCTCTCGTGCTGCCTCTCGTCTCAGACGAACCAATTAGGCCCTACGGGCCCACCTACAAAGAGACACTCAAGAAGCAGCTCGACGCCGCCACCTTTGGCGCTGTCATCACGCTCACAGAGACTGGCGAGTTCATGGGGAAGGGCATCGTCCAGATCTCCGAATGGAAGAATCGTGATGCGCTCTTCAGCATAGCTCTGCTGCCCGAGTTCTGGAGCAAAGGTTACGGAGCCGAGGCAGCGAAGTTCATGATCGACCACGCGTTCAAGTGGTACGGGCTCCATCGCGTTTCCCTTATGGTGTTTGGAAATAACGAGCGCGCTATCGCGGTCTACGAGCGCATGTAGGTTTTCACCATCTATCGTGCTCTCCTGCGACTGAAGTTCTCTTGAACCCTTTGTAGCGGCTTTGTGGTGGAAGGGCGGAAGCGCGAAGCAACTTGGATGGACAACAAGTGGGTGGATGTGCTTAGCATGGGTGTTCTGAAGAGGGAATGGGCCGCTGTTCACTGGGCAGAATAAGTGGCAGCCACGAAAGAGGAAGGGGCATAAAGAACAAACTCATGCGGGTAAATACGAAGTCGTGATATTTCACTGCAGTTCTCAACCATGAAGCTGAGGATTGACATCAATAGTGGGTCATTGGCTATAGCGTATAACATAAAATCTCTCCCACTACGTGGGAATATCAAACAACTGGCATCTCCGATAATGATCACTCGTTGCCCTTTGAACGTCCCTTGGCATCGCAGACCGAACGATAACATCACCACAACGATAACAGAAGTGCGTATTGCATCCAGCTGATATGCACTTTCAAGACTTGCACGTCAGCGAGTATCCGATGCAACATTTAGTACAGCGAGACTCACAGTCATATGATGACACCCGGATACTTTCTCGCAGGGAGTCTTGCAGTCTGTGGTGGGCGTTCATGTTAGTCCAAGGATGGATGGAGTGACGGGTTAAGGGGCCGTACTTGGGCAATACTTCCATCCCCTCTGTTTCATGAGGTGGTCGAGCTCAGATGAGCCATCGCACGAATGCGGGGGACCGTCCAGTTGTATGGATGCTTGGCATGCCTTGCACCAGATGTGATTACATCGAGGTAAAGGACACGCTAGGATCTTCGTATCGTCGTGATCCTGCCTATCGATAAAGACACTGCGTTTGCACCTGTATAAGGAGCGCCGCGTATATCAACGCATGTACTTGATATGCGAAAATCGGATAGACATACGAGCGACAATGCAATAAGATAGAAAACCGAGCGAGCTCCATCTCCGTCCAAATGGCATACTGCTCTTGATTAACCCCTATCTGCTCTACCAGCCATGAGTCGATAGCTGCAGCCTTATGTTAGTATTATCCCCTGGTGAGCCCACTCGGTGCATGGACTCACTACTGGGCTTCTCAGCCTTTTCCGCCGAGCACACGGGACAAAGGACGGGAAATCGGTGATCGTTGATGTTCGACAGAATGAACTCTCGAGCGCAGGACCGGCAAAACGGATGTCCGCATGGCTGCAGTCTCACAGCGAAGTCTTCAGATTGCTCTTCGAAACATATGTTGCATTCGAACGGCTTCTGTTGGCTCGCGGCGAGACTCTCGCGCTGTTGTCGGATGTGGCGGTCTTCCTGATCGAATCGTTGCTGCATTTCAGCAACCAACTGCGCTGTGGGGTCATGCGCGGCTTCGGGCTCCAACATCGAAACATCATGCCTATCTTCGGCTCTTCCTTCTCCTACATTGTCTGCAAGCGATAATAATGGGTCTATCAAGAAGTGCATTTATGTAAAAGTACGCGACGGACCTGGAAATCGAGGACGAGAAGGTCCGGCTTCTGCGTTCTTAGCACTAGAACGCGGATATGCTGGGGCTCCGCGAGAAGAAGGCTTAGCTAATTCACGCAGCTGGGCTTCTAAAGCGGTCCGGGTGTCCTCCATCTGCTCCGCCTCCGTCTCCAAGCGCTTGTTCTCCGACGTGAGAAAAGAGTTCTGGGACTCTAGAGCGGCAACCTTGGCTTGTAAGGAGAGAATGGTGAGACTGGCATCTGCGACGAGATAGGTCATGGCCGTTGATGACGAATCAAACTCCCGTGCAATGAAGGTGTGACTGGAAAACTGTCCAAGGAGCTGTGCTTGCCACTGGAGGCGATCATCGCACATGAGAGCGTCGTCGTATGGTAGGATCGCACTCAGACGAGTAGCAGCCTCCTCGACCGAGTTGACGAGAATTAGGGCAGCCCCGTCTGGGTGATCTGGACGAGGGTGTGAGTCAAAGATGACGAAAGTGTTGCCGCCAGAGTTGGTGATCTTCAAGCAGGCAATGATCTCGGGAGGACGTGTGACAATGGCGACTGCGCATGAGGAAGTGGTACGTCCCAGGTTGCTACGATCACAATTTTGTCAGATGGGTAAGATAGAGAGTTAGGATGGGGCGAGGGCGCACCGAAGAAGAGTTCTGAAGTCCCCCTTTGTCGGCTGACCAAACTGCGTGTGGACTAGCTTGAGTGTGCTCTTGAACAGCGGGAGCTGACATATCTGATCGACTTCGAGATGTCCATCGTCTGTCCACCCGGAAGTTATGGAAATGATTTCCTAGTACCAAAGGTAACGTTAGACAACTAGGGTTTGCCTACGTGGGAGTGGAGAGCGAGCAAGCGCGACCCTTGACGCGGTCAGCGCGACGTCGGCCCTCATGCTGCCGCGTTGTGCAGAACGTCACTCACCTCCATGGATGGTTTTCTGACGATTTCTTGGAGAATACGCTCTGTCGACTCGCCGTTCCTTCTCCGTTCGAACACATGTCTTGCAAAGTTCAAGGCAGCCAATCCGCACGCTGAAGCACTCTTTCCCTGGAACTGGCTCAAACCCGGATGCGATACGATGCGTTCTACCACCGGCCCGCTGACTTGTGGTGCATTAGCAGCGTCTCCCGCTGCTGCACTTGGACTTGGAAGGGTCACCATAATGAGAGCGAGAGTGAACAATGGGTATGTTCTCGCCCGAACTTATCATGGTACTCCTGAGGCCTGAGTCGCGGCGGTATTTGCCATCCATGATCACGATTCAGGGCATTCGACGGTTCCTTTGTCCAGAAGCGGCGCGGGCCGTAACACGAGGCTTCTCTACTCCCTCAAACCCTATTTCCCTCTTATCCGTGTACTAGTGGTAGTGCTGAGCTTCTGAGGGGCTGGGATCAAGTATAAGGAAACGCGACCGCCGTCTCCCTTTTTGCAACCCAGGTCTTCAGTATCCCAGCATGGCTGACGACTTCGTTCCTGCCAACGTCTTTGGCTCCAGCGCTGGAGGCGGTAGTATGGATTCAACCTCGCCCTCGTCTCGAGAGACCGATAAGGACAAAAGTACGCGTCCCACCTGTTCAGATGTCCATGCGTTGGATAAACCTGATTGTCCTTTGGCAGATAACTCACCCGATGACCCAATGGCATCCACAACTCTGCTAGGCGGCACATCGAAAGCCGCCTCGACTCAAGCGATCGACTCGGATGACGACGATCTGTACATGGACATTGTCGATGCAGAGGAATCAGGATGGCAGAAGCTGCCGTCTTCTTCTACAGGCGGCGACAACCCTTTATCAAGCCATGTTATCGGTGAACGCCATCTCCTACATTGGCGTGCCTAAGTATTGACGTTACATTAGCTGATGACCCTCCCATGGACACTGGCGTCGATGCAAAGCGTGTTCCCCTTGGCGCCGGGAAGGCTTCATCTGCGGCGCAGGATCTTGATCTTTCTCATTCTATCAAAGGCTTGTATCGCATCCTCGACTTGATAAGCGAACAAGGGAGCGGAGGGGGATTAGGTGACGTTTCCTCTGTGTTCGTCAATACGATTTCTGACCTTCACAATAGTCGACAAGATCATCATATCGCAGGATACTTTGCAGGCATTTGCTAACGATGTGCAGCCTGGTTCATTTACTTCTCTCACGAAGGTTGACTTTAAGCTTCTTGATAACGTCTTGGTGAAACCGCTTGGTATATACGGTGACAAGAGAGCGATTGCCGAGTATCTTGAGCGGGTCGGGGCTGTGGGAAACGATATGTACGTTGGGGTACTTGCCCTTTGTGTCTGCACCACTTACATGTTCCGATAGCTCCACGCAGTTGTTGAAAAAAGAGGACGAACGAGGAAGTGGATCGCCCTCCCTTCGATCTGGCCTATACATTCTCCGGGTTTCAGCAGCGCAACTTGAAGACAACCGAGTTTATGTTATATACTGGCCGGAAGATACAACTTGGGACGATAACGCTATCTCTTCTGTTCGTCGCAATAGGATTACCTTCATGAGGTATGTCTCCCCCGCATATGTCATTCTCACATTCACTGACTCGGACGTTCAAGGTACCTGTCGAAGATCTGCGACCAGACCATGGCACTCATGTCCGGCGAATATGCCCAGGCGATCGTCTGGAAGGAGACGGAGGACGACGATACGTATATGGACTCGGACGATGAGGGTTCTGAGCGGATGTATGCGTTCGAAGTCTGCAAAACGAACGAGCAGGAGGAGTCGGTTAAGGTTCGGCCTGGATTTACGGTGAGGCCCACTCGGACTGTGATTCTCGGTGATGAGGCTAACATCAGGCTTGGATTAGACCCCCTCATACTCTATCATGGGTATTCAAGAGCGCCCTGACGGGATGCCTGAGGATCTGAACATGATCCAACCTCGACTTATCTATGGCGAGGCCGTCCAAGGACTCATAACTGCTTGTTATAAGCCTGCAAAAGAGCAGGTGGAGAGCTTCAATGACCGTCCAATGAACAAGACACGGCTCGAAAACTTCATGTACGTCGACTGTTCAATATAGCCCTCGTAGCTTAATTGATCTGACTGCGGGTGTTATACAGCAATGATCGCGGCATCCGTCTGAGCTTTGACGACTTGGACCCACGTTCAGTCGTTAACGTGCTAGAATGCAACCTGAAAGCTCGCTGCCCGCCGTTATGCAGGAAGTTCAATAACGAGAAAACTCAAAGTCGCCAACAAATCTCATCCGACTTCGAGAGAGAGAAGAGCGAAGCACTTGATAGGCTGACTCAAGACTTGCCCCGAGTGACGCAGTCACTCCGAGATCTGATGATAGATGAGATTCTGAAAGAGTTCCCGTATGTCTCTCTGCGAGCACTCATTGCTTGTTCTAACATCAAATTGAATAGAACCCTCGAACGAGAGCGCTTACAACAGAGTCCATCAACATCTAAAGAGGATATAGTTGAAGGAGGTCAGCAAAGCCTCACTAATAAATGTCCTTGGCGTTGACTTCTTTTCAGTTTCACTCGAGACAATCAGCGCTATGTACTCCCGAGCGCAAAGCATCTTCGAGAAAGCTCGAATCGATAAACAGCTGGAGACTTTGGGGAATCAACTTCACGGCGAAAAAGAGAAAGTCTTAGTTGTCGCCTATCTCTTTGATACTCATGAGGGTCTCGATGAGAAGAAACAGGTCGAACTCGTGGATATGATCCTACACAATGACGACATCAAGCGCATCCGAAAAGTATGGGTCGATTTGTCGAAGGGTAACCGTGTGGACGAGAAATCCCGAGGTCTTATCAATGGGTTCATTTCGTCGTTAAAAGCCCTTGTGCCAACGTTTGACGCTAGCCCTACTGGGGAGGACACTTTTAAAGATGCCATAAACGAGGCGCGCCGGACTCTGGACTCAGAATTCGTAGCTAACCTTGGTACTATCGCGTCGCGTTGGCCAGTCTTGGAGGAAGCCGTGGACGCCGTTACCTCATCAATCTACGACCACTTCAATGGGCACCTGCGGAAGTTGTCAACCAAATATGCTCACGAAACACTGCACATTCAGCAGGAGGATTGCGCGAAGTGGCTCAATGCCAAACAGACCGCTCGTGAGGAACAGGCCGAACGTGACTTGTGTTCTGTCTTTATCAGCGAACTAAACCAGCACTTCGCGAATGTGTCGTCAAAGTGAGTCAAACTTTCATTTTCGTAGCTCGTCTGACTTTCCCTCTCTCCAAGGCAAGAGTTCCATGTCCAGATGGTCGTAGATGATAATTCCCCTTACTCCCGCAACCGTAAGTTTTGTCGACGGTTATTTTTATGTGTTGCTGATATGATCATGGCTGTAGGCTCCTTCCGCTTTACAGGGTACATCGCCACAACTGAGGACCCTAAGATTGAATACAGTGTTTATCCGATGCATCTGACCACCGAAGAGCGTCATAACATACAACTTGACCCGTCGTTCATTCCTACACCTCGCCCTGGACTTGCACACAGCTTCTCTTTACCAATGGGAAATGACATTATGTGCGTCGACATTGACATCAGAAGCTCGGTTTGATGATGATCTCATGGGCATTTTGACTCGCAGATATCTACAGTTTCTCGAGAACGAAGATCTTCTGTTCATCACAAGCGACCGCATGGGAAACGTGCAAGTGTATTGCGAGCCTTTGGACGCGTTAGAACGAGCAATCAATCATGTTCGCTACAAGAAACAGCTCAGTCACGACAAAATTGGCGACGACTTCCTCATCACCTTCAATGAAAGCAAGCAGACGCTCGCTGTTTTCGAATCTCAAAAGGTGCTTTCGTGCACCTCAACTTTCGCTCCTCTCTAACTTCCAGTTCAGCTGCAGCTACATATATTTGTCTTTGATGAAGGTGCACGGGCGTTGAAAGCTTCAGGCAGCACCATCAACCTTGCACCCTGGTACGACGGCACGGTGACGATTCGACATGCCTGTTTCATCTGTGGCGACGAAGAGGTACTCCTCGTCGATTCGAACGCTCGTGGGAGGATTTTCTCCCTGCTCACGATGCAGTTTAGGTAAGATGTCAAAATCAGGCACAGTCACAGTTGTCTCAATCCTCGCTCGTAAACTACAGACCCGCATCCCTCCAGTTTGCTTCAATGCCAACCGCGATCCAGTCATCACCCGACGGTTCTTGTTTCCTGGCGTTCATCCCCCAGGACTCGTCGTTCCGTATAACAGCTTACCACTGGGCGACTTTCGGGTCAAACGAGGGAACACAGCTTGCCATCAATGACTTAGGCCTAGATGACGATTGCGTACTGACTTCGTTTGGGTCAAGGAACTCAGTCCATCTGATGAAGCTAGACACCGATCCTCAGAACTGTAGATCCTTTGCTCTGGATATAACGCGGAAGTCTACCGAGTTCACGTTCAGAGCAAAGGGTGGCACTGCGGCGTCCTCTACGGAAAAGGGAAATGGCACCCTGCATAACTGCTTAGTCGACTGTCACTCCGACGTCTGGACCCGATTCCCCGTCCTCCCCGCCGTCCAGCGCCAGGCAATCACCCGGGCCAGCTCGAGGCATTCCAAGTCTCTGACGTTCGTATCTGACTTCGGTCAGAGGCGGTTCGAACCGCATTTCAGCGAGCTCATCCAAACTTTCGAGAGGACCACTCGAAAATTGTCGGGGAACGAGCTTCGCTCCATCGCCGTGACTTCCATCACGTTCAACGACTTTTACGCTGCCCTCGGGGATATTTCAAGCTTCCAAACTTCAGAATTCCGAGCTGGCGAATGGCTCGTGGAGTTGCTGTGCCTCATCCCTATCCATCTCGCGGTCACCAAGGACAATAGGTTCATCCCACTCAAGGACGGCGTTTTCTCCCCTGAGCTAGAGAAATCTCTCTTGGGTGCCGAGGTTGGGCGTATTGTCGATGCGCTCTCGTTCGGATGGTACGAGTCCATATTTCAGTCATATATGGCGTCGAAGGTAACTCTCTCACTTCATTCATCGACCCTTGTCTTATATCGCGATATGTTTAGCCCGTGAAGGTCGTCTCGTCTATGGGAGAGCAGTCCGTTGGGAAAAGCTTCATGCTCAACCATCTAGCAGACACCTCTTTTGCTGGCTCCGCCATGCGCACTACGGAAGGTGTATGGATGTCAGTGGCGCCTACAGAGGACGCTTTGATTGTAGCCCTTGACTTTGAAGGTCAAACTACTGTTCTTGATCGCGCTGCAAGGATCCGACCGCTAACATCCGTTTAGGAGTTCACAGCATTGAGCGTTCCGCGCAAGAGGATACACTACTCGTCCTATTTAACACGGCCATTTCCAACCTGGTACGTACCGTCGACAGAGTTTTACATAGATTTGTTGAAAGACCGTGTTCTTTATACCATCTCCAGGTCCTCTTCCGGAACAACTTTGCTTTGAGTCGTGATATCACAGGCCTATTCCAGTCGTTCCAGTCAAGTTCGACGGTACTCGACCCCGCCGCAAATCCGATGCTCTTCCAGTCGACACTCGTCATCATTATAAAGGTCGGGATAACAACAAAGCTCTTCAATCCATTTGGGTCTAATCGTTTTGCAGGACGTGGTTGACTCAGATAAGATGGAGATTACCAGGGAGTAAGTAGCCGTTTTCAAGCACCGGTTCTTGAACTGACGGCGGCCTTTAGATTTTCTCTCAAGTTCCATAAGATTGTACAAGATGAGCAAGAGTCGAACTTCATCTCTCGTCTTCACGGAGGAAAGCTTGATATCATCCCTTGGTAAATTCTTTCCGTGTGCGTGCATTTGAATCGTTTTCTCACGTTATTTTTAGGCCGGTGATCGAATCCAAAGAGTTCTACAAGCTCTTCCCCAAACTAAAGAAACGGTTGGACCAGCAGAACGTCACGCACCAAACGGCTGGACAGTTTTTGCATACTGCTAAAACTCTGATGGCAAAGCTTAAGGTGCGTAAAATAACTTCGAACGTTCTCATCGTAGGGAGTCTGACCTTGATATTAGGCCAATGATTGGGGGGCATTATCTCGTAAGTAACCTAGGCCAGATAGCATTATTTGCGCTCATGCATACGTTAAGACACTATGGCGTCTCACCGAGCGTTGCTCCTTCGTGCTATGCTGTCGAATGCGCTTGAGTCTGGTTTTATTGAGAACGGGGCTGAAAAAGAGCCGTTGAAGGTGCGTTTCGAGAGCAGACCTTCTTGTTGCGCCGCTAATTATTTCATCAGAATCTCGACACGGACGAGTTCATCGCTTTCAATGACACGCCAGCGGTATTTTCTGTCAGCTCCGGAGATTCTGGCCGCGAAGCTCGTTTGGCCGCGCTTGAACGGACTTGGGTTCGATTTTCGGATCGCCAACACGTCGCAGATGAAGAATGGCTTGAAGGCCTAGCATCACATCTCAACCAACTCTTATCTCTTAGAATCGATCGCGTACGTGACTGGATCTCCTCCAATCTCGCACGATTCCAGGCCGTTAGCCATGAGTCAATGGAGGAGCTCAAACGAGAGTTCGAGAACTCGACGGTGGATATGCGATCCAACATCCAGTTGTGTGGAGGACAGTGTGTATCATGTCATCTGCAGTGCATTCAGAGTCGCTTGCATCAGGGTCTGCACGACTGCAAGACTGATCACAAATGTACCCACGATTGTAATTTCTGCGAAGACGAGGACAAGATGTGCGGAATGAAGTGAGTCTCTCATCTCACTCTCCTCGAGTTATCTCAAGCTTTTGTTCAGCGCTGGACACCCGGGCAAACACATGTAAGGATTATTTTTTAAGAACACCGCGGCGCTAATCTCGCATTGCCAACGCAGCTGCGTTGTGGCATCGCATCTGTGCGGTGAGCCTTGTGACTTCTCCGGAAAACAAGGCTGCTTGGAGGCCTGCACAAAGGTATAAACATCATCTGCAGCTGAGATCGTGCCGCTAAATCCATCAATAGGTCATTGACCACGAAGACGATGAACATCGATGTGCTGCACCAGTTCATGCCTGCGGGAAGGTGGGAATCTACCGTCATGTATTATCGTCTTGCTAACAGCTCGGAAGCCTTGTGATCTAGAAGGCATTGGACTACCCGATGGCTCAGCCTACAGCTGCCCAGGGACATGCTCCGTTTCGAGGTAAGTTACTTCGATAGCCTCATCGCTTGCATTTGTTCACGAATAGTTACAAGCGATCGTGAGCATACTCAGCATCGTTGCGAAACCCGGATGTGTCCGATTAGCTGTTTGCTCTGCAAGAGATTATGCTCTCACGCGGACCATTTACACGGCCTTCATCGAGGAGCCATTCATCTTTGCGGGTACGACCTTGAATTCGCTTTGACTTTGCGGACTTTGTCTCATATCTGGTATAGTCAAGAGCACTCCTGCAATTGCATCTGCTCCAGACAAGGTATTTGCGAGATCGACACCGCACCCTTGTCGATTGAAGCCACGTTCACTGGGAGACATGAGACGTTCCAGTACACAAAGGTCAGTAGCATTACTTGCATCAACGATTTTCGCTTATGACATGTTACATTGTTAGTATTCTCAAGGTAAGACGGTATAGCCACTTCCTCCTCATACGCTAACCTCGTTACCAGTAAACAAACGGCTTAAGTGTGTCAAACCTATCCCGGCTGGCGCTACAGAGCACACCGGCGATCATACTCATAGTATGGACTCAAACGTCATTCACTTCTGCGAAAAGAGGTAAACATCAGATTTTTGTTCGATTGCATGGATATTACATAACATAATTTTATTGTTAAGGTGTGAGCACTGCGGATACTTCTGCACGCAGCCACTAGGTAACACAAATATCCTGGCTTATATTCATCAACTCACATAATAACGCAGGCCACCCTCAACCAGAACATGAAACACGACACGGTTCGATGTCTCAAACGCGCTGGGCAATTGATGGTGATGAGGGCACAACAATCGAAGTCGAGGGCCGTAGATACGCCGCGAATGACGATGGCGCACCTATGATGTGCAATCTGGTCTGCCAGTCTATGGGCCGGCATACTCATTTCTCGTATTGCCGCTCTGCGACTGCTGCAGAGTGTGCTGGGAATGACCAGATCCAGCATATTTCGAAGCGCATGAACCCGGATCCTAACCGCCCCAAAGACTTCATCACACATGGTCTCTTCTGGGGGAGAAGTGGTAGGAGTTACTTTCTGTCCTAGTGGATCTCGGGCTGAGACTTAAGTTGCTTCACCAGGATTCAAAGATCCATACTCCAGAGAGGAGCAAGCGAACTTTGCGAAATGGTGCGTCCCGCCCTTCCACTGAATCATTTACCTTACTTTATTTTTGATGGGCCATCTAGTGACGCTATGTGTGGAGGTATATTCGTCGCTCATATTTCCTATAGCACGCTCATTCAAAATTTCGTGTAGGACCCGAACACACGGCTCCTGGAGCGATGCCTTCTTACTGCACCTTACCGATGTTCCACCCTCCCAGGGATCCAACGACTGCGCCAGCGACTGGATATGTATCTAGCGATGGCCACATGTTTACGTGCAGAAACCCGGTTGTGCTGCAACAAGCCTTCCATGTGTGGGTACCTCCATATCATTCTCCAACTGACTAACCTAACTCATAAAACCCAATATTGATCAGTATCTTCGCCATCGATCGGTCCGGCTCAATGGGAAGCACGGACCGTACCCCGCTCCGGGATACACCGACCTCCGCGCAGATCAGTCGAAATTCTAACAATAGGCTCGGCGCAGTCCTCTCTGCGGTATACTCATTTTGGGCTGCAAGACACGCAGCCATCACTGCCGGCGGGCACCAGGCCAACATGCGACGCGACTCGTATAGTGTCATACTGTTCGAAAGCGATATATCGACTGCGCTGGTCAATGACTTCGGGAGCTCCCCCGAGCAGCTGCTCAACATGTTGCTTCCGTACCGAGCAAGGGGCGGCACCAACTTTACAGGGGCAATACGTCAAGCTCAGGCGATTATGGAAGGCCATTGGAGTACTGAAAGGTAGGGTCTTAACAACTTCATAGACACTTGCTTACCTTCACTCAGAACGCCGGTTGTCGTCTTCCTCTCTGATGGAGAGTGTCACATCGAAGACACGGTCACCCAGGATCTTTGCCGATCCGCTATCAGGCTTGGGTACGAGACTTCATCAACATTCTGCGTCGCATTCCTCGAGCTCGGCTCGCGGAAGAAGCTAATTAAATTTCATTCCCATAGGAAACCTGTCTCTCTGCAAACCGTGTCTTTCGGACCAGACCGCGCCTCAATGTCCCTGCGTCGAATGGCCCAGATTGCCGCCGACGCTCAGGCCACTGCCCAGCGCGACCCTCTCGCTCCTGCAGCGGCCTCAATCATTTCTGCGTTCTCGCAGGCATTGGATTCCGTGAGTCTCTTCATTTAGGTGATAAAGAACGGCAGCTCATCGAGACCCTTTCCGCAGGTTCAACTCGCCGACACATTCTTGGGGATAGCCGAGTCGTTGAAGAAGCAGAGGGGGTCTCTTATTAACTGAAAACATCATATATTCCAAATTTTCATTTCATCAAGATTTTTCTTGTCATACTGCTTATCATGTATCCTGATCGAGTCTCGTTAGAATGTGTAACTCAGTAAATCGTACGCCCTGTACCGGCTGAGGTAGTCATTTTTGAGTGTGGGAACCTTTCACGACGCCAACGCAAGTGGAACTATATTGGTCTCGAAGGACGTGTGCTCGGCGAGAGTACTAGAATGCTGAACTGTCCGTGCAAAAATACGCGAGTAATACTGCTCCGCGGGTCCATTATCCCATGCCCCAAGCCGATGTCCTTATAAGTACCCTTTGAGTGTAATGTAGTTTATTAAGTGAGATTACTTCTTGATAGCATGTAAGGTATAGTAAGAGAGCGTACACCAAACCCTCAACGAACGAAGCGTTGATGGTGGCATAGGTTGCGCGAACCAATGATCCTCAAGGATCCAGATCGAGTGATGAGGTTCACGGGCTGATAATATGTGCAACCCATGGACGACGCGAGGTTCTACTGAATGCCTTATCATGGCCAATATTAGGCAGGGAAACGAACTAAACACTAAAGAAGCACTTCTAACCTCTCCAGTTCGTCAGGCGGTCGAGCGTCGACGAGTCGTTATACGGATGTGGTGACCCCCGATCTCATTGGAAGCCTGACATACCTCGCATCATGTGTGATCGCGTCTGGGCAAGGGGTACACCGATGTCATCGTGGTCTTGCCTATCAATAAAGACGCTCTGCCTAAGCTGTATTGGGCAGGAACATTAGGTTAACTTTGCACGCAGTAACGCTAGAAGAACTTACCCGTGACTATGAATGAAGATTCGCTGTGCAAGTATCACCTCCATCCAGATAGCATTGATCGATTACACCAATGTTAAAGGCTATAATTACACTCGAGAATTAATGTGCCTGTTGGTGATCGATGAAGAAAGGCTCACTACTGGACTTGTCATTTTCCGCGGAGCACACAGGAAAGGGTGCTGGGAGTCGATGTCCGTCGGGGTTCGACATGGTAAAGTTGAGTTGACGAGGACCTCGATACAGGAGCACCTTCTGGATGCAAGTGATGATGCCGATTTCACACAACGCTGGATCTGAACGTCAGATACCATATTGACCTTGTTAGACGTATCAATGGTGGGCATGTAGACTGGACACGCACCGAAGCTAACCTGACCATTCCCTAGCCGATTAACTGAACGGCAGATGTACTTGATGCGGACTGGCCTGAGTAAGGAGCACGATCTTGCAGAGCGAGAACTGGCTCATCTAGTTGACTTTGAGATATGTGTGTCATTGGCTCACCCGGATATTATGGCGAGGATATATGGTGTGTTAGAATGCAAAGATGTCGGTGCGAGGTTCCGTGGGAGCGGAGCGTACAAGCGCAACGCGAAACGGCCAGCCCTAAAGAATAAGCGAAATAGAAGACGCACTTCCAGTTCCATGTTGTCTCTAGCTCTTTTTCGTGACGACCTCGACAAGAAATTCACATCCTGTTTTTCCGCATGTCCTCCATTTGAGCATTTGTCCAACAAAGTTCAAGGCACACCGGTATGTACGCCGACGCACTCTTTCCTTGAAGCAGGCGGTACCCTCGACTCGGATATGATACTGTTTGCTAGATCTGGTCCGTTACTTGTGTTTCCACCCTAGAACCAAGGATTGACGTGGTCGCCGTATGTGTAATTAAGGTTATGAACTGCGATAGGTATGTGCTCGCGTGAACACCATGCTTCCGAATCACAACAACCCTTGCCTTTTGTGATCGTTCCTCGATATGCAAGAGTTCATTCGTGAGCACCACCACACGAGGCTTTTAGCCCTTCCCAAACCAATTTATGGGATGGAGATACTAGGGAAACGGATCAGAGGGGAGAATCACTGAGTATAAGAAAGCAAAGAGGACACCATCGCTTTCCCTCGCCCCTTAGGTCTCTTACCGCGCAATATGGCTAATGACTTTGTTCCTGCTAATGTCTTTGGCCCCACCGCCAACGATCCACCGAGGCTGTCACTCAATGCCAACACGAGCGATGACGAGTTTGATTACGGTAAGTGCCAAAACTCAGTTTACTGTATAAACCTAATACACTGACGGACTACCGACTAGCACACGACCATGACGCGCTCATGACTCCCCCAAGCCTGTCAGGAGACACGTCGAGTATCAGCTCTGGCTATACACTTGAATCGGAGGATGAGACTACGTACATGGGTGCTAATCAGAACGGCTCGGCATGGCGAAAAACGCCTTTTTCTGTGGGCGGCGGGCATAAGACTACCGGCACAACCCGTAAGCTCGATGCTTCTTTTACGACGTGATGCCCCCGTCCTCTGACTATGTTGTAATTAATAGCCCGCCATTGAATGTAGATACTACCGAGAAGTCCTCTCGGAATAGCGTGCCTAAGGTGTTAGATCTCGACCTATCTCACTCTATCAGAGGATTGTATCGCATCCTCGACCTCATAAGCGAGCAGGGAAGCGGGGGTGGTCTAGGTGATTTTCTCGCTGAATGTTTGGTCTTCGCTTCTCACATTATTGTAGTGGACAAAATCATAATATCTCAGGGCAGCTTACAGGCTTTTGCCAACGATGTGCAGCCCGGAGCGTACACATCGCTCACAAAGGTAGATTTCAAACTTCTTGATAAGGTGCTAGTTAGCCCTGTTGGCATCTACGGCGACAAGAAGTCGATTGTGGAGCTCCTCGGTCGGCTTGGCGTTGTAGAGAAAGAGACGTATGTGTTGTTTCCGGTGCCTCGGCCAAGTAGCGCTGACGGGCCTCAAAAGAGCTACGCTTTTGTTGAAGGCGGAAGATGAACGGGGAAGGGGTTCGCCATCTCTCAGGTCTGGTTTGTACGTTCTTCGAGCGCCCCCATCCGAGACCGAAGGCAGTCGCGTTTACGTCATTCACTGGCCGGAAGACACGACATGGAATGACGATGCCATCTCCTCTGTTCGTCGCAATAGGGTCACCTTTATGAGGTATGGGTTCCACTATCGGCATTTAATGCATGCTGACTTGATACATTAAGATACCTTTCAAAGATCTGCGACCAAACCATGGCTCTCATGTCTGCTGACTATGCACAGTCGATCGTATGGAAGGAGAGCGAGGACGATGATACGTATGTGGAATCTGACGACGAAGGGCCTGAGAGAATGTACGCGTTTGAGGTCTGTAAGACAAATGAGCAAGAAGAATCGGTGACGGTCCGGCCTGGTTTCACGGTCAGTGCCATCTAGCGTTTTAGCGTCAGCAGACGCCCTGACAAACTCTCGCTTTAGACTAGCGCACCGATGATAGCGCCCGCCGAGAGACGTCTTGACAAAGCGCCCGAGGAAGCCGTGCCTATGCAACCAAGACTTATTCGTGGTGAGACAACTCAAGGTCTCATCACGGCAGGTTACAGAGCCGCCATCAAGAAGGTCGAACACTTCAAAGATCGACCGATCAACAAAGCGGTACTAGAAAACTATTTGTGCGTTCCTATATCTTTCTGCGCACATGTACCGCAGGGCGCTGAATGCTCTTTAGAAAGGATCCCCAGATTCGACTCAGTTTCAGCTCCGCTCTCGATCAGCCTACGATCGAGATTCTCATGGACACAGGTCTCCGGTCGCGATGCGAGCAACTATGTAGAAAGTTCAGCTCCGAACGCTCTGAACTTCGGCAGGGGCTTGACTCCGACATCGCGCAGAGAAGGGCCGACTCCCTCGCAAAACTCAAACAAGATCTACCTTTGTTGACGACGTCCTTCCGTGGTCTGATGATGAAAACGATATTGCACAGTTATCCGTGCGTATATCTGTCGTCATGTGTTATCAATCTACTAAATTACTGGACCAGAGCTCTGGATGTTGATCGCTTGCAACAGAAAACATCGTTACCACAAGCACAGACCCAAGGGGGTAAGTAGATATCGGCTTGTACTTGGGACTGAGTGCTGAGTGAAGTTTATTATAGCTGACCTTGACGGTCTTGCGAATAACCCTAAGATAAAAGGTCTGATCGACAGAGCTAGAGACGAGCAGCCATTGAGAACGGTGCCGGGATCGTTCCATAGTTCGAAAGAGCGGATTCTCATTATCAAGCACCTCCTAGACTCTCATAACGGCCACCTCGACGAGAAGACGCAGACTAAGCTCGTGGCGATGATTGACAACATCAAGGACATTCGCAAGGAGTGGACAGGGATGTCGAAGGGTCTGCGTCCGGGGGATAGTTCTCATGGATACATGACCAGATTGAGATCGGGATTGAAGTCTCTTCTGCCTCACGAAAGCAACAGAACCGGAGAGAAGGCGTACAAGGATGCCTTGGACATTTCACAGCGTACTTCTATTTCTCAGTTCATTTCTCGCGCCAATGACATTGCGTCTCAATGGCCGGTGTTGGAGAGGGCAGTTAATGGTTCTATGGCAGTGGTGTACGACCATTTCGCCAAGAACCTCGGGAGACTTTCGAACCAATATGCCCATGAAGCTCTGCGTATTCAAGAGGAGGATACCACGCAGCAGTTAGATCGCGAGCGTTCCAGTCGGGCGGATCAAACTCAGCGGGACTTGTGTTTCGATTTTGCTCGCAAGCTCAACGAGCACTTCTCAAATGTGTCGTCGAGGTAGGGTCAATCGCTATATGTCCGTAGATCGCTCTAACGCGGCCTTTAGGCGAGAACTCCACGTGAGTTCAGTTCGGAAGACAGGGTACTGGGCGCCATATTCTCGTGAGCTTGACATCGCCGAATGTAATCGGATGCTGACATGATTTCTATGTTAGCTACCCTTTCGGTGAAAGGACGCCTCATCACGAAAGAAGACGATCAGGTTGTGTACCAGGCCCATCTGATGCAGCTAACCATCGAAGATTGCCATGAACTGCAGCTCGACAGCTCATTTGTTCCCTCACCTCGCTTTGGCGTGGCATATACCTTCTCTCTGCCCACAGGGAGCGAGATCATGTAAGTTCTGCGCAGCGTGTATATACTGTATTTGCAAGGACTACACGACTCATATCCGTCTCCTATAGCTACTCACAACTTCTTGAGGATGATCAATTGCTCCTCCTGACGAGCGATCGCCGGGGCAATATCCTGGTTTACCGCGAGTCCTTGGACGCTCTGGAAGGCGCCATAGCTCATGAACGGTACAAGACAAAACTGAGTCGTGACAAAGTCGGCGATGACATCCTCATCGCGTTCAACGAAGGCAAACACATGCTTGCTGTCTGTGAATCACATAAGGTACTTCTTGCCTCGCTAACTCTTTTCCCCCTGTCTGACGTGAAATAAGCTTCAACTGCACTTTTTCGTGTTCGACGAGGATGCCCGGTCCCTGAAGGCATCCGGCAGCGCCATCAACCTCGCCTTGTATTACGATGGCCTGGCGATTCAGCATATATCCTTCGTCTGTGGTGACGAGGAGCTTCTTCTCGTTGACTCTAGTGCCCGAGGAAGGATATTCTCGCTCGTTACGATGCAATTTAGGTAGGAGTCAATCCCCTGCATTCAGTATGCCATTATCTCATGAAATAATCATTCCAGGCCTGCAACGCTTCAGTTCGCTACCATCCCCTCTGCAGTGTATACATCACCGGATGGATCCTGCTTCTTGGTATCGTGTTCTCAGGATTCGTCGTTCTCTGTCATGGCATATCACTGGATCACGTTCGGTTCCAGCGACGGAACGAAGCTTGCTATTGATGACCTGGGATCAGAGGACGACATTATGATGACTTCATTCGGTTCCAGAAACTCTGTGCATTTGATGAAGCTCGACGCCAACTCTCAGACTTGCAAGTCCTTCGCACTGGATATCACTCGAAAGTCTACGGAGTTTATGTTCAAGGAGAAGGGCGTAAAGTCTGCACCTTCCGCAGATAAGAGCGGCAGTACCTTGCATAATTGTCTGATTGACTGCCACTCAGAGGTCTGGACCCGATTCCCAGTTCTTCCCGCCATTCAACGCCAGGCAATCACTACGTCCAGCACTCGATGCCCCAAGTCTTTGACGTTCGTGTCTGACTTCGGTCAGAAGCGGGTCTCGCCGCATTTTGGCGAGCTCATCCAGACTTTCGAGAGAACTGCGCGCAAAATCACGGGGAACGAGCTGCGCTGTATCACGATCAATGCCATGACCTTCAACGATTTCTATGCCTCTCTAGACGCCTCGTCCACCTCACATAGTATATCTCATTTCAGAGCCGGAGAGTGGCTCGTGGAGCTCTTGTGCCTCATCCCCATCCATCTCGCGATCACGAAGGACAACCGGTTCATTCCGCTCAAAGACGGAGTCTTTTCTCCCGAGCTCGAGAAGTCGCTACTCGGAGCCGAGGTTGGGCGCATCGTTGACTCGCTCTCGTTCGGTTGGTACGAGTCTATCTTCCAGTCTTATATGGCATCTAAGGTAGGTGTGTTACACGAATTATGGACGATGGCTCACTGCAAGTTATTCCCAGCCGGTGAAAGTGGTTTCTTCGATGGGCGAGCAGTCTGTTGGGAAGAGTTTTGCGCTTAACCATTTTGCGGATACTTCGTTTGCTGGTTCCGCGATGCGTACGACAGAAGGTGTATGGATGTCAGTAACACCTACGGAAGACACGTTGATCGTGGCACTGGACTTCGAGGGTGCGAAGAGCCATTGACTCAGCGGACTCATTGACTAATCAACACCTAGGCGTACACAGCATCGAGCGTTCAGCACAAGAGGACACGCTACTTGTCTTGTTTAACACGGCTATTTCCAACTTGGTACGTATATCCAGTCGATCGTCTCGTTTCTCAACTGATGGAAATCGTTGGGGTTCTAGGTGCTATTCAGGAACAATTTCACTCTAAGCCGCGATATCACTGGCCTCTTCAAATCGTTCCAATCAAGTTCTACTGTCCTCGATCCCGCCGCGAACCCGATGCTTTTCCAGTCAACTCTTGTTATTATCATCAAAGATGTAGTGGACGCAGACGCGCAGGAGATAAAAAAGGAGTGAGGATCCGCCATTTCCTCTCTTTTCACTAGCTCGCTGAGTAAGCCAAATTACAAGGTTTTCTCTGAAGTTCCACAGGATCGTGCAAGACGAGCAAGAGTCCAACTTCATATCCCGTCTTCATGGCGGAAAGCTCGAAATCATTCCATGGTGCGTTTATGCTCTAGTGCTATTCAACGCTCATATATTTTTCTTACCGTATCTCCAGGCCTGTCATCGAGTCAAAAGAGTTCTATAAGCTATTTCCAAGGCTGAAAAAGCGTCTAGATCAACAAAAGGTCACGCACCCAGCGGCAGGGCAGTTCCTGCATACCGTCAAGACGCTAATGGCCAAATTAAAGGTTAGCGAACTCGATCTACCATCCTTGCTTAATAATTCCCAGACTGACTCGCTACGGCCTTAGTCTAACGACTGGGGAGCTCTGTCTCGTAAGGGCTTTGCGCAATTCGTCAAAATAATCATGATTGATGTTTTTATTAGACACCATGGCGGCCCACCGAGCACTACAGCTTCATAACATGTTGCCGAATGCTTTGGAATCTGGCTTCGTTGTGAACGGAATTGAACGAGAGCCATTGAAGGCAAGGTTTGCATGTCTATGTCATCACCCCCATACTGACGAGCCGCACCAGAACTTGGACACCGACGAGTTTGTTAATGCGAACGACACAGCCTCCGTATTCGCCGTAGGTCCCAGTGGCACCGATCGTGAAGCTCGCTTGGTGGCTTTAGAGCAGTCGTGGGATCAATTCTCCACGCGACAACAGGTTACGGACGAAACCTGGTTCGAAGGCCTCGCGTCGCACGTCGACCATCTCCTGACTCTCAGATTCAATCGCGTCGGAGAATGGATCTCTTCGAACCTCGTGCGCTTCCAAGCGGTCAGCCACGAGTCGATCGAGGATCTCAAGCGTACCTTTGAGAGTACAACGGTTGATATGCGATCCAATGTCCAGTTGTGTGGTGCCCAATGTGCGTCGTGCCATCTACGATGCATTCAGAGTCGCCTGCACCAAGGTCAACACGACTGCAAGACCGACCATACGTGCTCGCATGATTGCGACTTCTGCGAGGAAGACATAAAGCTGTGTGGAATGAAGTAAGTCCTCGGTCTGTTTCACCTGATTGATGCCTCATGCTTTCATTAGAGCGGGTCACCCTGGAAAGCATATGTGAGTGTTGTGCGCCAGTATCCGTGATAGAAGTGATTTCAATTCCCTCACATAGCTGCGTGGTGAGCTCGCATCTGTGTGGTGCTCCTTGCACATTCTCCGGAAGACAGGGCTGTTTGGAGGCTTGCACTAAGGTATCGTCAACTCATAGCTTCAATTAATGAGCTAGACTTTGATCAATACATAGTTTATTGACCACGATGACGATGAGCATACATGCGCTGCATCCGTGCACGCATGTGGAGAGGTGAGTCATTCGCTCGAAAATAGTACCGCCTTTTTCACCGCTCATCAGCTCTGCGACCTGGGAGGCGTGAGGTTGGCGGATGGATCTACATACAACTGTCCCGGAACGTGTTCTGAGCCAAGGTAAGCAGCTCAGCTTATGTGCTTTTCAACTGACTGAGTAAATAAAATCCATCAGCGACAGCGAGCACACGCAGCATCACTGTGATACTCGGATGTGCCCGATCACTTGTATGCTTTGCAAGAGGCTCTGCTCCCACGGAGATCATCTACATGGCTTACACCGGGGAGCAATGCACCTGTGCGGGTACGAACTTCAATGTATTCTTATATATATGTTGACACTGATTCGCCCCCAATTTAGCCAAGAGCACTCGTGCAAACAGAACTGCTCTAGACCTGGAATATGCGAGATCGACACCGCGCCCATGTCAATTGAGGCAACGTTCACCGGTAGACACGAGACATTCCAGTACACGAAGGTCTGTTTATCTCTTCTCCCAAATGCACAATAAAATAATGACGATCAAATGCACAGTACTCTCAAGGCAAGCTATTCAGTGCTTTTCTCAGCCGTTTATGCACTGATTTGTGTTAAAGTCAGCAAACGGCTTAAGTGTATAAAGCTAATTCCAGCCGGCGCTACCGAGCATGTAGGTGAACATACGCATAGTATAGATCCAAACGTCATCCACTTCTGCGAGAAACGGTGCGATATCTCCCTTCCGTTCGTGGATGCATATTATCTCATATATGTCTACCCGAAGATGTGAATACTGCGGTCATTTCTGCACGCAGCCGCTAGGTACCACACGCCTACCTTTGATCTCATTTTAACCAGCAGTCTGATAATGCCGGCGCGTAGGTCATCCCCAGAAGGAGCACGAAACGCGCCATGGATCCATGTCCCAGACCCGGTGGGCAATCGACGGAGACGACGATGCCGCCATCGACGTGGAGGGCCGCAAATACGCCGCGAACGACGAGGGGGCGCCGATGATGTGTAACCTGGTCTGCCAGACCCTGGCCAGACACGCTCACATCACGTATTGTCGTGCGACGAACACCACAGAGTGTACTGGTAACGACCAGGTCCAACATATTCAGCAGCGTCTGAAGCCGGAGCCCGATCGTGAGAAGGATTTTATCACACATAGTTTGTATTGGAAGAGGAGTGGTAAGTGCTGGTGGGTTGTATCGGCAAAGTTGTGCTGATAATCTTCTTCTAGGGTTCAAAGATCCATATTCCAGGGAGGAGCAAGTCAACTTCGCCAAATGGTAGGTCGTGTGCTCTTGGGAGTATTTATTTTGTTCTCATGTTTCGACGGAATGCCCAGCGACGCCATGTGTGCAGGTACGCTTGAGCTTCTCTTCATTCGCTTCAGTTTGCTTAATAGCCATACGCATAGGTCCCGAACACGCGGGTCCTGGAGCGGTTCCTTCCTACTGTACATTGCCAATCTTTCACCCTCCTAGAGACTCCGCCGATACTCCGACCACCGGCTACGTCTCCAGCGACGGACACCTCTTCGGGTGCAGGAACCCTGTCGTCCTGCAGCAGGCATTCCATGTGTCAGTCCACCACTTCGCTGCCAACATTATACCCATCTAACCTAGCGCAAAAACGTCCCGTAGCATCTTCGTGATCGACAGGTCCGCATCAATGGGCATCTCCGACCGGCGCCCGCTTCCCGGAACTCCCACGACAGCGCTCATCTCCAAAACAGCGAACAACAGGCTCGGCGCCGTCTTCTCCGCACTGCACTCTTTCTGGGTCGCACGGCACGCGGCGGTCACTGCGGGTGCAGGCGGCGGCGATCAGGCTGCTGCCAACCTGAACCTCCGGCGCGACGCGTACAGCGTCGTCATGTTCGACCACGAGGTCACGACCGCGCTCGCCAACGACTTCGAAAGCACGCCCGAGGAGCTGCTGAACGCCGTGCTCGCGTACAAAGATAGGGGCGGGACCAATTTCACCGGCGCGATGAAGCGAGGGCAGGCGGTCATGGAGGCGCACTGGAGCACCGAGCGGTAAGTGAGAACGTGGCATCGCCGGAGCACACTAACCTTTGACACCTCTCCGATACCGAATACTTATGCGATCTTATTTCTTGAATTGTTGTTATTGGCAGAACACCGGTTATCGTCTTCCTGTCTGACGGGGAGTGCAGCATCGCGGACACGGTCACACAGGACGCGTGCCGGGCCGCTATCAAACTTGGGTGAGTCAGATCTTCCCCAAACTCGAGGCATCGGTGGACCTTGATCATAACACGCCCGTGATCACGTAGGAAACCCGTGTCTCTACAGACCGTGTCTTTCGGGCGAGATACCTCCTCGAGCTCCTTACGAAGGATGGCCGAGATTGCCGCCGACGCTCAGGCCAGCGCGCCGCGCGATCTTCTAGTGCCGGCTGGAGCCTCGGTCAAGTCCGCATTTTCGCAAGCACTGGATTCCGTAAGTCGACCCCACCATTCGCGAACTTTTTAGCGACGCTCATTCCCATCCATCACCTAGGTCCAACTAGCGGAGACATTCCTAGGCATCGCCGAGTCGCTGAGAAAGCAGAGGGGATCCCTGATCAACTAAAAGAAGTCAGCGCAATCTTGAGCGTTTGCGTATTCTGAACCTTGTTGGTCTTTGGTTTTGTCGTATGATTCGTCGTATATGTTGTACCCTTGATGATCTGTTCGATAGCCTTGACGGCCCTCTTGGGGTGGTGCTTGCTGAATTTTAACGTGAAACCTGGGAGACGTCGCGGCGGTGATCAACTGACGTCCGCCTGCAAGCATGTGCGGCACGCTCGTGCTTGGATGACAGGACATCAGCCAGTTATCGCGTTCTAGGACTCAGAGGAAAGCCAAGACAACGCCGTTAAGTAGCGCTATCAGGAACAAAACGTCTTATGAACACCCAAGACCCTGGTAGATGGTGAGCGACCACCCCATGCTACGAGGTGATCTACAAGGGATTGCAACTGAGCTGGCTCATGTGGACGCACCTATGATCACAACCGGAATACCGAGAAAGCATAATTTCACTGTCAGTCAAGGGGCAAGTACGCGAGTGAGAGCAAAGAATGCCATATTTTGTGGGGTGCATGCATCATACCAAGTTGTCATAAAGATCCATGGGTAGCCCAGTGGGAGAGCATGCGAGGGCGACAAGACGTCCAAACGGCAAGCAGGGGTGGGGACAATTACAACATTTACTCCTCTTCCTCCTCTTCCTCCTCGACCTCTTCCTCCTCCTCTTCCCTGGCAGCCTCTACGACGGCAGTGGCGATACGGTCGAGGTCACGCTGGCCGTCCTGGGAGATTCTCCGGCCACCGTTGTCGGTCTGCTCGAGGACGCCGATCTTCTCGAGGGACTGGCAGATCCGTCGCTGGACCGAGGAGGAGCAGGGGGCGTGGTGCGATGGACGGTTGCCGCGGCGGTTGCGGCCACCGTGGAGCTTGGTCAAAGCGCCGATGCCGACATCTTTTCTGAGGTAGATGTGCCGTGCGATAGCAGCTGATGGGTTGGCGCGACATATGTCATCGGGCGAATGAAAGGTTGATCAGGTTGCGGCTTACCGGCACGAACGTAGTACCAGTCGGGGTCGTAGGGTGCAAGCTCCTTGTAGGAGCCGGTTTTGACCATGTCAACCCATGTGGGGACCTCAAGCTTGCCTGATCGCTTGAGGTGAGACGAGTATGCGACAATGAAGGCGTCTGCGCTGTTGACAAGAGGTCGTGAACAGTTCCGAGCCTAATTACACATGTGACGGACCTGATATCCCTAACTCCCGGCATGGTGGATTGTCTTGAAGTAAGCTGCGCGGAACGTTGAGCGCGTCGGAGGGCGTGTGTGTACTGGACTGAGAATTAGAGTTTGGGGGTAGTTGAAGTCCCGACATCCCGCTGTGCAGTTGCTGGCTGAGTCAGCATTCCCTTAAGTAGAGCAAGTCACGTTACAATGTTTTCCCCCTATCTGCGAGATGGAATCAAATGACGCCGCTCCATGGTCTTTGATCGGTGCTTGATTCCGTCCTCGTCGTGTGCGTTAGTTACCTCATCCTCATTTGTCATTTCTCATTTCTCTTTCCAAAGGCGCGGCTTGTAGTTTTCTGGTCCACCGAATGGTTCCGGACACTGTATGAGTGAATGTGGGATTGTCCACCGCCCTTTCTAATTTTGTAGTCGCGCTGATAAGCTCCTACTTCCCCAGGTCTTTCTACAGCCACGACTATCATGGGCTTAACACCGACTCCCCCAATCAGCACCAAGGACCAGGACACGCCAGTCTACTCAACATCCATCCTGCCCACCGAGCTCCTCATCGAAATCTTCATCTTCGCTGTCCGTGGCAACCCCGACACCCTCGCAGCACTCACGCTCTCCAAGGTCTGTCACCTTTGGCGCGACACCATTGACATCAGCCCGCGCATTTGGCAGCATGTCACTGTACGCGATACAGGGCACTCGGACAAGTTCATCGATGCTCAGGCCCAACTTTGGGTTCAGCGCTCCTTCCCTCTCCAATTCAGCCTCGAGCTGCATCTCACCGACTTTCAGCGACTCCTCTCCATACTCTCCTCCTATCTCTGTCATCTCGACAGATGGAGACTATGCAAGATAGAGTACGAGAACCGCATATTCCTCATCAGCATGCCCCTCCTCGCTCGCAAGCGCAGGCCTTTACTCCGGCACCTTGAACTTCAGCTCCGCGAACCGTTCGACGACGTGAACAACAGTGACGGGGGCAATGACGAGTCTATTTTCTACTCCGACGGTGCACCCTACATCTCAATGCACATCCCTATCAGCCAGCTTCCCTCCAGCATTCCCTTCCGTACCCTCGGCTTCTCCTCCCTCGACATCACCGAAGCATCCCTCGACCACGCTGTCTCCTCCCCCGACCTCCTTGCCTTCCTCCGCAGCTGCCCCATGCTCGAAACCTTCGCCTACCATGGGTCCTCTTTCGCCGAAGACATTCTCCCCGTCTCCCCGCCGATCATCGTCCTCCCGCACCTCGAGAAACTCCTACTCCACACCGTCTGCAACCAGCGCGCGATCCTCTCCTCCCTCTGCGCGCCCCTCCTGCGCGAGCTCCGCCTCAAGCACATGAACGTCGACTACCCCCTCCCCGCCTACCACGCCGTCGAGCCCGGCGACTCGGACGACGAAGCCGCCGACTTCTCCCAGTCCCCGTCGAGCGACCACCACACCGGGATGGGCCTGCGCGCGTTCCTGACGCGCTCGCGGCCCCCGCTCGAGGTGCTCGACATGTGCTTCGTCGATATGCGCACCAAGGACTTCCGCTGGATGTTCGAGCGCCTCCCGCGCCTGCGCTACTTCTCCATCGAGGGCTCGGACATGTCGGACAAAGTCATCGCGCTCTTCGCGCCCTTCAGGGTGTACCGCTCCCCCACGGTGTCGCCGGGCGCCTCGCCGTCTACTGCGCTGGCCGAGCTGGAGCCCCGCTACGCTGTGCGCTTGCCGCGCCTCGCGATCCTGAAACTGTTCAGCTGCCAACAGTGCTCTGGCGAGAGCATGGTCGACGCGATCACCCGTCGCGTGCGGTTCATGGACTCGGCGATGCCGAACAACTCCCTCGTCCACGTCGTTATCGCGAACTGCCAGAGCTTCACGACGCGGAACGGCCAGGATCTGGAATGGGAGCTCGGGCATCGGCTGCACTGGTCGCTGTAACGTCTGTTTTTTATGAATCTGCGACATACTGCAGGCTGCAAATTTATTGCTCATCGCTATCATCTTCCTCTTCTGCTTTCAGCTCACCAAACACGATTCTTGTAACCTATGCATTATGTATCCATTACTATCCTCTTCAGCTTTACATTATACTTTAACTTTAGATAGGAGCGAAAACACGACGAGAAACATCACAGTAGAATGTCTGGAGCAGTCTTGTTCAGTACAGTAAATGAAATGTACAGCATGTACAGTACCCACCAGTAGACGACATCATAACGAGCATCATGACGACTCCTTGACCGGGAATTCAATCTTTTGACGCTCGGCGGACTCCTTCAGCAGCTGGCGCACGTCGGGGATGTTCGCCGGGTTGCCTTGCCAGACACCGTCGCTATCGTTGTCACCCCAATGGAAGGTATGGAACGTGTCGACCTCGAACCCAGCCTCCCACCGCTGCCTCACAAACGTCGCATTCTTAGGCGGCTCCCATATCCACCACTAGGGCAACACCGTCAGTGTGCTTCTATCGGGTACCAATAGCGAAAAGAGAACAAATAAGGACACCCACATGATCGACAAACAAGATCGCCTCGTTGTACGGCACAGCCATGTGCAGCGCCGTCGGCGTCGCGATCTCCAGAAAACAGTCCGTTCTCAGGAACGCGCCGAGGATCTCCATGAACGCGCCGCGCCGCGCGCCGGGGACGTACAGCGTGTCCGCCGAGCCGCCGACGAAGCGCACGTCGGTGCTCGCGGTGGGGTGCCCCGTGAACGCCGCGAGGCGGTCCTTGTACTCGCTGCGGACGGTGGCGTACGCGGATGTGCAGGGCTCGAGGCCGACGTGCGGGTCGCTAGATGCATCCATCCGTCATAGAGTTGGGTGTCAGCTCTGAAGCCCTTTATGATGAGTGCTCTGTAGAGAAACACGCACCCCCACCACCAGTCCTTCTGCCACCCCGTCCAGTTGGCCAGCAAAGCCTCCGTCGAGTTCGGCTGCAAGTTCGCGGGCGGAGCATGCGTCCCGTTGCTGAGTTTCCCGCCATCGTCAACCGCCGGGTTTGGCACAGGTCGCCCCCATGGCGAGTGGTACCAGAACCGGCTCTGGTCGAACTGCTCGAGCCGGGGCACATTGAGGAGCGTGTCGAAGGGCGCCCAGAGATAGCCGGAGTAGCACGGATGCTCTTGCATGGCGGTGTAGAGCATGTGGTGTGCCATCTGAGGTAAGTGACGCTCTTATGGTGAGTATGGCGAGGATATGATGCATCGAGATCGACATACGCGCCCAGCCATCTTGTAGAACGACGGATCGCTCAGATCTTCATCCGACTCGTACGAGTCGACGAAAACGTCGTAAGAGTGATCAAAGCCCTTGTCCTCGCGGCTCTCAGGTCCGATGTAGAGGATCTGGAGACAATATGACCATGAGCACCTCGCGCAACCCTGCCATATCGACGCAGTGATGCCACTCACGTTTGGGAAATAGTCTGAGTAGACTTCATGGTAAAAGTCCAAGTTCACATCATACCTCGGGTGGCTGAAGAACACAATCAACAGCACATCGTCGAACTTGTGGTACTCGCGCGGCACGTTCGGGTCCGGCGCGAATCGAAGCGGTCGGCGTGCGCAAGCGCCCGAATCCATTAGCGGCGATCCGTACGCGTCGTTGCCAAATTCACTGATCACCTTGTGATACGAGCCCGTGAGGAGCAGTGTAGATATGACGAAGGATGCCAGTCCGAATGGCAGAATGCGGCGAAGCTAATTGGATATCTATCGGTCAGCCATGCATGAAGGTGCTGCTCAGACGGGGTTAAACGCACCACAGCGGCAGTATCCCCGTTCTTTTCTCTATCGGAAGACTTCAAATTGCCACTGATGTACATGCCCGCGGCAAGAAGCGACAATCCACTCCCGATGAATACCGTGATAAGATTGGCAGGGGAAGTCAGCAGCCCGAGCAGAATCATAACGCTAGCGGAGAGCGCCGAGAGTATGCCCAGGGTGGCCGCGTCGTGATCTTCGACGAACGGTTAATATACACAAGGCAGTATTGACGCTCACTTACATAGAATCACAAACAGCCCCGCGACATCCCTCAGCGCAGCCAGAGACGCGAAGATGAAAAGTTCGAAGGATAAATGCGTGTGATATGCTGTCCATGTGTACATCAGTTGCAGGAGGACGACGACGATGTGGATGCCAAGTCCGAATGCGAAAATTAGTACGTTGATGATGGGTATGCTTTCGGGGTAATGTGCTCTATAAACCTGTGCTCATGCGAGTACTGTCAGTGAACGATAGATTTGATGTGATAGGGGATACCATACCAAATCTGTGAGTGTCCAGGTGAGTGCAGTCGAAAGCGTAGTTGCGAATAAGCTGAAGTACGATGGAGGTTTAGAGTTGAAAAGGACGCCGCTCTGGATAGGTGTCAGTAGGATCAGACAATAAAGCGCCACCGAAGCATACCCTAGCTATGAATATTCCAGAGAACTAGAGAGAATCATACAGTCAACCTTGAGTTTGAGAGCCAGGAGCGTATAACTTGCCTGCAGAAGTGCTGACTGCCACGAGGTGGCCGCATGGGGTCTTGAGAAGATGCTTCGAAGCACAATCAAGGCGCACAAGCTTGCGACAGGTATCACCATGTACAAAGCCAGCCTGTCGGCTGCCAAGCCTGTCCTGTGCACCTTGACAGACACCACAAACATTAGCACGAGAGTAGTGGGAGTGGTGGGGTTGGAAGAGAGCTCGGACAATGCTCACGGTATATTCGTTGAGAGGATAAAGCGAAGCCGCCAAAAACACCAACACTGTTGATCGCCCAAACTTTGCGTGCATCAACTCTGGCCCCTTGGCTGGCGCTCCCCACTCTCCCTCTGCATCCCTGCGCCCTGGCGCGGGTGATGGACTTCTACTTCGCAAAGCGATACGTTCATCTCCGTCCATGTCTTCTCTGCTCGCGTTATTGCTCAGTGTTAGGGTCGAGGGGATGAGCGACGTGAGGAATCCGCTACGATACGCAAAGTGCAGCGCGGCAGCGACGATGAACTTGATGTTACCACTAACAAGCCAGAAGAGCGGGCTGTCGGACGTGCGCCAGGATATGTCGGAGAAGTGCCATCGCGCGAACTCTGCTAGCGCAAAAAGCGCGATGAATACAGCCTATCTCAGCTAAGCATTAGGACGCGTCTGACCCGATGGCAGTGAGAAGTGCTACTGACCGCTGCTGAGGTCGCAAGGCGCGAAGAGCCAGGCAATATAGACATGTATGTGTTCAAGATGAGAGTGATAGCATCGAGGAAGTATTGGTAGTGAACGGTGACGAAAGTTTGAAGGTGCGGAAGCTTCTGAGGGCCCGCGTCGCACGCCAATCGCGCGACACCGGCTCCGCGGGGCCATTTTAAGCGCCCGCGCGACTCGAAGCCCCTGACTGTCAATGACCCAGTCCAACTATCGCACAACCAAATTACAAGAGGGTTGAGTGACCACCGATCAGTGCTAGAGTTAAGTAGGTGATAATGAGGGTAGGTATTCTCAAAGATAATCTTCGCTCGTGGTTTGCGCATTCTTTCCCCAATGAATCGCCGCCCATTCCCTCCTTAGAACTCCCATGCTCAGCATGTCCACCCATTTGTTCTCCATCCACAGAGACTCGCGTTTGCGCCCTTCAATCACGAAGCCCCTGCTCAGATAACCTTCAATCCATGCCAGAGAACAAGCTGAATGCAACTCACAGACGCTCGTAAACACCAATAGCCCTGTCGTTAACAGCCCACACCATCAAGGATACGCGGTGCATGCCATACCACCTGAACGCATGGTCAACCAGAAACTTCGTCGCCTCCGTTCCGTATCCTTTGCTCCAAAACTTTGGGAGCAGACAGATACCAAAAACAGCGTCCCTGTTTTTTGACTCCATGATCTTGACGAAGCCCTGGCCCATGAACTCGCCCGTCTCCGTGAGCGTGATGATGGCCCCGAAGGTTGCAGAGTCCAAGTCCTTTTTCAGCTTCTCTCTGTAGGTCGGACCCAAGGGGCGGATTGGCTCGTTCGTAATGAGAGGCTGGACAAGGGGGTCATCGTGGAGGCGCAGGAGGTCGTCCAAGTCCGCCTCGGTGTACGCGCGCAGGGTCAGCCGTTCAGTTTGGAAGGGCATCTCAACAGTCTTGAGGCTTGGAAATGAGGGTAAGGCCAAAAGTGCCTTCGAGAACCAGGTGATCTCTCTTATCTGTACAATGTTCGACCTCCCATGAACGCGCAGCGCGCAGCGCGCAGCTCGCAACCAACAGGCCACGTCAGTCCCATACAAGCCAACTTAGCGTTTGATGACCGGCGTGGCGCCGACCTGGGCGCCGACTACTTACCCACAGGTAGAAGCCCAAGTTGCCCCGGAGTCAGTGGTGCCCTTGAAGCCTGAGACCAACAGATAGAGCGACATAGAAGTATTGCAGAACTGAGCATAAGAAGGCGAAAGGAACACTTTGGGACTGGTGCCCCTATATCACTTGGTCTTCCGAAGCTCGTCTTTCTGAGTCCCGCTGACCAACTCTCCCTAATAATAATTCCCTATCGCAGCGTGTAATTGCAACTTGCCGTACCATAAGGACTGGTATTCTTGAGCAGAGCAACAACGCGTAGACGGCGGCTGGACGGAGAACCTCCCAGGGCGGCCAGCGCGACCTCGACCAAACCTCGACCGGATCGCTGCCAGCGCCGTCGAAGCGCCCTCCATGATCACTGAGAACATTTTAGACGAACAGGGATGCAAGATGCTGACTTGACCGGTACGAGATACATGATAAGATACACGGAGTGACAAAGGATATGGATTAGTAACACGAAAGTGTACGCTTCAATGTAATGAACGGTCTGCCAAAGTCTGCGATGAGCAAACGAAGGGAGTTTAGAAGACGTGATGTATTTATTGAATCAGGGATCCCCGTTGCTTCCTCAACGACTCGGCAATCCCCAAGAAAGTCTGGGCGAGTTGGACCTGCGAAACGCAGAATAGTTAGCGATCAGTTGAGAGTATCAAGGTGGAGAGCTAACAGAGTCTAGAGCTTGCGAATATGTGGATGTGACCGTGGCTGCAGCAGGCGCCAGGGGGTCGCGCGGAGCGTTAGCCTGCGCATCGGCGGCGATCTCGGCCATCCGTCGTAAGAATCTAGAAGAACCTTCAGGCCCGAAAGACACGGTTTGCAGAGAGACAGGTTTCCTGTTTTCTGGTCAATACTCGCCAAAGCCTCGAGTTATGAGAATCTGATTCACCCCAGTCTAATAGCAGCGCGACATACATCCTGCGTGGCTGTGTCCTCGATGCTACATTCCCCATCGGACAGAAAGATGATGACTGGTGTTCTGCAAGTCGAGTAAGATCGCGTTGAGAGAGTACGCATGCATCAGTAAGTTCACTTACCGCTCAGTACTCCAATGCGCCTCCATGATGTTTCGCGCCTGCTGCAGCGCGAGCGTAAAGTTGGTGCCACCGTCGGCCTCATACGCGAGCACAGTGTTCAGCAGCTGGTCGGGTGTGCTCGTGAAATCGTTGGCGAGCGCGGTGACCACAGTATGGTCGAACATCACGACGCTGTACGAGTCGCGCCGGAGGTTTGCCGCCTGCTGGCCGCCCGCAGTGACCGCCGCGTGCCGGGCGGACCAGAAGGAATGCAGCGCAGAGAAGACAGCGCCGAGCCTGTTGTTTGCCGTTCGAGAGATGAGTGCCGTGGTAGGAGTCCCAGGAAGCGGGTGGCGATCGTTAATGTCCATCGAGCCCGATCTGTCTATGACAAAAATACTGCGATCCGTTATGATTAGGTGTGCTAGACATACGTGACGAAACGAATGAACTGACACATGGAACGCCTGTTGCAGGACTACGGGGTTCCTGCACGCGAAGAGGTGTCCATCGACCGAGACATACCCGGTCGCTGGTGCACTAGCTGGGTCTCTGGGAGGATGGAACAACGGCAACGTGCAGTAGGAAGGGCGCGTTCCAGGGCCAGTGTGCTCAGGACCTGTGATTGGATGTCCTAAGTTGCTGAAGCAAATGAGATCAAGGTCAGGTTTTACCTCTGCACATCGCATCACTGAGTACCCAGGCGATGAAATATCAGTAAAGTACACGCATCTCAAACTGTGCAACGCACCACTTGGCAAATTCGGCTTGCTCCTCCTTCGAGTAGGGGTCTTTGAACCCTAACAGACTTCTTTCAGAGCGTCTGCACCGAATCAACCAACTATTACTTACCACTCCTCTTCCAAAACAATGTATGGGTGATACTATCCTTCTCAATTTCGGGATGGGGCTTTACGCGCTTTTGGATGTGCTGGATCTGATCGTTACCAGTACAATCCGCAGCGCTCGCCTCGCGACAGTACGTGATATGCGCATGCCTGCCCATGGTCTGACAGACCAGGTTGCACATCATGGGCGCGCCGTCATCGTTTGCAGCGTATCTGCGGCCCTCCACTTCGATGGCGTCGCCATCATCGCCGTCGATTGCCCACCGCGTTTTGGACATTGATCCGTGGCGCGTCTCATGCTCCTTCTGAGGATGGCCTACGTGATGACGTCAGCAGGTCTCAGCAAGTCTTAAGGTTTCGCGTTTCGTACCCAAAGGCTGTGTGCAGAAATATCCGCAATATTCACATCTGAGAGATTTATCAGATACTTGCGATGCGCGAACAGGAAGAGACCCCCGTACCGCGTCTCACAGAAATGAATGACATTTGGATCCATGCTGTGTGTATGATCACCCGTATGTTCGGTAGCACCTGCTGGTATTAATTTCACACACTTGAGCCGTTTGCTGACTTTATACCAGAAGTCAGCGCGTGAACGGAACAATTCTTTTGAGTGACTTGCCTTGAGAATACTATCGTTTGCTCATCGTCAGTTGATAATATGACGTTCGAATGATAGAGACAGACCTTTGTATATTGGAATGTCTCGTGTTGGCCAGTGAATGTTGCCTCAATGGACAGAGGCGCAGTGTCTATCTCGCAAATACCAGGTTTCGAGCAATTCTGTTTGCACGAGTGCTCTTGGCTGAAACAGCGCTGGCTCAGGTGTGGTTGACAGACAAACGAGCGTTTTCCTTACCCGCATAAATGGATTGCTCCCCGATGTAAGCCATGCAAATGATCTCCATGAGAGCATAGCCTCTTGCAGAGCATGCAGACGACCGGGCACATGCGAGTATCGCAGCGATGCTGCACGTGCTCGCGATCGCTAGTGTAAGGAAGTTGCTCAGTCACTCACGTAAGACATAATATACGACGCTTACCTAGGCACAGAGCATTTTCCTGGACAGTCATACATTGATCCGTCCGCTAACCTGATACCCCCCAGATCACAAGGCTGACGAATATTCAGACGGGCGTCACCTAATCCGGTACAATAACTCACCTCTCCACATTCATGCGCCGACGCCGAACACGTATGCTCATCGTCATGGTCGATAAACTAGGATAATGTAAGATGTAAGTTCACCAACAGGAACTAATCAATTCAGGCGATACCTTCGTGCAGGCCACCAAACAACCCTGTCTTCCGGAAAATGCGCAATCCAATCCGCACAGATGCTCGCTCACCACACAGCTTTGGAAGAGAACAATTTATACCGGGCTTTCACCAACGAAGGTGATTATCACTTACATATGCTTCCCCGGATGACCCGCGCTAACAAGAGCATAAGCCAGCTGATTGGGTAACACGACAAAGCGGCAACTTACTTCATTCCACACATCTTGGCGTCGCCATCGCAAAAGTCACAATCGTGCGAGCACTTGTGGTCGGTCTTGCAGTCATGCTGACCTTGGTGTAGGCGGCTCTGGATGCACTGCAGATGGCACGTCGCACACTGTACGCCACATAGCTGAACGTTGGATCGCATATCAACGGTCATGTTGTCGAAGGCACGCTTGAGGTCCTCGATCGACTCGTGGCTGACCGCTTGGAATCGCACGAGATTTAATGAGATCCATTCTCCAACGCGATCGATTCTGAGAGTTAGCAGGTGGTCGAGGTGCTTCGTCAAACCTTCAAACCATACTCCTTCCTCGGTCTGTTGTCGTGTGAAGAATTGATCCCACGACTGCTCCAAAGCTGCTAGACGAGCTTCGCGGTCGTTGCTGCCGGAGCCCACAGCAAAGACGGACTCTGTGTCGTCCCCAATGACAAACTCGTCAGTGTCCAGGTTCTAATGCGTCTCGTTAGTGAGATGCAGCATTACATGAGTTGAATTCTTACCTTTAGTGGCTCTTTTTCAACTCCGTTCATGACTGACCCAGATTCTAAAGCACTTGACAACGAGTTGTGAAGCTGCACTGCTCGGTGAGACGCCATAGTATCTAATTTTTTGATGAGACGCAGACTCGGCTACTTGCGTGAAATCCTTACGAGACAGAGCGCCCCAGTCGTTTGACTAAAGCCATACTTAGTCCCCTGAATATACGGTAGAATGATACTAGGGTGTTGCTGACCTTCAATTTTGCCATCAGCGTCTTTACAGTATGCAAGAACTGTCCTGCCGCTGGGTGCGTAAGCTTCTGCTTATCTAAGCGTCTTTTCACCTTCGGAAATAGCCTATAAAACTCTTTGGACTCGATGACGGGCCTGCTATACGGTAAGATAAAGTGACGGAGGACATGGAAGAACAACGTGCCATGCAATGATCTCGAGATTTCCCCCATGAAGGCGGGAAATGAAGTTGGATTCTTGTTCGTTTTCAACGATTTGTTGAAACTTGAGAGAAAATCTTGTATTTTTAATTTCGTTAACGGGATATTAATTGTAGAGCAAACGGCGAACGCTCACTCCTTTTTTATCTCCTTTGCGTCCGCGTCGACTACGTCCTTGATAATGATGACAAGCGTTGATTGAAAGAGCATTGGATTAGCGGCGGGATCGAGGACAGTAGAGCTGGATTGGAACGATTGGAACAAGCCAGCAATGTCGCGGCTGAGAGCGAAATTGTTCCTGAATAGCACCTAGAGTCCCGACAAATTCCATCAGGTGAGAAACGAGACAATCGTCTGGACATACGTACCAAGTTGGAGATAGCCGTGTTAAACAAGACAAGTAGCGTGTCCTCTTGTGCTGAACGCTCGATGCTGTGTACGCCTGCGCGTCGATTAGTCAATGAGTCCGCTGAGTCAATGGCTCGTCGTACCCTCGAAGTCCAGTGCCACGATCAGCGTATCTTCCGTAGGTGTCACCGACATCCATACACCCTCCGTGGTACGCATCGCAGAACCAGCAAACGAGGTATCCGCAAGATGGTTGAGCGCGAAACTCTTCCCAACAGACTGTTCCCCCATCGATGATACTACCTTTACGGGCTGAAGAGAGTCACGTGAGTCACCGTCCATCAGCCGAGTAGCTTATTTACCTTGGACGCCATGTAGGATTGGAAGATAGACTCGTACCAGCCGAAAGAAAGCGAGTCTACAATGCGCCCAACCTCGGCCCCCAGCAGCGACCTCTCAAGCTCGGGAGAAAAGACTCCATCTTTCAGCGGGATGAACCTGTTGTCCTTTGTGATCGCAAGATGGATGGGGATGAGGCACAAGAGCTCGACGAGCCACTCCCCAGCTCGGAAATTGGACGTCTGTGAAATGCACAAATCGTCGAGGATGTTGTAAAAGTCGTTGAAAGTCATCGAGTTGATTGCGATAGAACTAAGCTCGGTCCCCGTCGGTTTTCGCGTGGTTCGCTCAAACGTCTGAATGAGCTCGCTAAAGTGCGGCGAAAATTGCTCTCGGCCGAAGTCAGATACAAATGTCAAAGACTTGGGGCGCCGAGAGCTGGCTCTAGTGATAGCCTGGCGCTGGACGGCGGGAACAACTGGAAATCGGGTCCAGACTTCTGAATGGCAGTCGATCAGGCAGTTGTGCGAGGTTCTGCTATCCTTATCTGTGGAAAACGATGGCTTCCCGCCCTTCTCCCTGAACATGAGCTCAGTGGACTTCCGAGTGATGTCGAGCGCGAAAGACAGGCAAGTCTGAGAATTGATGTCGAGCTTCATCAAGTGGACCGCATTTCTCGAACTGATCGAAGTCAATACGAAGTCGTCCTCTGGCCCCAAGTCGTCGATAGCAAGCTGAATCCCTTCGTTGGATCCAAAGGTGTTCCAGTGATAAGCCGTCACAGAGAACGAGGAATCCTGCGAGCACGATGCCAAGAAGCAGGAGCCATCAGGTGATGTGTACACTGCAGAGGGAACGGTAGCGAACTGAAGCGTTGCGGGTCTAAATTATGAATTGCATAAGATGACCCCCTAGCGAGAGCGAAAAATGATGCTCCTCACCTAAACTGCATCGTAACGAGCGAGAATATCCTCCCGCAGACGCTAGAATCGACTAACAGAAGCTCCTCGTCACCACAAATGAAGGAGATATACTGAATGGTCACGCCATTGTAATACAAGGCAAGGCTGATGGCGCTACCGGATGCCTTCAGGGCCCGAGCACCCTCTTCGAACACAAAGAAGTGAAGTTGAAGCTTTTCTCACGTCAGACAGAGGAAGGGCAACCGACAAAGTAAGAAATACCTTCTCTGGCTCACAGATAGCAAGCATCTGCTTGCCTTCGTTGAAGGAAACGAGGATATCCCCGCCGATTTTATCGTGGCTCAGCCTCAACTTGGGTTGCTTGTTAGCAACGGCGCCCTCGAGAGCGGCCAGGGACTCTCGGTAGACAAAGACGTCGCGGCCTCGATCCCTCGTTACGAGAAGAAATTGCTCGTTCTCGAGAAGCTGTGAGTATCTAGAAGTAATAGCCATGACTCTTATCATCCCTGGAAAGAAAGCGCAAATGATAAATAGCTTACATGATTTCGCGCCCTGTAGGCAGAGAAAAGGTGTATGCAAGGTTAAAGCGAGGCGAAGGAATAAACGAGTTGTTCAACCGCATCTCTTGACGGTCTTCGTTAGTTATTTGCATGAGATGGGCTCGATAAACAATTTTGTCGTCCTGCGTCGTTTCGATGCGTCCTCTCAGCGAAAGAGTAGCTGGACAAGTTGGAGCATTAGTAAAGTTAACTACATCCGGCGACGTTAAGCTTACGAGAATGATATGAGTAGTATCCTGTTTTTCGAATCGCATCAACGTGGAATACTTTCCTAGAAATCATTTTAATTGAAGTTAAGAGTTATTAACAAGTGTACGAAGCCCGACTTACTTGAACGACACCTCTGAGAAATACTCATTGAGCTTACGAGCGAGATCAGAACATAGATCCCGTTGGCTTTGCTCCGTCCTGTCGGACTGCTCCCGCTTGAACTGCTCCGCAACTCCCTCATCCTGAATATGCAGAACCTCGCGAGCGTAATTGTCGGAAAGCCTTTTGAGGTTTTTGGTGAAATGATCGTACACCACAGCCATGGCAGCGTTGATCGCCTTCTCCAATACCGGCCATCGCGATGCGGTATCCTCGACACGAGACATGAAATCAGCATCAGAGGTGGCACGAGCTATGTCCATGGCTTCTTTGTAAGCCCTTTCTCCTGTGCTGTTGTCTTCTGTCGACAGAAGGGACTTTAATCCGGACCTCAGCCTGTTCAGGTATCCCTGAGAGTCTCCCTCGCCGTGTAGACTCTTTGACATCTCCATCCACGCCGCACGGATGTTCTTGATTTCGTCAATCATGTTAACGAGTTTGGATTGCGTCTCCTCACTAAGATTCTCGCCGTGAGCGTCGAAAAGGTGCGTAATAACAAGGATCCGCTCTTTCGGGCTCTGGAGTGCACCCGCCGGTACCGCCTTCAACGGCTGCTCGTCTCTGGCTCTTCTGACGACACCTTTGATCTTAGGGTAAAACTCCGCGAGGCTATCGAGGGAAACTATGTGATCAACGTGAGCCAGTGCAGTGTACAAAGCATTGCGCGTTGTCCACTTACTGCCTTGAGTTTGCATCTCTTCCCCCAGCAAGCGCTTGGCATCTAAAGAACTGTACGCATACGTTAACAGAGGTGTGTCATAAGTTGACGACTAAACGCACGGGAACTTCTCCATGACCCTGTCTGCCATCACGTTACGGAAGGACATCGTCATTTGGGGTAGATTTTGTCTCAATTCTGCCTGAGTATCGGCTTTGCGTCGCGTGAATTCAGAGTCGAGATTTCGCTGGGCGTCGGAGACCTCGGTGTTGAAGCTTCGGCATAGTTGCTCGCACCGCGACCGGAGACCAGTCTGCATGAGGATTTCGATCGTTGGCTGGTCGAGGGCTGGGTTGAAGCTCAGACGAGTCTCACGATCCTTTCTAGGGGGTATTCAGCAACATGTAACGTAGGAAAATAGCGAGACAAACATGTAGCTTTCCAGTGCGGTCTTGTTTATCGTCCGATTGTTGTACTCGTCTACCTTTTTGACAGCGGCCTTGTAGCCAGCAGTCATAAAACCTTGTGTCGTTTCTCCGCGAATAAGCGTTGGTTGCATGGGAATAGCGACGTCGGGAGCCGTATCATGACGCCTCTCAGGTGACGCTACCATCGGTACGCGAGCCTGAACCAAGAACCCGTCAGAACACACCGGCAGGTTACATGATTCTCATGTTCTAGGTGACACTAACCGTAAAACCAGGCCGAACTTTAACCGACTCTTCTTGTTCATTCGTCTTGCACACTACAAAAACGCCCATCCTCTCATCTCCTTCGTCGTCGGAGTCCGTATCCGTATCGTCATCCTCGCTCTCCTTCCATACAATTGACTGCGCATAGTCGGCCGATAAGAGAGCTATGCTTTGGTCACAGATCTTCGACAGGTACCTTGACGCATCAAATCAGCATAGTGCAGCAAAATCGGACCAAGGAAAACGTGCCTCATAAAGGTGACCCTGTTGCGGCGGACAGAGGAGGCAGTTCCGTCATTCCATGTTGTATCTTCTGGCCAGTAGATGACGTAGATTTGGCTTTCGTTGCCCTGGGATGGCGGGACCCGAAGAACGTAAAGTCCAGACCTCAAGGACGGCGTACTTCTCTCTCGTTCATCCTCCGTCTTCAACAAATGCGCAGCTCTTTTAAGGCCCGTTAGCCATACCTACGCGATGGCTTAGAAGCGGCACCTACATCTCTTTCTCTACAGCGCCAAGCCGATTGAGGAAGTCAACGATTGCTTTCTTGTCGCCGTAGATGCCGACGGGGCCGACAAGGACCTTATCAAGGAGCTTGAAGTCTACCTTTGTTAGGGATGCGAATGCTCCGGGCTGCATGTCGTTGACAAACGCCTGCAAGCTGTCCTGCGATATGATGATTTTGTCCACTGTTGTTATATGAGAAGCGACAACCATAAAACAAGGAAGAACTTTACCTAGCCCTCCCCCACTACCTTGTTCTATGATGAGATCAAGAATACGGTAGAGCCCCTTGATCGAATGAGATAGGTCGAGGTCGGGTACCTTCGACGCGCTTTTGGGAGGTAGCCCCGTGTTGCCATCAACATCCGTCGGTGGACTTTTGACTATGCATACAGTCAGTGGAACGCGTTTCACATCATAGAAGTGAGCGCTCACAGGAAATGTTGCTAGCTTCATGGCCTCCGTCCACAGAAGGCAGTGGTGTCCCTTGCCGTGTTGGATCTTCTTGGTCAGCATCCACGTACACATCGTCATCGTCTGAATCGGGGGTTCCGCTCAAGTTGACATTTGATGCGGCGTCTCCGAGTAGACTTGACGGGATCACGGGCGTGTCATAGCGAGCGTCTGCTAGCAACGTTCTGTTAGAAAAAGAGGCTCGCACGCCAAAAACTTGGTTTGACACGTACCGTCCTGGAGCGCAGCATCTCTTGTGGAGAGTAACGAATCTATTTTTGGTAGGGTTTCGGTACTGGGACCGAAAACGTTAGGAGGAGCGAAATCGTCAGCCATGGTGCAGGCGGCTGTGAGATTGAAGACCTGGGGGAAAGACACGGAGGTGACGATCCCTTCGCGTTTTTAAACATGATCCTTGCCCTCATCCCGCTTCCCTAGTACCCCAATTACAGGGATAGGGTCTGGGGCAACTCAGAAGCCTCGTGTAGTGGGGCTCACGCGCTTCCTGATAAGACTCTGATAAGTTTTGGTACCGTTGCGTCGAAGGACGATCGTCTATGGAGAGTGTTGATGTGCTTCTGGGCATGATGTGCTCGCGCGAGCACGCACCCCTACGCACCCGTTGTTGTCGAGCATTGAACGTTGAACGTTGGACTCAACCCTCATCATGGTGAGGACAAACAGCCGTGGGATCAAGGAAGACTCACAAGGCAACGCAGTCGGAGGATCAGAGCGAATAGTGTCGTATCGGGGACTGAGCCAGTTCCAAGGCAGAAGCGCTTCGGCGTGCGGATTGGCGTGTTTGAACTTCGCTAGACATGTGCTCGAACGCAGGAGAAACGGCGAATCAACGGAGCGGATTCTTCAAGAGATTTCTTGGAAAGAATCCATGGAGGTGCGTCTGCGGCAACATCAAGGCGGACGCTGCGTCCAGCGTCGCGCTCGCTTGCTCGCTCTCCACTCCCACGCGCCCTGGTAACCTCAAAAGTCTGACGCATCGCTCGACTTCAGGAGATCCTTGCCATAACATCTGGGTGGACCGACGACTCACATCTTGAAGTCGATCAAATAGAGCAGCTCCCGCTATTCAAGAGCTCCCTCAAGCTAGTGCACACACAGTTCGGCCAACCGACTAAGGAGCACTTCAGGTCACTACTTCGGTGCGTTCTTCTTGCCTACATGCCTCAGTCTCCCCGTCTCATGAGAGTGTAACAAGGCACTTGGAACGAATACCATCATCATGTGCCGTCGCTGTCATCACACGTCCTCCCGAGATCATTGCCTGCCTCAAAGTTATCGTCTCCGGGAGTAACACCTTCGTCATTTTTGATTCACATCCCCGACCTGACCACTCCGATGGTGCGGCACTGATCTTCGTCGACTCAATCGATAAGGCTGCCGTCCGACTCAGTACAATCTTACCCTACGACGAGGCCCTCATGTCTGATAGTCATCTCCATTGGCAGGCTCAGCTCCTTGGGCAGTTCTCCAGCCACACCTTCGTTGCAAGGGAGCTTGACACATCGCCCATGGCCATGATGTATCTCGTTGCGGAGGCTAGCCTTGATATCCTCTCCTTGCAAACTAAAGTCTCCACCCTCGAGTCGCGGAATTCCTCAGTCCTCACGTCAGAGAATCAGCGTCTAGAGAAGCGGATGGAACAAATGGAGGACACACGGACGGCGTTAGAGATCCAATTACGCGAGTTGGCGGCAGCGCCTTTTCGCAAATCTCCACTGCATCCGGATCCTAGCGCGAAGAATGCAGAGGCTGGCCCTTCTCGCCTTCCACCATCCGGTAAGTTGTCTCGTCAGTGTCCTGCTTTCTAAACTCAACTGCTGCTTTCCAGCATCTGTCGGCAATCCTCGCTCCGAAGATGGACCTCAGCACGACTCCATACAAGTCAACAATCCCAACGACGACTACACAACACAATTAGCAGCCGAATTGCAATAGCAATTCAACCAGGAAGATCGCCTCATTCGACAGCAGCACGATATTATTGCTACAAGCCAGATAAAGCCCTTTGAATGCAACATCTGTTTCGAGGAGCAGTCAGAAGACTTCGCAGTCCGACTCAGGCCCTGCGGGCATCCGTTCTGCCGGACATGTGCCAAGGAGTTTATCGTATCGAACATCAACGAACATCGATTTCCGGTGCTCTGCCCTGTATGCTCCGCGGAAAAGGCCGAGAAGCCCAGTGGTGGGTTTTATCCGCCATCGAATGAACGTGGATTAAAGCGTGAATGTTATAGTTGTCGACTCCTGGCTGGTGGAGCAGATTGGCGTCAACCAGGACCAATATTCTATCTGGACGGAGATGGAACTTGCCCAGTTCTCGATTCTAATCCATTGCCGCGGGTAAGTCCGCCTAGTATCGCTGTGCGCAAGGTTTGACTGACTCGCCTGACCTCGCCTGACCCAGCTGTAAACGGAGTGTTTTTATTGATAGACAAGACCACGACGATACGAAGATGCTGGCGTGCCCCCTGCCTAGATGCAATTACGTATGGTGTAAGGCATGTCAATGTTCCATTCAGATCGGCGGTCCATCGCATTCGTGTGACGGCTCATCGGAGCTCGACCACCTGATGAAGCAGAGAGGTTGGAAGTACTGCCCTAGTACGTTCCCCATCCCCTGCCACGGGCTGGTTCGAAGGGAAGCTAACGCCAATTATAGGTTGCAAGACTCCCTGTGAGAAGGTATCAGGCTGCAACCACATGATAGTACGCGTGTTCTTCATATCCCGCGTCTAGAAACTGCGCTGACAACTGTCCCTTTAAGTGCATATCTCCTGGATGTACATAACACGCACTTTTGTTATTTATGCGGTAACATCATTGCTCGGTTTGCCGTTCGCAGGGAGATTCAGACGGGTACTGAGAACCACTACCGGAGAGGGTGTCAACTGTTCGAGGTACCTAGATGATGCATCCCGTCGATCTTTGTAAACTTGGCATTTGACATATGCTTGGGAATTTCTGATACGCAAGTGCTTATCGACTAAACTAACGTCTCGGATCCATAGAACAGGTACGTAAGGGATCTGGAAGGAACGGAGCAGTATGCATATCTGTGCGATAAGTTACAACGTCGGCCCGCAAATTTCCGCAGGCGTGTGAATCTGGTGCTTGGCTTTGGCGACTCTGTCTTTTCCGACTTTTGTTTCCATCCTCGACTCTCTGAAGCAACACCTGCAGCTAGCTGGAGAAATCGATACCATAAGATTATCCCAACGTTTATTCACCCTTCTGTTCGTCCTCCGCCACTCGCAGCCATGACCATTGACCCGTCAACATCCCAGCAACATCCTCACTTCTCCTTGCCTAAAACCGCGGCCTTGCTCCGTGACATACTTGGGCATACTGTATCTCGTCTGAAAGAGCGACAATACACCGAAAAGGATCTCGACAGCCCATCCTTCTCAATACGTGAACCCGTGATGATGCTTATTTTCGTCGAGCCAAGCATACAAGGGCTCATTGATCTCCAACTGGCCCCGAGCAGCCCGGAGAAACTGTTCACGCCGCGCTGCCCCGCGTCGTTTTGTCGGAAAGTTCCCAGGGGCGTGCCGACGGGTCTGGACGGGTTTTGACGCTTGCCGCGTCAGCAACGCGTCAAAACGGGTAGCGGGATCGTCACGATCGTGGGCACGGTCGTCAAGATGCCGTCCAGACGGCACGTAACCGATTCCGACGCTTCGCTTGTCGCCCGGACGCCAGTCAGATAGTTCGGATGCGTCTTAACGCCAACCGAACTATCCAGACGCATCCAGACGATTTAGACCGTCTAGACGCGTCAAGACACTCACCGCACATATTTTGACGCTTGCACCACCCGTTCATACGCCATATTTGCCGATTTCAACCACTCTTGCTTTCGCGCCATGTAGTATAACCCAATAATGAATATATTCTAAGCTATCATAAGTACATGGTTTCGAGCGGTATCCTTCGACTACGTAGGAGCTACCGGAAGCCAGGATAATGGAAATGAGGAGTAGAGAGTATGAGTAATAATGTGGAGGTGGGGAGAATTGCTGGAGAATTTGGATGAGCACATCGACTTGAACAGACACTTCAACGGGGACTTACATGGTCATGTCGGCAACAGTTCTGTTCATGGTAGGCCTTCTCGGCGGAGACGATGGGAGCGAAAGTAGCGAGAGGGAAGTGGATGCGGGGGAAGCTAAGTCCAAACGCAGTAAACAGCGGGTGTAATATAAAGAATGGACGCTTACGGAACCTAGTTGGTTTGGGACTTGTTGAGATCAACGTTCAAGGAACCGTCAAAACGCAGACACCGTGATAGACGAAGCGACCTGAGCAATCAGACAGCTAAGGTTGGTGGACCCAGGGGAGCAGGTGTTCAGTGTCGGGAAGTGGTGAGGATCACTGAGAAGTAGGGTGGCTTTGAGGAGCACTAGACGGCGGTGAGGAAGGAAGGACAGCTCCAGGACGTGGATGAGAACCTGAGGGGAGCGTGCGACGACGTTGAGGAAACGTCAGATGACAGAAAAGAATCTGACGGAGTGGAGGAAGGTAGCGAGAGCGCCACGGGTGGTGCTGGCGAGGATGAGACAAGCAGAAACTGACAACGTCGATGTCGTCGTGACACGTTGGATGTTGAAGTTGAAAGTCAAGGATAGGCGGGGCGGACTTCGAAAAATTGATGACTATAGCGGGCTGATCGGACTTTGAAATCCTTATGCTATAGGGGCGTTGAAGACGGAGGGAACAAGGTCGCTGGAGAAGAGAGAAGAAGGAAGCGTTGCGGGGCCTGCTCGTACACGAACGTATATATATGAGCTTGTTTTGAGTGATTATACCACGATGCACTCGCAATGTAGGCGATAGGCTGGGTATGTTATCACAAAGTGGTGACTACAGTTTCTGACGAGGTTCACAGATGCAATCTCATTCGTAGACAATTAACGGCGTAGAAATTTATGATGACGTTCTATATGATGATAGGATAACTAATGAGTAGCTAATTGTTGCGACCCGAACGACGAATGGCTTGTCCTGGAGTCTTAGGAGCAGTTCCCGCACCTCTTCCTCGCGCTGCCTGTGCAGGCTGAGCCACCGCGTTCGCGCTGGGTGAGCCCTAGTAATATTTAGCTTGAGACCACTGTAATTGAATGTGATAGTGACACTCACATGGGATAGCGATCGCGTTTGAGAAACTGGGCCAGAAGAGCTAATTTCTGCGTGGGCAGGAGCTCGTTTAAGTCTCCCATTGCCTTGGGGTACATGGCTGGTAGCCTCCATAGTTTCTCCACTATCCGAGTCAGTGGTATCATCAGTCCGATCACCCGACTCGGAGCGCTGAAAGGCGAGGTGAGCAAGTGCTATCCTCAAATCAGAAGCTGGGCTTACTGGAGTGTTTGCCACCCGAGCTGCAGCTGCAGCCGAGATAGATTTCGGGGAAGCGGACTCGCGCTGCTGACTCGGACGTGTACGTCGAGAAGATGCAGTAGAAAGCCCTTGTGCAGGGGCAACTACAGCGTTACCAGGTTCTTGATCCGAGTTGGGGTGAGGAGATATCCCGAGTGCTCCAACTTGTTGCGTGAGGGCATTGAGCTCCACAGGATCACCAGCAGATGGATCAGGGGGAGAAGATGAGTTGGCCTCGTTGTAGTGCTGGTTGATGCCAGCTAAGAATGCCACCTCCTCGTCCTCTTCATCAGCAGCAGCAGTCCCTCCTTGCTTGTCTGCATCAGAGCTAGCAGATTTCGGAGGAATACCTAGGATTTGATAATTGTAAAACTCCATGACCTCATCTCCCCACTTCGGGTCTGCTGTATACAAAAGCTTCAGCAGCTCGTCCCTGTCGCTAGCATACGGTATGCCAGAGGGTGCACCAGGAGTGACATACTCCGGGTCGTCAGTGAGCAGGTATCGAACCTTTGTCACAGTCAGGTTGTTAGTGCACGTATATACTGGATGAGCAATGGACTTACATCAATTGCTCCTGTGGCGACCATTTCCGGGGTGATCTTAGTGACGCTGGCACCTTTGGACTTGCCTTTTGGCCTCGGTTTACAATGGATACTCAAACCGCTGAAGCCATAGAGCTTGATGATCAGCGTCTATTAATTCGCAATTAATCAACTAGAAAGTAACAACATAGACCAACAAATGAACTCACCTCAACAACAGGCATTGATTTGAGGAAATCCGGTTCGTGAGGAGCATCGGGGTTTGGGTAGAGGACTGGTGCATATCGACTATACTTCTTTGATTTAACTGACCTCTTAAGTAGCCGCTGCTTCCTTTCAGCTGTCAGCGCACCGGAGAAAATGGTGGTTCTATATTTCCGTAGCTCGCCCATGTATCCACGACGCGCTAGATTGACACCTTTAATAAACTGTTGGACACAATGAGTGAGATGTCAATAGGGGTGATTGCTCAAAGAGGGCTCACCTCGGTCCCCAATTCGGGGTGCTTTTTGCCCGTTAGCCATCTTTCCCTAGTGCCTGTTGTTCATTTCAGCATCTTGTGAGTTTAACATTGATTGCTATCTACTATCTTCGCTATCTAGAGCTGAAGTCCATAGGTAATATGGCGCTTGACGATACAGGCAACGAGGAGGAGTTTCAAGGGGACCCCAGGGCTCTGCTAGAGATCGACGATGACGATGAGATCGAGCAACGCTTTTCTCGGGCCTTAGCCGCCATTGACGAAGTTTCCAGTGGTGGTGGTCAGATTCAGCTTCGAAAGGTACGTGCTAAATGTCATTGATCTTCATGCGTACTCACTCAAGCAATCTCAATTCTATAGGTTCTCCAGAGCACGCAAGGAGAGCTCCGCGAGCTCCGTGATGAGTACCGCACTACGAAGAAGCAAAACAACGTTCTTTATACTCTGCTTCCCGCGAACAAGAGGCGGGACTTCGACAGAGGTCTTTCCCTCGAGACCATCATTTATCAGGCGAAGTTTCTATCTCTTGGTCGCTTGTTCCCCCTTATTGTTCGCCCTTGGGTGAAAGAGGGTTCCATCCCGCCATCTCCTCTAGCCCGGGATGTTGACCCTGCTTCTCCTGACCGCTGGGCGAATTCACAGGCTGAGGTCCTTGCTGCTATGGCCGATGTCTACAAATTTCTTGATGATGACCCTTTGCGTGATCTCATTGAACAGGATGATAACAGCAAGGAGCACGAGTTCAACAACGTTGTAGAGGAAAGAGGTAAACAGAGTGTATGGAGCCCCTCCGAGTCGGCGACCAGCAGGAAAGAGAGTCTGAGGAACTCGAACGTCAAAGTCTCAGCTTAAATACGTGTGTTTGAGAGTGGCGCTGTATCACGTAGGCAAAGGAAAGTCGGATCAGCACATCTGGATAACGACTGGAATAGCACAAAAATTACATACGTGATAGCTCTGAGGGTTTCAAGCGAAGACTTAGACGTAGACTGAAGCGATGACACCGATCAGAATGCTGCACTGACACAATACCAGACGCATGTAGTTCATGTCGTTTAGTTAGCACACGCAAGACTTCAGGTGTAAAGTCCATCACACGGGGCAGCAGCCGGCGAACCGATTGCTATTCTCGACTGCTATTCAGCTTACCAGAATTGGGCTCGGTGTGAACATGGGTGAACTGCATTGTGCTCATTTACCAACGTTGCCGCCGCTTGTGCTGGTGCTGCATCTGCGGGTGGTTGCCTCATACCATCCAAGAGGTGCGCCAGCATGTGCGGCATCATCGGCAAGTGCCCGCTATCTGAGGGCAAGTGCATGGTCTGCACAATGAATCAGACGAGTGGACATGAGACTTACATCAAACATAAACTGACGATCCAATGAGAAACTGCTCTGAAAAAAAGCGGCATCAGCACGTTATTCGGACATTAGATCAAACAAGCTCTACCGCCACAGAAAGTGCAGGAAATTTCCAGATCTTGATGCTGCAAGGTGATTGCGCGCAAGGAGAGCGGAACTCAATCGCTTGTATATTGAGAGGGATGTACACATGTGCATACACGTAAAGAGCACACAGCAAAGTGATGATGTCATGATAGACGGTCAGACCATCTCCGACACCACAGAGCACGCGCACAATGGGGAGAAGAAAGATTGAAATCCAGCCTATCACTGTACGTCGCGTTGTATTAGACATGCTGCTACTATTCTCGGCTGCCTCCCCATCTCCTGCCGTGCAATGTACACTCTACTAGCGCGCCTCGTCCCATTTTTACCTCCATCCCTCCCGTGCCATCTTTGACGGCCTCGATAACCTACATTATATTCATAGCACGAGCATAACCGTTCGGTCACCTTCTTGAAGGTGTAAAAGACATCCGTAGTTATACACGAAGGCTTGCCTGCCAACGTGCAGCGTGACTTCTGTAAGGGTACCGGACCGGTTTGACAAGATGAAGCAATTAATCAGCCCGTAGTTCACAATTTCGCTAAAGCAGAACGTACGTGAGTAATTAAAATGGCAGGCTGAAGCCGTAACCGCACTGGAAAAATATAGACTGGTGCTTTAGCGGTCATCAGCACTGCAGACGAACCGAGAAGACATGAGGTGTACCAGTTTATTGGTTCCATTCTTGCATGCGAAGAAACATATCTCCGTCAATGTACTTGTTGACAAGGAACTCGTTTGTCGTTTTGAAGTCGGGAATAAGCATTGCTCCTCGGACTATTGAATCAAGTGGGATTACAATGGCGGATTTTGGAGGTGCTGCCTTCACGCGAATAAACCCAAGGTCCTTGTCGACTTTCCTTGCCAGGCCCGGGAGACCTCTGGTATACGGGTGTACAAGCGCCAGAGAAAGTGGTTCTGACAAACCGGGAAGTACAACCTTGAAGATGATAACAAGACGTACAAAAACCTGTTCGTCATCGGATATCTGCACAAGTGCACAGTCATAACGGGGGTGACCGTGGAACAACGGATGACATCGTAGATAGTCAGTGCACTGGCGCCAATGCTCGAGGGATTCATAATTGACTTTGAGGAATCGGAATTCGTTGAGCTAGCAAATATATATGAGAGATTTGTTAGGAGACCAAGGAACACGAAGTGCGCACCATATTGCTACGAGTAATCGTCTGCCACCAGTCTCGCTGCTCTCTATACATCTCCATTCCAGAATAGTTCGGTAGTCTGAAGTTTACGAAGGTCTGTAGTGCGTGTGGCAGTTGTTTAAGTGCATCGTTATTGGGATTAGCTGCTTGTATCTCCTGGATAGTAGCTGCAGGCTTTGGTGACCCAATGTAGAATTTTTCTGGACAAGACCGGAACGCGCTATATTCATCACCTTCATCGTTATCTTCAGAGTGGTCTTGAGCCGAGACCACCGCCTCGTACTCATGTATACGACTGAAGAGGAGGTCTATAGCGAGCCTATGCTGATCGATTCGCAAAATCTAACGAAGGGAGAGAGGAAATCGTGTAAATGAAGACGATAACGCGTGCCAATTTGTATTACCTGATCAGCAATATTTTTTCCGTTCGTACGGCCGTACGCAGCCTTCAGAAGAGAATGCACTCCCTCGTTTGGACGGGTGCTGTAGTTACGGCTCGCGCCTTTGTTTCGAATATCTTCGAAGGCGTGCTTGAAGTAGTGAGCCTTGGGGAAGTTCCAGTCGAGCTTGAGATCGGGTATATCGGACTTTTGAGCAAGTTCAATATAATCCTAACAAACGTGACGGGTCGTTGTCTCAGAATGTAGAGGAGCGTTCAGTAATGCAGAATCTTACCTCCATGAGTTTATTGAACCTTCCGAGCTCAGCTTCGCCGGCTCTGAGCGTTTCTTCTGTGTGAACATCAAGGCCGATATAACAGTCAACCTCCAAATAGCTTCTGATCAATAGAAGCAAAGCATATCCTTCCGGCGATGTACTTGGCGTCAAGAGGCTCTGCGCAGCGAACAGGATTTGCTAAATACCATATATTAGCAGCAACGGCAGCACACTGAGATTAATCTGACCTTTGACATGTCATTGAATTTGTTACCATCTGAGAAAGACGTGTTTACCGCGTTACTAAAATGATTCAAGTTTCGCCATCGGGGCATCCGATCAAAGCTAGAGAAGTTTTTGGATTAATCGTCTTTTCGGAAAGTGTTACAGCGATGGACTTACTGTTCATCGAATTTACCCATCGTTCCTCCGGCCTTTGTACTGCTAACATGCTTGATTATAGTCTGAAGCTCAGGGAGAAAATGTCGCCCGAACAAGCCACCGTGGCAGAAGTGCAAGCGGTCGAATGACAGCGCTTCGTGTGGATTTGAGTGTTTTATATCATAGAAAACGTTCTATATAACGTGAGCATTTCGATTCTTCCAGATTTCACGCTCGAAACCTACCTTGCCTGGTCGCAAGCCATATCCCTTCAACTCCTGCTCACCGGCGCCCTTACTGACATTAGTATATGTGGCCATTGCATCGCGCCCTTGTTGAGGTGTGCGGCGCTCGTATGTCGTTTGAGAGTCGTGAAGGTTATCTTTTGGTATGAGACAGACGGGACATGGGCACTTGCCCTTGGGCCCACGGATGAGCGACATGATACATCTAAGTTTCAATGAAGCCAGTTAGTATTGATTACTCGGGATAAGAGAATGTACGTTACTGCTCTTCGTAATCGGCTGAAAGCATCAATATTACCGGGAATAGTACACAATTTATTCCATCGTGACAATGATGAAATAGGCCGGCTTCGGAGTACACTTCTATATCTGACAAAAAGTTCCTGAAAGCCTCGTGCCACACAACGCGTTTGAAGTCAGTATACGTCCGTTTGCCTTCTTTCTCGGGATCGTTTTTGAGCTACGTAGACGCACATAAAACCCTATAAAACCAGCCAAGGAATGGAGACACTTACGACAGGTAACCAACCAACAACGCGTGCACCCCCAACACCATTCCCGTTGCGGATGTCAGATGGAAGATTGCAGCACCTTGCTATCACAGGATAGCCCTGCACCGTTCCAGAAGACGATAACCTCGTCTTGTCGGCATAGAGAAGTATAGAGAACGGCGCAGGGACGGCGTCAGGTACATCCGGTAGATCAGTCTATATTATGTTGTCAGCGACTCGGACATACACTTGATGGAACCTTTGAATGCAATGACGATAACAAACTTGTATTTTCCACCACCGGTCCGCTGTCCAGGGCTCGTCATAGAGCCGTGTAAATGTCCCAGAGCAGTTGTCTCGTTTATATATCTTCTGTGCATCCCATTCGAAATATGGTGCGAGCGACTCATTGTCGAGAAGCTCTTTTGCCCATTTCCAGAGGTCTCGCTTGTGCACGTCTACTGGTATACTTGTCTTCTTGTAAGGTACATCGATAGTGTGTTTTTCGATCTGGTCAGTCAGTAAGATCAGGCGTACATCAGGGTAATGAATTTAGTTTAAGCTACAGGTCGTATTACAATGCTTACAGGAGTCAGTTCCTCGGCCGCTTTGTCACACACCGATCGCAGTTCGTCGTCGTTTTTGAAAGATACTTTTGCAGTCCCTGACTCCACTCTGCGCATGAGGCCCAACAAACGATCCACAGTGTCCTTCGAAAACTCCCCGTCAATGGCAATGGAGGCGAACTCGCAGTCGGCACGCGATTTGAAGGGTTGCCAGGGTTCCGATGTTTCATAGTTAGATGCTGGGAGCGGATGTGTCGTGTTGCGAAACTTGTCCCACGGCTCAATCTTCTCGGCGTGTTGGCTGCGGGAGTGGTACGTGGTTTTGAACTCCATGTTCGAAGACGTCGAGGTAGTAGAGGCACCAGTCGCCGTGTAAACAAAGCTTCGCATGCTGGCGTCCGACTCAGCGCCTGCCGGGACATTTCTGTCTCAAAATTCAACAATAAAATAGCTAGAAAAGTGCACGTACGAAGTCTGGCTGCATCTCCTCCGAGAGCATCTAGGGGCGCATGGCCCTCATCAATGCTCTCGCGAGCGGGGCTATGGGCGTCACTGTCGTGGTGTTGGTTGGGATCTGAATCACGAGTCAAGGTTAGTGTAAGAGGCTTAGTATAATACGATAGACGCACCGTCATCAAGGGTAGGGACATGGGTAGAAATCGAGGGTGCGGGCGCATAAGTCGAAATCGAGGGCGCGATATGCAAGCCGGCAGTATTCTGCGACGGACCAGCTTGGCGTGAGGGACCCACGGACGCGCGTTCAGTCTCGAGTGCAAGAAGACGGGCTTCAATTTCCTAGAAGTCAGCATGCACGTATAAAACGGGAAATGATCAGAGAAGAAGGCACTCACATGTATGCTCTAACGCTGCATGCCTACTCGATATCTCGTTTCGACGCTGACTCTCCTTCTTGCGCTTTTCACACGTTGTCTCGTGCATATGGAGCCCGTTGGGGTGAACTCTCCGAGGACAATGCTTACAGCGCACCTTGCCGTCTGCGCCAACAGCATTGCCTGTTTGAGAGCCCTCCGGCGGCCTGATGTTGTTCTTCTTGCTCGAAGTGCTTGAAGAGGCACGTGGCATAGCGGGTGGAGAGGTGTGAGTACGTTTGGTATATACAGGGTTCACCGCTGCGGGAAACGAGAGGCGAATGTTGAGAACGTTGAAGGTGCGGGGAAAGGGCTATCGGTCGATCGATCGAGGGGGCTGTCAAAATCAAGCCGGGATGCCGTCCCGACGCCGGGATTCGCCTGGAGTCGCGTGGCGATGCACTCAGTCATAGTCCCCATGCGTCAAGACCGGCCCTCGTGTGTCCAGACGTCATCGCCACGCAGGCTCCGCGACGACCGGCGTCTAGACATTGGGTGCCCGCCCCTCGCACGTTTTGACGGCGTTACCACGGAATGTTGATGACATCTTGACAACGTCGGCATCGGCTATCCGCGTTTTGCGTCAGAACGCCCCTTTTGGGTTTTCCGACATTTGAAGCATCAATGTCGTAGTGGCCCGTGACGCGCACCCGTGACCGCCCCAAGGTCTCGCATGAACATCTGAACACATACACACACAGTTCCGAGGCTCGATCGTGACACCCATGTCCTCCCATGTCTCCAGATGTCTCCCAAGGTCTGGCAGGCCGACGCACATATCCACGCTCTTGATGTCTGATATAAATGGGCGGGACATCGCCTCCGCCTCCGCGCTCCAGTGTGCCTAACGCACCCTCCATTTCGCCTGCGGCTCGACTTATGCTACGCCTCGCACTCGCGCTCTCCGGCCTTGCAGCTGCAGTCCTCTGCCAAGGATCGCCGCTGGGATCATCTTCGGCATCAGGGGGATCAGCAGGGAACATTGTCGACGTCGGATACGCGAGCTATATCGGGAACCAGTCCTTCCCAAACACCGTTGCTTACCTCGGCATTCCGTACGCGGAGCCGCCAGTGGGCGACCTGCGCTTCCGCGCGCCTGTCGCACTCAACACGAGCAGGATCGCGGAGCAGGCGGGTGGGCAGCCGGTCAACGCGACGTACTATCCGGACTTTTGTGTTCAGGGAACTACGGGACGTGAGTAACCTTTCGACGATTCTGAGTTGCAGAGTCTCATGTTTGCCTCTGGATGGTAGAGGGCGATCACGGAGGTGCAGGTAGTGAGGATTGCTTGAAGGTCAACATCTACGCACCCACAGGTGCGAAAGAGGGAGACAACCGTAAGCACCACCACCGCCCTTCCTGACAATATTGCTCACATAACAAGCCAGTCCCCGTCCTATTCTACATCCACGGCGGTGGTTACATCTACGGCAACCCTGCCAACTGGCCATTCGACCCCTGGATCCACCAGTCGCCCGACGTCGTCATCGTCTCCATCTACTACCGCCTCTCGTCCTTCGGATTCTTTGCCGCGCCCGCTTTCGTGTCCGACCCGTCACTCGGCGACTTCAATGCGGGCTTCCTCGACCAGGTACAGGGTCTCCGCTGGGCATCGCAGTATATCAGCAAGTTCGGCGGCGACCCGAACCGCATCACGATTAACGGGCAGAGTGCAGGCGCGAGCTCTGTCGAGCTGCACATGACCGCGAATGTGGGACGGGAGCTGGTTGTTGGGGCGATTGCGCAGAGCGTGTACAGGACACCCTTGCCGTTGCCAGACCAGATGGGGGTGAGTGTTTCATGCCTACTCTAGTCTATCTGTCGCAAGCTCTGACTAATGTGTTGCTTATCAGCCGCTGTTTGACTTTTACTCGTCATACGCGGGCTGCGGGGAAGGCACTGCAGCGACGAAGATAGCATGCCTGCGCAATGCCAGCATTAGCGCTCTTGCTATGGCTCAGGATGCCGCTGTCATGGGTTCCTTGTAAGTCACTGACTCGTCATATCCTCCATTCAATTCGGAACACGTCCGCTCACGGGTCTCTTCTTGGAATGTAGCAATGCCAGCCTATACAATTTTTTCCGCCCCGTCCTTGACGGAAAGGTCTTCAGTGGCGACCCCACCGCGCAGTTTCAGTCCGGCAACTTTGCACATGTCCCGTTGATCGTTGGGTGTGTTTGAGTTTTTGTATGCATGATAAGCAAGCATCCTGATCCGTAAATCAGGTCGACATCGAACGAAACTTTGGCAGGCGGAACAAACATTTCGGTCGCTCTCAAGAATTACTTCCCCGAACTCACACCTGAAGACCTCGCCGGATTCGTCTCTTTGTACCCCCTAAGTGACTACGACTCGCCGAGCCAACAGGAACAGGTCGCAACTGGCGAGCCATCTGTTATCTGTGGCGTGAGCATCTTCCCCTTACAAAGTGTCCTCATATTTTATCGGCGACCTGACAACAGCGCGAAGCGATGGGAGGACCTGCATCACTCTACTCAAACGCGTGGACATACAGGTACAACCAGCCCAACCCGACGAGCGGCTCGAACGCAACCGCACACGCCGCTGAGAACTGGATGATGTTCCAAGGCATCAATACCGGGTACGCCACCCCTTGTCCCTTTCCGCTATCTATATGTCCCGTTCCGTCGGATTGCTGAGGACCGATCCGCGATCGCCTTACACAGGTATAACGGCACAGGCACCTTCACCCCTCAAACACCCGTCGAGCTCACGTTCGCGTCCGAACTCATCGCGTACTGGCTCTCCTTCGTGCGCGCTGGCAACCCGAACACCTACAAGCTCGCTATGTCCCCCGAGTGGACCGCGTACGCGCCTGCGAAGGGCGACTCTGATGCGCTGCGTATTGTGCTGCAGCAAGATCCGCAGAACGTCACGACGGAGTCGGGGAGCTACATTGAAGAGCAGCCTACGGCAGAGGGTATGCGGTGCAACTTTGCCATCAGTAAGGTTCAGCACACGCAGGACTGAGTCGAATCTGGGCCCATGCCCGATATAACCGTTGCGGTTTTCTTTCGCTGGCTTTACAGTTTACAACCTTGAATGTGACTGTTTTTAGTTTTGTCAGGGCTGCAGTGTTGCTTTTGTAACATGGGTGCAAGATAATCAAGTTTCATGAACGGTCAAGCGTATCATGACAACATGCTCGGTGGCGTTTTTGACTGATGCACATGTCCTCTTGCATCGGTATTCAAGAGGTCAGCAGACAAAGACTGGGCAATGTCGGCGAGTAGCTGCCTTCTTCTATCTGATCCACTCCGTGCTGTGAGCCCTTCACCTTGTGGACATCTGCTTGTTCTACTCGATGCTGTGAACCGGGGCCTTGTGGACGATGTCAGCGCTCAGCTCAGCCCGGCTCTGGTCGTAAGCCCGTTAGGGGTCAACGGATTAGGCCTTTAGGGCTAAATATACCAGACGTCTTTGAGCTGTGCCGTGTGCGAGGAACTTGCAGGCACGTTTTATGATTGGTTGCTGTATTCAACGCGTGTTCGATTGGACGGAGAAGAACGGCCGCCGGAGATGAATTGCTTTCTCGAACCTCCATCCGGCGCCGTCTCGGCCGAGTCGGGGTCTAAATTAATCTCGCACCCACACTCGGGAGACGGTTCTGAATCCCCAACGTGTTCTTGATCATCTTCCATCATGTTTCTCCTCGGACCCTTCGACGCACGCTATGTCCACCTGCCGTTGTTTTGCTTCGCATCTCTGAATGCTCGTGCGTTCGACACTGTAAACCCGCCACGGATGCCTTACTTACAAAAACGACTCATTGGCGCCAGGAACCCCACCATCAGCGCGCAGAAGAGAACATTCCAGTGGATGCCTAAGGAACAAGGAGTCAGAGGCACTGATGAAACTTCTATACATATCCCACCGATAAGCGCTGAGCCCTGTATCAGCATGGAGCCGTAAAATCCGCACTGACCTCGTTTGTGTCCCGACTTCGCTCTTCTTGTGTCAAAGGGGATCGTGCGCCATTTCATTCCGCCCCGAATCGCGCAAAGTAGATATCTCAACTTCTCGTAATGGTCTGTAAAGGTTCGAAAATGAATGGCGCCCTTTTCCGAGAGACTGATCGTTGGCATACTACCCAGACAGATCTGTCCCTCGCAGCACGGAGGGATCATGATCACCGCGTTTTTGTAGACCTCCGGGAGCGCCCCTCCCTGACGGTTCCAGATGGCCTTTTCTGTCCATACGCCATACATTCCGGTATGGCATCTAGGCGTCATCATCTCACCATAACAAACTCTTCAGTATAAAAAACCAACATCGTGTTGCATCCGCCAGCCAGTCCATCTCCCTTCTCCTACTCCTCCGAGTCCACCTCGGAGTCAAAATATGCTGCGTTTTGCACTCGCTCTTTCGGCACTCGCAGCCTCTGTCATGGGCCAGACATCTTCCAACAGCGTCACGCTCCCTTACGCGACCTACGTCGGGAACCAGTCCTACTCAAACGTCGTCGCGTACCTCGGTATTCCATACGCTGAACCACCCCTCGGGAACCTGCGCTTCCGCGCACCTGTCACGCTCAACACGAGCAGGATCACTGCTTCGGCTGATGGAAATTCAATCCAGGCCACCACGTACCCAGAGTTCTGTGTACAGGGAACCACGCATCGTGAGTATACATATATGCGCTTCTTTTTGACGTGTGAGACCAACATTGGCTTTTCTTCAGACGGAGATTATGGAGGTGCGGGTACCGAGGACTGCTTGAAAGTAAACGTCTACACGCCAGCAGGCGCCACAGAGGGCGATGACTGTAAGCATACCCCAAGTATCCTAGGCTGCGGGCATCGCTAACCGCAGTGTCATCTGGTATTCTTGGGTAGATCCCGTTTTGGTCTACACCCATGGCGGTGGTTTTGTTTACGGCAACCCGCGCAACTGGCCGTTTGACCCATGGGTGCATCAATCCCCCAATGTCGTCATTGTATCGATCTACTACCGCCTCGACGCGTTCGGCTTCCTGGCATCCACAGCTATGGCCACTGACTCATCTCTTGGTGACCTTAACGCAGGCTTCCTCGACCAAACACAGGCCTTGCGCTGGGTTCAAGACTACATTAGCTACTTTGGCGGCAACCCCAACCATGTCACAATCAATGGCCAGAGTGCCGGCGCAACCAACATCGAACTGCACATGATCTCGACTGTTGGACGCGACCTCTTCCAAGGCGCTATCATACAAAGTACATACAGGGCACCGTTGCAGACCCCAGCGGAGTCGCAGGTACGCTTTATTTTTGCTGCTCTATTTTTGATATGTCCTCATGTTGACGGTGCCTGTTCGGTTCTTATTCAATTCTATTTATGGCTTTGTGCTCTAGCCTCTGTTTGAGTGGCTCACGTCGTACATCGGCTGCACAGGCTCGGATGCTGCGATTATGGCTTGCATGCGTAATGCGAGCGTGGCTACTATTGCATACGCACAGGATTACGCTTACATTGGTCCTGGATTGTGAGTATCCAGATTCCCTGTTTCTTCGGGGTAGAGATCATGTTCACTCACGCCGTTGGCATGCAGCAACGCGAGCCTCTACAACGAATTCCACCCCGTCCTTGACGGCACGATCTTCACTGGCTACCCTACCGCTCTCTTCCAATCGGGTGACTTTGCACAGGTCCCCCTGCTAATTGGGTGAGTTGAGAAGAGATCTACATCATGCATCTCTTCCGCAGTGTGACAAAGAGACAATGGTGTACTGATGTCTATCTCAGTTCGACATCCAATGAAACGTTGTCTTCTGGGGGCAACATTCCTCTCTCGCTCGAGTCGTTCTTTCCCAGCATCACCCAAGCCGAGATCACCAACATCACCGCACTCTACCCACTCAGCGAATTTGCAAACGCCTCTCAGCGGTACCAGGTCCTGACGGGCGAACCGGACGTCATCTGCGGTGTAAGTGCTTCTCGGGTACGCTCAGTCCGCAATGGACTAAACTGGATGCGCGCCTGTTTCTAGCGCCAAGCATTGGGAGTTCCCTCCTCACAATACTCCAACGTGTGGTCGTACAGATACAACACGCCTAACCCGACGACCAACTCGCCCTACGTTGCCCATTCCGCCGAGAACTGGATGATGTTCCAGGGCATCAACACTGGGTACGTCTCTCCCCTAACGTTTGCATCTTGCCCGCTCTCAGCTCTGAGCTAACAATCTCTACCCCATTCTTAGACCCAACGGCTCAGGCACCTTTACCACCCAGACACCCGTCGAGCTCTCTTTCGCCGCCGAGCTCATTGGCTACTGGCTCTCTTTCGTGCGCGTATGGAACCCGAACACCTACAAGCTCAGCACGTCACCCGAGTGGGACCAGTACCGACCCGGAAATAGCGAGGCAGTCCGCCTGGTGCTGCAGCAGGACCCGGCCGGCCTGACGACGCAATCGGGCAGCTACATGGAGACGCAGCCGGTGAACGAGACGGAGCGGTGCGACTACATCATCAGCATCGTGCAGGACTTGCAGAACTGAGGTGGGTCGGTGCGTGCTGCAAGCACCTTTTGGATTATGGACTGGACTATGGACTCGGACTCGTGCTTGAACGTGCTTGGAAATGCTCTCCCCGTTCTTTTTCTTATCGACAGTCAAACGGGACTACATTTGGTAGAGTTGACAAACATTCCTACGCATTGTATTTTCTTGGGACAATGGGTTTATAGGTTGGACAGTTGCTCCCTACTTAGTCTTAACCTTCGGACACCACTTTATACCTTGCCTCTCTTTATTGCTATCTTGGGTTATTCCCGTTAGTGATACGTTACCACCTCTTCGAATTCGTACGGAAGTCTTTGGACTATATTCCATAATCATGTAGCTCTGCAATGCCGAAGCAGAATCGCCGATGTTGCCCCTCACTGTGGTGGTTTGATATAAATTGCGGCGCAAGATGATCCCAATATGTAATGCTCGGGTCTCTAAGGTGTTTAACGCCTTGGTGTATTACGACGCAAATGCTCACTTCCATTCATCAAAATCTCACAAACTGATTTGTGAGCGCTCCGCACCAACGTAACCATTGGCAAAAACGTTCTTCGCGATGTTCAGATGGCCGATGAATACGGCCAGCATGTGCTCCACCGCCTGAGCTCACCAAACGTGTTTTACTCCAATTTCAGCCTTCCGTAAGAGACGCGGAGCCGATAAGCGTCCTTGAGAGACAGATTCAACGTTCCAGCGCCGTTTGGTAACCTTTCATCTAATGTGGTAAGGCGCCCGCTTATCGCTCATGCAGGGAGAGCGGCACAACTCGCAACGGCGCATCATCGACCATGCTCGAATAGGGCGACCGAGTCCGTCAAGGTACTGTGGCGTTCGTGTAAGATAGGGGGGCTACATTCATTTTTAAAATAGGGAAATGCTACTTATTCACGTAAGTTACGCAACCAGCTCGGCCAACTTATACCCTCTCCCGCCGTGACAATGCAACGTGTTCATATCTAATACGAGATGCACACCCCAGATTTACATCAAGGTGATTATACTTCGCCCTGCGATGTTTCTTCCGCTAACACGTTTCTGTTGAACCGCAATGATGTCATTTGAGGCGAGTCCGAAGTGAGCTCATCCATGGTATTTTTTGTCCAAGCAGTGCCCATAGCGACTCTGAGTAGAATCATTTGCTGGGAGACTACCTGTTCGGAGGATACAGGTCAGCTTTTTGTCCAGTAGCAACGAGAAATAAATAAGACGTACGCAAACGCCACACCACATTTGAGCCATAAAAGTTACCTCCGCGGCATTTCCATTGAAATTGTTCACCGTCAAAGAGAAGTAAATTATACCAAACAATGTCCATGGGACAGCGCCTTCGACAAAGATCGAGACTATCCCAGCGTATTTCTTTAGAGTACCCCGTTGATCTGGCATGACAGTGCGAATCTGCCAGTACATGGAAATCAAGCGGTTAATCGTATCTACAACCAGATGGTCGGCTTTTGTTTGCAGCTGTTTGGATGCCTGCCTCCTGTGTGTTTGCCTGTTCCCGCGTGCGTATGAGTTGAATGCTTTTGTAGACGATTGAATGCTTCGGTGGCCGCGAGGGCATTCCGTCGTCGGGAACCAGTGAACCGGTGGTCCCGTGGCCCCGGAAGGTGGTCTCGTGATCCCTGAGTCGCTGACATCGGATGCATCGTTGGCGCAGATGCGCTTTTTATTGAATGCAATCATTCGGGACCCAATGGGGAGTCGCGGTTGAGACCCCTCCTTTGTTGGAGTGTCAAGATTCAGCGCTCTCGCTGTGTCAGCACGGAAATTATTCAGTCGGAGGATTTTAAAAGCTGGAGAGGTTCTGCCGCAAAATAGCAGCCTTTCCCTCCGGCTACTAGCCATCATGTCTAACGCATTCGTTGTTGGAATGTTCAGCTTGATCAACGGCGTTCGTCGCTCACAGCAGGCGGGCAACTCGCAGACCTTCTACTGCTTTTACGACACTGTGTTCCGCTCCGAGATCACGACGTCATCCCCCGCACAGCTCCGTGTGTATAGCCCAGTCGGAGGACAGGTTGCTCGAGATGACACACTCGCGTTCGTCGTCGCTACGGCGTATTTCAATCGCAATGGCCCTATCCTCTTGGACGCCCAGCCCAACAGTTTTTCCCTTTTCCAGGAGATCCGTCACAGGACTCGTACTGTAGTTTTTCGACCTTAGGTTCGCGGTGGCGTGGGAAGTCGGAGTTTTAACGCACCTTCCATAACCGTCTGTCCCCCCCTATAGGTTCGGCGGGCCAAACCGAGGGTGGACAGTTAGTTCGTGCTCGCTCAGCAGGCCTCGATACCGATAACGAAAATGATCATAATGTAAAATATAGGTGCTGTATACGCTTTGACTAAGGTCCTGGTGGCGCTCTCAATAAGGTTCCCGACATTGATACAAACCAAACCAACCTCAAGCTGGTCATTGGCACAGGTGTTCAAGATGTTGTGCTCACCCCTCCGACCCCGCTATGTATCAAACACTTTGCACTCATTGGTTCCTTGCCAGCTTATACAGTACTCAACATGGTCGAGTTCCCACAGTCTCGCTAATTGAGTTCTGAGGGCTCTGGGCTCCACATGGCCCCTGCCATGGACAATGAGCCTGATGTGATCTCCAATTCTCTGCAAGTACCTGGATAGAAGGAATCCTTTGAGAACTTAATTAGCTGTGGTGTTTAACATACAGCAATGGTAGCATAGGCTATCAGAATACTTTGAATATGATTTCTTTAATATTTTCTGGTAATTTAATCATAATTATGCCTATTTTACGGTATGTCCCCCCTGTTAAGTTCGTGGCTCCAATTATGGGGTGGACTGTCCCCCCATGTTAGGTTCGGTTCATGGGGAGGGGGGGACAGGGGACCGAACCTAAGGTCGAAAAGTACAGTACTATGATAACGTCCCCGAGTTCGACATGCCATTATTGTTTGCGGTCGGGCGCGTCAGTCCGGCATCAGCGGTGGATGGCCCTGCCCCACCCACATGGCGTTTTGATCTCGCTGTCTCAGAGTATGTGCAGAACACGGTACAACACAGCACGTTGGAGTAAGTACTGTCACCCATTAAAACGCTCGTGCTGAAGCATTTTCAGGATCATGTTTGATAGCTCCGTTAATCGGTGGGCGAACGCGCCTATGCCGGCTTCTAACACGAGTGTCGGTGTTTTGGCCGTCAGCTATGGCCTAAACACACTGAGCAGCATTCTTCGTTTCGAGATGCTGTTGCTTTCTCTCAACGTGTCACAGACAGTGTCTATAGGCAGTTCTACCTCCAATCGCGCACTGACCACGAGCACAGGTAGTCGTAAAGATCGCTTTTCAGCGCGAGCATCAGAAAAGCGCAAGGCATTTAGCGGGTGAGTATTTGGATTTGCAACAGAGAATGCACTTCCTAATTGTTGGTTATATTTGTTAATATTAGATCGGGTAACGAGGACGAGACCGTGGTCGACAATAACCACCATGAATCACGGTGTGTATATCATTGGCGAAATGCTTGCGTCTATCCTAATTTGTTGGCAGCGCATCCATTTCCACCGCTCCATCTCACGTAACTGCAAGCTCTTCGGGCTCTGGGGAGGGCATGTCGCGTGAATCGAAGTTGCCGCCTGAGGCTTATCACCCCGAGACTCCTGCATTATGTGAAAGTGTTTTGGCAGTCGGCTCAAACTCGACCAAAGAGGAGATACTTTCTCAGCTTGACGCCAGTCAAATGGAGGCCATGGTTGCGATAATGCAGGGTGGGAAGGTTGCAGATGACTTGGGTGATCGTCAGTCGCCGGGCCCCGGTGGGAGAGCCAAGAGACAGAAGAAGAGTAAGAAGTAGCAAGTTGTTGTGTGTCGTATTTAAGCGAGGAAGTGAAACATACATGTATGATAAAGCCATTTGATGAATAATGTAGCACTCTTCGAAAACCCTTTCGAGCTTAAAGCTTAAACTCTGTCGCCACAGAGTCAGTCAAATACCTGCCTTGCATTTGATAGAGCATACACGGACAGAGTAAGGGTATTATAAGTCCGCATGGGGTCGGTGTTCCCGGTTCATTTTGCTATGTATAACGCAAGTCGTTGCGTGTGTCAAAGATATATGTGTATGTTAAATTGTGCACCGGCCACGATGCAGCTGGTGTTTTGAGTATAACGTGTGTGCATAACACTTTGCATCCTGCTGTCAACTCGGAATTCGAACATTCAGTCACAGGAAGCCATATATTTGTTCTGCCGGTTGTGGCGGAGAGCAGATATTCCGCGCTAAGACTTCCTTAAGGCCTTTCGACATGAGTTTCGCTTAACTGGCTTACATAAATTCTGCTTATATCGCGCCGTATCTGCTCGTCGGAAACATCATTTCTAGACGTTCTACCTTCTATACGCTATCAATGCCCCTATTCGTAAAACATCTACTTGGATGCCGGAGCGCCCCGCGCGATGGCGTGTCTTGTAGCAAATCATGGAGGTGACCCAGCCATTGAAAGCCGCCGTTGTAATAATCCATATGATACCGCAAATTCTGCCGATTCCCGATATACTTGCCATAGGTTCGTTTGCGAGAGATTTTTCAATGATGGTTACCATTGAGGCAACTGCAACAAAACAGGCACAGATACTCAGTAACTATGCTTGAGACATGACATCCGGAAAACTCACAGTTGACGACGAGAAAGAGCAGTGCCGGCACGGTTATGAACTTAATTTTGCTGTACCATATTATGTAACAGCGCCAAAGCTGAAAGCGTCATTGTGCATGTCAGCATTGTGCGTCTATACACCGACACGATGTCAGTGCGACAAAGGTGGCGTACCATAAGCCCGTCGCACATCACATTAGCTAGCAGAGTGGAGATTGTACCTGTTAACTCTGCCCAGTGCGGGTAGTTGTTCATGAAGCAGATGGAAAAGGCCGACCCCCTCGCGCCACCACAGCGGGTGTCAAGAAGACCCCCAAGGTAATGATTGCTCAAGAGAGCGAGTGTCATCATCAAAAGCAAACAGCCTCCAAATACAGCGCAGAGGGAAATGGAGCGGCGTCCTGGTCGAGATTTTCTCGACAAGAGATGGAGCGACATAATGTACATGCATATGTCAATTCCTGTGGAGAATGTTTTTGTTGAATTGATTAACAAGCATGACCAGCACACAAATAGCTGACCTACCATATAAAACTGCCATTAATATGTTGGCGACGTATGTGACAATTTCTGTATCAAAATTTATGGAGTCCGTGCTCATGATGGGTAGTGGAGGAGGAGGAGAGGTAATGGCTTACTAGACATGCTCGGATGACTTTTAAGTAGATGTTTATGCGACCGAATGCACAGGTTCCTTACGTATTCAGAGAAGCAATTGTGAAACATACATGTGCTCTTCTCCAAAGCTCCACCTTGAAGGTCCACAGCGGGGTCAATAAACACGAAAAAAGCCTAACTTCTGTCATAAGCTGCAGAATGTAAAAAAAAAACAAAGAGGTTTTTGACGTTGATCCGCCCTCTAAGTCAACTTTTCGGACGCGAGCTGTGGCGTGATAGGCACTGACTTGAAGCCCGGAACGGGCCATCATATTCAAAAGTTTTGATTAGGCACAAAGAGCCTTTGTCCGTCTGCTTGAATCTTTCAGATCGCGCCAGGTATGCCATGGATTACGCTACAATAGACCAGCCTGACGGCGTGAACGTTCATCGATGCATCCGACGTTCACGATGTATCATGTGGATGCTAAGTACCACATCCGCTTGTGTTCGGTCATCCCCGTCCAAAGTTCCTTCTGACAGTGTTCCCAGGAAAGGCCGTATTATCAATGTCATCTGCCGTCGGTAACTGAGAGCTGCTACTTCAAGATCATAGCCTTACTAAATGCATACATACAGTGCGCCAATGCTCGCAGTGCCGCAAAAATAACTATGATGTTAAGCACCGTGCTCCTTCTTTCGCATCGGGTTCCATAAACGTGTGTTTGTTTTCCCCAGAGCTCGCACATAACGTTGCTCAGGGAGTGGTCGGCAACATTACACCACGTAGACCATAGTGACATACAGCAGTGGGTATCAATGGCTCCACGTCGGTACTTTCCGTCCCCCGCGTCCCACCCAAAGTCTACTTTGTTTCTCTCCGTTCTGTCTTTTCTTGTTTCACTCCATTGTCACTGGCCCAGTACAAGGGCTCACCGCCTCGAGATCCACTTAGAGCACCCCTTATATCGGCTTGTGACGGAATTGTATGTCTCGATCATGCTGAGGCCTCTGAACCAACTAAAAGCGAATGTCATCCCAGGAATGGAAGTCAACTTTACGCCGCATTCTTGAGCATGTCTAGAACGTTAACATCACAACAAGTGCCGATTAATTTGACCGTAGGACTATACAAAATGTCCCGCTCCATATCGATAAGCGTCGCCCTCATCGTGCTACTACTAAACTCCGATGCCGCCTTCTAATACTGCACTAACAAGGAAGATAGACTCGAAACCCGCACAAGAACAACGGCCTTGCTAGTCAGAGTCACGGCGGTGGTGTGGGATTGTAGCGTTCATACAAGGTATGGGGTTGAGATGTAAGTCGATTTCTACGGTCATGGTTTGGTGTGTAAATGTCAGAGAGGCCCTACACTATACCCATACAGTAAGCCAGCTATATTACATCCTGTACCGATCCCTCTGCTTCCGACTGCCTGTTAAACCTTAATCCAGAATGAAGTGAAATAAGTTCACCCATGGTGTTTCTTGTCCACGCAGTGCCCATGGCGACCCTGAGGATAATCATTTGTTGGGAAACCGCCTTCCAAGTTACATGTTAGCAACTTTGCGGATACTAACAAACTAGAAAATAGAAGACATACGCAGACGCCGCACCAAAGTTGAGACACGACGGTTATTGCCGGTGCATTTAGACTATTATCAGACATCTGCAGGGCGAAGTTTAATATAGCCATAAGTGTAAAAGGGATTGTTCCTTCGATGGTGATTGATACCACCCCTGTATACGTCTTCAGGATGTTTTGAGGTTCTTGTATAGTGGTTCGAATCGACCAGTACATGCGACCCAATCGGTAGCAGATCATGGACGTGACCCAAACATTCAAAGCCGCGGTTGATGCGTTCCATATCATGTTACCCACTCTGCCACCTCCCGATAAATTTCCCATGGGTTCGGCAGTGAGCGACTTTTCAACGACGGTTAGGAATGAAGCAACTGAAAAGACCACAGGTCGGATTATCTCAATAGTCATGAGGTGAAATGGGCGGGGGACTTACAAACAACGACCAAAATTAAAAGGGCGGGAGGGAAAATGTACTGAATCCTACGTTCCCAAATCACATAACAACGCCAAAGCTTGAAGCCCCAGCGAAAAATATCAGTGCGTTTCTGTATTTACACACCACACCAACTCTCGGGTGTGAGCATGTTAGCGGAAGCGTACCATGAGGGCGTCAGCCATTACATTAGGAACGAGAGTTGCTATAACCCCCGTAATGTCTACCCAGTATGGGTAATTGTTCAAGAAACAGACAGCGAAACTTGACTCACCGGTCTCGTTCCCACAGTGGGCAGCAACGAGACCACTGAAGTAAAGGTTGCTTAAGAGATCTAGTATCATCATCAGGAGCAAAATGCCCCCGAATACAGCGTAGAAGATAATGTAATGGCGCTCGTGTCGAGGTCGTGTCGAAAAAACATAGAGGGATGCCATATACATGGATGCATTGACCCCTACGATTTGTGTTCATGCTTAACTTTTCAGACAGAATGTATCATAACTCACCGATCAGAAATGCCATCAAGGTGTTTGTGACATGTGTAACGATCTCTATATCAAAGTATGTCCGGTCTAAGCTCATTCTTATCAGAGGAGAGTGGTTATGGGGCTATATGATGACCCAGGTAGTTTCGCGCCTTTATGAGGGTTTTCCCGGGACCTTTGTCGTCCAGAAAAGTCATAAAAACATACGTGTGTGTCCCTAATTTAGTCTCGTAAAAGTGCAGACGCAAACCCGTTCAGCACGGGAAAAAATAGAGTATCTTCCATATAAGTCATTTTACGAAGGCACAAAACACAAACTGTCTCTGCCTTATGTCAAAATTCTATGAACCGCTCTTTTTCTAGCTCCCAGAACAACTGAGCGCCCACTTACGTCCCTCAAGCTGTACTCGTAAGCTCCACAGGTTAACATAACAAAACTAAACAGCTCAACGTTTGTCGTCATTTCCGGGGAAGAATGAAAGAGTGCCCCGCTTTGTGTTATTCCGCATTCGTCCATCAACCTCATGTCAACGTTCCACAGAAAGGCTGTACTTATCGTCCACAAAGTCAAGTCTTCCAGAACGTGTACGCGACGCGATCAAATCCGCCTTTCCATGGATATACAAAAAATACGCAGTCATGGAGATGATACAGGTGCATTCCGACTTTCAGCTTTCGACTGATTGTCAGCTGGAAGCACTCGGGCCTCTTCCCGCTGAATCTGGTTTGGAAATCAGGGTAGATAAGGGTACAAGGATGCGGCCACTTCCCCACACCGGCTTTTTCCGTTTTTGTCTCCGACCATCTCCATTGCTAACGTTCATCATCGTGTTGTGGCGTTCCTTATAAGGTGGAGAAGCTACGTCGGAAAAAAGACAAAGGGCTGCTTGCTCACGTACTTGTCCGGTTATTTGAAAAATTCCTGGTGTAGCCTTGTGATTGGGTTTTTATATACAACAGCGTAGGGACACACCCAACGCCCTAAATCAACATTCTGTGATGAAATCCATAGGTGTGGCATTTTCGTACGATAGTTGCACCACCTCACCTCACCTAAATCCCGTTAATATGCGGCACCTACGCGACAAGCTCTCTCCTCGCGCGCATGCCCTCGCGCAGGCGGTCAAACATAGGCCTGGTCTACTCTCACTGAAAACACCTGTCCGTCATGGACTAGCCGTACTTTAGCCCGATATTTTCAAGACGCCCGCTTATCGCTCACGCGGGAAGGGAGGCACAAATGCGCAGCCGCACATCACGATCAAACGAGACATTCAAGCTCGTCAATTGCCGGAAGTACTTCGTCTTGTGAAGATCTCCCCGCTTCCATACCCCCGCTGAATACTACTGTTGACTGAATTGCAGTCGCTTCAACTGCCACGGTATTTCTGTTCCAAAAACTGCCCATCGCGATCCTGAGAAGAATCAATTGCTGGGTTACCACCTATCCAAGGGTTCAATGTTTTATTAATTCAGAATATCCAAAGAAACTTACGCAAACGCCACACCAAATATCAGCTAAGATAGTAACCACTATTGTGCTGAGATCACCGTGAAGGAACTCAAACGCAGATAGCGTAACAGCGAGCACTGTGTAGGGGACAGTCCCTTCAACAATGATCGAGACGGCCCCCGAGTATTTTCTCAGAACATGACGCCGCTCTGGTGTAATAGCTCGAACAAGCCAACACATGCGAACCAGCCGGTAGCAAATCATGGACGTGACAGAAACGTTGAAGGCGACTGTTGAGGCGCTCCAAATCTTCAGGGAAACTACGCCAATTATCGGCATGCTTGACACGGTGCTTTCTGGGAGCGTTTTTTCAACGACAATGAGGATCGAAGAGACTGCGCGGGTATAAACCTTGGGTCAATTCAATCGTGCCGACACTTAACAAACAAAGAGCTTAACCAGTAAACACGAAATATAGTAAGGCAGGCCCAATTGTTGAGCAGCGGCTCCGATCGCATACCACATAGCAACGCCAAAGCTGAAAATCAATTATGAGCGTTAGTGATTGCTGGTAGCATCCGCGCACGAACACCATAATAATGCGACGGTGGCTTACCATGAGGCCGTCGCACATCAGTACAGTAATTGCGGTGGCTACGACCCCTACACAATTTGCCCAGTTTTTTATGTAGTTAGAAGTGAAGCAACTCGAAAAGCTCGAGGCTTCTGCATCGTCGTCACAGTGGATAGCGAGAAGACCGCCATAGTAAAGGTTGGTCACAAGCTGCAGCGTCATCATCAGGAGTGATATTCCTCCATATGCGGCATAGAAGAAGGTTGTTCGTGGTGAACATCGGGATTTGGCCTTGAGAAGATAAACCGATAAGATGTACATGCATACGTCGATTCCTCCAAGGCGCATCAAGCTAGGTGTCAAGACAGACGTGAGAGTATGCATGTGCTAGAACTTACCAAGTAATAGTAACATCAGAGCATTGGTAGCATATGTAACAATCTCCAAGTTGAGATCCAACTGAGCGGAGTTCATTTATAGTAGAAAATGTCGGGGAGATGGTGAATGATTGGATCTGTGCCGTATACTTATACGCTTCTTCCCTAGCCATAACGTACATTAGCATGAAACTTCGGAACATAACAACGATAAAATTTCACAAAAGTACGAGGTTAGAATTTTCCGGATAACGTTTTAGGCACTAACGGGAGACCTACAGCAATATAGGCTGTGCAACACGTCGACTAGACGTCCAATTGCCTCCTTGGACGCCTTGCAGCGTAACCGAGACAAGGAACCTTAACGCCCCGCGAACGTTAAATAGGCTGCGCGAATGTACGTTCCCTGCTGTTAGCATGTGGGTCGAGTAAAGAGTGTAGATCCAAAGGAGTTTAGCCTCGTAGAACTTGCAGCACGGCGGGCTTCGCCGAGAGGCCATCCGCTGCGTTGGCAATTTCCGTGCTCGGCTCCGTTTTTAAGAACGTTCAGATTGATACCATAACGTTCATACGAAATGGAGAGAACAGCGCATGGTCGAATTCTGGATGAAACTTTGTTCAAAAGGTCATGAGCGCGATAGATGTCCGACCAGCACATGATAGAAAATGCAAGAGGTGTGTTGTTTCTGCTTACATGCACCGGCGTAGTATCAATACACACAACGACCCGAACCCACCCCTCGTAGATACAGACCACAGACGTGGCGTTTTTGTACATCACCTCGCTCCGCCTAAAACCCATTAACATGCGCCTCCTTCGCTACGAGCTCCCTCCTCGCGCGCACGCCCTCGCGCAGACGGTCGAGCGCGGGCCTGGTCTGCTCCCACGAGAGACACGCGTCCGTGACGGACTGGCCGTACTTGAGCCCGGCGGGGCCCATCGCGGGGATGTCCTGCCGGCCCTCGACGAGGTTGGACTCGAGCATGACGCCCATGATGTACGGCGCGGTGTCCGACGAGCCGAGTTGGGCGACCTGGTGGGCGTTCGATGTTGCCGTTGAACGTGGGTGCACAAGCGTTGATCAGTTGTAGCCCGAAAAGGTCGGGAAAGATCAAGAAAAGATGAATAATGTGGGGAGGAAGGATTCTAGAGACTTACGATGTCTTCGACGACCTCGACTTGTTTGATGTATTGCTTTTGGCTGTTACCGTGGCTGCAATCAATCTGTTGTGCGCCGCAATCATGCAAATCGGCTAAGGAGAGGAGGTACAATGGAAAGATTCTGATGGACGCACCATGACCTTTGCGGGGAGAGCAAACTTGATGCTCTGCGCAGCCGTGTCGCGCACGTGTTCGGCAGCGTAGTTGGGGCCCTTGTTCCCGCCTCGGAGGATAACGTGCACGTCGGGGTTACCCTAAACACATCCCGTCCGCCCCATGAGCAACGCTGTCTGGCACAAGAAGAGGAGCGAAGCAACCCCACCGTAGTCTCAACAATACTGCTCAGCCCCTCCTTGCCCGTCGACAAAAACACATGCCCGCTGCGCGCCGCACGGCACGCGTCGATCGCGATGCCGACCGAGCCGTCCGTCGAGTTCTTGAACCCGGTCGGCATCGACAGCGCGGACGTGAGCTCGCGGTGCACCTGCGACTCCGTCGTGCGCGCGCCGATCGCGCCCCACGAGACGAGATCGGCGGTGTACTGCGGCGTGATCGTGTCGAGGAACTCGCACCCGGCGGGCAGGCCCATCTTGGCGATGTCGAGCAGCAGGGTGCGCGCGATGCGCAGGCCGCGGTTGATCTGGTAGGAGCCGTTCATGTCGCTTTTGGGGGAGATGAGGTGTGAGTGTGAGTGCGAGTGGCGGTGTTGCGTGGGGATTTAGGGGATGCGCGGACGTACGGGTCGTTGATGAGGCCTTTCCAGCCGAGCGTCGTGCGCGGCTTCTCAAAGTAGACGCGCATGACGATGTGCAAATCGCTCGAGGCCTCGTCAGCGTACGCCTTGAGCAGCTTTGCGTACTCAATGGCGGCATCGACGTTGTTCACAGAGCAAGGGCTGCCAGGGATTGTCAGATGTTACTGAGCGCATTGACAGAGGGGTACATACTCACCCGACTACGACCACTAGTCGGTCATCGTCTCCCCTGACGATGTTTTCAGTCGCCCTACGACCTTGGAGGACGGTGTTGGCAGCGAGAAGCGTCCTTCATCAGCCAGTGAGTGTTCTGGATGACCAATGAGCTCTGTGTACATACAGGGGCAGATCTTCCTGGAGAATCTGGGGAGGGATCAAAGGACGCGTCGACTTGACGCGGGCGTTCTCGAGCCTCTGGAGAGCTTCCTTGAAGGGCAGGGCCATGCTGAGATCCTTGTAGTCCACTAAAAAGAAGATGCGAGTAGGCAAGAGATGAGACCCTAATGTCGTACCACAGTGTTCCTAGGGACGCACTTTTGTATCAGGACGCGACTGGAGATATGCGAGCTTCTCAGATCAGCGAACCGCTGTTATCGGAGGGCGTGTACGGCAGGTGCTATTTGTGAAAATCCAAAAAGCAGATGCCCTTAGGCTAGATGAGAGCTGGTCCAAAGATGGAGGAGGAGGAGGAGCAGAATAGGGCCCTTGAAACTTGAGGAGCTGTTTCGAGTCATCAGAAATCGCGCATGAGGCCAAGTCCTAAAATCTTGTTTCTGCCACGCCACCCAGCGACATGGCCGACTTGCCGCTTTCGGAATCCGGCTCGGCTCGCTCATTTCGCGTCCTTTGCTTTCTTGCTTTCGGCACGACACCGCGCTCCTCCACCTCACCTTGCTTTCTCTACACGCACTTTCCACTAGACTTACACCATGGACTTTTCAACGATGAACTCTGCCGAGCAGGCACAGATGGGCAAGATCATTGAGAAGAAGCAGGTGCGTCCAGAACCTAACCACGTCGCGACTAAAGTGCACGAGGACTGACCCAATTTTCACTTTCCAGATGCAAGACTTCATGCGGCTATACTCCAACCTCGTGGAACGCTGCTTCACCTCCTGCTGCAATGACTTCACGAGCAAGGCGTTGGGTTCGAAAGAGGTTCTTACTCGTCCTTCCGCGCCATCCGTCTTAGCTAACACCGTGTTCTCTGTAGGAGCAATGCGTACTCAACTGCGCTGACAAGTTCCTCAAGCATTCGGAGCGGGTAGGAGCACGGTTCGCAGAGTTAAACGCAGGTGCGTAGACCTATCTGAAATTTTATACTCGGACCCTGACGACGTGCCGTGTCTCGCCTCCCTTCTTCGCAGAGGCTATGGGGCCAAGCAAGTAAATGCATGCCACGCGGTTATATATCTCCTCTTAATGCCTGCTCCATCTCCTTTCACTCGTCACTCATGCCTTAATCACCGTCACTACATCCAAATGCATGCATTTACTTCATACTCGCGCGATGGTATTCGCTTGTGCGCTTGGCAGCTGCTCATGGGACACGACCATATAGAAGATGACGCCTTGACTCGAAAGAGTATCGTTTCCAAGCATACACGTTTTCACCCCGGTCTCTTCGCCTGCGCCAGCCAACTGGTCATGGTTGATTTGCCTGTCACGAGGGATGGTTAACCTCGCAGGTCCTCGAAGCTCTTTCCACGCCACGAAATGGATCGCCATTGTCAAATCTCTACGACGAGGTGACGCCTTGAGCTACTCGTGATTGTAAACGTGCACTCTTGATCCACAAGAACCTCTCAGGAGTAAGCAGCAGCCGTGCCGGTGGAGAGGCTAGAATTTACTAAGCCTAGAAACGTCTGATGGACTCCTGCTATCACCCCCTGGCACGAGTATGTTGAAGCCCCTCATGGCCTACTAGAATGTTCTGCGAAGGCCACTACTCTGTGTGCTTTGAATGCCGCCTAATGGCGGGTGGGGACTTCGTGAGAATGGCGGAGACAAACGTACACGCCGAAGACGTGTCTCCCGTGACGCATGACATCCCCAAAATACCCACATGGCATGGCAATGACATAAGTACTAGAGTGGTCAGGGGCTTCTCAAGTTCTCGTCCAGACCCCCATCGTAACAACCACAACCACAACGCTCTCACTCTCCAACGCATCTCCCACTTTCCGTCTTTGTATCAAACCTATTCACGACTAGCCTGCCAAGTTTGTGAAGATATGGCACCCCATCCGCTCGTCGGCAAGGCTGCACCCTCGTTCGCCATCCCTGACTCGGATGGGAATACGTATGAGTTCAAGCCTGGTCAGGGGAAGCCCATCGCGCTGTTCTTCTACCCCGAGTCTGGTAAGCACGCCGCTGTTGGCCCATATCACCTCTTTGCATGGCCACAGGCTTGTTTTGACCCCCGCGTACTTAGGCTCATATGGATGCACGCGCGAGGCATGTCAGTTTAGGGACGCGTTGGCCGGTAAGATACCCCTCCATCTCCGAGTCTGCAGTCGAGAAGAGTGCTGATTTCTGCATCGTCGTTTCTTTCCTGCAGAGAAAGAAATATACAAGCGATCAAACGTCCAGGTCGTCGGCGTCAGCCCGGATAGCGTCAAGAAGCAAAAGGAGTTCGTCGAGAAGCAGAAGCTCACCGTACGTCTGGTCGCCTTCTCTGATCCCTCCGATTGGGTTTAGGAGTGTCCCCCGTTTACGCTTACCGCAT